AGAGAGCGGTTCGTCGAGAGACACCGCAGAGCGCCGCGAGGACAGCGTGCATAAGGAAGAGGTGAAGGAGAGAAAATGTGCCACGAGTGGCGATGTTCCTGGAATGCATGTGAGCGGTGCGAGTTGTATGAGTGAAGAAGGCCTTCGCATGGGTGAATGAGTGTGTGCGAGAGCGCAACTTAATCTTCTCTTTGCAGGAATTTCATCATCATCATGCAGGGAAATAAGCTGGTGAGTGGAAAATGATACAATTTCAAGGCTGATTATTGTGCGAGGTGGAGAATCTCGCACAATCGCTACCGAAATGTGTATGAGCGGGTCGAAAGTTTCCTGCAAAGTCCTCTTCAAGGAAAGCAGTGGCGTGCGTGCTAGGAAGAGAGTTACGAGATTTGATGCGGCGCAAGAAGAGAGAAAATCGTGAGAAAATTTGCTGTTGCTGTGAGCGGCGTGCGAGGGTGAGCGGAAGAGAGAGAAAAAAGCTCGACGCAAAGCGCTCGAGGATGCGCGCCACCAGCGTTGCGCGCGTGCATGTGTGTAAGGCGGAGTCGCCGTGCGAGCGACACAGAGAGCTTCAAAGCTATGAGGAGGAATTTATCGCAGAACAAGGGGGTTTTATCCTGAATGATTGACGGTGTTTCAATGAGGATAATCTGGTTGGCGAAGTGAATGGAAATTTATCGAGAGACTTTTGGCTAGTCTGGCAGCAGAAATAGCGGTGAATTAAACATAGGACAAATAGTTTGAGTGCGAAGATCCGGAAGGGCGGTGAGCTGGCACGGTGAGGCAATTGCTAACTAAATCGGGAGTCCACTGATGAGCAAGGAAGGAGACGACGTTGCTTATGGCTGTCTGAAGAGGTGAATAGAATGAAACAATCGGCTGATTCGATGGTGCATGCAGGAATAAGGGTCGAATTGGAGTGGAAGTGAATCCAGTGGTGGTCGGAAAGTGTCGTCAGGGTGAAATGCGAACGGAGGTGCAATTTAGTCGGAGCGATCGGTTGATTTATGCAGTGCTGGATAGAAGGAATAAGAGGAGAATCGGCAGAGAGGGAAGTATTGAGTCTTTGAGAGTCGCTGTTTTGTGTTGCAGAAGGTGTGGAGCTGTCGCTGAAGGAAAACCCTGAGGCAGGTGTCCTGAGTGTAGAGGTGGTCTGAGGGGCAATGGAGCTGATTGCGGAAGACGGTGAGATAGTATTTTATTGGCGAATGATTTGGAGCACTAGCAGGGAACGTGACCACTTCGGGAGAAGGAGATGGCTGAGGCCAGTATTGATATCAGTTACAAATGGCGGATTTACAGGCACGTGTGATGGAGGAGTCCAGAGTAGTTTTGGCCAAGGCGGCAGGTAGAATCTCGAGGTTCAGAAGCGCGAGGGCACCAGTCAGGAGAAAACAAAAGCGGTTTTCGAGGAGAACAAATGGCGCCAGTGTGAGCTGAAGGAGTGTGAGAAGCCGATGGATGGTCTGAGCAAGTACTCGGAGTGGAGAAGTGAGGAGCAACGGAGATTTGACTTCACTGAGGTCGCGGGTGATATCGGAGGATGATATCGAAGAGTTCTTTGGGCTGTTTGCTGAGTAGAAATGAGTGAAGCGCTCCTATTTGCGGATGTGGATAAGATGGCGCAGCGCGGGCAATCTAGATGGTGTATCTGGTGTCAAGATAGCAGGGAGATTCTGGCGAGTGAAAGGGAAGATGCAGTATCGGGTGTTGGCAGCGGTGGTGACTGAGTTGGTGTAGCGGCGGTGTGCTGACCGAGACGATGGCGATCCTGCTGCTGATTTCTATGGTGAATCCTTCGCTGAGTTTAAAGTGGTCCTTTGTTGATCTGGTTGGTGTGGATCTAAGACGATTCGTGCGATGTGGGGCAGGATGATGGTGAGGATATGCAGATTTTAGAGCTGAAGCAACAAAGGAGATGGTGTTTAGAAGGAGGTTGGAAAAATCAGGTTCACTTGTGTTTCCAGGAATGATTGGGAAAACGGAAATCGTGGTTCGATGCTAAGGGATTCGGAAAATGAACTGGCAGAATGATAGTGAGACTCTTGGCGATGAATATACGGAAGTGAAGCTGAATAGTAAAGTCTGCAGGCGAGCGAATCGCGGCCGGAGGGTAGAACAAACGATGCAATCTGGAGATAGGTAGCAGTGGATAATGGCGTGGCTCGGTGTGGTCAAGGAGTTTTAGCGATGGGTGTGCTCGCAGAGTTGGCAGAAGTAGAGTATAGAGTGAATTGGAAAGGCAACTAGTTCGCTGATAGCTGAAAATGATGGTGAAACATGATTGCTGGAAGATCATCGGAGTGCATCGAGAGGGTTTGGTGCGAGTGCTGGCTGTTATTTTACTGGTGGCTGTGTACAAGAGGTCGGTGGAGGCCAGAAATTGGAAGGTAGGTCTGGCGTAACGGAGTAGTGAGCGAGGAACTGGAATTCCTCGCAAGAAGTACTCCACAAGTAATTTCAAGCAGGGCAGAATGGGTTTTTGTGGCATACGACACAAACTTCCAACAATGGACTGTTGAATGGAACAAAAGTGTAGCAACTCATTGGGTAATTTCGTTGGTCGAAATCTGTGAGTTGGAGAACTAGTAGTGAGGCGTGTACAGTTGCAGGATTGGTGTGCGGAGAGAGTCCCTAGTAGTTGGTGAATTTCTGAGGGTTAGAAAATGCTGGTTGGCGAAACGAGAACGACGATCTGAGTGTGATGGTGATGTGTGGTGAGGTTGAAAGGTGGACAGTCTGTAGAGGTGTGCAGATGATGACCAGATGGAAGCGGCGCAGGTGATGTCAAGATACTGTTGGCGGGACGTGAGGCAGAATGGCGGAACGATGTGTGATCCAGGTGCAAATTGGCTAATCGTTGACTAGGAAAAGAATTGAGATCTCCCACGGAATGGAGCGGTTTGAGCGACTGAGGGTGCAAATGCTTGGCGAAATCAGTCAACGATGCAGAGTATTAGAGTTAGAGTTTCACGCTGGGCAGAACGAGATGCAGAAATCTGAGCTGTGAGATAGCAGAGTGATGAGCCTAGGACAGACAAGGCATCACAGAACACCAGTCGCGAATTTAATAGAGAAACAGAAACATGGTGGCTTGCGCGAAACAAAGTGAAGTGTCTTGTGCGGGAAGGCCAAGAGATTGGAGAAGTTGCAGCTGATCGCGGTTATATATGCGGCTTTTGTTGCAGATTCGAGCAAGGCGAATCCGGATATGAGAAGATATCCGGCGAAGAGAGGTGCTGAAGTAATGGTGTTGCTTTAATTCGTTTTGCAGATGAATGCTGGAGACGTCGCAAGAGGTCCAGTGATGGCAGCCCAGGGAGAAGCATGTCTTCCGAACGAACTTAAGGTGTTCGGTTCGGTCGGCTGCGGATGGGACTGGACAAGCGACGAGCGAACGTGTAGCAGAGAACTCCGGCCGAAGAGATTGTGCCGTGAGACTTCCGGCCAAAGTGACCGTGCCGGAAAGGAACAGAGGTAGCGCCTCTAGCGACGGTGAAAATGCAGAGCAACGAAGCAGTCGTCGTGATGCAGCCTGGGACCATCCATCAGAACCAGCTGTCCGCGAGTATGGGTGTCGCTCCCAGAACGTGGATCATGTCCCCTGACCTGGGAGTGGGAAATCAGATCCGCGTGTCTGATCGCGTAGGAGTTGTAGGGTGAGCTGAATAGGAGCAGGTAGCTGAGATAGTATCAGAGGCACTTCCAATCATTCATGGTAAAGGAAATTCTGACTCTTCGGAGTTCTTTTATTTGTTTGCCACCGAGGACGTCGGCGATGTCAGGAAGTGCCGAGTGTGTAAGTCGAATTCCCTATACCAACCGGCAAAACACCAAGCCCTGCCCAATTGGTATACCTGGAGAGCTTGTGGCGGGAATGCCACTGTCTAGGCGGCCTTCTTCCTCCTGATATACGATTCTCGCTGTTAGCATTAGTTGACGGTAGAGGCAGCACTGAGGGTGACGCGGAGAAGCGCGCGGAGAAGTCAGTCAGTCTTGTCGTGAACGCGGAGCGGAACAGTGCATTGCCGAGTAGGAGCAGGGGACGCAGCGAGATGGGGCGTCAGGAGGAGTTGGTTACATAAAGCCGACTACCTAGTGGATTTGGAACTTCAATATAATTACTGGGAGTTTATTAATTTCTTCAAAATAATTAATTTAATTCGCCATGAAAAAAAAAATACGCAAAGGCGCCATTTTTGCCACATTCGACACATGCCCGACTGTCGCCCGACTTTCGGTCACACTCCAATGTAAATGTCTGTGGAAAATGTCGGCTTTGGTCAGGTGACAAATGGGCCGACTGTTTACATACAGTCGGTTGACCACCCTGACCGTCCCCGGTGGCGGGCGTCCGTCGTCAGTCGGCCCGATTGTCTGCCGACGGTCAGGGTGGTCAACCGACTGTATGTAAACAGTCGGCCCATTTGTCACCTGACCAAAGCCGACATTTGCCACAGACATTTACATTGGAGTGTGACCGAAAGTCGGGCGACAGTCGGGCATGTGTCGAATGTGTCAAAAATGGCGCCTTTGCGTATTTTTTTTCATGGCGAATTAAATTAATTATTTTGAAGAAATTAATAAACTCCCAGTAATTATATTTATTACATGCGCGTTTTTTATGATCAAAAATATGCCGGCATGGGCGCACGATAAAGAATTTAATTACGGCTCGGAAAAGTATTGTCCCGACCTGAAAAGAGTTAAATTGAGCGATTTCCGCGATTTTCTTTGCATTTGGAAAAATTCTCATTTTGGCCGAAAATTCTGACGCCACCATGTTGCCAACATCTGCTAACTTCAGACCGGTGCCACGCGACAAACAACCGACAGTCGCTTGTTTGTCTCAACGGACGACAGTCTCGTGACTGTCGAACACCGTTGTCTGTCATCAAGACGACCGCTCGCCACCGGGTCGGCAGACAATCGGGCCGACTGACGACGGACGCCCGCCACCGGGTTAGGTATACTTTAAATATCGAGATTAATCTGAAACGAACGTAGCGAAGCTGCAAAAACAATGTTTGAAGAATGATAAGATTTCTTATGGGTAACAAAAAGAGAGATAAGACGAATTACTGTCTCAAATAGCCGAAAACTTGGATGAAAATGTAATATTCATTCAGTTGTGATCGCAAAATGGAAGAGAAATATTCGCCCTTAATATTCTTTGTCAATGGCAAAAAAGTGAGTCAAACTGCGTAATAGAGAGTGAAAAATTAATGTCCGCATATTTAATTCAGATCATTGAGCCCCGTCCCAACCCTGAAGAGACGCTCCTGTCTTATCTCCGGGAGAAGCTACGCCTCTGCGGCACGAAGTTGGGATGCGCCGAGGGCGGATGCGGCGCGTGCACGGTAATGGTATCCCGCGTGGACAAGCAGTCGCAGCTTGTGCGCCACCTGGCCGTGAACGCGTGTTTGGCGCCACTTTGCTCCATGCACGGACTCGCCGTGACCACGGTCGAGGGCATTGGCAGCACCAGGACGAGGCTGCATCCCGTCCAGGAGCGCATCGCCAAGGCACACGGCTCGCAGTGTGGCTTCTGCACGCCCGGCATCGTCATGTCAATGTACGCCACTCTCCGCAACACCCAAGCGCCCACCATGGCCGATCTGGAGACCACCTTCCAGGGTAACCTGTGCCGCTGCACCGGCTACAGGCCCATCATCGAGGGCTTCCGCACCTTCACCGTCGATGGTCTTCAGAACGGATGCGCCATGGGCGACCAGTGTTGCAAAGTCAACGGCGGTCCGGTGGAGACTCTGTTCGAGCCCAGTCTATTCGTGCCCTACGATCCCAGCCAGGAGCCCATCTTCCCGCCGGAACTCAAGTGTTCAGACGCCTTGGATCGCCAGAGCCTCGTCTTCCGCGGTGAACGCGTGACTTGGTTCAGACCAACATCAATCGACGAATTGTTGAACCTGAAGAAGAAATTCCCTGACTCCAAGATCGTCGTTGGCAACACAGAAGTCGGAGTGGAAGTCAAGTTCAGAAACTGCCTCTTCCCAGTCCTCGTCTCAACAGCCCAAATCCCAGAACTTAATCGCATCTCCGAAACGGAAAATGCACTCAAGATCGGCGCTTCCGTGCCTCTGGCCGAGATGGAAGAAAAACTCCGGCAGTTGATCGAGGATCGTCCTGAGCACGAGACTCGCGCCTTCAAGGCTGTTGTCGAGATGCTTCACTACTTCGCAGGGAAGCAGATCAGAAACGTGGCCTCAGTCGGAGGAAACATCATGCACGGAAGTCCCATCTCGGACTTGATCCCCATCTTCACTGCCGCGCAGATCGAGTTGGAAGTCATTTCTGTTGCTGGCGAACCGCGAACCCTTCGAATGGGTCCCGGATTCTTCACTGGCTACCGTCGGAATCTCGTCAAACCTGACGAGATCCTCGTGTCCTTGCTTCTTCCCAAGACTAGCGAGAAGCAACACATTGTGGCATTCAAGCAAGCCCGGCGTCGAGATGATGACATTGCCATCGTCAACATAGCCGTTAACGTCATATTCGAGCCCCAGTCCAACAAAGTCGCGTCTTTGGAGTTGGCCTTCGGAGGAATGGCTCCGACCGTTGTCACTGCGCCGAAATCCTCCGCCGTGGCTCGAGGAAAGCAATGGAATTCAGCTCTAGTGGAAGAGATTTCCGATGTGCTGGCCAGTGAACTTCCCCTGGATCCCGGAGCGCCCGGAGGAATGATCCTCTATCGCAGATCTCTCACCCTCAGTCTCTTCTTCAAGGCCTTCCTGGCCATAGCAAAGGCACGGAATTTCGAAATTCCCGCAGAAGAGATTAGCGGCGCTGAAACCTTTCACGCACTGCCTCCGAAGTCCACTCAGACGTTCGAGAAAGTGCCCGACGGTCAGGAGCCCTGGAATCCCATCCGTCGTCCTCAGGTTCACGCTTCGGCCTTCAAACAAGCAACAGGAGAAGCGATTTATTGCGATGACATGCCTCGTTTCGAGAATGAGCTCTACTTGGCTTATGTATTCAGCACGAAATCGCACGCACGAATCCTCAATATCGATGCCTCGGAAGCTTTGTCTCTTCCTGGAGTAGAGGCCTTTTTCTCCGCTAAAGATTTGCCGGCAGAAAAGAATATCTATCCAGGAATGGTTGCTGATGAGGAAGTCTTTATATCTTCTGTTGTCACGTCCCAGGGTCAGACTCTCGGAGTCATTCTTGCAGATACCCAATACTTGGCACAAAGAGCAGCCAAGCTAGTGAAGGTTGAATACGAAGAGCTTTCTCCACTGACTATAACCATTGAGGATGCCATAGAGCAAGAGTCTTTCTTCCCAATGACTCCAGAAGACATAGTGAAAGGAGATGTTGAGGAAGCCCTGAAGAAAGCCGATCATGTGATTGAAGGCGAAGTGAGAATGGGAGGACAGGAGCATTTCTACTTGGAAACTCATGCCGCAATTGCTTCTCCAAGAGATGCTGATGAACTGGACATTTACTGTACTTCACAAGGTCTTAATCAAGTAATGTCATACGTATCCTTTATCTTGGATATTCCTCGTCATAAAATAGTGTGCCATATAAAAAGAATCGGAGGTGGTTTCGGAGGAAAGGAAACAAGACATCCATTAATTGCAATTCCTGTAGCACTCGCAGCTCACAAACTACGCAGGCCAGTGCGCTGTATGCTGGACAGAGATGAAGATATGATGATTACAGGAACACGACATCCTTTTCTGTATAAATACAAAGTAGGCTTCCGAAAAGATGGCAAAATATCTGCTGTCGATATAAAAATGTTTAACAATGGCGGTTACAGCTTGGATTTATCAAAAGCTGTTTTGGAAGTGTCAATGACTCAATTCCTTAATTGCTACTGTGTCCCTAATGTTCGAGTTGAAGGAAAAGTGTGCAAGACTAATCTACCATCCAACACAGCATTCAGAGGATTTGGAAGTCCTCAAGGAATGCTCGCAGCGGAACACATAATCAGACATGCGGCTCGTGTTCTCAATAAAGATTATATTGAGATTGCAGAGCTAAATCTTATCAGGAAGAATGATTTAACGCACTATATGCAAAGAATAGAAGATGCATATCTTGAGAGATGTTGGAAAGAATGTATAAAAAGTTCCAATTTCTACGAAAGACGTGAGCAAGTGAAAAAGTTCAATGCGGAAAACCGTTGGAGAAAGAGAGGAATTTCAATAGTTCCTGTGAGCCATGGCATAGGATTTCCTTTTAACATTTTTAATCAAGCTTCTGCTCTCGTGATGATATATACAGACGGAACTGTTCTTATTTCTCATAGTGGAATGGAAATGGGACAAGGACTCCATACGAAAATGATTCAAATTGCTTCCACCGAGCTCGGAATTCCCTTCAATCAAATCCACATTGCTGAGACTTCAACTGACAAGAATCCAAATCTTTCGCCATCAGCAGCAAGTTTCTCTTCAGATCTTAATGGTGTGGCAGTAATAGATGCATGTCATATACTACTTGAACGATTAAATCCGTATCGAAGGAAACATCCAGACAAAGGCTGGATTGATTGGGTCAATATGGCTCATGAGGATCAAGTCACTCTTGTTGCAGTTGGAAGATGCCAAATGCCTAAGATAACTGGCTATATTGCAGAAAATGAGACTAACGTATGTGCTTTTTATTTCACGAACGGAGCAGGATGTTCTGAGGTGGAGATCGACTGCTTGACCGGCGATCATCAGGTCATCAGGACAGACATCGTGATGGATCTGGGATCCAGCATCAATCCGGCCATCGATATTGGGCAGATCGAGGGCGCTTTCATGCAAGGCTACGGCCTGTTCACGCTCGAGGAAATGGTCTACGCGGCCGACGGGACGCTCCTGTCCCGTGGACCAGGAGCCTACAAGCTTCCCGGTTTCGCGGACATCCCGGCGGAGTTCAACGTTTCCCTCCTGAGCGGCGCCCCCAACCCAAAAGCCGTCTACTCATCCAAGGCAGTCGGCGAACCGCCACTCTTTTCTGCGGCGTCCGTCTTCTTCGCCATCAAGGAAGCCATCGCTGCTGCCAGGAGTCACGAGAACCTGGGCCCCAATTTCCCACTCACGAGTCCAGCCACAGCGGCTCGCATCCGGATGGCGTGCCAGGACAAATTCACAAGAAAAGTAAGTCTTGCTTCTCTTCTCCATAGCCGACTTATTTCTTTATTAAAATTAATGTAAGTTCCCTCTTTTGAGCCTTATTTTCTTTCACATTTTTTGTCAAAATACCTTTTAAGGTTTCATATGAAGCATTCTGTTTTGGTTCTGATTTTTAAAATCCATTTTTTTTTCTATTTTTCAAGTTTTACATGTCTCTTAACCGTATAAACTTTGTATTTTCTTCTATCCTCTTATTAATTTCTGTACATCATCTTTTTTTTACTTTCTTCAACTAATGTCAAGGTGTAGGTAAATTCATTTTAAAACCATAAATGTCAAAGTTTTACTGATATGGCTTTTACCAGATATCATCCAAAATTTTTGGTTATTTCTATTTTCTGATAAACGCTCTTTACTTTCTTCACAAAGAGTAATAAATCAGTTAAATTGATTAAAGTGTTATAATCTCAATGAATGTTGTATATTTCAAGTTTACCTACATGTTTTAAACTTTGTCAGAAAAATAATAATTTTTATATTGTTACAAAAATTTCATTGCAGTTCAAAAAAGCGAAGAAGGGCACTTATACTCCATGGAATGTAATGCCGTAAAAATTATTTCATTCTTGAATTGACATGAATTATTGGAAATAACTTCTGTACCCATGAACAATAAATTTTTTTTTACTCATCGCTTACTATATTGCACTTCACAAGAGGTGACAAACAAACACGAGCAACTTAAAAGGGGATTAAGAAATTGATAAGACAACAGCACAGAAATCTGAATAGTGGGGGCATTTGAGCAAAAAAAATTATATAACAGGTGACTTATACTTGAGTGTAAGAATTCAGTTAAGAGTGAACGATGGAAGAGAGCGGATCGAGCGGACAGTCGACCTTAATATTCTTTGTCAATGGCAAAAAAGTGAGTCAAACTGCGTAATAGAGAGTGAAAAATTAATATCCGCATATTTAATTCAGATCATTGAGCCCCGTCCCAACCCTGAAGAGACGCTCCTGTCTTATCTCCGGGAGAAGCTACGCCTCTGCGGCACGAAGTTGGGATGCGCCGAGGGCGGATGCGGCGCGTGCACGGTAATGGTATCTCGCGTGGACAGGCAGTCGCAGCTTGTGCGCCACCTGGCCGTGAACGCGTGTTTGGCGCCACTTTGCTCCATGCACGGACTCGCCGTGACCACAGTCGAGGGTATTGGCAGCACCAGGACGAGGCTGCATCCCGTCCAGGAGCGCATCGCCAAGGCACACGGCTCGCAGTGTGGCTTCTGCACGCCCGGCATCGTCATGTCAATGTACGCCACTCTCCGCAACACCCAAGCGCCCACCATGGCCGATCTGGAAACCACCTTCCAGGGTAACCTGTGCCGCTGCACCGGCTACAGGCCCATCATCGAGGGCTTCCGCACCTTCACCGTCGATGGTCTTCAGAACGGATGCGCCATGGGCGACCAGTGTTGCAAAGTCAACGGCGGTCCGGTGGAGACTCTGTTCGAGCCCAGTCTATTCGTGCCCTACGATCCCAGCCAGGAGCCCATCTTCCCGCCGGAACTCAAGTGTTCAGACGCCCTGGATCGCCAGAGCCTCGTCTTCCGCGGTGAACGCGTGACTTGGTTCAGACCAACATCAATCGACGAATTGTTGAACCTGAAGAAGAAATTCCCTGACTCCAAGATCGTCGTTGGCAACACAGAAGTCGGAGTGGAAGTCAAGTTCAGAAACTGCCTCTTCCCAGTCCTCGTCTCAACAGCCCAAATCCCAGAACTTAATCGCATCTCCGAAACGGAAAATGCACTCAAGATCGGCGCTTCCGTGCCTCTGGCCGAGATGGAAGAAAAACTCCGGCAGTTGATCGAGGATCGTCCTGAGCACGAGACTCGCGCCTTCAAGGCTGTTGTCGAGATGCTTCACTACTTCGCAGGGAAGCAGATCAGAAACGTGGCCTCAGTCGGGGGAAACATCATGCACGGAAGTCCCATCTCGGACTTGGTCCCCATCTTCACTGCCGCGCAGATCGAGTTGGAAGTCATTTCTGTTGCTGGCGAACGGCGAACCCTTCGAATGGGTCCCGGATTCTTCATTGGCTACCGTCGGAATCTCGTCAAACCTGACGAGATCCTCGTGTCCTTGCTTCTTCCCAAGACTAGCGAGAAGCAACACATTGTGGCATTCAAGCAAGCCCGGCGTCGAGATGATGACATTGCCATCGTCAACATAGCCGTTAACGTCATATTCGAGCCCCAGTCCAACAAAGTCGCGTCTTTGGAGTTGGCCTTCGGAGGAATGGCTCCGACCGTTGTCACTGCGCCGAAATCCTCCGCCGTGGCTCGAGGAAAGCAATGGAATTCAGCTCTAGTGGAAGAGATTTCCGATGTGCTGGCCAGTGAACTTCCCCTGGATCCCGGAGCGCCCGGAGGAATGATCCTCTATCGCAGATCTCTCACCCTCAGTCTCTTCTTCAAGGCCTTCCTGGCCATAGCAAAGGCACGGAATTTCGAAATTCCCGCAGAAGAGATTAGCGGCGCTGAAACCTTTCACGCACTGCCTCCGAAGTCCACTCAGACGTTCGAGAAAGTGCCCGACGGTCAGGAGCCCTGGAATCCCATCCGTCGTCCTCAGGTTCACGCTTCGGCCTTCAAACAAGCAACAGGAGAAGCGATTTATTGCGATGACATGCCTCGTTTCGAGAATGAGCTCTACTTGGCTTATGTATTCAGTACGAAATCGCACGCACGAATCCTCAACATCGATGTCTCGGAAGCTTTGTCTCTTCCTGGAGTAGAGGCCTTTTTCTCCGCTAAAGATTTGCCGGCAGAAAAGAATATCTATCCAGGAATGGTTGCTGATGAGGAAGTCTTTATATCTTCTGTTGTCACGTCCCAGGGTCAGACACTTGGAGTCATTCTTGCAGATACCCAATACTTGGCACAAAGAGCAGCCAAGCTAGTGAAGGTTGAATACGAAGAGCTTTCTCCACTGACTATAACCATTGAGGATGCCATAGAGCAAGAGTCTTTCTTCCCAATGACTCCAGAAGACATAGTGAAAGGAGATGTTGAGGAAGCCCTGAAGAAAGCCGATCATGTGATTGAAGGCGAAGTGAGAATGGGAGGACAGGAGCATTTCTACTTGGAAACTCATGCCGCAATTGCTTCTCCAAGAGATGCTGATGAACTGGACATTTACTGTACTTCACAAGGTCTTAATCAAGTAATGTCATACGTATCCTTTATCTTGGATATTCCTCGTCATAAAATAGTGTGCCATATAAAAAGAATCGGAGGTGGTTTCGGAGGAAAGGAAACAAGACATCCATTAATTGCAATTCCTGTAGCACTCGCAGCTCACAAACTACGCAGGCCAGTGCGCTGTATGCTGGACAGAGATGAAGATATGATGATTACAGGAACACGACATCCTTTTCTGTATAAATACAAAGTAGGCTTCCGAAAAGATGGCAAAATATCTGCTGTCGATATAAAAATGTTTAACAATGGCGGTTACAGCTTGGATTTATCAAAAGCTGTTTTGGAAGTGTCAATGACTCAATTCCTTAATTGCTACTGTGTCCCTAATGTTCGAGTTGAAGGAAAAGTGTGCAAGACTAATCTACCATCCAACACAGCATTCAGAGGATTTGGAAGTCCTCAAGGAATGCTCGCAGCGGAACACATAATCAGACATGCGGCTCGTGTTCTCAATATGGATTATATTGAGATTGCAGAGCTAAATCTTATCAGGAAGAATGATTTAACGCACTATATGCAAAGAATAGAAGATGCATATCTTGAGAGATGTTGGAAAGAATGTATAATAAGTTCCAATTTCTACGAAAGACGTGAGCAAGTGAAAAAGTTCAATGCGGAAAACCGTTGGAGAAAGAGAGGAATTTCAATGGTTCCTATAAGTCACGGAATTAGTTTCGGTATAGATTCATTTCACCGTGTTTCCGCTCTCGTGATGATATATACAGACGGAACTGTTCTTATTTCTCATAGTGGAATGGAAATGGGACAAGGACTCCATACGAAAATGATTCAAATTGCTTCCACCGAGCTCGGAATTCCCTTCAATCAAATCCACATTGCTGAGACTTCAACTGACAAGAATCCTAACACACCTCCAACAGCAGCTAGTATTTCATCAGACATAAATGGACCAGCTGTAATGGATGCTTGTAAAATTCTAATGGCGCGTCTGAAGCCGTATCGAGAGGCAAATCCCAAGAAAACCTGGACTGACTGGGTCAATATGGCTCATGAGGATCAAGTCACTCTTGTTGCAGTTGGAAGATGCCAGCTTCCTAAAGTTCAATTCTATTCTGCAGAGAATAAAGAAAATTTCAACAATGTTTACTACTTCACGAACGGAACAGGATGTTCTGAGGTGGAGATCGATTGCTTGACCGGCGATCATCAGGTCATCAGGACAGACATCGTGATGGATCTGGGATCCAGCATCAATCCGGCCATCGATATCGGGCAAATCGAGGGCGCTTTCATGCAAGGCTACGGCCTGTTCACACTCGAGGAAATGGTCTACGCGGCCGACGGGACGCTCCTGTCCCGTGGGCCAGGAGCCTACAAGCTTCCCGGTTTCGCGGACATCCCAGCGGAGTTCAACGTTTCCCTCCTGAGCGGCGCCCCCAACCCAAAAGCCGTCTACTCATCCAAGGCAGTCGGCGAACCGCCACTCTTTTCTGCGGCGTCCGTCTTCTTCGCCATCAAGGAAGCCATCGCTGCTGCCAGGAGTCACGAGAACCTGGGCCCCAATTTCCCACTCACGAGTCCAGCCACAGCGGCTCGCATCCGGATGGCGTGCCAGGACAAATTCACAAGAAAAGTAAGCAAGTTATGCATATCCAAAATATGATTATCTCATTTATCTCTTCAGGAGTTTTAAAATACGATTATCAGATAATATGCCTTAATCTTTATGACCCCATCCGACATTCCATATCGTTACACAAACATTATCATTTCATACGTATATACTTGAACTTGAGATATCGCGTAAAGATCCAGTGATTATGAAATTTTCCGTATTTATAATTAGTACTTCTAGGATTCCAAATTGAAATCTTCTAATATTCACAATGTAGACAACACAGTTTTTCAAATTAGCCTATAGACACAATGAATTAAGAAAAAAATTCGCTATACGTCTCATTCTTGATTCTTGCCGATAAATTTGGGCTGAAATAAAAGAAAAATTTATTCTGTGCTTGATTTCATTTTTTTTATACCTTAATCATTTTTACTGTTCACTAGCTTTATATTGAAGAGTGTGAAAAATATCACTCTCATGAAATATAATAATCGCTTAGGTTTCACATATGTATTAATAATTCATACACACTATAGCGTATCTAGTGTTAAGAGTTGTCATAAAAAACCGCACGTGGACACCTCCAATACAACTAAGCACTTCTCTCGTCTTTATTTCAGTTTCAAGCAGCGACAGAGGGAACTTTTACACCATGGAATATTATGCCGTAAATTCGTAAATGAACTTTTTCCGAGGGATACTCACACAATTCTGGAGACACTTATCAGTGACTTCCAATTTCCACTTCACTGTGAAACCATACAGATGATAAAGTGACGGAGACTCCAGCATGAGCCCACAAATTCACACAATTCAGTCTCTCAACATCAGCAGTTGAAATAACATTAATTATCTCCAATTGATTTTGCATTGAGCATCTCTCAGACTTTGAAGATTGTTCTGTTCCAGTGTTGTGCGTATAATTCTTTAGTGAAATGGAATTGAGCCAAAATAACACTCTAATATTTTTTGTGAACGGGAAAAAGGTTAAATATATCAATCAATCAAATTCAATTTGGCTTCTCTGTCGCTTTTCAATTGCGTAATAAGACCCACAAAAATCGTCTGACCTTCGCGAGTAAAACTTGGAATATATTGTCAAGTGCTTAGAAATCAGTTTTTTTAATACTAATATTTTGTATTAAAAGAGCTATTTTCTGACCGAAAAGCTGTTTAATTTCAATTGCTTTTCTATCACTTTGCAATGAAATTATTTTGTGCCTACAAATTGAATAACAGATAAGGCAATTCTTATCTTTCTAGGGTCAAAGGCGATAAAGAAGCCAGGAAAATCACACAGTGTAAACAAGTAATTCGCAATAAACATTTCTATGCACTACTTTTAATTCAGATCGTTGAGCCCCGTCCCAACCCTGAAGAGACGCTCCTGTCTTATCTCCGGGAGAAGCTACGCCTCTGCGGCACGAAGTTGGGATGCGCCGAGGGCGGATGCGGCGCGTGCACGGTAATGGTATCCCGCGTGGACAGGCAGTCGCAGCTTGTGCGCCACCTGGCCGTGAACGCGTGTTTGGCGCCACTTTGCTCCATGCACGGACTCGCCGTGACCACAGTCGAGGGTATTGGCAGCACCAGGACGAGGCTGCATCCCGTCCAGGAGCGCATCGCCAAGGCACACGGCTCGCAGTGTGGCTTCTGCACGCCCGGCATCGTCATGTCAATGTACGCCACTCTCCGCAACACCCAAGCGCCCACCATGGCCGATCTGGAGACCACCTTCCAGGGTAACCTGTGCCGCTGCACCGGCTACAGGCCCATCATCGAGGGCTTCCGCACCTTCACCGTCGATGGTCTTCAGAACGGATGCGCCATGGGCGACCAGTGTTGCAAAGTCAACGGCGGTCCGGTGGAGACTCTGTTCGAGCCCAGTCTATTCGTGCCCTACGATCCCAGCCAGGAGCCCATCTTCCCGCCGGAACTCAAGTGTTCAGACGCCCTGGATCGCCAGAGCCTCGTCTTCCGCGGTGAACGCGTGACTTGGTTCAGACCAACATCAATCGACGAATTGTTGAACCTGAAGAAGAAATTCCCTGACTCCAAGATCGTCGTTGGCAACACAGAAGTCGGAGTGGAAGTCAAGTTCAGAAACTGCCTCTTCCCAGTCCTCGTCTCAACAGCCCAAATCCCAGAACTTAATCGCATCTCCAAAACGGAAAATGCACTCAAGATCGGCGCTTCCGTGCCTCTGGCCGAGATGGAAGAAAAACTCCGGCAGTTGATCGAGGATCGTCCTGAGCACGAGACTCGCGCCTTCAAGGCTGTTGTCGAGATGCTTCACTACTTCGCAGGGAAGCAGATCAGAAACGTGGCCTCAGTCGGGGGAAACATCATGCACGGAAGTCCCATCTCGGACTTGGTCCCCATCTTCACTGCCGCGCAGATCGAGTTGGAAGTCATTTCTGTTGCTGGCGAACGGCGAACCCTTCGAATGGGTCCCGGATTCTTCACTGGCTACCGTCGGAATCTCGTCAAACCTGACGAGATCCTCGTGTCCTTGCTTCTTCCCAAGACTAGCGAGAAGCAACACATTGTGGCATTCAAGCAAGCCCGGCGTCGAGATGATGACATTGCCATCGTCAACATAGCCGTTAACGTCATATTCGAGCCCCAGTCCAACAAAGTCGCGTCTTTGGAGTTGGCCTTCGGAGGAATGGCTCCGACCGTTGTCACTGCGCCGAAATCCTCCGCCGTGGCTCGAGGAAAGCAATGGAATTCAGCTCTAGTGGAAGAGATTTCCGATGTGCTGGCCAGTGAACTTCCCCTGGATCCCGGAGCGCCCGGAGGAATGATCCTCTATCGCAGATCTCTCACCCTCAGTCTCTTCTTCAAGGCCTTCCTGGCCATAGCAAAGGCACGGAATTTCCAAATTCCCGCAGAAGAGATTAGCGGCGCTGAAACATTTCACGCTCTGCCTCCGAAGTCCACTCAGACGTTCGAGAAAGTGCCCGACGGTCAGGAGCCCTGGAATCCCATCCGTCGTCCTCAGGTTCACGCTTCGGCCTTCAAACAAGCAACAGGAGAAGCGATTTATTGCGATGACATGCCTCGTTTCGAGAATGAGCTCTACTTGGCTTATGTATTCAGCAAGAAATCGCACGCACGAATCCTCAATATCGATGCCTCGGAAGCTTTGTCTCTTCCTGGAGTAGAGGCCTTTTTCTCCGCTAAAGATATCGCCCTGGACAGGAATCTAATAGGACCTGTATTCCATGATGAAGAGTTCCTCGTCACTGACACTGTGACTTCTCAATCTCAAATTCTGGGCATTATTGTTGCGGAGAATCAGGTTTTGGCTCAAAGAGCAACTAAAATGGTTAAAGTGAGTTATGAGGATATTGTTCCAGTGATTGTAACATTGGAAGATGCCATTCAGCATAAGAGTTACTTTCCTGGATATCCAAAGGTCATCAAGAAGGGAAATCCTGAGCAGGCGCTCGAGGATGCTGACCACATTGTCGAAGGCGAAGTGAGAATGGGTGGACAGGAACACTTCTATTTAGAAACTCAAGCTTCTATAGCTGTGCCACGAGATAATGATGAGCTGGAGCTGTTTTGCTCCTCTCAACATCCATCTGAGATTCAGAAGCTCGTGGCGCATGTTTTGGGGATTCCGGCTTCTAAAATTGTGACTCGCGTGAAGAGAATGGGCGGTGGTTTTGGTGGGAAGGAGACAAGAGGCATGATGACGGCGATTCCCGTGGCTTTTGCATCTTACAAACTGGGCTGCCCAGTGCGCTGTATGCTGGACAGAGATGAAGACATGAAGATGACGGGAACTAGACATCCTTTCTATTTTAAATACCAGGCTGCATGTACCAAAGAGGGTCAGATAACTGCCATCATTGTAGATATTTACAACAATGCTGGGCACTCAATGGACTTGTCCTTTTCCATTTGCGAACGAGCTATGTATCACATCTTAAACTCATATTACGTATCTAATGCACTGGTCAAGGGCTGGGTCTGCAAGACTAATTTACCATCTAATACTGCCTTTAGAGGCTTCGGCGGTCCACAAGGGATGTTCGTGGGTGAACATATAATAAGAGAAGTTGCCAGGACAGTGAACAGAGACTATGTAGAAATTGCTGAGCTTAATATGATGCGAACTGGCCTCCGAACGCACTACAACCAGGAAGTGGAATTGTGTCAAGTCGGCAGATGTTGGAGTGAGTTGATGAAAAGCTCTGATTTCCACAGACGTCGCGAAGAAATCAGGAAATTCAATGATCAGCACAGATGGAGAAAGCGAGGAATTTCTATTGTTGGCGTTCAGTTTGGAATTTCCTTCACCACAGCATTTCTTAACCAATCCGGAGCCTTGGTGCACATTTACACTGATGGAAGTGTACTGTTGTCACATGGAGGCACTGAAATGGGTCAAGGACTTCACACGAAGATGATCCAAGTCGCTGCAACGACTCTCGGAGTGCCATTTGATCGGATTCACATCTCTGAAACGTCCACAGACAAGGTGCCCAATACTTCAGCCACAGCGGCAAGTGCTGGATCGGATCTAAATGGAATGGCTGTGCTCAATGCTTGTGAGATCCTGGCTAAACGCCTAGCTCCTTACAAGAAAGAACATCCAAATGAGGAATGGGACAAATGGGTGTCTAGAGCATACCTGGATCGCATTCCTTTATCGGCTACTGGCTTCTATGCTACTCCAAATATTGGATATGATTTCGCCACAAATTCTGGAAGACCATTCAATTACTTCACTTTTGGCGCTGGATGTTCTGAGGTGGAGATCGACTGCTTGACCGGCGATCATCAGGTGATCAGGACAGACATCGTGATGGATCTGGGATCCAGCATCAATCCGGCCATCGATATCGGGCAAATCGAGGGCGCTTTCATGCAAGGCTACGGCCTGTTCACGCTCGAGGAAATGGTCTACGCGGCCGACGGGACGCTCCTGTCCCGTGGGCCAGGAGCCTACAAGCTTCCCGGTTTCGCGGACATCCCGGCGGAGTTCAACGTTTCCCTCCTGAGCGGCGCCCCCAACCCAAAAGCCGTCTACTCGTCCAAGGCAGTCGGCGAACCGCCACTCTTTTCTGCGGCGTCCGTCTTCTTCGCCATCAAGGAAGCCATCGCTGCCGCCAGGAGTCACGAGAACCTGGGCCCCAATTTCCCACTCACGAGTCCAGCCACAGCGGCTCGCATCCGGATGGCGTGCCAGGACAAATTCACGAGAAAGGTAACTCAACACACTATTTCTCCTATCGACAAATAATCTTAATCAATCTATTTTTTCAGTTCGCTGAACCTCAACAAGGATCATTTAAACCCTGGAATGTAATGCCTTAGTAAACTTTTTCCTTTAATATTAGTCCAGTTATCAGTTAGTTGATTTGTAAATTTTAGTTCATTACGGTGTTTGAATTATATTTATTAAAAATTTATTTACAAATTCCAATACAAGTCACATATTCTATTCATAATGTAGTTTTATTAAGGGCTTCCCTTGTCGATTGCACCAACTCTTCAAGTGGAGAAAACTGTTCTCTGAAGAGGATCTTTTATGCATTTTTGAATACGTTGAAAACATCTAGTTTTTACTGTCACATCTATTAATTCGTAGTAATGTTTCGGCTCTTTAGAAAAGCTAATAAAGTCCCAGTTTAGCACATCATGTCTTAGACTTTTGCACTGCCGCCACTCTTTCGTGGCCCCAAACTATCTGCCGATCCCGAGCTCAGTCCACCTGCAATAATCACGTTAAGATGCACAGAGAATCTTTTAAAATTGATAGGTTTAGTGAAGATGATTAGGTTCTCATGTAATATGGCAATAAACAATGGGATATTTAAGATTGCTTCACCTTCACTAAACCGGCACTGATAAGCAGTAGTGATAAGTACAAAGTCAAATAATAAAGAAATAAAAGCCTTAACCTGATGATGCACCTTCCATTGATCTCCAAAAGCGATGTAATTCTTTCATAAACAAAGTCCCATGATTGCAATTGTGTCATGCATAAAATTAAACATATAATAAGCACATAAATACACATAAACACCAAATGAAATGACAATGATTTTTCATACAAATATGATTTTGTGACGTCTTTCATTCCACTTTTCACTCGATATGTTTGTCAACAAAAAAAGGAGAAGCCAAGTGATAAATAAATGAAAATTATGCCTCTTTATTTGCAAAATAAAAATAAATAATATACAAATATTTGGGTTAGTCTCAAAATCAGGAGCTTGTTTAGTCTTTCGCATACCCATTTTTTCTTTCAATTCAATAAACCATTGAATCGAGTGCAAATGAGAAAAGAAAAGTGAAGAAGAAAAAGCAAAAGAAAGAAAATATGCAAATGATATAGACTGTAATAAAAATCCTCATATCAGAATAGATTCTTCTTTTAACACTTTGTCTACCACATTTGGATTTTAATTAGGGGTAAATGGGGCAGCTTCAGATTCAAAATGCTGTTCCAACTTTAGGATTTTTTCTTGAAAAATCGGCTGAATATATTGCAATTATCACAACGCTCAAATAAACTCTCGTCTATTGAGCTTCAGAAAATGCCTTTCATTGGGCATTAAAACTGATCCTTTTTCCTCTAAAGGAGAATGAAAATAATATTGTAATTTATCTGAAACTGCCCCGCACGGGGATGTTTCGGATTGCTGTGGGGATGTTTCAGATTTTCACTTATATTTACCATAAATTCCATTGTGGAATTGTCGAATCGCGGGCAAATAATCACTTTGATATCTATTCTACACACTGATACTGTTTAATTCCCTAAAAATCGCCTTTAAAGTAATATTTTCGCGACTTTTCTGGACCCTTACACGGACTGTCAAAATTTCTGAGCGAAAAGCAAGTTGCCCGTCATTTTTCCTGTATCGCAACGCCACCATGCGTGAGTGGTGGCAACTTGACGCGCCGCGAAAGTTCCGCGCAAAATGTGCTTCTCGAAATTTCTGCTCTAATCAGTGATTTTCGCGTGTATTTTCTCACTTTTCAACTAAGAAGTCGTTTAACGTGATGAAGCAATGCAGCACAGAACGGCACTTTGTGAAAAATCTTCAATATTTGCCACAAGAAAATTTCGACCGTGATGTTGCGTCAGACTGTCAGAGCGCGCTGTTGTCAGTCCGTGGCGATCCGAAGCTGCCCCGTGTGCAGTGTTTGTGCATTTTCCACCACCCACTGAAAGGGCCGTGCCAAGGAGGAAAAGTTCGGGCATATTTAGGATCTCTACTTAACTCTCAATAACCTTTGACTGTGTTTCACGCGAATTGTGGCTTTTTTAATGGAGAAAACACGCAATCAATTCGGCAGCAAAATTCTAGTTTGTGAGTGATTTTCAATTTTCACTTATTTTATCTAAACAGTCAAGGCTATCCTGTGCAAATTTTCGTCAATTGTAGTCCTTAAGGACTACAAACATTGTGTGAAGACCAGGAATTTATTTATGTAAAAATCTCTGAGAAAATTAAGAAATCTGAAGCTGCCCCAATCTGAAGCTGCCCCATTTACCCCTAATCCTTGCACGGCTACCTACTAAACCATCATTACTCCGAAGAATCTAAGGAGCCAATTGCGTTTAAATAGATTTTTAATTAAATCCACACGTATTCAATTCAGCCATATTGGTGAAAATAATGTTATATGCGCGGCTCAATAATAAATATTTGACTTTTTAAATAAAAAAAAATCAAAATTTTCACCCAAGCAAAATCCCAAAAATTCACCAGCCTTTCGAATTTCTGGTCACAATTAAACAATTTTATATTCAAATCCTTGTTCAACCTCTTTCTCAAACATCAACAATTAAGTGATCAATCAAAAGCGTGCGATTTCACGATCACACTCATCATCATCAGACTGAAATCCTTCGCCCTGATTGCGCCTCCTGCGCTCGTAGTTTGAATAGAACGAGCCGGAAGATGAGGAAGAGCAGGAAGGTGATGAATAGTGGATAGGGGAGTGATTTGCATTACCTTTGAATTGCTTCATCCTATCGTCATGCTGCTGCGGAGGCGGCGAATAGGCGCTGTAGCCGCGATAGCCTCCTCTATGATGTGGCGGAGGTGTCGGAGGAGGACTAACGTCAGTCTCCGTCTCGTATGGAGACATTCTGTGTGGCGGATAGCGATCATGGTAGCGATCAGGTGTGTATCTACCCCTGTCTGGACTGAAGCGTCCATCGCGGTCGTCCACAAGTCCGGGTGAGTAGCGATTGTTGGGCGGCGGTGGCGACATGAGGCGTCCGAGAGGTGGCAGACGCATCTCTGCCGGAATGAACGGACCGGGTGGCATGAAGGGTGGCGGTGGCGGCATGAAAGGTGGTGGCAGAAAAGGTGGTGGTGGCAGGACACCCAGCAGAGGTGATCCCGGATTCTCAACGCCGTGTAGCGGCGATGAAGCATCAGTCAAACTGTCCACATTATTGGTGGAACTACTATTTACACCATTTTCCGCAAAGGACGTCAACTTACGACGCAGAGTCGAGGACTCAATCCGTGACTCTTCAAGTCGTCGTTCTGCTTGACGAGCTGACAGCCATGATTCCTGAGCACGATTCTCTAGAGAAGCTACTTGAGCTTTGTGAGTCGCTCGTTGAGCCTCAATTTCTGCCCTCAATGCATCATTCTGAGACCTATGGGAGATAGACAAACACAAATAAGGTTAAATTAATCCACTACAAGCATAATAAAAAATGACAGGATAAACTACCAAACTTCAAAAACAAGCACTGTATTTTTCACATTGCTGCATGCACAGATAAAACCGATAAAACCAATGAGAAACCAAACAAGTAACAACAAAAAGAAGTGATTGTAAAGAAAACTCACTTCAGAGTCTGAATTTCATCCTGCATGCTTCTGATTTTCTCAACAGTGCTTGTTGTCTCACCCTGAGACTTCATCCACATCGCTTCCTTCACGCTTAACTCTCTGAAAGGAAGAACAAAAAAATGTTATTGAATTACTCTATCAGTGAACCTCAAACAAACTCACTTCTGTAATTGCGTTTCTTTATCCTTGAAGTAGCTCGTGAGAACTTCCAGCCTCGTCTGGGCCTCCAATCGCTCTTTCTCAGCATCATTGTACTCCTTCCTCAGCTTCTCCACCTCTTCCCGCACAATTTTCACATGATCGTCTAACAATTTGCGAGCTTCTGCTTCTTCCTCGAGCTTCTCTTTCAACATCTGCTTCTCTTTGGTGGCAGCCACAAGTTGCGTCTTCAAATTGGCCACATTCATGATCTCCTCGAAATTTCCACTGCCCTTCTGACCAACCTCTTGTTTCAGAGACTTTATACAGTCCTCCAACACCTGAACTCTAGATTGACTCTGCGTCAATGATTTACTTATGTCTTCATATCGATTCTCATGCACTTGAATTTTCTGCTTCAAGTCTCCCACTTCTCTCTCCCTTTCCTTCACCAACTTATCAATCTGCTCCATCAGAGACACTTTCTTTTCCCTATCCTCAACTGTGTCCACTTCCAGTTTCTCACACTTCTCCTGCCAACGACTGATCTCCTCAGTGTACTTCTCCGATTGACTCGCCAGCGAAACCTGCAATTCACTGTTCTCTCTACTTTTCTCCGCCAACGAAGCATTGATGGTTAGTATTGTGTTCTGTTGTTCATTCAGCTGTTTCTGCAACTCCTCCACACTGCTTATTATCGAATCACTACCCGATTGATTACTCAGCAACTCTGATACCATCCTGTTCAGTTCTAGACCAGCTTCCGCTGCATTCTCCAACTCCTTCTCCAGTGACAACACCTGATCTTGCAAATGCTCTCGCTGAGCTTCACTATTGTCCAACTCTCCACGCAGTGCAATAACCATGTCGTTGGATCCGAAGGAATTGTCTTGAATGCTCATCAGTTTCTCCCTTGTCTCCCCCAATTCACCCTTGAGACTGCCATTCTCCTTGAACGCCACCATGAGCTTTCGCTCCATTGAATTCAGCCGGAAGAGTAACTGACGCTCCCGACTGCACTGCACTACGAGATAATGGCCGAAGGTAAAGATCAAGATAGCGCCAGAACTCACGCTCAAGTAGAGGATCAGGCTGCTCATGCCCAGCAGACTGTCCATCAACAAGTAAATGAACTCATCGAACGTCATGCCTGCACTCTTTGTCACTTTCTCCTCTGCCACCTCAGCTTTAGGCCTCTGCTGTTGCTGAGCCGTTGGATGATGGGGACTGACTATCGGATGGCGAAGCTCTTGACTTTGGGGACGATAGAAGAAGTCGTCAGTAGATTTCTTGTCTTTATCTATAAATAGAAAAAACATACATTATTTCTTGTTTATACAGGTGAATCAATTCATAATTAGCGTTGCTGTCATGACAGTTTCTTTAATTACATTTTCAGTAACTGGCATAGCAAAAGCGAAAATATTTGCAAAATTGTACATATGCTACATATGTCTAAATTTGATTTAAAGGCTGCGCCAACAAGGTGAGACCTGCTTTAGTCTTTGTCACAGTAGAATAAATTTAGTCACACATTCTCATTTTCATAAGATGCTCTTTTATGTGAAAAATTACTGTTTTATAAAATATTATTTTTCGCCATTGAACCATGAGAAACTTTCTGTTTACAGTTTCTGGCCGAGAGCATTGAATCAAAACTCACCCATTTTATTTTCCACGTTCTCTTGTTCCATCTTTTCAGAATCCTTCATTACTTTCATGTTGAGAGTCTCTGTAATACTATCAAATAGTCCGGAGAAGAATCCTCCATCGGGCTTTTCACTCTCTATCTTCACGATTTTCTCCTCTTGCGGTTCTTCCGTTGGCTTGATATTAATCTCCTCAAAACTTCCTTGTCCAACAGATTCAGTCACAGTTTCCGGTGGAGGCTCTGTAATTACTTCGGGCAGAGTCTGAGGCACTTCTGGCACTGTTTCCGCTGTATTCCCAATATTTTCAGGCTGCTTTGCAGCCTCTACTACTGGAATCTCAGGAATTGACTCCGGTTCGATGTTCGGCAGAGGCGGAAGATGTTCATGAAGCGGTGGGAAAGGAGTTTGAACGTCGGGCACAACTTCTTCAATAGGAATCTGTGGAGGCAGTGGCGGAATAGTATCGAAAGCAGGTAGAGATTCCTGAGGAATGTCGGTATTAATTACAGGTTCCAAAATCTCATCTAAAACCTCAACCACAGGAATCTCGTTCCTCTCCTCCCTCGGAGCTTCAGTTGAGGAAGGAATTTCCTCCTGTAATTCTTTTACTTCCTCGGGAGATTTGTTTTCAGTCTGTTCTTCAGGAATTGGCTTAAATTCAGGAACTTCTTCGGTGGAACTCACTTCCTCACCAGATTTATCCGGGAATACCGAAGGCTGAGTGACAAATTCTTCGGGAAAATAATGAGTATCTGCCGTATGCGGAGTGGTGACTTCAATTGTAGGCTCCTTGGCAGGGAGAAGATCTTCCTTCTCCTTAATTTCTTCACTCACTTCTGCTGGTTTTACTTCTCTTTCAGGCTCTTTCGGTATTTCTTGTTCAGATGACACATGACCAGCATCTTGCTGAGGAATTTCCTCAAAGGTGCTGAGAATTTTTCGCTCCTGAAACACTTCCTCCTCATTTGGTTTTGCCAACTCTTCAATATTCACTGGTTTCTCCGTGATTTCTGGAGTTTCTTCAGTCGAAACGTCTTCTTCTTCCTCCTCCTCCTCTTCCTCTTCGTCGTCTTCTTCCTCATCATAGTCCTCTTCACTTTCTTCATCTTCTCTCACAGAAGTGGTAGTTTCTGGTTTCACAGGTTCTTGCTTCTCTTCCACAGAATTTCCACCAAACATATGGGAGAAAAATCCACTCTCTTTATCTTCTTCTTTATCCGCCTCGACTGAAACCTGATCCATTTTCTGAGCGATCTCAGGAATTTTCGGCACTTCCTGAACAGTCTCATTCACTTCTTCAGAGGCTTCCTGGTCAATTACAGTCTCCTCTCCAGATTCCTCCAATCCTAATTCCGTTGGCACCTCATACTGCAACTGGGAATTGAGCACCTTCATCTCGCGGATGAGGTTCTTGGGTACGTAGCCCCTCCTGCCCTGAATCTCAGCACCCCAGAAGTTGGGCTCCGATCCCGCCGACTTGGAGAAGATTTTCACATGCACATTCGCCCGGAAACCCAACACATACTTGTCTGAGGGATTGTAATTCACCTGAGTGATGCCCAAAGAAATGGGTTCTGAAAAGGAAACACAATATTTTGAGGATCCCCATTTGAGAAACTCTGCAATTGTCGTGGAGGAATCTTGGCAAATGCCGGTGAAAGCGATATGAGTTGATGCTGATATGCATTTACCTGCACATTTGGGATCGGCACAGAGGCGTAAATTGGATATTTTACCATCGCACAGATTGTTAAGTAACACTAGTACTAGAAAAATCACAATAACTCTACATATTTTCCGCATTTTCACGAATTTTTCGCCACTCGCCACATCACACAACACGACACTTTTGCTGAATTGCGAACGTCACGCAATTTTACCACTGACATTGTCAGCACTTCCGCTGAATTGGCCACCAACTGTCATGGTGGCTTCCGCTCGGTCTCTTTCTTGTTGACAACGTGAATACGTGAGCGTAAGTGTTCAATTTTCCTCGAATGTGCCTATAAATCGATAATTTCACCAGACAATATGTTGGCTAATTTATCCTTTGGCTACAGAAGCTGCATTGAGTGCAGTTGTTTGCTCTTTTCCTCTATTTTTGGCTGAGGAAATTCAAATTGAAAATTTGATCCCGCACATAACCCTACATATTGGGACTGAAATCTCACAATCTTCCTGTGTTTTCTTCACAGACTCAACAAAATGGTTCAGCGTTTGACTCTGCGACGCCGGTTGTCCTACAACACAAAGTCAAACAGGAGACGTGTGTAAGTAACTGCATGGAATCCTCTTTTGGTGTCAGAGAATCTTCAAAATGCCATGTCTTTTTCAGAGTTCGCACTCCAGGCGGTCTGCTGGTGTATCAGTATGTGAAGAAGCGCCGTAATGTGCCGAAGTGTGGCCAGTGCAAGGAGAAGCTAAAGGGCATCCGCCCGACGCGCCCCAGCGAGCGCCCCCGCATCTCTAAGCGCCAGAAGACTGTCCGCCGCACGTACGGAGGTGTCCTGTGCCACCGATGCCTGCGCGAGCGTATTGTGCGAGCCTTCCTCATCGAGGAACAGAAGATCGTGGTGAAGGTGCTGAAGGCCCAGAAGGCGTCCCAAAAGGCCGCGGCAAAGGCGAAATAATCTGTACAATCCAGACTCCTAATAAACCTCCAACATAAGGTTAATTTGAGTGTTATTCTGGTTGATATTATGGATAATTTTTAAGGAAGAATTTGGTTTGATTGTGTAAATGTTTTGGCAAGGAAAAGGGTGTTGGAGATTTGATTTGAGAATGGTAAGATGGCCCATTAGCTCAGTTGGTTAGAGCGTCGTGCTAATAACGCGAAGGTCGTGGGTTCGATCCCCCCATGGGCCACACTCTTTTTGCTTTTTTCACGTTAATAGCCACTACTCTTTTGCTCCGTCAGACACAGAAATATTGCCTTTTAGACCCTAAAATGTTTTTCTCAATCAAAAATTGAAAATATCTTCTCAAATCGTATAGAAATCAATTTAAAAATCTCATGTTAACAATTATATTTATGAATTTGTACGAAATGTCACGTTTTTCCTCATTGCTCCAGTTGGTGGCGCTGCGGACGCCATGCGGGACTATCCCCTCTCCTTTCTCCAATACTCCAGTTTAGTTCAATTTCTGTAGCGCAAATTGTCGGACTGAAGAGGCTCTGCTTTTGATAATCTAATTTGCTGAACAAAGTGATCCATTGGAAAAACAGTGCGGCTCAATTGATAGTCCAGCACGTGCACTTTGAGATAGTGGAGAGTGTGACGAACTGCATGAGCATGGAAGATGACTATCAGGTCAAGAGATTCGCCTTTGACTACGATATGGAAGTCGACCAATACACACCAAAGATAGGTGAGTGGAAAAGCCTCTGCCCCACATTTGGCACTGTCCAAACCCATGTGAAATCACACCCACGATCTCCGGGAACATCTGGAGCGTGTCAATAAGAAAATTCCAGAAGGCGCAGCGGAAAGCCTTCACTTTGAAATTTGCATGAATTTTTGGTGTCGCTTTTGACAGTCGATGTGGAAGAAATACAAATGGGCAGTAATTATACATTTCTCTGACGAAATTCGTGAATCGGCGGTGAGACAATTTGAAGAGGTGGTATTTGGCTGCAACACGCAATTTTCTCATCACGAAAATACCTGCGAAAGGCGACACAAATGGCGATAAGGAGGAGGCTAAACATTTTCCATGTCTAATTATTATTCGTCCCAAACATTTCCATTCTCGCCGCCTTCAATCGGGTATAAATCGAGAGGAAATTGCCACGGAGAGGTGCTGATAAGGCGCTCTTATCAGTCACCCAAGTGATCCTCGCCAGCTGAAAGGCATTGTTCCCGAGTGCAGGTCAGGAATGCTATCGAAGACAGTGGCAAATTCGTCACTTATCTAAATCACCTCTTAATTGGGCACTTAATTGACGAGGAATCCCTCACTTTAATGTACTTGCTGGGAAAATGCCCAGGCTTTCGAGACAGAATGCCAGCCAGTTAATTCAGTAAACAAGTGTCGGAAGCGCATGTTTAACTATTATTTTGCTAAACATTAATAGAACATTCATTAAACCAACAAGGATTTACCAATGACTTAAAAAAAACCTTTTGTACCGACGATCTGAAGATTCCCCTTCGTCTATGAAGCAAAAATTTTAATACATTTGAAAAAGTTGTAATAATTAAAATTGGAAGTATAGTCAACAGAGTATTGTGTTTATTGCCTGCTTATAATCCTTCCATCAGTCAGTCATAATCTTGGTGGAATTAACTATGAACGCACAAAGTGTGATATGTACTTGAGTGTAACATTGATGAGTTGTTCAAGTTATCATGAATTTCCCAACAATTTATATACAAATGATTACGTTGAGATAACGATTTTAGGGATTATTGATAAGAAATTGCATATATGTCATCTAGGATAGTCAGTGCGAGCGTCTTGAAAGCCTTGAGTTAAATAAATAGTAATTTACTAATTAAAAATTAATGAAAACGTGCCACGAATACAAAATTATGGATAATTTTTGAACAATTTCACGTATAATTAAATAAATTCCGTATCATAATTTCTATTTTAATTAAGTTGCTTTGTGTCGCACTTCTGAAAATATGTGAAGATGAGTCAAAGAAAATCTCTGGATTATATCCAAATATTCTCTTATTTGCGTTGCAAACATTGAGGTATGCGATGAGATTGTGATGAATCGCCACAATCTTGTGAAACATGAGGAATTTTCCTACATTTCCTACATCATATACAAGGGGAATTGACTACGACAGTTGCTAATCGACATGACAAATGGCGGTATGGCTCGTGTTGCAAATTGCACTTTGCAGGTGTCAACAACTCTAGGGAATTTTTCCTTGATAAACAAACACGCTTTCTTGGCTAATGGCCTCGAGAGGGGGGCCAAGACGAAGAGGAGCAGCGAAAAAATTGATGGTGTTTTGTTGTCATGCCTTTGTTTTTCATTCAGTAAAGCCGGGGGCCAACAAGGCGCGGAGATTTAATTGAAGAAGTTGAGATACGGCGGCAAGAAGTTTTATATTATTTTTAAACCTGTGTGACTCGCGACTTTGTGATATATTTTTAGGCCACGCGATGGGGCGAAAAAAGAGACTCAACACAGACATGTGTTCTCAGTACAACACACAACTCGCTCTCTGCCAATTATCATTTTAGTTCTAATCCGTACACCAGCGGTATAAGATATCTTGAGGTGTGTGCTCTTCGTTGTGGTTTATATCTTATCGGCGAGCAGAGCGGAGACTTTTCCACAGTCATTTTGAGTTGAGTGGTTGGAAAATTACTAAGTTGAGCTGTGGAAAGGCGTGGTATTTATAGCGACAGCTTATTAATTTCCGCACGCAGAATAAATCATTGAGAAAAGTTGCGCCGGAATTGAGTGACGCGCGTGTTTCAGCAATGAGTGTACGCGGAGTTCTCAGCAGCCTGGACTCACATGATCCGGAGATCATTCGTCCCATCAGTCCGGGAATATTGAAGCCTGAGTTCTTTGAAGGTGCCAATTTTACCTCTCTAGCGCGACACATCACTGAAGTGTTACGTAATCATGTGCGAGATGTGAAAATCCATTTGAAATTCGATCAAACATTTCGCCATACTGGCGTTGGCTGCAACACCCAGAACAGTATTTGCAATTTATTGGTTTTAATAAAAGCATGAACTTCTTGTTATCAAGTAACCAAATCCTCAAAGAGAGTATGAAATATGGAATATTATAAAGCGATCAGACAAATGCCTAAAATGTTTTATTAAGAGTTACTATTTATTTATGTCAATCATACCATGGAAATCTGCAGCCTCTCATAGAATTTTTATCTAGTTGGAAACTTTCTCGTATTCTCATTTATTTTCAAATAGAAATAGATAAAAATTTAGATATAATATTGAGTGATGAAGTCGACGTATGGTACAAGTCTGTCTCGCCATGAGACTGTATTTATAGCATGAACGCCAAACAATGATTGTGCTGAGTAATTTTCTGTGTGTGTTTCAGGCAGCACTGATTCATCGAATTTGCCTATCGGTGCCGGTCATACGAACAAGCAAGATGGTATTCATGGAAATCTGCCCAACGAGATATCAGCTCCCTACGAAGTGCCCCAGTTTCCCATTGAGCAGATTGAGAAGAAGCTGCAAATTCAGCGGCATATCAATGTTATGTGAGTTTCATTGTTATTCGTGTCCTTGCTTAGGATGTAATATGGTGCTCGTGATTTTTCAGGGCCATGGAGGACAAGCACGGAGTACCAACAGAGGTCACAACGAAGTCTGAGGAAACGGTCACGGACAGTGCGGCGGATCTAGTGCCCAATTTCCAGCGGGTTTCAATTTCTGGAGAGGACACCAGCGGAGTGCCGCTGGAGGATCTTGAGCACGCGTCGAAGCTTATTGTGGAGGCTATCAATATGAGGCAGAAGTACATGGATTGGTCCAATCAATCGTTCCCAGTGACGCTATCGCGCTATGTGGAGGCCAAGGGACACATTGTGCTCCATGAGGAGAAGATGACCATCGCAGGTATGGAGCATTGTCACGAAACTCTGATTTTGACAAGGGATTCCTCATTCTCTGGCATGAGGACTCCCTTACTCCTGTTCACACTTCATATCTTTGATGTTCTTTAATTCTAGAAAGAGATTTAGGATGAAGCATGATGATTTTTCTTTTAGAGGGAATCCCTCGAGTCTTCTTGGAAGAAGAATTTCCAACTTGAGAGGACAGTTTTTCTTTAAAGCAATGAAGCTCTTTCCCCAAGTGTACATACATTGTCCCCAAAAAATTGTACATAAGAATCTCTCTTTGCCACACTTTATTTATATTAAGTTTATTTTATTTTCATGATGATGAAAAAATATGAATTATTTGGGGGTTTAGTTCATCAGAACCATCAAGAAGAGTCAACAGGTAAACTCGCATTCATCGAATTTGTCTTCTATATTTACTTTTTTTTGTCTATTTCTCGTAACATCCTTTCATCTTCATGGAGAGTGCTTTAGTTTCCTTTTTTTTCTTTGTAATCTTCAAGAAAATACACTTTTTCTTTGTATTACACTCTCAAATTTACCCACACAGAGTCACAAGTGCAATTTAAAATGAGTAAATAACACGAATTCAATATTATTTGTTGTAAATTCTCTCGTCATTTGTACCTGATTCGCCAATGAACACTGCTCTGGGAAGGGATTTAATAGAAAACCTTGTTGATTTTTTTGTTCTGTTTCTAATGCTGTCGATTTCGCCATACATTGGCAACTTGCTGGACAGAAGAAAAAAAAATCTCACATCAAGACGTGAAGAAGATAAATGCTCATAAGATTTGGACAGAAAGCCGATTAGATGATAATTTATTCGCTTTAGTATCACGTAGTGAAAATGTTTGAGTTCACTAGTACATAATTTTTGGCTGGGTTGATTTGTTGCCAAAAGTACCATTGTGATAAAATGTATAATTTGTGAGTCATTAGGAATTCTCTTATGTGTGTCTCTTCTGGCAGATCATCCCGTACATGCGATGCCCGCCTCGGATCCATGGGCCATTGAGACGCCACCAGCCAAAGGGTACACGATCAAGGCAGTGAATGGAGTGTTTAATCTCTTCCGTGACCCGGAATGCACGCAGAATCTGGATTATCCCTATCCCAAGTTGCAGCAATACATTCAGGATATGCAGACTATGTGTGCCATGATCGCCGATGGACCTCTCAAGTCGTTCTGCTATCGTAGATTGAGCTACTTGTACTCCAAATTCCAGCTTCATGTTCTCCTCAATGAGCTGAGAGAGCTTGCCTCGCAGAAGGCAGTTCCCCATCGAGATTTTTACAATATAAGGTAAGGGGGAAGTGAGATAAAATATATTAGGATTAATTATAGATGATCAGGTTGGAGTCCAACAGCAAGAAATATTAGTTATTGAGATTATCTTACTATTATTTTATGAACTGCAATGATGCAAAAAGTGCACTTTTTGATTTTTGACTTTATAGACGTTATAGCCAAGGTTAGAGCTAATCATAAGTACACAGTGAACAAAAATTTGCATACAACAACAGTGCAACTGTTCTGGAAAATTACAAAATGTGCTTATGTCGCTTGGGCGTGGAAATCAAAACATCATCAACACCACTTTAGCCTCATGTTTACTCTGCACAATTTTCGAAAGAAATCTGGAACTGTATAACTTTTCTATCGAAGATTTCTTTTAATGGAAGAAAAGAATGACACTTAATAAATTGACTAATTTCCGGTTTTTATTGTCCTTGAAACAATATTCTAGAAGAAACCTTATAGTTATCCATATTCACTAATATTTATTAAAATTAAAATGTAGATCCCAGAATTCAAAGTATTTCTTATTACCTTACTTCCAGAAAAGTGGACACTCATATTCATGCCGCTTCGTGTATGAACCAGAAACATTTGCTGCGCTTCATCAAGAAGACCCTGAAGACAAACGCCGACGAGGTTGTGACAGTGACTAAGGGCCAACCGATGACACTGCAACAGGTGTTCCAGTCAATGAATCTGACCACTTATGATCTCACCGTGGATATGCTGGACGTCCACGCGGATCGCAACACCTTCCATCGCTTCGATAAATTTAATGCCAAGTATAATCCTATCGGAGAGTCGCGTCTTCGTGAGGTGTTCCTCAAGACGGACAACTACTTGAATGGGAAGTACTTTGCGCAGATCATCAAGGAAGTGGCTAGTGACTTGGAGGAGTCTAAGTACCAGAATGCTGAACTCAGACTGTCTATCTATGGAAAGTCACGCGATGAGTGGGATAAATTGGCCAAATGGGCAATCAATTCTAATGTCTACTCGGATAATATTCGCTGGCTAATCCAGATTCCGAGGCTCTTTGACATCTTCAAGACGAACAAATTGATGAACTCTTTTCAGGAGTTTATTGATAATATCTTCGCACCGCTGTTTGAGGTGACTAACAATCCAGAAGAACATCCAGAACTACACAAATTCCTGCAATACGTCATTGGCTTTGACTCAGTGGACGATGAGTCGAAGCCGGAAAATCCCCTGCTGGATTATGACATCCCAGAGCCTGCACAGTGGACAGATGAGGATAATCCACCTTATGCTTACTATCTGTACTACATGTATGCCAATATGACGGTGCTGAATCACTTCCGCAAGGAGCAGGGCATGAACACATTGGTGTTGAGACCTCACTGTGGAGAGGCAGGACCTGTGCAACACCTGGTTTGTGGCTTCATTATGGCGGAGAACATTTCGCACGGACTACTACTGCGAAAGGTGCCTGTCTTACAATATTTGTACTATTTAGGACAGATTGGTATCGCCATGTCACCCTTGTCGAACAATTCACTCTTCTTGAACTACCATCGCAATCCGTTGCCTGAGTACTTGGCACGTGGACTGTGTGTGTCTCTCAGTACGGACGATCCGCTGCAGTTCCACTTCACTAAGGAGCCTCTAATGGAGGAGTACAGCATTGCGACGCAGGTGTGGAAGCTCAGCTCCTGCGACATGAGCGAATTGGCGCGCAATAGTGTGTTCATGAGTGGATTTCCACACAAGATGAAGCAGCACTGGCTGGGGCCAAATTATACACAGGAAGGAGTGGCAGGAAACGATGTCACACGCACCAACGTGCCAGATATTCGTGTCGCCTTCCGCCATGAGACGCTCTCAGATGAGTTGAACAACATCTTCAACACCATCAAGGGCAAGAGGCAATAAGCAGGATCTTCTCCTGGTCATATCTCTCTATATATATAGGACGAGGAGAGAGCAGGATTTGGTCACTAGTCTTCCTCTTCAGGAGCATCTCACCTACTCTCCCTCACATTTATGTGTTGTGCTACTTGGCTGTTCCCTCAAATCTCATGGTAAAGAGTGGCTTATGCAGCTTCTGGGCAGGACAAAATTACATATATATCTATATATCCAAGCACATTATGTGAATTTGTCACATCTCTTACATTGAGAGGCAAATACTACCATTCACAAGAAGGTGCAATAAATCAACCATTTAATTGTTACACTGTTTTTAGTATATATTTAAATAGATGATGAGAGTATCGTTAGTCGTTTACACACCCTGACTTCTAATAAAGATGTGAAAATGACCCCAAAGTCTTTGAGAAGTCACACAAAGTATGCCGCTAATTGAGCCATTTTGTCCTTGGGAGGCTTTCCACGATTTCCACCACCTCCTCGGCCTCCCCTTCCGCCCCGGCCACGACGGTTGGCAGCTGGAGCCCGGGCATGCACAGCTCGATGCTTCTCCACGAGGCGCTGGAAGTCTTCAGAACAGAAGATGCAGCCAGTCTTCTCCTCAGACCCGTCGCGGAACTTTGTCCTCTCTTGTTTGTACACCACGCTGAGCAGCTGAGCTCCGCAATCTTCGCACGCATCCTCTTCTACGGACACTTTCGCGGCATCCTTGAATACATTGATGATCACATCGCAAGAGTTGCACCCCAACTTCCAAGATTTCGGTGCTGATGTGGAGTCCAAAACGAGCACACCTCGGCTGCACTCACCGCATCCTGATACGCCTTGGGACGTGAGGGAGTGCGCACAGGTCGGATTCGGACACTGATTGCAGCCACTATTGCGTGGCATGTCCGGAAATGGTGAGTTATTGTAGCAATATGGACAGAGTGGGTAAGATCTGCCCTTGACACCGCTCGAGAATGCCACCAACTCAAAGTCATCCAATGGACACTTCAGCTCGCGATACACACGAACGGTGCCCCCATTAGGCAATGCGTACGTATCATCGCAATTTGAGCAGTGCAGACGAGCGGGCTTCATCTGGATGTACTTCATATAGCGCCTGCACTTGCCACACCGCGAGAAAGACTTCCCCGAGTCGGCAAGGGAAGAGAAAGACACCTCAAATAGCGTGTCCATATTGCCGATGTTCGTAACGAAGAAGGCAAACTTCATCTTGAATATATCCAGAGCGTGATTCAGGACATTATTGAAGTTTGCCGATCCCTGAGCTATCAAATTCAACATTTTCTCCACCGCTGATCTCATGGTGGGCAAAACGAGTTCAGGATCGATCTTCTGATATCCGTGTACGAGCACAATTCCCAGAGTTGTGGGGATTAGACGCCTTCCTGAGCCCACAGTCACATAATTCCTCTGGCTGATGTTATTGATGTGCACCGGGATGCTGGCATCCGTACCAATGCCGTGTTGCTCCATTAAGCTGATCAACTCGGATTCCGTGAGATAATCCGGAGGACCCGTTTGACTCTCAGCTATCTTGATATTATTCACCTTCACCACTTCACCCTCGACGAAGGGGGATTTTTCATTCTTCCCGAAAGCTTGCCAAGTCATGACACGCGTGAAACCAGCATCAACCAGAACATTTGTTGTGACTGTAAAAAGTTCCTCTGCGATTCGCAGATTCGAGTGCGTGGTTTTATACTTCAAATCTCGCGACACTGTGGCCAGAAAGTGGCGACAAATGTAATCATAGAGACGCCAAGTGTCTGAGTCAAAGTCTGATCTACTGGCACATTTCATAGGTGTGATTGGAGGATGATCTCCACAATCTACACCCTTCCTCGGCTGATTAAAGTCCCCTAGAATCGCACGTGCCTCCTCTCCAAACTCCGATGAGCTCTGGAACAGTCTCACAGTGCCATTCAGGTCGAAATTTGGTGAGTACTGCGTAGTTTCCGTGCGAGGATAGCTGATAAATCCCTGCGTGTATAACTTCTCCGCAATCTGCATGGCAGTGTGAGGACCCAAACCCAATCCTGAGCTAGCTGCCTTCATCAATTCCACTGTGTTCAGAGCTTGAGGGCGAGATTTGAAGCTATCCTTCGTCTTGACGCTCTCCACTACAGCTTCTCTCACATCCCGCACGCGATTGTGGAACAACTGAGCGATATCCTTCTCAAACACTCTCACTCGTGACCATTCCAGTGTCACTTCAGGGTTTCCCACGTTTGCCTGCAGATAGTAGAAAGTCTCCGGCTTAAACATCTGTATGGCATCGTGTCGCTGGACACAAAATCCCAGCGTTGGCGTCTGACAAGGTCCATATGAAATAAGCGAAGAGTCCAAGTCACTGTATCTCCCCTGGAAGAACTTCGTCTGGTATCGCGTAAAAGCACACCCAATCCTCAAGTCCAATTCCTGTCTGGCATCCACACTTCTCGCCTCATTCTCATTGGGATGCGCCAGATTGTTCATCGCCATGCGGATATCCTTTTCCGTGATGGCAGAGAATCTCGCTCTGAAGGTGACACTATTAGAAAACACATTCCTGATGGACTTTGAGACGGCATTCATCACTTCAAAGCAGATATTCTCGCCCTCCTTGTCGCAATCTAGCCACAGCACCAGATAATCACACCCACGCGCCTCTTGAGCCAAAAAGTACGGCATCTTCAGCTTGGGAGTGGCTTCCTTCTTCTCCGTAGGGCACGTGAAAAGCTCTATGGGGTCCACCTTATCCCAGGAGTTGTACTTCCCAATGAAGTCGAGAGACATGACGTGCCCGCACACCGAAGTCATCTTGAACGTCACCGCTTCACCCTGGAAGGTGCCGCGCCACTCATGGATAGAGCAGGCGTTATTGAGACCTGCAAGGCAATGAAAATGCAATGAAAAAGCCCCTTTGCGAAGGCTCAAAAGTGAACCTAACCTTTCCGCGTGTTGAGTTTCCCCGTGCAGAGAATGTTAGCCAGGGAAGCAGCCAGGGATGGTTTCTCCGCAACCATTAGCACATTCTTCATGATTATAACTATCTTTTACTCACTAATTGGCCGTAAAAACAGAATAAATGCAATTTCGTAGCGTCTGCCTGCGACGCCTCGTGAAACCAAAACAAACCTCTACTATTTCGAGCACCAAACATCAGAGGCGCTCAAAGCACTGAGAATTATTTTTTTGCCGGAGAACGGCGGGTTCCAGCCGGTTCATTGACGAAGTAATTTCTCGAGATTGGATTTTTATCATTTTTCGATTTATTTCCAAATAATATTATACGTAAATTAAGTTCATGACAACAAAAAGTAATACGCAAAGAAATATCTATTGAATGTGGACTAGAAAGTTAAAAATAAGTCGTGAGAATAAAAGAAAAAATGGCAGCACTGTAGAAAAGCCCTGTGACCAGGAAAATAGTGCTAAATTCTACGATAGCTATCAAATGATTAGTGAAAAATCCTAATATTAATAATAAATAGCCACTGACTGCGGATATATGGCTCCTGGTGAGCCTCCAATTATCCTCATCTACTATTTCTCTTATGATCCTCTCCTGAAGAATGATGAACAGACCCTGACCAGCGCCTAGGCAAAGAACACCCATTCGGAGGAAGAATATTGTATGGGAGGATGTAATGACTGCAAAGAAGACATAAAGTGAGTATTATCTGTGGCTTTGTCAGACGAATCACTAACTTATGCATCCTACAAGCTTGCTGATCTCTCCGGAAATGTGCCAATATTTGCTCTTCTCGCATAAGACATCTTCCATCCAGGCACTGGTCAGAGCGATCAAGATAATGGGCAGAGCCATGAGGCTTAGTAGAATGCTGGATTCTACTAAACTTAGACGGTATTTCTCACCAGTCACTAGACAAGGTAAGCCAGAAACCATCAGAGTGTATATGAGCATGTCACATGCTCTCAATATGACTCCTGGGAAAAGTATTTGTCTCTTAATGATGCTCCTGAAGGGGTTTACGAATAGCTCGGATAAGATTCTTCGGCTCTCTTGGCAATACTCGAAGAGAAAGTAATACTTTCGTGTATGAAATTGCCTTAGTTTGATATCTGGAATGTCGATTGATTTCCCACTGATTCCTTCGTCTTCCTCAGGGATTGTGTCCATAATTTCCACTCCCTGGCTCGTTATGTTCTTCAATGGGAGCTCGTAATCATCTGCCAGATGGTGATTATTGATTCCAGTCATATTTCCCCATCTTCTCATACCATTTTGTGGTGTTTTGAGATCATTAGGCGTCACCGATTGATGTCTCCCGAGATTGTGCATTTGCACTTGGAGTCGAGAATGTGAAAGGATCAGCCCAAGAGGGAGGATGTGCAAAAGAATAGCTCCTAGAAAAAGTAGTGCCATATCTGCTCCGTAAAACATCCTCATTTGCATCACAAGGAATGGGAAAAGTAGTTGGCTGAGTGCAAGAGATGTGGATTCTATCACCTCGATTAAGTTAGCATTATTCTCCTCGAAGAATCTGTTGAGAAATCTTCGAATAATTGTGGTCACGAGGAATGCGCCAATTCCTCCAAGAGCGCCATACAATAGAGAGAAGAGCAGAGTCTTCTCCTGAAGAATTATTTCACTGACACTGGCAAAAATTATACCGAAGGACAACGCTAAAGATCCAGTGGAAAGAAATGCCCTTATTATGCCATCTTCAGACTCCCCTAGGCAGGGTTGCATGATCATTTGGATGGCAATAAAGAAGACAGGAGGAGAGATACTCTGGAATCGCTCACAATCCATCAATAGGCCGAAAATATGTTGAGGCGCACAGAGCAAAACCTTGAGCAGAGGTAAATGCAGTGGATTTCAAGAACAATAAAAATAAACTGATTGATTGCAATACTCACGAGTGTCACAATGGAGAGCAATGTCACTGGGATCCTGCCTTTCTTCTGTGGCTCCATTACTTCTGCGTGCTGTCCATTACATTTTCAAGAATAACGAGTATATCACACTTTAACATGCCACCGGGAGTCAACTAAATCAAAACATGAGCCGCTGATGGTAGATTTCAAGTGATTCCCGCTTATCTCTTGCCAGATACCCGTATTTTTTCCCATACTTGTAATTCCTGGTATTTTTAGCTTCAGCTTGTTGTTTGAGAGTCTGGCTATTTGCTCTTCTAACACTTTTCTGATAGAGTCGATAGAGTTGATATCAAGAGAGTAAATTAGAAAAATTCACAACCGTTGGGGGGGTATGTTTCGAATTGAATCGCTGATTGGATCGGGGAGGCTATAGCTAAGATCCTCCACGGAGATCCACTTCAGTGGGACTGATGAGAAATTTTCCCTCCGATAGACTCACCTTCTGCCACTGGAGTTTGCATTACTTGAGCCTTTAATCTGCTTAGTGTGACAGTCTTATCAATGATGATGATAAGAAGCCCACGTCATGAATACAGCGAGCGATATTCATATGGTCGCATATATATTATTTTCTCTGGTAATTCATAGTTAGGCATCGAGTTTAATGTTATGCACTGTATTAATTGAGAAGCTTTCTTAGGCCATATGAAATGCCATCTCTCGATGGCGAGGCAAAATATCGTGCTCTGTGAATTACAGTGAATGTTGAGTGAAAGTCCAAGAGGTCCAATGGCAAATCCCCACTCGTGGAGCAGAGAAAAATCATATGAAGAGGTATCAAGACAGTTGCTCAACAAATTATGTGGTGGTCGCTTGACTGTGTCTTGGCATTGTGCAACACGCGTTGTCTCTTATTACTTTCAACACTTTGGCAGATCAAATAGGCTTATTCTAATTCCTGCGACCTCTACCTTATTCCTGGTCACTGGTGGTCAAATATTTGCTCCTGTGCAGTGGCTAAAGGTGTGGTCGAGTGGGGAGCATGTTAAGTAATAACTCGATCGTGTGTCTTTGCCACTGATCTCAACAGTTTATGGAGTTTAGTCAGTCTGTGAAGATGTTCCGAAGTGTCTTGATCTGTGCTGTGATTGTAGCAGTCGGTGCAGCGCCCCTGGGTGGCGGCGGTGGTATTGGAGGAGGAGCAGACCTCATGGAAGGATTACAATCGAAAGTTGGTCAGTTGACCAGTGTGGCTCAAAATGCTATCCAGACAAAGATTCAGACGATAACCAGCTTGAAAGTGAGTGGTTTTTTTGAAAAGTTTTACGAAACTTGAACATTTAATCGTGTCCTTGTCTTGAGAAACACCTAACAGAAATGAATTAATAACAATAATAATTGTGTCTTGTCTAGAGTTCCTTGGGCAATCAACAACACGCTTCTGACTACTCTAGACAAGAATCCGAAGGACTTCCATCTAAGGGATTATCTCTGTACGATGGTCTTCATCAGAAATTTGGCTCCTTGACGAATGCGCAACCGATTGTGGACAATCTTCGCGAAGAAGACAAATATGGGAATTCAGGAGATAAATTCTATCCAGTGGGCAGAAAAGTTGTAGATGGATTTGAGAGCTTCTCTAATATTATCAATAAGTTCTTTGAGGTGCCACGAGAAATCACGAGGCAGATTTCTCGCGGTATTACTGACAAACTCAATTCTGTGGGTGCAAAAATTGTTGGTCTTATGTAATAAAATGTACTTGATTTTTTGTTTGTTTGTTTGTTTGTAATCTCCTTTCGAATTTATTATTCACTAAAAAGACTAAAAATTATATAAAATGTCTATTAAATGACGATAAACATTTGGTTGAGCTGAGAATTTCAATTGGCATTAAATGAGTTCAATACTCTTTTTAGCTATACAAACTCTCTTGCAATTGGATTTCAATCAATGGGATGTTTTATCTCTTTAGTAGATATGCATAAAACTAGATGATTAATTCTAAAGATGTAATATAGGTACTTGATTTATTTTGATATTTTTATTATTGATGATTCTTTTTGTCACTCTCTTTTGGAATGTTTACGAAACATTGCAATTTTTGGCACTGATTTGTCTTGCTATCAACTAGAATCGCATAAGGTTGATATACTGTCTAATACAACCTAATACAAAGAATAATGTCGAGAAATGTTTGCATGATATACGTATATGTATCTTTCATTTGGCGATTTAAATAATAATTACTTACATATCGAATGAGCATAAATCTTAAGGCACAACTTTAAATTAAATATCGCTGAACAGTATCAATTTCGGGAATTGTCTCACTCGTCAAGATAAGAATTTGATCGGTGTCGCTGAACGTTGTTCTGTCCACTCTGGGGCTCAATTGCAGGTGAATAGGACTTGTAGGTTTGCGATGATTGCTTGTGTTTGACAGTGCAGAAGAGAAGCATTGAAGATATCAGTCCGAATAGCTATAAAGACATTTACACATATCTTATTTTGACGTTCTCACGAGAGAAAGTTTAACATACCTGTAGAAATGCTATGACTAGACCTACAGTGCCGACAACGTGTAACCGTTGAATGAACCACATTTGGAGTGTCTGAGCACAACCTTTGTCCCACCACAGTGACGGATCTTTGGATCTGCGAGGGAAACAATTAATCATATGCCCAGTATGCTCTCAGAGACTGATCATACCTGGCGCAATTGGTGTATCTGTTGTCGACGCCTGAGCCCTCGTACCATTCAGTTTCATTGTAGCGAGAGCGGCAGCATGATTGCGGAACCCATCGTTCTTCCGGCCAGGAACTAATTGCATACCAATCTTCATATGATGTTACACCACAGCAGTGGAGCTGTTAATGAGGACAAATTGAGTGTGATTGTGAAGTGGTGGGTGGGCTGATGACTACTCACGTCTGACTGGAGATTGTCCCAGATGGCTGCGACAGAAGGGGCTGCGAATCCTCCGCGATCTGTGGCATTGTAGTGCTTCTCAATGCCAGTCTTCAGCTCATTGACAATGGTCTTGGTGAGACCGCCACGGAAGACAAACGCTAAGGAGCCCACAAGGAACTCACTAAGGAAGAGGATGACTACCAGGGAGAAGTACTGTTTAAATAAAGAATCATAATATAAAATAAGTGAGATAAAAGCTTAAATTTTATATCTCGATATCTTGGTGTTCAGCAAGGACACATCTTTGTAGACATCTGTCTGACTTTCACATTTCACATTTCACCTTCTTATTTCACATATTGATTACAAAAACTGTGCACAGTCAATGGACCATGGCGTGAAGATACGCAATAGCAATTAGAGAGAATGAGAAAATTTAAGAAGTGGCACTACCGTGATGAGGAGGCATCGTGACTGGAACCAAGCGCCGCAGCATCCGAAGAATGATACCACAACGCTCAAGACTCCGACGGTGATGAAGAGGCAGTCGGCACTGAGGGCGGTGTGGTCTGGGAGGAGTGTGGCGTAGCCTTGGTAGCAGAGCTTGAGCCAGATTCCGGCGGCCAGGAAGACACTTCCGCACAGCTGAAGATTTGTAATTGAGGAAGGTGTGTGTTTTGTTCAATTGAATTGAGGTGTATTCTCTTTGCTTTTCTCACCCAAACAATCAGATTCAACCAACAGAAAGTCCGGCGAATGCAAGTGTAGCCAGTTCTTCCCATCTTCCAAGACGCGAGCGATCTGCATGAATGCAAAAGAATGTGTGTTTGTGTGAGAAAATCCTTTTATTGAGGTGCGAATGTGAACAACGGCGAGAATAATTGTCATTGTTATCAGATTTATTGCTGCTGCCTGGCTTTTTTAATTCAACACATACATGCTATTTTAAATGTTGATCCAACATCCGTGAGTCTGGGCGAGTCGCGGGTGAGGAGATGGCATACAAAAGAGCGCGGGTGAATTGAAATTTATTGTATTCAAACTATTGAGGAATGACGGTCAAAAGTGTCGCAGTGGAGATGTGTAGTCTCTAATCTTCCCTCCCGTTTGGGTTATGAATTCAAGTGCTCCAGTTCAGGCCGTGGGCAGAGGAGAGGAACTGGGGATGGGATGGTGGGGCAGTGGAACAAATTGGTCATTTTCAAATGTACCGGGAGAGCGAGAGAACTAGGCTACACTCTTCACTCACTGAAACAATTGGTTACAATTGAGGCAGGATGTTTTATTGTGCATCAGAATCACTACATTTTAATGTGCTCTGCTTTCAAACTGAGGCGAATTCATACTATTCTCTGGTATATTCCAGGAAATTGCACTATTTTAGGCTATCTGAAGAAACACTGAGAAATTAGGAAAAACACAAATAATCAATAGCTCATGAGAACACTAGCCGAAGAGTGTGCTTGAAGATGGTGTGGAAAAAATTCAGAGCAAGAAATTTATTCATATCGACAGTGTGAAGAAACAGAGCAGCCAGATGGTTGGTGTGAGTGAGAAAGGAATATTATGTAAATTTCCGTGAGAAAGATTCCTAAAATGGGAAAACTATTCTCTCGGCAAATCTCTCTCAGTACATCTTGTTTGTGATGTAAGGAAGGGAAAAAAGTAATGATCTCGTCACGCTCTTAACATTCAACATGTCATTAAGTGTCCCATTGGGCGAGCAATTAGCTGGGGAGATTGCAAGTGATCAGCATGGAGAATGATTGAATATTTGCAATTTATAATTTTCCACATGATGCTCTTTTTTGCCTGCATTTAACCCAAATCCATCTGTTTTCATTGGTTAAGTGCTATGCTCTCGATTGAGCATATTTCATGTGGCATAAAATGCTTCTCAGCACTTTAGATAGTCACTGAGGGTTTTTCAAGCACTCCAAGTCGTCGTTTTTATCGAAAAAAATAGCATGAAAAGTACATTTTACATTTCTTGTGAACCTTTGTCGTCACGTTTGTTTTTTTTCTAGAAACCGTTAAGGGTTAATGAGCACTTAAGGGTTTCTATGTGTGCAAAAAGAGTGCAATTAACTATATTATCACTATTAAAATGATAATATTCACCTCGTTAAAGCAAACACCCTGCATTTACCACATTTATCGCCAAGTTTAATTGCAAATTCTATGCCCTGGAGTACAATTTCTTCTCGCGTTCACTTCGGTATGTTGTGGAAAAGCGTTAATAGGAGATTGCTCTATTTTTTGTCGCTTCGAGTTTCTCTTCTAGGAAGGAAATTGCTTGGCTTCAGGTGCCGCCGGGGAGAAATTCACGTGAAGGGATTAAGTTTGGTGTGCATAACAAAGGGATTCGCCATAGGTTTTAATGGATAACATGGAAGAGGAAGTTGAGACGATTAATTGGAGCACTTGAGGTTGCCTTTTTGGGGAGGAAATAATTAATTAGAGAGTGTATTTTTCATCTGTAAATTGACGAGGCGTAGAGAATTTAGCCATAAACTACGCATTAAAGACAGATTCTAACAGTGAAACCGTGCATGATTAGGGTCTCTATTATGCAATTAATTCTCATGGGTATCTTACCAGTATTACCCTCACAGAGAATCTTCTTTGTATGGCTGTTGTGTACACGAACAGGTAAATTAGATGGTGGTCTTCTCTTCACCTTTTTCACTGTTTGACGCTCCTCGTCTCCGACTCTGTTTGTTCAGCTATATTTGCAGAAAATGATGCATAATAAAAAGTATGACACATCACATGTATTTCCATACAATTGGGAACGCACGATCGCAATTGAACTCTGCTGGTGTTATCGCACTTTTTCACACCGAAAACACCACTCTCTGGATCTCTGGCTTTCCACAGAAATCAATTAATTTTGTCTTATGCTCTCCCCTATCTCATTAATTCATACAGGCGTCTCTTCGTTGATACTAAGCGCAATCAGTGTTTACTCAAGCCACTCTCTCGCACTTCTCTTCTTCACAGAAAAAAGAACTGAAAACCACACACAACTCCACTTGGCCCCTAATGTTCTAATGCTGAAGCAAAGAGCGAGAGACGTTTTCTCGCTGACGCATGAAAGTGGACTGAATCTGAGATTCGCTGAGACTCCGACGAACTCCACAGCCGCACAGCAATCTCGTGGCATTCCGAGCGCCATTGAGCGAGCAATTGGGCAGAGAGATGTGGGGAGTGAGCGAGAGCGCATTAGAACACCACTGTGTTCTATATTTTGATGGGCAAATGAGGAGAGAAAGAAGGTGGCGAGCGACGGAATTGCTGATCTCTGACTGTCGTCACTGCCATGTGATCGGCGAGATCACCCAAATAACATCTCATCAACACTCAAAGGCTGAGATGAATGGAATTGTGGGTGAGTGCCACTTTTGGGCTTCTTGTATTGCACATTGTTTGGTCTGTGGAGATTGTTGATGGTGTCAGTAGACAAAGGAATGAAATATATTTGCAGATTAGATTAGTGTCCAGATTTTTAGAAATATATTTCTGAATGATTTTTTTCTTCATTTTTGCAAATCTTCCGTTAACTGGCCAAAGATTGATTTACAATCTTTTAATTTAGAAGTATCTTTTAGCTTAACCCTCATCGCATCCAAGTTTTCTTTTATTCATTCAGAGCAATCCTTTAAGAAATTCAAGGAAACATTGAGTTTTCTTAAATAGAAAATAATAATAATATGAATTTTTAATTTTGATGTTGGCTTTACAATTTTAATTTTAGGAGATCTTAAAATAAGAGATTCGTTTTATACTGTTTAATTTATTTGTATTCTCCATTCCGGATCTATCACACGCGATCATGGCCTGTGACTTTTGAAACTTCATAATATTGTCATACGTTCTAAAGAAAATGCATTGGTTCACAACACAATACAATTTTTAGTTTATTCTTCAATTTTCGCAATGTGTGTTCAGGGAAGAACTCATTCTTTTTTACTTTTGTTTCTCTGGTCGGCTTATAGTTTAGCTTATTGCGCGTGCGAAGACGAATACAAATGCACAATAACTGTGTGTTTGGATTACTGTCTCTCGCCGCCTCACCTGGACAGTGATTAATAATTCATTTAGCACCAATTTGAGGTGGAAAGAATCGCCATTGTGCTTCACCTTCGCGAGGTCAGTGCTGAAAAAAGAAAAGTGCCTAAATGTATGCAAAAGGAATTGTTTTGGTTGGAATTTTTCATAAATGTTTTGTAGTTTTTATTGGTTTTACGTAGATTTTTCGGTTAACAATTTTTTCTTTTTTTCATATCTTTTGTAGAAAAACAACTGTTGTTAAGAAGTGCTGTTGTTAATCGCTCTTCTTGCCACTGCGCAACTTCTGACTGGAGATTTCGGAGGCTTCCAGCCAAAGAGACAACTCTTGTGGACACGCAGGACGTTCTTCACCGCCGGGAAACTTGGCGATCAGCTCCAGGACGTTCACTTTGGTGATGCACTGCTTGGAGATGGCCACAGCGCGGACGAAATCATCGGCTGTGGTAATGAATTTCTGCTCCAAGTAGATTGCTTTCTCATCCCACCAGATCAGCTTATAGAATGTGAGAAATATCGAGGTGAGGATGAGTGGCGGATGCCGCTAATGATGGTAACTCACCTTCGTTTCCACTCTGTAGGCATTGAAGATGGGAATAGTGCGGCGGTACCGGATATTGGAGGCTCCTTGAACGGCTCCGCCGCCCGTCTTTTTCACCTCCTCGTACAGTCCAGTGAGGCCGTAGTAGTGAAATCGGGCAAAATCCAATTCTCTGAGGTACCTAGCATTATTCATGTGCCTGATGAAAATGTCAACATCTTGAGTCGTACAGAAACCTGATGGCAAGAAACAGAAATTTCTCTATAAATCACTAACGCGAGTGTGGCGAAAGGTGAAATAGTTTTACCGTATATGGTGGTCTTGTCAGTAATTTTGACTTTCTTTTGCAGCAAACGTCCCAGGCCAACAGTGAAGATGACTCGTATAAAGTAATTCACATCCCAGATGATGTAGAGGATGAGCAAGAGGACAGGAAGGCACATGCAGACCATTTTAGAGAGAACTTCTTCCTACGGATTTCGCCGGAGTGCTACAATTACCAAGATTGGCATTGGCGAGAGAAAGAAAGACAGAAAGAAAGTTGGAGCGTGTGAGAAGTGCTGTTTTCCAATGCCTGGGTGCGGTGGATTCTCGTTGAGCGAGAAGAGGAGGCTTTCCGACGTCTTTTACGGTAATTTTACAGTTACTTTAGTACTTAATCGCAACCGTAAACCAGTTGTGATTATTAATGCTGTTTTTATTTCTCTCCTCGTTCGCCTCAGCGGTATCTCGACACCGGCCGCGATAAGAAACGCGAAGATAGTGGTTAAAGAACAGAGACGGAGAGCGCACGAGAGAAGCTGTAATCCTTGGACTTTGGAATCTGTGCCTCTCTGGAATTGCTTTTTTCGCGGCAAGAATTGAGCAGGTATGTTTTCATGTCTCAAGCGGCACAATTTGCAAGCGAGATACCACAAGAGAGATATTTTCTGGTCAATTGTGTGACCTAAATTACTTCACTGCGTTTGTGTGTGTATTCACGAAGCGCGAGAGAAAAAGAGAGATTCACAATGTAGAGAAGGAAAACTTGCCTCAGAATCAACACAAGATGAGAGGAACTTTTGGGGTGTGTGTTGTGTGGAGCACAGCTTAGGGGAAAGTGTTAGATAAAGTCACTCATCGCGAGGTGTTCACCTGCTGAGTCGTGCGATAGGCGTTTCACTATAAACTACGTCCGCAACATTCCACGGTTCTGCACTGACTGACGATGGAATCCAAATAGATGATCGTGTGTGGTTCTCGGGAGGGAGATCCCAATACTCAAGGTGTAAAGAGTGAGAAAGGTTCAAGTTCGTGAACGTCTCCCTCGCGCTAATGCTGATGATTGGAGAAACATTCTCAGATTCAAAGCCCAACAAGTGGCCGCTGGGAAGGGCTTTCACTCTGCGGACAAGTGTAACTCTTTCTCCATCGCCAAGGAAATGGCACTAAAGCAAGAATTTCTTTTCAACGGGCTTTCTTACTATGTGGAATGGATTTGTACAGTGAGGAGCATAAACACTGATTTTTTTTTTGTTTTTACTAATGTACAGATTTTACGAGGAAGACCTTATATTCTCAGTGTTTTTTTCCGAGATTGAAGGCCAGATGAAATAATTTGATTGTATTATTGCTTCTTGAATAGGGGAAAGCGAGCTATGATTTTTTTTACCCTTTCGTGGTTATTATAAGATTGATTTGCTTAAGGGCAACATTACTTTTCTGCATATTAGCTTATTTCCTTACATCACATTACTATTGTTAATGTAGTAATGTTATAGTGTTCAGGGTCTAAGCGTGCGTCGTGTTTACCAAGACCGTGAACTTTGTCACTAGTTTATAATTTCTTGTGGAAATTCCACGACTTTTAAGACTTGTTTTCGTACAATCTTCTCTGAAAAATTTATCAGATCAAAACCGATCATCTTCCTTTAAATAGATATATTCATGAGTTTGTCTGCAAATTATGTTCCTCACTGTTCTTCCTCTGGAGAGATTATAATTTCAAAAAAGCGAGATGAAGAAAAAACTTTTTCAATAGTGCCATGGTGTGTGACAAAGCAGATTTTTTATTCAACGCATAAATTGTCCACTTTAACACTCAATTTACATTTTTATATTGAACTCTGAGTTCACAAAACAACATTCAGCATTTTCTCCATTTCTTCGCATATCTTTTCCGTTGTTTTTTGTCGATTTCAATTGATTACATTGGATTGTCTTCATGGAGAATCTCGACGGAGAAGAGTTTAGCTAAGTGGATTCAATGCTGGATAAGATGTGAGTATGTTTTTGGTAATGCTTTCACCGTAAAGATAGAAGGCTGCCATTGTTCTTACCAGTGGAATTTATATTGAGGTGTTGTGCACTCGGACAATGGTATGAAATGTATGTATATAAAAGAGCTATGAGTAAAAAATATTACAACAAAACTACTAAATATCACATGAAAATCGCATTGTGAGTGATCTTAAGAGAGCTCTTAAGTAGAGACACATGGTTTGAGGTCTCACTAGACGAGTGACTCGACTTGGTGTTCATTTGGCGCGGATTTTAACTTGGTTTTCTCTAGGAGTCAGTTCGTAGATTTGCACTTGAAATTTCATTCCACTCCATCCACTTGGCAACCTTTTAGTGAGGAAGAGAAGTTTATGATTAGAAGGGAAGTCGTGGCTTGTTATTAAGATGCTTACCTCAAGAGGAATGCTTGGCTTTATTTTGGCATGTTCAGCAATTCCATTTTCCAGTCTATCGAATGCTGTTTGCTTTTTGGCTGTTTTCCCCAGGAGTTCATTCATGAGATCATCCACTGGCAAATTCACGACACGCTGTCGGGAGAGAACAACACATCGCACAAAACCATCAGACGGTGAGATGAATTTATGCTCCATAAATATTGACTTCTCATCCCAATAGATGATCTGGGAAAATAGGTTGGCAATTATCGTTCAATTTCGCATTTGGTGCTAACATCATACTCGCGTTGTGATCTTGAAGCGAGTGAAGGTCTTTATGAATCTGCGATATCTGATGGTGGCGGCGCCTTGAAAGATCGATCCTCCCTTCTTCATGATCGCCCTGTAAAGTCCTGTTCGTTCGTAGAAATCTGCCTTGGCAAAATCCAACTCCCTGAAGTACCGGGCATTGTTCATGTGAAATAGCAATGTGTCAATGTCCGTTGTTAGGCAGAGACCTGTGAATACACAGAGAAGCAATTGTGTGAACCTTGAGGGTGTCTCTGGAATGACTTCCGCCAAGAATGTCTGGTCAGATCGTGCGTGGCGAGAAGATTGTGTATTTCTATCACATGTTTTAAAATGGATCTCCATGCGGAATGTGTGTCAATGAAAGAATGAGTAAGTGAAACAAGTATTTTCCTGGTTGAAAATCTATCGGTGAATGTTTATGTCTCTCACGAGCCTCCCGAGTGTGTGGGGCATTTTGCAATTTTCCGCGCATGTATTCGTTAGACTCGTTAACGGGTTTTCTCGCGATAGTGAGAGTGGAAAAAGTAGCGTTTTTTATCACCCAGAAAGTGTTTGGATATTTAAAGTACGAACCGTAGGGACCCAAAATCACGGAAAATATTCTTTTATATGTGATTGATGGAATTTCAAAAGCCAATGAAAAAATCAACTGGTAGTAGCGTCGCGTGGAGTTTATACAATGATAAATACGGAATAAAAGACAAGTTCCATGATATTCCCTCTATCATTTTTCACTCTTGACAAAATCGCGTGTCTTTTATGACACTGCTATGTTGGTTTTATTTTATTTTGTGTGTGATTAGTATGCCGAAGAAGTCATTAAGAATTACTGTGCTGGTAGCAAAAAGACAATCAGAATTTTTTAGATCTAAAGTTGACTTGTCAGAACTAGAAATTTTGGCTGTGTAAGATGTACAGGATGTGGCAAGAAAGATTAGAAAAAACTGTGTTGTATGCGCTGTATGTAAATTCATGATCTTATACACCAAAATTATATTACTTTTTATTTCATTAAGAAGAATGAAATCGTAATAGTTTTCTTCTTATTTTTAATTTTCATCGCGGTATTCTAAAGAAAGCAATTTGTATCGATTAATATCAGTTACGAAGAAATTAAATTTTCTCATTATTAGTTGAGAATTCTGAGGAAAATTTCACAATATACACATTCACTTTCATACTCTGTACTTCTTGCAAACTCTCTTGTAAGATTGAGGCTTTTTATGGTGGGAAAAACATGGTGCATTTACCCGTGACCGATGTCATGTCCATGATGTGACAGCGTTTCTTGAAGAACCTGGCTAGGCACATGGCCAGCAGCATTCGCAGGAAGTAGTGGACTTCGATGATGGCATGGGCAAGAAAGTAACCGACTAGAGCGGCGCCCAACAAATAGCACCAAATCATGACTTTCGCGGAACAACACCTTCTTATTTGCCGAATTAATTATGATGCTCGATCGGTGGCAAGTGGACGATGAGAATGACTGAGTGCACGTGTCTCATGAGGTAATCTTGCGCACTCTCTGTCTCATTCTCACCCAGACACACAGGTTGTGTATTAGAATCACTCCCGAGGACAATTGCAAATTGATACAGTGGCAATTAGCATCGTGCGGTGTGCTGGACGATTTTCCCGTCTCTTCCGGAAAGTATGTATTATTATATTGAGAATATTTTCACGGGCGCGTGTTTTGAAGCACTCACGTTGCCCTCAATTTTCACAGCACTCTCACTTCCTCCCTCCTAAGTTCTTCTGTGCGGCGAGGAAATCGATGGTGTAAGAGTAAAAATCGAGCCGAAGGAATTTCCTTTGCGGGATGATTTCACTTTTTTCGAGTGCAACCACTAAAGAGGTCACCACACATTTTCCCCAGGGTTGTAATGGAGTTTTGCTGGCGATGCTGAGGCGGGCCGATGCAGTCTGACCACCTAATGTTTGTGCAAGACGTACACTGATGAGATGAATTGGGGCAAGGGCTGTGCTTGAATCAATAATTTTTCCAACACTCAGTCGCAATTGCGCTCCTCTCCATCAAACACTGTTTGATATCGGTTTGTTTCTTCTCATATGCACACTTCTCACAGACACAGCGTAGCGAGAAAAGTATAGTAAAATTCCACACACAACACAGAAAAAAGATGAACTTATTCACTCTCCAACTTAATGAAATCGAAATCAAATTGTGTATAACTTATAATGCTAATAAAAATCAATAATTTACAGACGCGCGGCACCGATGGAGTAACAACAACCATTCACTTTTGATGGAATGCGCTTGAGATTGTCTTTTCTCTTTTATCACAACGTTTTAGATATTGCCACAAGACAGTTCAATCTTTACCAATCTTTTGTTGCATCTGACCACGAAAATCTCACAATTTCTGCACATTAGCGACGCTCACCACGCGGATTTTTCACGTCACAAGACTCAACTGCACTGAGGCGCGAGCAGCGTCAATCTGATTTTAAAGCTGGCACTCGAGAGTGTCGGCGTTTCTCATGCCCTCCTCCAAACCCACCTGGTCGGTTCGCGGACGTTTGCGTGAGGAGCCGAACTGTAATTGCTATGTTTTCCGGGAAATTCCTTCCAAGGAATTCTACTTCTTTCCGTCTCAAGCTTGCTCATTATTTGATTTTGGTGGATTAGAGAGAATCTTCCTTGGCATTTCGATGTCTTCTAGTCTCGTATTTTAATGAGTTTTCTTCTCATTCAAACACTTTAACTTTTACTCCCTAGTAGCAAAATCATGTCAATATCAAGTCGTTTTTGATCTACATGGATTGATGATCAAATGAAAATATTGTAATTTACTGAAATTTTTATACGTTGAAGTCATAAGCTTAGTAATCTTGGCGATTTTATGCTTTATACTGCTACTTGGGTGTGCAAAGAAGGTAATCAAGCAATAAACGCAGTATAAACTCGTACTGGAATTTTATTTCAGAGCCTCATGGAGATAATCCATCAAGAAAGGTGAATCATCAAGACCGTACGGAGTCAGAGGAATATCATATGGCATTGAAAAGACTTTCCCGGGTGATGTGCTATCCAGAGGAAAAGTCTCTTCCTGTGTGATGAACTTCGGAAGGAATAGGACTCCAGCCTCATAGTTTGAGATCCTTAATGGCGCCTCGAACTTGGAGCTCTTGTTGAATAATCCCCAGGCAGCCTTGGAGAGATTGGCTGAGGTGAGGAGGAACCAGAAGAGACCTCGATCTGACCAGCGACAGTAAGTTTTGATGTGGGGCATTGCTTGGGACCTGTGACACTTGCTGGCCTTCCACTGACTGCAAAGATAGCAAAGATCGAAAAATCGAGACATTTTCAAATATCTAATAATATATTAGCACTCACTTAAGGTGATTCTTCAGCCAGGGTTGCTTTTCATTTGAGGCTCTTCCATAGGGAAGACATCCGCCGCCTAGAAGATCGTCATGACTGTTCTTAACATTGTTGAAGCTGGGATAGATCATCTTGAATTGAGGCATTCGACGTAGTGCTGCTGGAGCTGAGTCTTTCCTGAAGTTCACACCCCATTCGCCCAGCACCCAGGCATCTACGTTTGTACCTAGACTTCCGATACTTGAGCTCTGGGCCACAATTGGACGGGATTCGTCGATTCTCGCTGAATGCTGAGCCAGCAAGTGTCCAACTCGTGGATGTCCCCAGAGTGGACCTTTGGGAGTGCTTCTATGGCCTCCGGGCACTGATGCCACCAGGAAGACATTCACCTCAGAGAAATTGCTCTTCCTTACGCGAGTGATCCACTTTTGGACTTTAGGAATATTGTAAGCCATGAGGTAGCGCAGAAGATCCTCGCGGAAGCCTGTAGGACTCTCACCGAAGGCTGTATCGCTGGACACTGGAATAGCGGATAGTTTGGGACTCATCCAGAGACCCTGAGTGCGATTGTGCCAGTCATCTTCATAGAGATTCGCTGTAGAAATGACCACACGCATTGAGCCATCAGCGTAGCCAAGCAGCATCATTTTGGTGTGGTGAGTACCGAAGGGAGTGGCCATCTGCACCTTCATTGCCTCAACATTAGGTCGACTTTTGTTGATGCTGAGAAGATCAGGAGTTTCATCGCCATAGAGAATCATCAAGGGCTTCTGCCTATAAGAATGCAGTATGTTGTGTAAAGTGTCCAATTAATAATTGAGTGAAAACTTACTCATATCCAGCAAAGTAGTAGTGGCCGAGAAGCCATCCAACATCCACCATAAAATTAATCTGCAGGGAACATTCCAGCTCGCCTAGACTCTTGTCCAGAATCTCCTGGAATGTTATAGTCTGTGGATGAGTGTGAGTAGCCGGTGAGTCTGTTATGGCTGTTAGAAAGAAATTGTATGGAGCTGCTGCCCGCAGTTTCTCTTCCATCTTTCCTTTAGGCAGAACAACCTTTATGTAATCGTGAATATTCTTCTCTGAACGACTTTCCAGATCCTTCGGTATCGCCTTGCTGCTTCCTCCTGCCTCAGAATAAGAATCTGGTCTTTTCTCTACTTGTTTTTCCTCCATTTTCTGAACTTTGGTCTGCGGTTGCATGGAAAGATGTGGGAAGATGCTCAAGATTATTGCTATCTGTTCCAAGATGAGATCTTTAGCCAAAGAAAACTCTTCCGGAACATTGTAATTTCCTCCGTCTGCGCTCCTGATTATGTTTTCCACTAGAAAATATGGATGATTAGTTTCTTGGAGAAAGGACTCACGGGCAATTTTTACAGTGAACATGATTATACTCCTCAAAGTGGGAAGGATTCTTCCGGTAACAGTTCTTTCCATACTGACAGTATTTCTTGGGCAAATCTGAAGAATAAAAATCTAATTATGAGATAATTTAGTTAATGAATATCCCATTCGTCTTACCATTGGATCGTTTAGTGGAATTGTTGTCCATCCCTTAAAATTTTTCACCGGCAATATATCCAAACAAAAAGCAAACACTATGCGTTAAAAAGTGGGGTTAGAATGTTGATTACCCGGTTTGTCTGCTCCAAAGCAACTATTCCCTATACGGATATGGAATAGTATATTTATTCCAATAGTGCAAGAGAATTATATTCGAAGTTTCCATTCTTAAAATTTGCTATGTGCATCAAGAGCATCATTAAAAACCGTAGAATATAAGAACGCGGGTAACTAATGAAGAATAATTCGGTTTAATTTAAAACAAAAAAAAATCACGAAATAATACAGAGTTAGGGTAAAATGGTTAAATTAATGTTTTGGATATTATATGAGAAATTTGGATTGAACTTGATATTAAACGTATTGAATAAATATCAAAAGAAAAATTTTAATTGAAGAATTTAATTATAAATTAAAACTTATTACTGTGATTCCTATTGGAATATAACAAAAAAAATTAATTTTTTAAAGAGCGTTTAAAATATATATTTTTTTTTAATATTCAAGGTGCGCATTTTATCTCTCAACAACACTCATTATAGTTCATCCATAAACTTCGTCTTTCACGAGTAATTAAATAAAATCGAATCGTATTAACAAGAATGAAAAAAATTATCACATCTCGTCAGTTAGTTAATTCCTAGAACTTACGAAATATTTTTCACTACATGAATTGTCACGCGGTTACAGCAAGTGAAGATGACCTAATAATGATCTCGTAGTTAAATGCATTTTTTTTTCATAGACATCAATGGATGAGTTCCACTCAGAGGACAGATTCGGGGGCTATTTTATATTTATTATTCCAAATTATGAGAATTTTTTTTACTTTATGAGCATCCCTAAAAATTTAGTTACATTCATAAAACTAGTTTTCTATATTTTTCGCGTGTCACGTAGGTTTGTCAATCTTCTTAATCATTTTGAATCTTCTCATTTGTATGTAATGCGTATAAACGGTATAAACCCTATTATGATTCCGTGGGTGCATAGTCACCGCGAAGACATTCTGAAATCAATTTACTAATGTGTTCTGATTTGAAGCGTATACCGAGGCAATCGAATAAATAAATCTTGCTAATTTTGGCGGGAAAGTTCGACAATGTGTTCAAATATAGTGTGTCTGTTGGAAAACCCTCATTGCGATTGAAGTTCAATGTACAATTTTGCGAATTGTACCTCAGCAGCGGTGTATTTATCTATACCGGCTGTTTTTTAGGTAAGCCTAATTAGCTGTATCTGTCGATGGAAAATGACGGTGTCTCATTTTGTACACCGTCCTCATCAAATATCAATCAAATTGGTGGTGGGATGTCGTTTTTGTGCTGGGCATTGTCAGCAAAAGTGTTTCGAGCATTTCGGGGCCTCTAATTATCTTATCAGCAGAATGGGATGGAAAAGTCTCCCGAGGGAGTGTGAATTTGATAGCTTGTGTCTTAAGGATCACATTTGCCTCTTTTTTCTTTTGGCCATTTCAGCACTTTTGGCCAGGCCACCCTCCGGAGGAGAAGTCAGTGGTGCCCCTCTCCAGGCGTCGCATGGAGTGTGTGTGTGACAAACGACGGCGACGAGACGGACAGGGGAGCGACATTCAGTGATTATCTGGCTGATGCGTGGTGAATTGATCAAGTGGAGTCGCGTGAATTGTCACGGTGTGATATTTCCCAGATGTGGTGGAGGAGCTGTGACTTGTACATGCCCTTTTTCCAAGTGATTTAGTATCTGAAGGCAATACAATTGATGCGCGCATGGCATCTGGTCAGTGTGGTTGGCGGGAGAGGCTCGCGATGCGGCGTTCACTCGTACAGTGTGTGTACCATCCAAGTGGCGGGTATAAAGTATCAGGACACGAGGAGAACAGTCATCAGTCGATGGTGACCGTCTGAGGAGTAAGCATCGCCGTTTCTTGTCTCACGGCCAACAAGTCGTTGCGAGAGTGGAGATTATACACGGTGTGTCAGCTGGTTGAGTGCTGGTCGTAAGAAGAGAGAAAAAAAGAGTGTAAAACACGAAATATTTCGCCGTTACGAGCTAATTGGGAAAGAAGATGTTGCCCTCGTGGTGATGAAGAATTGCCTGTGTACTGAGCCAGTGCCCAAAAGAGGAAGAGAAATTGGCGCGCGTCGACCAGAGGGAATTCTCTGTGGCATCCATCGCGAGATTTATGAATTGTGTTAATGGTGATAAATTTAAATTTATAAAATCACATGGTGGTTGTGTATAGTGTGGCGAATTGAGTATTGAGAACATTGAGAGTGAGCCACAATTTGAGCCACTCTTCTCCAACACGGTGACACGGCTTAAATAATATTGGCAATCAGCATTAAGTGATCCACATCTCTCACAGCATCTATTCAAGTGCTGATTGAAAAGCATCTCACTGGCGCACACCAACAAGTAGCCACACTCTCTGGGCATTGTAGACAACATTTCGCGTGGCGCAGGAGATTTAAAGATTTAACACTGAGATTTAAAGAGACTCGGTGTCGTAAATCTTTGAAAGTCCAGAGGTGATAAAAATAACGCTATGCCAGTGTGAGATATTCTAATTAGGATCAAATCACTGTATGCTCTGTACCATCCAGCCAAAAGGGAGGGATAAAAACGTGCGCCCAGGTAATTGGACAAGAAATCCCTCTGTGCGAAGAAAAATGGTGCTGTGTACAAGGATGTGGAGCTTCAGTTGAACAAACAATCCCAGAGCTTGAGGAAGAGCGAGAAGAGAGTGTGCTGTGTGAAGAAAAGAAAACGAGAGAAGAAGTAATTGAAATTAATTCTCTTCCCGCTCTCCTGCAAACAAATTCAATTAAGTGAGTTACCTTCTTTTGCGGAGCGCATTCACAAAAGTCTCTCCGTGCGGAGAGTGTGGGGAAGATGCCATCGCCGATATCTGAGAGTCGCAATAGGGAGTTCCTGCTGCAGGGTGATGAGTGGCAGAAGTCTGTCAATAATGGTTATCTGAGGACAACGTCGGCACATCTGGAACGAAGTGTCGGGGTGGAAAATGGGTCTGGTGCGCCCGCCCAGGTGCCCACAGATGCTGCAGGGATGCAGTCAGTGGACGAGGCCACAGGGATCCTCTTGCAGCCTGAGACAATGCCAGAGAGTGGCCTCCAGGAAGTGGCAGCACCACAAAAGACCTCCACGGTCGTTCACTTTGCTCCCGGATCCGTGCCCCAGACTTCTGTGCAGCGTGGTCTGCCCATTGAGTTCATGTACAGAGACACGAAGCTCAGGCGGCGTCTGCTGGTCCTTGCCGTGGCTCTGATGGTCCTGGGAGCCGCCATCGGTGCCCTGTCTATTTACTTTGCGGGCACATTCAACTGCTGCTCTACCAGGGAAAGTGAGTACACACCTTATCCATTCTCTAAATTTCATCTGAGTGATTTCTCTGAGAGACAGTTGAAATCAGTGGTCAGATTCTCTGGTAGTGATGGGACAATTTCCACTATAATTGCATTCTGTGGTTTATCTTTTAGAGTAGCATAAATGGAATTTTTACAACGCTCTCATTAAATGAGATTCAAGGGAATTGAATTCTCACAGTGAGGTGTACAAACTTGGCGATGTTATGGAATAAAAAATTCACTCTCAGAAAGTCTTATAAAGTTATAAATAACCAATCTTTATTTTTGGTTACATTTTATAAAACACTGTGCTGAATTTATTGGATGTCTCAACGAAACTTTAAGATATTCACATCGAAAATTCATTCAGGGTTGATTTGGATGTAAAAGTTTATTGTGAACACCAAAGACATGAATTGTTCGTCCTTTGACTGTCACTTTTTAAATGGAAATTGTGGAAAAGGACAAAACATATGGTTTCTTTGTGTAGTTTTTTGAGTGATGGTAAAAGCTGATGAGACGTTTGTGACACATTCTGTGATAGCTGGAAAGTGTGATAGCAGGTTGATTGATTTTGCTGTTTGGTAGTTTTAGCGTACTCGCGTGGGTGGATTGGACATTTACATAATTTGGAGGATTACAAATTGATATCCAAGCTCATTGTAATGCAGTTGCAATGAAATGTGCACCTTAAATATCGAATATGGCCAATGAAGATATTGAGTTGTGTTGCATTCATTCTCAAGCACAATTGCTTCAATATAATATTGATATTGCAGGGTGATCAAGTGAGTAGACGAGAGAGTATGTATTGATTGAGTTGTTTAAATCTGAGTGACATGGCTTGAATTGCGCTGCATGAATGGAAGCGCACGGGCAAAGGCAAAGGCAAAGGCAAAGAGTAAGGGAGTGTGCGGTAAAAAGAGTTGAGGATTTGTTGGATATGTGGGAGAAAATATTTGCATTGCGATGGGAATGAAATGATGGGGAAAAATATGGAGCGGAAATCGACTGAGAGATGCTCACCGGTCGGAAATTTGCTCGCTATATACATGTAATCTTGGAAATGAGGAAATGAAATAGCCCGAAACATGTGAAAACCACTTGAGGGCTCCCTGGGGACTTGTGGGATGGTTCGCGAGGGGGTGGTTGTCATGCAAGAAGTCATCTTTTGGAGAAGCTGTGTCAGAGATTCTTCATGAATTTATCATGATGAGTGGAGAGAGATGGAATGAAGGCGTGGAGGAGGATTTGTGTGTCTTCTCGCTAAGGGTAAAAGGTATGTGTGTGCACGCTATATAGCATAGTGAAATGTGAATTTAATTCCAACAATCTGTGTGGCGCTCGAGATGGAGATGGTGTGAATTTTGCAGGAGGAGAAAAGCCAAGGGTGTGCGAGCACTTTGGAGGACTTCCGCTGATGCGGTACAGGAGAGTGTATTAATTATGAAAATGGTGAGGAATTCTCTGGGCGATCCTCTGAGACGCTGTGCCGCGTGGAATTTCCATGCGACGCGGTGCGGGTATTATTATAAAGTGAGCGAAAATACGTTTAATTATTGATGGTGATATGGCATCACTGGCAAAGTTTCCCTCCCACTTGTTGCTTCACAGCCTCTCGTGCGCCTCCCCATCATTAAATAACCCTCGTGTGAAGATTTTTCCTCTTGTTTTCCCTCTCAGCTAATGAAATTTCATCTTTTCTCCCATCTCTTTGCAGGTCTTCGTGAGCGGGAAGTTTGTCTCACTGAGGAGTGTATAAGGACTGGTGAGTATACATATCCATGGGAGAAATTCTTTCTCATCGCTTTCAATCTAATTTTTATACGCCTTGTGTAGTCTCTTTGAGCGGATAAATTCTACACAATATGAAAAAAAAAATCCGCCTTTTCGGTTCTATCAAAAAGAAAATCAATTAATCTAGAGACGAAAACCCTATGAGATTTTCTCGAGATTGAAGCCATTGATTTGGAAATTATTGCCATCAATGCCTAAATACGAGCGTAGATCCCAATCAAAATATATCCCCAGTCTGAAAATAGAGACACCCTGAGCAATTCGAGGGACGATGGGAAGTAGGTCATCGGCATCTGTTGGGGTTGATGGAATTTTTGGTGAGCAATTTACTCAATGGAAATACCAATATTCCATTCACCTAACCTAGGGCACAAATACTCTCAATGTTGCCCATCATGAGCACTTTGTTGCGGTTTATTGTCTCAGCCATGGTCCCTCCCACTCACCCTCAATTCAACAAAAAAAAATCCCTTCACTTGATTCTGAAGTGACCAGACATCTTGTCACTTGGGACACTTCCATCATTATCATTATGATTGATTTGGTTCCGGTAACCGCTAAATTTGCTGGGGATCATCAGAACTCGATTAGAGACGATAATTGTTGTTGTTGGTCATTTGCAAAAAATCACAATTAGCTTCAATGTGCTGATCATCGTGATTGGCATAAGTTATAAATAGTATTTCTTTTTTTTTCAACTGACATTTAAAAAAGCGTTCACTCGTCTAAAAATAATATTGTGGAACTTGTCAAGTACTATTAAACGATTTAACTGCTATTTTCAATAGATTACGATGCGAATTCGGTGGTAAAATAAATGGAAAACTATGAAAATGTACTATCCTATCCCGCCTTATTAGAAATATGATAAATATAAAAATTTTTGGTCTGTCCTGCACTGGGAACGTCGTCTGGTACACTGAACGCACATTGTTGACTTGAATGAAACTGATTCAATTAGGAAGAGTGGTGAAGTGTTATCCTGTGTGCTACAAAATGAGGGGGCATTCACATCAATGTCGAAAATATCAGTCCATTTACCTCACACACTCAGTGGGTTACCCACTAATTGACACTCTCTCAATCGTTTCGCCATCAGCATCCTCCCTTCTCGCCGCAATGGACCGCACGGCGGATCCGTGCACGAATTTCTTTCAGTATGCTTGCGGGACGTGGAACAAAAAGCACCTGATCCCGGAGGATCGCAGCTCTATCAGTACATTTGAGGTGTTGGCGGATCAGCAGCAGGTCATTCTCAAGGGTGTCTTGGAGGAGGCGGAGAATAGCGAGGACAGCGAGGCGACACTGAAGGCGAAGAAGTTTTATAAGAGCTGCATGGATTTGCGTAGGTGGTGTGAATCTCTATCAGCGGGTGACCACACTTAATCATGTCATGTCGCTTTGCAGAACAAATCCGCAAGATTGGCGACCTACCACTCAAGGAGGTCATCAAGTCACTCGGCGGGTGGCCAGTGACTGAGGACAAGTGGGTGCCGCCAGCATTCAGCATTGAGTATCTGTTTGGGAAGCTGAGAGGAGACTATAGTGAGCCAGTGCTGGTGGAACTGTTTGTGGGACCGGACGATAAGAATTCGTCTGTAAATATTCTGCAACTAGATCAACTGGTGCTGGCCCTGCCGTCGCGGGACTACTACCTGAAGGAAAGTAGCGAAGGGGATTTGAGGGCATATCATCGGTACATGACTCAAGTGGCTGTTCTGTTGGGAGCGAACCCAGACACGGCGTCCAAGGAACTTCAAGATGTGGTGAAGTTCGAAATGAAGCTGGCTAATGTGAGTGAAATTGATTTTCTAATTAAGTACAGAGATTTAATCTTTAGTCTTTCTGGCAGGCATCACTCCCAGAGGCTGATCGCCATGACACGAGCTCAATCTACAGGAAATTGACTCTGCCTGAACTGCAAAATGAAGTACCACAACTTCAATGGCGAGAATACATTCAGGTATAGCATTTCAATTTCACTTGATGAGATGAGAATTGTCTCCAGAAAGAGTATTCGCAGGCCATTCTGGGTGCGGATGTGCAACTGATTGAGGACGAACCAGTCGTGAGCTACGCTATGACATACCTAACGGAGATGGGCAGGATTCTGGCTGAAACTGATCGTCGCGTTGTGCACAATTACGTGATTTGGCGACTCGTCATGTCAATCATGACACACATGATTGACGACTATCAGAGGGTGAGTGAAATTGCATTGCGGCTGATGGGATTTGCTGCTCTTGACACATGCAAGTAATCGTATCGAAAGAGAGCTGGGAGAAATTTAACATGTCTGATTTGCGCCAGCAAAGTGAAAATTCAATTAGGATTTTCGATTTGATTGGCGAAGAGTGAATGTGAATTATACTCACATTCAATTCTTACTGGGCTGATTCAGTTTTTTTTTTAGTATTCATTGTTTGAGTCTTGCGATTTTAGTGTTAGGTATATTTTAAAGTCGTTTCAAGTGAGGGTGAAATATTCAGATACATTAAAGGAATTTCAGAGTATAGGCAAATTGAGTCACCCTCGTAATAATCTCACATTTCAGTAATTTGATAATCTATGGATTTTCAAACATTTTTATCATCCACTAATTAATTGATCTGTCAATTATCATTACCGCTTAATTTGTGTAGGAAATTAAGAGAAACTATTGATTTTGGCAGGAGCGCATTGAGTTCAGGAAGATTCTATTGGGCATTCAGTCGGAGCGTCACAGATGGTCGCAGTGTGTTGAGTGGACAAACAAGAAGCTGGGCATGGCGGTGGGAGCACTCTTTATTCGGGACAACTTCAATCAGGAGAGCAAGGAAACGGCCCTGGAGATGATTCACACCATTCGGGAGGCCTTCAATGAATTATTAGCTGACATTCACTGGATGGACGATGAAACACGGGCAGTGGCGAAGGAGAAGGCAGACGCAATGAATGAACGTATTGGATATCCGGAGATTCTGACGGATTCACAGGAGTTGGAGAAGGAATATGTGAATCTTACAATCTCAGACACTAACTTCATGGACAACATCATGCAGATTCTCAAGTGGGATGCACAAAGGAATCTCCAGCTGTTAAGGAAGGCTGTGGACAAGGACAAGTGGACTACTGAGCCGGCCGTTGTGAATGCCTTTTACAATCCAAATAAGAATGACATTGTTTTCCCAGCAGGAATCCTGCAGCCACTTTTCTACAGCCAGAACTTCCCCAAGTCACTGAATTACGGTGGGATTGGTGTAGTGATTGGACACGAGATCACGCATGGCTTTGATGATAAGGGGAGGCAATTTGACAAGGATGGAAATATGATGCAGTGGTGGAATAATGCAACTATCCAGGCGTTTAGAGAGCGCGCACAGTGCATAATTGACCAGTATTCCAAGTACAAGATCGACGAGGTGGGATTGTACATGAACGGGAGAATGACTCAGGGGGAGAATATTGCTGATAATGGGGGTCTGAAGCAAGCTTTCAGGGTAAGTATGACAGTTATTCCTCAATTTATGATTAATATAATAATATTCAACTTTTTCTAGGCCTACAAGAAGTGGGTGAGAAACCATGGAGCAGAACCTGACTTGCCAGGACTCAATCTCACGCACGATCAACTCTTCTTTCTCAATTACGCCCAGATCTGGTGTGGATCAATGCGTCCTGAGGATGCTCTCACTAAGATTCGCTCTTCTGTGCACTCACCTGGCATTATTCGCGTGCTCGGACCATTATCTAATTCCAAGGACTTTGCGGCGGCCTATAAATGTGATTTGGGCACCCCTATGAATCCCGTCAACAAGTGCAGTGTGTGGTGAAGATCTCCTGGTCATCGAGTGGAACAACAATACTTCATATGAACACTAACTATCGTCTTTTTGGTGCTCCGTTTAAGTAGCTGTAATTGATACTTTCTTCCGCGCCCCGCCCGTGTTTTTTGCACAAGGAACTACCTGACTATTATTTTATACTGATGGAAAAAAGATATATAGAAAAGCATAGTTCCTCACACAATCACCCAATTGCTTACAGCCATGAAACACCCCACGAAAAAAGTACATTAGAGATGCAATTGACAGTCATAAATATAGTATTTAGATAGTATTCTGTGTCAAGTATTATATCGTATATATTATGGCAATGAATGTTTACTACTGTACTTACTATTGCTATGGAAAAGTATTTTATTTGTAAAAATTACAGAAATTTGTGAGAAATCACGTGTTGTTGTCTGTTTTCTTTCAAAAAGCAAGGGAAGACCGTCAATTGCAAGGTGAGCCATGGAAGCCTACCAAATGTTGTGCTCAGATCCAGAGGCGCTGTAGTCGGTAGCTAGGAGTTTGTTTTTACAGCTGGATGAGTTGAATACCTCCGCTTTTCCAGCCTTTTCACTGGATTTTTAGCCTCTCCAGAGATGCCGAAGCGTGGACGACCGAGGAAAAAGAACGTCTGTGTGATTGTGTCAGACGAGGAGCCGATAATGTCGCAAGATTCGGAGGTGCAGAGCAATGAAGATGAGAAGGAAGAGGTTAACCAGGAAAACACTCCAGCTCCGGTTCCCAAGAGTGAGTTTCTGATATTTTATTGTAGAATATGCATTCCCAGAGCGTAATATTTGCTTTCCAGTTGACATGGAAGCGGACATATCTCAGTTGGAGGCACCGACTTTTACGACTATTCAGCGAGGGCCTCCGGAACCGATGTTGCGATTAAAGTGGAACCATCGAGTGAATCTCATAGGCGAAAAGGTGTTGAATCCAATGATTCACTGCTGTGACAAGTGCTTGAAGCCGATTTTGATCTATGGAAGGATGATTCCCTGTAAACACGTCTTCTGTCTGGCTTGCGCACCCACGGAACCTCTGAAGGAGTGTTTCCGATGTAAGGAGAAGGTCTGCAGGGTGGAACAATCTGGTCTGGGCTCGGTGTTTATGTGCACGCACGGGGGATCACGGTATGGCAGCAAAGGTTGTCGACGGACTTACCTCTCGCAGAGAGATCTTCAGGCGCACATCAATCATCGTCATATGCCACATTTGGTGGCCAATCAGGAGAATTCCAGCTCTGATGTGACCATGACTGAGCCACTGAAACCCACGCCGACAACAAATCCACGGAAACTCTCCGGAAGCGAGAATTCTGCACCACTCAGAGCCAACGTGAGGACTTCCCAGCAATACTCGGTCAATATTCCAGTGGTGCAGAGTCAACAAACCACTAGGACAAATCTTATCACGGTGCCTCTTCAGGATTCTCAACAATCGGTGATCTCGTCGATTGTGAGCATCGGAGGGCAGCAGGCGACTCAGCATGGAGACATTGGAGTGTCCTCTAATCCGTACTTTGCCATGAGCACCGCTCAGAGCCTATATTCGCAGGGCAGTCAAAACTTCTCCAGCATCACCTCACTTGTGCACAGCGCGGCTGCTAATCAAGTGACCATGGCCAGCCAGCAGGCTAGAAACATGAGCAATCTGCCACCGAGTACAATGGCTAATCAGAACCCTGCCACCACTGCATCCCAATTCTTCAATCAATACTCCGGACAGAACCAATATTATCAGGTGAGATCAATGTCTAGTATTCCTAGTATCTATGAAACGAATTCTCAGTTTAGCTCCGCAAGCTCTTATTCATTCATATTCTTTGTAACACTTCAGAACTCCTCTGGATACGATCAGCAAATGTACAATGCCAATGTGCAGCAGAATCAGCATTGGAACCAGCAAAATCAACAATACTATAGATAGATACATAAGAGCCAAGTATGTTGACCTTTTTTTCTTTTCATTTTCCCTCTTCGAACCCTTCGAACACTTTCTTGTGAATAAAGTGTGTGCAAAGTGGAATAAACTTCCCCGCTTGAAATGTAAGAATTTTATCTCTTCGGATTAATCACTTCCGGATGATTTTCGGGCCAATTGATTGTCTATAATAGGTACAATAGAAAGATAACACGCCTCTAAAAGATATGTGGGCAGTCCAAAAATATTCCGCAGTTGACTTTTGAGAGTGAAATCATGAAGATTACCGTGCAAATTTTCCTTATTATCCTCCCTGCCTTAGTATTGGCGGGAGATTCCTTGAAAGATTTCTCTGCGAAGACAGAGGAATTCCAACATCAGGTGAATCAACAGATCAGAGGAGTGAAAACATCCTACTCTCGAGACACTTCTATGGAGTTGGTGCAAATGTGGCTGTCTGTGGATGAGACTCTAGGCGATATAGACAACCTGAAGATGGGCATTGGGGGCATGATAGAAGCATCTGAGATGAACTGTGTGGAGAAATGCCCAACAAAGTATGATGAAGCGATTCAGGAGGCTGATGAGGGATATCAGATCTGCTTAAGAGAAACCCACAACTCTGCAGAAGGTCTCATCAAGGATTTCCTGGATAAACTGCATAAGGAGTGGCGAGAGAGGAATAATTTTCAAGTATCTAAGCTTTTTGAGCTTTTTCATGGTGAATTGAAAGGAAAACTCGACATTCTCCAGAGCCTTCAAGCTGATATGAGTGCCAAAAGCCTGACTTGGGACAACGTGGCGATGATTAATCTCACCGCTGGTGAGACAATCAGCAGAGATGACCTGAAGAGGAAAGGCATAAGCAGCTTCACATGTTTCATGATCGTAAGAAATACACTGTTTGGGAAGATCAAAGAGATTGAGGCCTTCCTCAACGACAACTGCTTGGAATCCCCACAAGAAATATACAAAATTTATCCACGTGCAGATGAAATGCATTAGTACAGCAATTATTTAAATAAAGAATATAAAAATCAGGTGACTGTTCCTAGAATTTTCCTGACGAGATCGTGAAGTGCACTTTTCCATCTTCGCCCAAGTGCGACTGCGTGTGCGTAAACTGTCCATTTTGGCTGGTGATGCTGGACGTGGAGCCCTGAATTCTCACCGGTTCTTCCTCACCGAAACGTGAGTGAAGGCCACTGGGTGGCGTGTTGACGCTAGAGCTACTCGAGACGCCCGAGTAGACATTCCCTGGGGCTGGAGCAAAAGATTGCTGATGGCCAAAGGGAGCGCCAAAGCCAGGCTGGAATCCTGTGCCTCCATAGGGATTCGCAAAGTAGATGGGATTGTGTCCTGTTGAGGAACTAGACGACGCTGAGGCTGATGATGATGACACCTGAGCGGATCGCCTGAATCTGTTCATCTGGAGAGACAAATATCCGGTAAATTAACACATTATTCAATACATTAACACTGAATATTTTTATGTAGCGAAAAGCGGGGCAATTTCAGAGAAGGAACTCATATTTTCTCAACAAATATTCATTTGATTTTTTTTTACCACAATATATACAGAAAAATCGATGCTAGAAGTTACCCTACTCTCTCCTATTCAAAGAGTTGAGATATGATGTTTAGGTTTTAATTTGTGTAATTTTCACTGGACCATTGTACATATTTATATATATATATATATAAGATTTTTCAGCGGAATGTATGACGAAATCAATGATTATTGGAAAATACTCACGACTCGTTTGAAAAATTGGTTATTATTGGATGTAGTTTTCATGTTTTGCAACAACTTCTAACTACCCACTTAATGAAAAAGTCATAAGAAGCGACTTCATGCGTAAAATACCATGCAAAATTAATTCTTAAAGACGGCGAAACAATATTTGCTGAATATTTATTATGGGAAGGAGTTGATGGACAGAAACTCACCGTGGCTGGATGAAGTGGAAAGTAGTTCAGGAGTTCGCCATGCTCGTCAACCGTGAATGCCGCCTTTGGGACGTAGTGACCGTACTCTGGAAGTGAGAGAGATGCTGATTAGCCTATGCGGATTTTTTTCTCCTGTAATTTGTGATGCGCTCGACACTGAGTCAGTGAGTCTCAAAATACACATTACGTAATCTCTGGGCAATTAACATTGAAGTCTTTTGTGCCCAGAGGAGGAAAAAAGTGTCCACTATCATTCAAGCAAGAAATAAAATGTACTGGCAAATGTGAAGGTGGCCAGAGTAGCCAAGAACAGTCCACACAGCAGAGTCTTCATGTCTTCCTGGAGCGAGAAGAGCGATAGGAGTAAAAAGTGTCTCAGAAAATACACAGAATCACTGAAGTTATGTGGGTAAAGCCAGACTGAAGGTGATGGAGAAGGAGCATCTTTTATATGAGGAAACCCCCACCACCATCATCGCATCTCTCTTGACCAGATGAAGAATACATCATGACGTGTTGATGATCAAGGTTCTCTGTCTCTGTTTATCAGTAGAGGAGCTGAAACAGGTATTTTTTGCTCTATGCCGAAAGCTCACAACTATGAATCAGCGAGGAAAGGGAAATAAAAGGTATTTTTGTATGAAATTACCTAAAATTCACATCTATAAAATCTATACTGTTATCCATTAAGATTTGATCTGTGGCTCAGGAGTCGTCTGAGAAGATTCGGGAGGCAGATATTGAGCTGGTGACAAAGTCATAGACCCCAAAGAAGATTGTTCCACCAATTGAGATCCACATGACACGCGGAACAAAACCGGCAAAGAGCCTGAAATGAGAAAGAAATTAGATAAAGAAAGTAATTTATGAAACATTCTTACCCGGAAATGCCTTCTCGAGTGTAAATCTTCCTTAGAACCCCCATGATGCTGGTTTTCTGGGCCTCTCCTTGCGCAGCAAGCATTATTCTTGTCTTGGCTACGTCAAAGGGAGTGGTAATTCCACCGGCAATCGCTCCTGCGAGGGCTCCACAAAGGGCCACTTGAGAACTGGCCAGAGATTCACCAGTGGATTGACTCCAGGTGGCTTTGAAATATTCCCAGAGTGGAAATTGGATAAGAGAGAAGGGAATTTCTCTGGATAGTGTCGTCCCGAAGCCTCGATAGAGTCCCTTGACAAAACCCTCATTTTTGAGAGCGTGTCTAAGAATATTGATGGCAGATCTGTTTCCCTGCGTCAAGTCCTGCCTTCGCTGCTTGGCTATTTCCACAGGAACACGGATAAGACATGCTGCCACTTCTCCCAAACTGGCTGAAATCATATGTACGACTGGCGTGTGGAGTTTCAGGAAGTCCTGTGAACCCAGAATGGATTTGGAGGTTTCATAAGTGCAGAAAAAGAGCGCTGCACAAGGAGCACTTCCAGCGGCAGCGGGTAGGAAGCCTTTGTATATTTTAGAAAGGCCACCAGACTTCCAGAAGCCCTTCTCACTCTGCAGGCGGGTTTTTATGGTGTCCACAGGGAAGAGGACAACATCCACAACCGTTCCAGCAACACCTCCGCTCTGTAAAAGGACAGAAATCCGATTAATCTTCACAGGATTCTTCACAAATCCTATTAGAATACTCACAATGAGAGATGTGAAAAACAATCCTGAACTACTCATATTGGGAAAATTATGCTTTTCACCGAAAATGCAAGGAAAACATGTTTGACTGCAGAGAATTGTGTAAATACCATGCAAGTATTCCTAAGATTTGAGGTTATGTCTCACCGGTAGTGAATGTTTGAACTAAAAGCTCCGTTGGAAGTCTTTAGAGAAAAAGAGATTTACAAAAAAGAATTTATTTCTTTTAAAATGCTTTTTGCACATTTCTCCAAAGGAAAGTATATCTGGAAAACGAACGAGAAAGTACATAAACTGTGGTTTTCATCGCTTTTTTCGGCTGCTGCAGGGAAGAAGTCCAGGAGAAGAATATCAAAATAAAAATGCATCTCTGTCTCTTGTCTCTCGTGTGGGTGCACGTCGTCTTCACTTAGTCTTGACTTTTCCAGAATTCTGTTCCACCTCGGGAACATCACTGTCCGCCTTTTTCTCCTTCTTCGCCTTGTCCACTTTCGCTGGCTTGGTCTTTTTCAGTGCCTTCAATTCGGCCTGTTTCTCGCGCCTGTTGCGCAGGAATTCATTGATAAATTGGAAGATAAGGTAGCCCTGGAGGCTGTAAACCACGAACAAGGCCAAAATGCCGTAGTGGCCAAGCTCTGTGGTGCCGATGCCGTAAAAAAAGGTCAATACGGAGAGCACCATTGTGGAGAAGCGCATGAAGACGAAGACAATGTTGCTGAGGACACGAGCTACAACGGAAAAATGATTAGAAGGAATGAAAATGAGTGTCCAGAAAATCATTTTACCATTGGCCATCTTCTCATGCTTATCGAAGATCTCCAGGAGTTGGAAAAAGTGCGTAATAACTTCACTGAAGTAGTGGAAAGTGAGGAGGACGACGCTAATTCTCTGGAAGCTGTAACGAGAAGGCGAGAATTAGAAGAAAAGCTAAAAGATGAGGAATATCAAATGTCCCACCTGGTGCCATAGGCGAATGAGACGAAAAAGAGACCCGTTGTGGAATGGCGAATCTTTTCTCTCTGATCTTCCTTCTTCACCTTCTGGAAGTACAGTTCGGGCAGCATGTGGAGATAGTAGGCCAGTTGGATAATGAAGTAGAGCTTGTGGAGGAAGGTCATTGGATGATCCGGATAGTCCTCCCACAGACTGGACAAACGGCTAAGGTATTGCTCTCTGAGCATCACCTCGAAGCCCCAGAGGAAGGACACCAAGTAAAAGACGACCAACTGCCCGGACTCGTTGAAGCGGGACAGCTTGAACTTAGACAGGTGGAGTTTCTTGGAAATTTTCTGCAAGGCAACAAGGACATAAGAACGACGTCCTGACAAAAGGAATTCGCCACAGGATACTCACATCGAGGACATATTCTTGGAGTATTGCGTGCATGATGATGCAAATGAGCATGTAGAAGAAGACAGCACAGAAGTCCTTCCAGCCAGCCTCGTAGAAGAAGGGCACCCCGCGTGGGTTCTCGGCCGAGGCCTCCTCGCCCGTGACATTGTGGTGGAGCGTGACGAAGACACTCGCCAATTGACTGGTTGTCTGCAATGAAGTTCATCAATCAAAATCCACGTGGCATTTTTGGGGGGAGACCATCTGAATCAACAGTGTGAAGGTCACATGAGTTGCCACCTACCTGAATCATGAGACCCACGACAAACACCATGGCAATGCAGGACACGATGTCCGCATGATTCTGGATGACGAATTCATGGCTCAGAATTGGTGGATTCTTGCTAGAACTCTTTCTGCCGATCGGCTTAATGGCCATCTTTCGTGTATGATTCACAGAAGCTGCACTTGTTACTCAACACACCGCTGCCACTGTCTCTCTAACGCTCACAAAGCTTCCTTGGCTAATTCCGGAGGGCTCTTTGAGAGAAAATCCCTGCACTCTGCCTAACCTCACTTTCGCCTGCTAACGTCACCAAGCAGAGAAGGGCTCCTGAGGGCACCGCTCACGCATCCACCGCACTGCACTTGTTGTCGTCGAGCTTCTGGACCAGCGGCTGCCAGTATAATCACATTCGGTGCTCTACTGTTCGGCAATTTACCCCAAAACTGCAGCTCCTTCACGGTCTCGTCGGCCAAATCATCACAACAGAGCACGCGCAACTCCTGATTTTGCCGCCACGGGGCAGCACGGTGGATCCAGTACAAAATGTGCCGTTTTTCTGTGTTTACAGCTATTGGTATTCATTGAAGAGTTTATGGAGATTTAATAATAATAACACAAGGGATTTGCGCTATGAGCGGTTTTCTATTTGCTTTACTCCCCTTACTTGCTCATAAAGACGATTTTTGAACTTCACGCGAAGGAAAACAGCTTGTTAATTAGTATTATCGGTTTTATCAGCTATCTTTCAGACAACAGAATCACAACTCTGGACAGGTGTATTTGGCTTAACCTGTGAATTTGTGTTCAAGCTGTCAAATTAGGGAAATTGCATTCTTTCGCAGCGAGAAAAGTTACGATTATTACGCGTTTTCCATTTTAAAACTACAAAGATTCCATCGTAGTCGTTATGGCAGATCCCAAGTTTCTCAATCTTCCAGGAATTGTGAGTATTGGAAGTAAGGTTCATGAAGAAGTGACGTCATTGGGGTGTTGTTTCTTCTTTGGGAAAGGTTTACGACCAGCCGGACGTTTATGAGACTCCTGATGTGCCGGAAGTGGAGACATCGGACTATTACGATGAAGATCCCGAGAATAGCGCGATTGAGTGCCTTCAGCTGTCCACCAAGGATTGTTTCAACAAGTTCAAGGGGAAGTACCTGAAGGGAGATGTTGACTTCTCGGATAGGATCAGCAAGAGAACGCGCACGGGATACGCTGCCCGGTCTGGATTGTGGGAAATCAACGGTGAAGGTGGCCGAGAGACTCCGCTGCAGAAGTACAGACGCCTCCAGTGTGAAATGCATGAGTTGCTGGATGAAATGTCTGCAATCCAAGCGAATGCGCAGACAACGAAGGAGGAAAAGCAGTCTTATGAGGTGATTTCTGGTGTCGTGAGCTCGGCCAGTAAGATTCTCAAGTGTCTGCACTTTGAGGAGGTTCTGGGAAAGGAAACAATGTCGAAGAATACGGAGCTGGAGCTGAAGAAGCTAGTGACTCAGGTAGAGGAGTTCAAGAAGGCAGATACTGTGATGCCCCCGATCACTGATATCCACCTGGCGCAGGAGAATCGTATAGCTGAGCTGGAGCATCGACTGCACACACTTGAGAAGGCTATTGGGGCGAAGCCTGAGAAGTTGAGTCGCCTCATTGGCGCTCTGGGAGTGAGTAATCTTCTGGCCGGTGTGCAACAGCTTTCAGCCAAGACGGCTCTTCTGCAGCCTGCTCAGCTGGATCTGCTGGAGACGCGACTTCTTGGCCTGGCCAATAAAATGAACGCTGTGGCGGAGAAGACAGCCACCACACCGCAGGAGAGTGACCGAGAGGCTAAAGTTATGGAGCTGTACAAGATTGCTAAGCGCACAGAGCCAATTGTGCAAATCCTCCCTGAAATGGTGGCCAGAATGCAGTCTCTAGAAGCCCTCCACAAGTATTCCTCAAACTTTAGTAAAGCTATCGCTGAATTGGAAGCCAGCCAAACCATGATTCTCACGGGATTGTCCCAGAACAAAGTGCTACTCCAAGAAATTCAAGAGACTTCAGCAGTGCAGTTCGATAATCTCCAGAAGGAAGTAAAGAAACTGGAGGATAGGCTCAATGCCATTAAGCTTCCCAAGTAAATCACGCATCTCACAACACTCAGCTTCGCTTTGAATATTTTAATATATCCCGCAAATAAATATTTCGCACATTAATTTTAGGATGTCTTTCTGAGATGTTCCTTGACGTGCTGCGGTATTTTAATTCTCTTCCGTTTATTGTTGTTTTCAGTGTTGATTAACTGTTCCTGATTAGGCTTTTTCTTCTTTTTCAAACAGGACAGAGGATTTGGATTCTTTTTCCTCTTCTTTTTGATTTTCTGGACTTCCTTGGGTTCTACTTTCAGAGTTCCTAGGTCGTTGAGTTGCCTTTCAAGTTGTTCGTTTATGGAGGCTTTTGTAGTGTCCGACGGCGCCTCAAAAACAGGTGTCACACCATGGAAATATAACAGAGGTTGTCCCGGACGTCTCCTGCACCACTTTTGCAAGCTCTTGTCTTGAGTGGCTACGATGTAGTGACTTTGGGGCGCCAAAGACTTGATGCAAGCTGATCCGGAAATCTTCTCACTATCATGATTGCACTTGTGGACAGCGAAAGACTTTAAGACAAAGGTTGTCTTGGAGAATGTGGCTCCCAAGCTCTCAGTCTCCATAATGCAGCATCTAGTGGTGATGAACTTCACTTCGGCGCCCAGGTAATTCTTGATTTGATCATTTATTTTGATTTTCTTCTGCAATGACGGAATGTAAACAATCAGACAAGGCACATTTTTCACCTCAATTCCGAGTGATAATTACACTGAGTGCATGGTGGCAGAAAGTAGCATCCACAAGAACTTGATAAGGCTGTCTGAAGCCATAATTTAGCTTGTAGAAATCCAAATATTTGAGCAATTTGTTTCGCCTCTTCACTTTCATGGTGATACTTTTAAACACGTGCGCTGTCAATATGCTGCTGTTGAAGGGGTTCTTTTAGACGAGTTTGAAACTGGGGTTTTTATACAAGTATAACGGACATTTTGGGGAACTTCATGGAAAACCCGGAAATTTTGCCTTTTTCCTTCACATGTGCAAAAATGCCACGAAAAACACCCGTAATCCTGGGATAAATCTTCATCTAAACACTCTTCTATGTGGCTACGTGATAGCACGTGCCGGCCATTAGGCAAAAAATCCGGGTGGCAATAAGAAAAATCAACACAGAGCGACTGTTTCAAGTGGCGAGATTTTCATTTCGTGACACAGCAAAATAATTCGCGTGGGCTGAAAAAATAAAGAAAATCCTACAGCGTGTATTTCACAAAGCGGGTGGAACAAGAAAAATAGGGAAGATGTGCGCGCTCTTTTTGTGTACCGCCATGGAATGAGGACAAAGTGGGGATGTTCCTTTAGCTCCTTTTACCATTGTTTGCACCAGGGATTTAATTGGAATCTCATGGAAAGTCATACAAATTTGTCAAATTCCCATCATCGCACCCTCGCATGTGTTTTCAGAACAAAGGCACGCGAGAGAAATCAATCTCCCTGGCGGCGAAGACAATAATAAATCATGTTATTTGTAATTATCACATTTAACGATTAAATTAATTGAATAATGACGAAGGGAGGCTTTTTTCGCCTGGCCTCCCACGCACAAGAAGTGAGGAACAGTTGTAGAAAATCCCCCGAGGTTTTTCTCCGACACTCTCTGTGTGTGAGATTCCCTTGGCATCTCCCCATCATTTTGTGCCTTTTTTGCCCATTGATGCTGCTTCTCTTGCCTAATTATCATGTAGCATGAAAATTGCTTGGCGTATCGTCAAACAAACAAAAAGACCACGCTTCCACCCACACCTCATCGCAAATTGCCTCGCACAGGCACTCATTTTTCACCCAGGGTGAAAGATTTCTGGTCGGGCTGTGCGGAACATTTGGTCTGATTCTCATATAAATACCAAATATTTTAATCATTCACTTCTCTCTGGATGGCAATCGGTATTCATACCCACTTTTGGGGATGTTCGTGAAACCGCACGGTGGAAAACCCATTCCCCACTTCTTTATGTTGAGGAAATAGAGCTATGAGGTCAGAAAATTTCACACAGTCAGGGGAGAGAGGCTCTTAACCACTCTTAACCTAGAATAGCTATTTTGAAATCAGAAAATGTGTCCATAACTTTGCACAAAAAAGACATTCACTCTCTAGGCGCTCTTTGCTTTTTATCCAAAATCTAATCAATTTATGATTAAAAAACATGCATTTTTTTTAAGTTTTTATGTTGCATGGCTGTATCTGTTGTTCTAAACTACAAGAACAATGTCTACATTTTTTGCAAGCAGAAATTGTCAGTCAATTTTATGTAATTCAATCGGTTTCTAAAAGACGTTTTTTTTTTCAAAGTATAGCCGATTATGTTTTATATATGTAAGTAGAAAGGTCGGTAAACATAAGGATATTACCTACTTTTTCATTTCTCGATTGCTAAAAACCGATCAGAAATTCCACACTCAAACAATAGTCCTTAAGATGAAACACAAATTACAAAATATTCATTTCAGAAAAGAAATATTAATTTTTTTTTTGACAAAACCGTTAAGTTTTAGTATTTAGTAAAAATAGATTGTAGAAAGATACTTTTAAAAACTTCGGTATAAAAGTTTTGGTTATTATTGTTAAAAAAGAATATTTCAGAAAAATTATTCTAGAGTTTGTATAGGAAATGTTATATATTTTTTAGACACAAATTCCATTTTTATCAAATTTTCAGTCTGAAATAAAGCGAATGAAAAAATAAAACTGAAATACATTTTATTAAACGAAATACTAATTTATAAATTTTCTCCTGCACAAAATTAATGATTTTCTAATGAAGAGTCTTATAATGTGATACTTTAGTGAGATCTAATTTATGTTAACACTTTTTCCTACGCATCCAATGTTCATGATAATTTTACCCAAGTAAAAAGGGATGATTTTATTCATTTTGTGTTATAGAATCCTTTAACAAAGCGAAATTTTCAGCATAGCGCATAGCAATGATGAGTGTTGTTTATAAGGAGAATATGTGTATGCAGAAACGTATTTTCGTTGATTGGAAATTCGGTGAACATGGTGAATATGAAGTCTGTAATGTGAATTCGGTTGATGAAAATCGAAATGAGGCATACAAACTAGCAAAAAGCTAAAATATGCAAACGCAAAAAGTCACAATGGATCGTCAACAAACAAACACCACCAATAAGTGTAACTTTCGGGTGTGTAGCAACTGGGACTCCGCCCTTATCTCGACTTACTGGTGCTTTGACTGGCTAATATGACCGCAGTTTGGCAACAATACGTCGACGGTGTGGAAAAGGCAACTTCGGGATGTCATACAGACATTCCGACTCTCACACTCCTGCGCACATCGCAGTCACATCATGGATGCGATGCTCCATGCGATGTGGCTTTTTCCCCAGTGGATTTTCCGCCATGGCCCTAGATGAGACTCCACAGAGATGAATTTGGGGCACTTTTGGTGTTATTCTGTGCGAAAAATATCCTAGCAAAAACGGTCCGATTTTACCCCATTTTGTGCCGAACTGTGAGATGAAATTCCCCTTGACGCATGAACCGAAGGGTGGAGAAGCTAAAATTCCACGAAGTCGCTTCATCATCGATTTACTATTCCAAATGTCCTAATGTCTTCTCCGCTTCGACTTCACTCCGCCCAAACCACACGGTGCGTTATCCTGCCATCCAGAAGCCACGCCCTGTAAGACACAATGTCATATTTAGATGATCAGTCTCCGATAGGGGTGTCCGTTCTGACTACCTTACTCTTCTGGGCGGAAGTCAATTTACCAAAACACCATCCAGTTTCACTCTCACCAGTCTTGCCTTGGCACTTCTCCATCTCAAATCGCCACCTGCAGATTTCCAGTTTTTCTGCAATAATTTCCATTCAACTCCAAGAATCTCCATTGAGGAAGTGATTCCTGGACCAAGTGTGATGTGTACTTTGTGAAGTGTGAGAGATTGGAGAGAGTGTAGTGAATTTGAGTCTAGGAGAAAAATGGGAACAGGTAATTCTGAAAATTAAAATACACTGTTCACGCGTACTTTTTTATTATTACCTTCCCCAAAATGTCCCCTTTTGCGGAACACAAATTCCCGGATTTTCTCCCCATTCGGTTGGCGTGTGTTACAGAATGTCCCGTGTTGATTTTTAATGCAAAAATGTGCAATAGTGCATGATGGTGTAAGCTGAGGATTACGGGGTTGAGTGGAGGGATTATAGCTCGAGGCCAGAGGATATTATTTCATGGGTGGCATCAGCCTGTGAAAATCACCCAAATGATATTTAAAGCGTGCTGAACTGGACATAATCGTGTGTTTAAGGTCACAAACCGGAGGGTAGTATAGCAATTTGAGTAGAAAATTCCTCATTTCTGCGGATTCTTCATTTGCCTAATAAAAAAAATATTTAAAGGTTTCTCATTTCCTTTTAGGCGAAGTTTAAAGATTTTCTGAAAAGTGTTAAAAATGTTAAAGGCCCGTAAGGAATTGTTCATAAACACAAAAAGTTTCGTGAGTTTTTTTCAAATTCACGAAGAAATCGAAACGGTGATTCAGCGCAAATTATACGTTTTAATTTATATACAGAATATCCAATTTATAGTTAACAGCACTTTGTTACTTTTACTTCTTTTATTATAATCTATTTAAGAGTTTTTTTTTACATCAATATATAACCCACCTTATAATTATTTACTGTCAAATGTATTCTATTAATTCATTGAACCCTTAATTTTGAAAACCCAAACGCTGCAAAACTTTTTAAGATCCAGGACCATCATTTTTGGCTAGAATTTTGAGGCGTTGTTATTATAGAATATTTAAGATAGTCACATGAATATTTTCATGATAGATGATGGTCTTGACTGCAGATGGTTTTGTGAATATAATTTCTTCAAGATCGTATTTGTAAATCGTTGAAATTCAACCAATTTTTTTACTCGTTCAGGTGACCGTCTACTGGACATTCCGTGCAAAGTCTGTGGGGACAGGAGCAGTGGGAAGCATTACGGCATCTACAGTTGCGATGGCTGTTCCGGCTTCTTCAAACGCAGCATCCACAGGAATCGGATTTACACCTGCAAAGCCACAGGTGAGATGAAGGGGCGCTGCCCGGTAGACAAGACGCATCGGAACCAGTGCCGCGCCTGTCGACTGGCCAAGTGTTTCCAGTCATCGATGAACAAGGACGGTGAGTGATGAATTTGAAATGCCCATTGATTTCGCCACGCCCCAAATTCACACTCAATCCAACAATCGAGGGAAATTAAAAATGAAGAAGCCAAGTTCCTAAGAACAGCGAGAAGCACTTAGCGTGATAATTTTCAAAGGCTGAGATCCCACATTAGGATGGAATTTTGCTGTTGAAGAGGCGTTGTGGGGGTGGCACACATGAAGGCACCCCCGAATGTATTATTCACGCAAATACAATCATGTTAAACATTTGGTGCAGATCTCACGCCATCATTAAATTAATCTCTTCTTAGTTTCCTTGTGAAATGTAACATTCTGTGTGGCTGTGTTACCCATTTATTCTTTGGGAAGAGGAAAAATGCCCTAGAGAGAGAAATTGCACAATATATAGTTTTCGTGTGGTGCTGGGGATATAAAATATCTTTCGCCCCGACGGAACTTAGTGTAATTTCCGTAAAAAGTGTACACCCCAACTCGGGAAAATTGTGCGCCATGGGCAATAATGTCGCGATTTTAATTGATTTTTCCTGGCTCCGGCGGTGAACAATAAAAATGCCTTGGGCCTATGGATGATTGTCTCTCCCCTTGAAGCTGTACAGCACGAGCGCGGCCCCAGGAAGCCGAAACTGCAGCCAACATCGCAGCACCACCACATCCAACAGCACATTCCGATGTCGCTCGTGGCAAATGTGTCGGCGTCATTCAATTACTCGTCACATCTGACCAACTCCCAGCCCAGCTTCGCCCAGGCCGGTGTGATGCATCCAACTACGAAGCCGCCTCTGCCCTTCCCGCCCATCGCCCACCACACCATCCAGCACGCCCTGCTGCAGCAGCCGCCAAAGTTGGATCCCACCAAGATGTGCCCTGGTTACGATCTGCACAGCCGCGATCTATTTGGGCACATCAACCACCTCTCGCCGTCGCCCACGCACACGATCAAGAGCTCACCCAGCATCGATCCATCGTCATCCGAGGGCCTGGGAAGTCCACAGCCGGCCGCTGAGAGCGCGGCGAATCGGCAGAATGGCCTCCTCGACATCCTGATGAACTCAGACAAATGCCAGGTGAGGTGAACAAACTCCCATCTCGCCCAATCACCCACACCCGCGCCTTTCCCAACATGTTTACTTTGAATTTCCACCCCCGTCGTGCGGACCCTCGTTTTCCGTACCCTTGCGTGGCACGAGATGCTGCATCAGAAGCATTACTGCTCTCCCTATGTTCCGACGAGGTACCTTTTCACACGTCTGAGGTGAACCATGTGGGCCTTTGTCCGGCACAATGGCTCAGTTTGCCGAAATCCATTGAGATATTTTATTACGTGCATTGTGAGGGAGTTAATTTAGTTACAGAAGAAGGGATGCGGTTGTGAGATTTCCCACCTAATTTTTTACAATGTCATTTTGCATAAAAGTGCTATTTTGTAACAAAATCAACCTGGAAAATCCAAAAGTGAATCAAAGTGTGAGGGGGTACATATTAAAACTCCCTATTTCCTTATCAAGAGGTCTCAATAACTGAGAAGTAGTCTCTAATCTTAACATTTAATTTTATTACGTTCCTTATAAAGCTTCATTTCATATTTATAAGTATGAAATAACAAATTTAAGGCCATCTACTTACGCCCCATAAATTGTAAAATCTTTACCCTTTGCACCGGAGAAATCAGGAAAATTTATTCATTTTTCCATTATAAGACTGAATAGCAAAGAACGTTTTTCTTCAAACTATTCTTTCTCTCGCTTATTCCAGGAGTTTATCCAATATCAAGTGCACAACACCATCATGTTTCCACCACCACCACCGCCGCCGCTGTCCGCCGGCAGCGCAAGCTCATGCGGAGCCCCCATGGACATACGTCTGCCCTCGTGGGAGATCCTCCAGGAGACCACGGCGCGTCTTCTATTCATGGCAGTGCGATGGGTGCGCTGCCTCGTGCCATTTCAGACGCTCTCCAAGGGGGATCAGCAACTCCTGCTCCAGGTATTGTGATTGTCATCTTCTCCACTTCGCAATTTGAAATTCAATCGAGAACAATTGAACATCTTCCCCGCTTTCGCTGCGAAAGCTGTAAGCGCGACTTTTCGACCCGGATTTTCCACACCTTTTGTATATTTTACACATTAGAGCAGCTCCCCGTTTAATGGTGGAAAGCACAACAAAATAATCAGATTTGGGTAATTGAAACCCCTCAGTAAAAGGGTGCTCCTCGGTGTGCTTTTCGCCGGATTCGGGCGCGATTTGGGGGAAGGAGGGTGGTTTTAGGCATGCCGACGGATGAGAAGACGGGATTTGTGGGTGTTAATTCATGCAGACTCTGTTTATCTTACGGCACAGGAGTCGTGGAAGGAGCTCTTCCTCCTCAATCTGGCCCAATGGGGCGTGCCCTTTGATTTGGGCGTCTTGCTGGACAGTCCACATGTGAGGGATCGCGTGCCTCAGGACGCCACTACGCTTACAGAGATGAAGACGATGCAGGAGATTCTCTGCCGTTTCCGCCAGATCTCGCCGGATCCCAGCGAAGTGGGATGCATGAAGGCGGTAATTCTCTTCTCACCAGGTGAGATTATTCCATCACAATCTTTAACCCTTCACTCGTAGGATGGGGTCTCTTTGCAGAAACTCCCCGCTTATACGACATTCAGCCCGTAGAGATGTTGCAGGATCAAGCGCAGTGCATTCTGTCGGATCACGTGCGCCTCCGCTATCCACGCCAGCCCACGCGATTCGGCCGGCTTCTACTGCTGCTGCCCTCGTTGAGGGCCATCCGAGCGTCCACCATTGAGGCCCTCTTCTTCAAGGACACCATCGGTGCTGTGCCCATCGCCAGGCTGCTCACGGACATGTACCAGATGGAAAAGTACGCCGATATTGAAAAGTAAGTTGGAAAAGTTTCTTCTCTCGCTTCGTTCCTTTTCCCTGTACATACATAAGTTCCTCCTAATCCCATTGCCAAAGAGCGAAAAGTTGTAGACTTTATGAAATATAGGAGTCAAATAAATTAACTGTCCAAGTGATGAATAGTTTTTCTTAGGTGAAAATTGCCACTACTTTATCATAAAAATTATTTATGAGCCCTTTTGTAAGCTTCTGGAATCCACATGAACAATTCTCTTTATTGTCTCTGCCACAAGAATTGCTACAAAGAAGCTTCTTCATGCCATTCGACGCTCCAACGGAACTCAAAGATCCATTTTCTTGTCGTATAAAGTTCACACAAACACCAAAAGTACAAGGCTAGACAAATATTTGGCAGATTCAATTTTCGTTCAAAAAGACTTGCATCTCAAAAGGAAAGTGTTATCATGGTATGTCATTTAGGATTTATTTTAAAACTTACAAACTCTTATTTTCAGGAGTTCAAACTATGTGTGGTAAAGAGATTCGAAAAGGCAGTAAAATTTCTTTCAAAATTGTCATAAGAAATCCAACAAATTGTACGACTCATCCTGTGCCCATGATGGGGAGGACGTTGGATTTGTCTCTTCCCTCCGTGATGTCTTTCTCTCGCTGTTCAAATAGTGACGGGCGGAGTGGAAAATGGTAAATTGATTTCCTCCTCCTGCCTCTGTCCCCCATCACATTCTCCGCCTTGGCTTTATGAGCGCAATATTGTAAATCTCCTAAGCTTGGGTGGTGTCCCAGAAAAAAGCGAGGGATTGGCAAAGTTTGGAGCAAATTGTGAAGAAAATCGATCCGGTCGCGAGGGTGGGAGGGAAATCCCAATAAGCAGATTTTGAGCACAATTTACAAAATTCTCCTTCCTCGTCAGGGTGTTTATTTGAAACAAACAGGACCTACGTGGAAGCCAAAGGCCTGATTTGGGAGGCCATAGTCGACGGGATAGAAATCGATAATTGGCAAATAGTGGAGCTTTTTCGTCCTCACCTCGAAAACAGTTTCGCTGTTGCTCTTGCCGGACTGGAAATGTAGTAAATGAAGGTATTGATTAGTGTGGGAAGCTGCGGCTGATGGCAAAGCGACAGACTCACCTTGCATCCGTCATAGAGGACATTCGGGGAAACGATGGGATTGTCATGCGTTACTTCCACTTCATTATCACCCATGAATTTAATGGCTGTGTCATACTTTTGGAGTTTCTCATTGTACCACGGAGCACTGTTGATGCATGTGTAGGTGAAGTTCTGAACGCCCTCCTGAGAGAGGAGCCGCAAAAAAGTCATCTGCACTAATCCTGTCGTTTCGTACGTAATCTACAAAAGTGGGAGAGGGCAAAAGAGCAGTGGAATGAGTGTGAATTTGCCAATGTGTCGATGATCTCTATTAAAGAGGGTGGCAAAATCGCTCGAAAGGGGTTGAATAGAGGCTCAAGAGTGAGTGATACTCACTTGAGAACCACCACGTAGATTTGAATACCAATCCGTTTTGTCATTCTCCCGTCGCCACGGGATGTTCTGCATCTGGGAGGTGTGAGCGTCGGGAAATACACATGTTTCACCTTGGGCTGTTATGTTGCAGAAGACATAGATCGCATCATCAATCATCCCCAGGTTCGGATCAATCCAGTACCATCCTGTCAATGCCAAAGAATTAATCACCCATCCCCTCTCTCCACCACACTCTCGCCGCCCACTTACCGTTAGGAAAGTTGGGGTGGCCGTAGTATAGATCCTTGCAAGAGCGACTCGGATTGTCCTTTGTCCCAATGGGCTTCCGGATTCTCTCCAATTCGAGTCGCATTGCGTGAATTGAGCTGTACATGTCAAGGAATTGGGCACGCAAATCATCTATCTCTTTTTTTCTAGACCCAGATTTTCTCGCTGGGGACTTTGTTGTCATCCCCATGAACTCATTAAGCTCATCATCGTCCATATGCATGAATTTGTCTATCATTTCGAGATCTCTTTTCATCCTGTCCTCGCCCTTGGTCGGCGATTCATTGAGTTGAAACAGGATTTCGGGTGGTATTAGGGGCGGATCTGGCGACAGACCAGGGGGACCCGGAGGTCCTGGAGGTCCCATTTCACCTTTAGCACCAGCCACTCCTTCTGATCCCTTCGGGCCCATTGGTCCAATTGGGCCATTTTCACCCTGAGGTCCATCATTTCCTTTCATACCTATCATTCCGTCCTTTCCGATGTCTCCTTTCGCTCCCTCCGGGCCCATTGTCCCTCTCAGTCCCATATTCCCTTTGTCTCCTGGCTCTCCGATTTTACCAGGTGGCCCAACAAAGCCTCTATGACCCTTAAATCCTCTCAAACCCTTATCACCCTTCGCACCTTTCGGTCCAACATCGCCAATCTTTCCAGGAAGTCCATCTTTTCCCACAATTCCAGGGAGACCAATACCTCCAGCAGGACCCACAAGGCCAGGACTTCCCGGTGCCCCAACGGGTCCAGGTATTCCTTGTGGTCCGGGAATTCCTATATTCCCTGGCGCTCCTGGCAATCCAATGTCTCCTTTCTCACCTGGTAAACCCGGCCCACCTTGAATACCAGCAATTCCTTCAACACCCTGCCGGCCAGGTGCTCCTTGGTCACCCTGCTTCCCCATTGGACCCATTTCTCCAGGCAATCCAGGTTCTCCAGGCGTACCATCATCACCAGGCTTTCCAGGTTCTCCTTTAAATCCCGGTGAACCAGGTTCTCCAGGATTTCCAGGAAATCCTGTAACTCCTGGTGGTCCCTTAGATCCTTCAATACCCTGAGGACCAGGCTTTCCCGGCGGCCCAGGAACGCCTGATTTTCCCTCCTCGCCTTTCGGTCCTACTGCACCTCTTTCGCCCTGACATAAGAGGAAATTATGAAAATGTATTTGACTCCCGACGGTATTCTCACCTCTTTGCCAGGAAGTCCCACTGGACCAGGTGCTCCCACTGGACCGGCTTCACCTGTTTTTCCTTGAAGCCCTTGTAAGCCCGGACGACCTCTAGGCCCTTCAGCACCTCTCAATCCACGCCTTCCCATCTCACCAGGTGGCCCAGGAGGTCCAATTAGACCTAATAGAATAAAAAATGACGCAAATCTTTGAACTCCTCTTACATTCTAATAAAACATGTTTTACCTCCTACCCCATCGTCACCCTTTTCACCCTTGTCACCAGGAATTCCTGGAAATCCTTGGGAGCCCACAGGACCTGGAGGTCCGGCCAATCCGAGAGGCCCATCTTCTCCTTTTAACCCTCTATGGCCAATATCCCCAGGAGGGCCCTTTTCACCAGGCGCCCCTACAGGTCCAGGCTCTCCCCGAAGTCCTATCGGCCCGTCTGAACCCATAGGGCCCTAAAAATAATGATTGATTTCATACATTCACAGCGATATGCAAAAGTATACATACAGCCTCGCCTTGACTGCCTTTGAATCCCTTCTCGCCAGGCGGTCCCATTTCACCCTTATCTCCATCCTCACCAGGTGGTCCAATAGGCCCAGCAGGACCGGGAACTCCTCTTGGTCCCATCACGCCATCCCTTCCCATTGGGCCTGAAATTGTTCGCATTCTAGAACCTACGCTTTATCACTGTAAATTGAAAAATATTACCAACTGCTCCTTTATATCCAACTTCTCCCTTAGCACCGGGCGCACCCGCCGGTCCTGGAGGTCCAGCTCGACCTTCAGGTCCAGGAGGGCCCTCTTTTCCTCCTGTGCCTTGTTGTCCTTTATCACCTGGCAATCCTGGTAAACCCGTGAGGCCGATTTCGCCCTTCAATCCGGGAAATCCCGGTTGTCCGGTGTGTCCTCTTTCGCCTGGAAATCCTGGTAAGCCAGCAGGACCTATATCACCGGGCTTTCCCATTGGCCCTGGATGACCTGGTGGACCTTCTTTGCCTACATCTCCTGGTAAACCCGCTTCTCCTGTCATTCCAGGCACTCCCGGCTGCCCAGCCTCACCCTGAGGCCCTGGCTCACCCACTTGCCCAGGAGGACCAATTACTCCTATACTACCTGGAGGTCCCTGTGTCCCTGGGATGCCCTAAAACATAATTATAGACTTAATATTTTCACCTTCACTTTGGTTAACACAATGAAGACTTACCGGAGGACCTCTTTCACCAGGTGGACCGACAATTCCATCTTTCCCATCAACTCCTTGTGGTCCTGGCAATCCTATATACCCTCTAGGACCCTCCGGCCCCTGATTTCCAAGCTGACCCGACGGACCAGGTGGGCCAGGTTGTCCTGTATCACCTTTAGCACCAGGAACACCTTCTGGACCAGCTCGGCCTCGAGCTCCTCGCATTCCTCTTGGACCCATTTCGCCACGTTCGCCAGCAATTCCAATGTGTCCCTGTAAATAGTATTCAGCTAAAGAATCTGAAGGTTGTGTTACAATTAACTCACTCTCTCTCCTTTGATGCCTTGACTTCCTTGAGCCCCTGTAGCGCCTTTGTCTCCTTTTTCGCCGATGAGTCCAGGATATCCTGGCGGTCCCTGCAATCCCTGTTTCCCTGGAGGCCCAGGAGAGCCTAAAAGGCCTGTTTCCCCGCGCGGTCCTTCATAACCCTTCGGTCCTTCAGGGCCTTCAATGCCTGGTAATCCAACTTGACCTGGAATGCCTCTATCGCCTGTCACTCCGAGGTTACCCTTTTCGCCATCTGTGCCTTTATCTCCCTTGTCGCCTCTGTCACCAGGCAATCCTCGAGATCCTTCATCACCTTTCACGCCCCTCTGGCCAGGAAAACCTATTGGTCCCTGCATTCCTGGCACACCAGTATGACCCTTTTGACCAGTTTGGCCAGGATTTCCCGGTCGCCCAGCTGTGCCTTCAACGCCTATCAATCCAGGGATTCCTGGCTTTCCTGGAGGGCCCTAAAAATTTCACAATGTATAATTTCTTATAAGATAACTTCTTATACTTACAGCAACTCCTGGGGGACCAGGATTTCCTGGTGCTCCAGGCATACCAATCGGTCCCTTATCGCCAAATAAGCCAGGAGGTCCTGGTTGTCCAGTTGCACCCTCATTTCCCTTTGCTCCAATTGGACCTTCGGTGCCTGGAATACCAGGAGTACCCGGTGGGCCTGGAAATCCTCTAGATCCCGGAAAACCACGAGGACCTGTCTCGCCAATCAATCCTGGAAGACCAGGAGGACCATCTTCTCCTTGAATTCCAGTATGACCAGGCTGTCCCTTTGGCCCTGTGGGTCCTATTTTGCCCCTGTCGCCTTTTAAACCACGAATTCCCATCATTCCAGGCATCCCCGGCTCTCCTTTAGCGCCCATTGGACCTGAGACACCTCTATCGCCATCTCTACCAGCTCTACCACGTCTACCCTCACGACCAGGAGGCCCCATTGCCCCACGAAGTCCTCTTGGACCCTATAAAGACCATCTCTCAGTCTATTTTCGCTGTATTTTAATCTTGTTACTCACTGGTTCTCCAGCATCTCCAGGTTCGCCCTTACTACCTTCCAACCCAGGTGGTCCTTGCGGTCCTGGCAATCCTGTGAGTCCCATCGGACCATCAACACCCCTCATGGCTGATATGTGTTGTGTCAACATGTGTCTGAACGTCTCCACTTGAGAATCAGGTCCTTTGTCGTTCCCAAGCGCCTGATTAATCTGAAAAGAAGATTTGACTAGATACTGTTTAAGGCTATACATGATATACTCACTGGTATCATGAATACATGTCCTGGTGGTCCTGGCAATCCACTCTGACCATCTCTACCATCTCTTCCTGGGTCTCCTTTCTGACCCTTCTCGCCTTGCATATATCTTATGACTATATTCGATGAGTTATCTTCAGTTGTTGCAATGGAGTTGAGACTGGAATTTTCTAAAAATGAAGATGAAAAACTTCCAGATGAAGAGTTTCCAGATGAAAGGCTTCCAGATGAAAGGCTTCCAGATGAAAAGCCTCCAGACGAAGAACTTCGTGAAGATGAAAAATCCCCACTTCCTGTCACAAAATGGCCTCTTCCTTGAGTAAAACTACTGCCCGACATGGATGACAAACCCTCATTGTTTCCGGATGAGCCCCAGGAGGTATTTAAATAGCGCATAGACCCGCCGCCAAATGATGACGCATTGAATTCAGTCGGTTTTATGGCCTTGTCAGGGAATTCCCTGATAATGGTGACATTATCTTCACCGAAGTCATAAAGATCGTCATAGGAGTCCCACTCGCGGGCATTCTCAGCCTGAACAGCTGACTCATCCGCCGTGGAGTTTGACTGTGACGCGCCTGTGACCTGGTCCTCTATATTTACGCTGCCGCGATAAGCAGAGGTCGTTTGATAGTGGTTCTCATTGCATAATGGGGCATGTTTGGCGGAGCAGAGCTGATAAGCCTCATCAGGCGTGTCGGCAATCTTGAAGAGTTGAATATCCCCCTGGAGAGAGAGACAACAAAGCATGACGATTTATGCAAATCTCATCGGATTTATTTTCTCACCGCGAAGAAACCCTCTTCCTCCATCAGTTGAACGCCGATTAGAATCAATCCATCTGTTGCGACTGTCGCGTTAACTTTGCGTGGAAATCTCTTGGTGTACTCTCGCGAGCAGTCCGCCAGGAGGGTAATAGAATCCCCCTTGACACTGAGACCCAGTCGATGCCACCTCGCGTCGTTGATGTTGACGGGAAATTGCACGATAATTGGATCGCTGTGAGGAGAATTTATATCCTGGTGATAGAGAGCCACTTCGGAGCCCACGAGGATGGCCAAGACTTCCTCACTTTCCGAAGAGTAAATTGAGAAAAGCGGCACGCGACTTGGAATGGTAGAAACCTTCCGCAGAGCCAAGAGAATTGAAAAGTCTCGCGGAAATCCAACAGGGAACATCTACAATCGACAAGGCAATAGGTTTAATTATTTACATTCATACAGTTGAATTTCTTCCTTCCTTGTTAGATTTTCATAAAAGAAATTCATTTATGCTCTGAATTTGACAAGGATTAAAATATGCGTTTCATTGGAAGATTTACTAAATAAAATGATTCTTTGAATATGGTTTCAATTTAATATTCCTGTTCGAACTGTTCGAATAGTTCTTGTAAGGAGTCCGAGAGATCAGTGATGATCCCTAGAGGTTTTATCACACTTTTTTTTAGCATAATATATGTTCAAATGAAGTCAACGTTTTAATAAAAGCAATTTGACATATTTTACTTTTGAAAAAAGAAAAAAACAGAATAATTTGCGTCACTGATAAAAATTTCGCTGAATCTCAGGGTCAAAAGTGATGTTGTTTATGATGGTGTATTGAAGAATATTGCCATGAAGGACACCTGCAAGAATTCTCAGGACTGATTTTCAATAGCTAATTTCAGTATGGAATAATCTTCCTTAGAAAGGCTATTAATTAGTAAAGAGAGAGAATTTATTTTGGATATGGTAAAAACCACCGCATCATGCTAAATGGAAATTAATAGGCCTGTTGAATACGTCTGATTGAGATTACATTTGAAAATTAAGGTAATCCCTCAGAAGTTTGTGAATAATAAAATATTGAGGACGAAGGCCTGTTCGTCCTGTTGCTCATTCCAAACGGTATTATGAGATTGATTATGAAAATAATAAAGGCGAAGTAAGGCCCTTTTCTAGAATTATCCCTCAAACTCAACATACATTTAATGGGTCTTAGAACTAAATGAATTCTATCATGTTTTATAAATAGCTGATATGTATAAATCTCTGGTTTTCTTGGCGAAAATGAATAATTGCGAGAATTACATAATTTAGAACTATGAAGCTTTACTTGCCTCTGAAGTGCCAACTGTGAGCATTGTATCCTTGCCTAGTGAGAAAGCTGATGATTCTGAAGCACTGTCACACATTCCCTGCACTCTGGCCACTCCGGATGGCAGTTGTGGAAACTTGAACTGCCTTAACATGTCCACAACGCCCGTGTTTTCTGGTGAAGGAAAACAAAAGGGCGATAAAAAGGGCAAGACCTCGAATCTGTGGAGGAAAATTCTTCGTCCCCACCGTGGGAAAGTTAATCCCAATGCTGAAGAGTGGGGGGAAAGTTTCACCTTGAGTTCAAACTTTAATCACACACTTACGGGATTCAACAGTTTGGACGTGGACAAAGAGGAGGGCGAACAGAAAAACCACCAACAAGAGTGCTGGTGAAAGTTGGACACTCAACTTTCTTGGCTGGCTCATCCTCGCCCCAGGAGTCACTGTAGATGAGAGACGAAACGATATAGGGCGTTTTGAAATATTCCCGCGACTGAAAACGGTCGAAAAGTGTGTATTCTGTTACATAAATTTAGACATTAGAAGAGTTTATAACAATTTTTGGCATTTATTACATGATAACACTTTGAACTCAAAGCGGAAGCTGTAATACGTCTTTATCAACTATTTGGAGAGAATTTTTCAGAGCAAATTCATCGCCACCATCTTTTATTTCGCCACCAAATGGGAATTTTCTCACTTTTCCAGCGCGAAAATTCACCCACTGAAAGCTCTTTCACCTGTTTTTTTTGCTACAACACTAACAAGAAGTATCACTGCACTTAAGGTGGGAGAATAACAGTGGGATGATATCCTGAATGATGTTTTCTCACTATTCACACTGTATGATCACGAGTGGAGGCCACATAACTGCCGGAGGTGTGGGAAAATGTGTATTTTCACAGGTTGTGCAGACTTGAAAAGTGGAGCAGGGAGAGAAAAAAAATGAACCGAGTGCTTTACCAGCCTGAGAGATGCTTTAATTTTATTCAGTGGACACATCAAGACTGAGTTCATCTTCGGAAATTATCTCTCTTTCCCTCTCCACACTCAAAATAATCAATGTTTTTTCAACTTTAAGATGTCGGGGAAAAAGCGCGAAATAAAGCAAAAACTGATAGTTTCTCGGAGATATTCTTGTCTAATCAGACGTTTTTTTATGCTCATATTTTTATTAGAATTTGGAAGAAGCAGAAAAAATGCTCTTAATGCTATGCTACTCACCAAATAATTGCGGTGCTTTGTGTAAGGTTTAAGTTTAGGATAATCAACAGGACAGTTTTAAATAAATTGTGATTATTTAAAGGACAATATTTCACGAGAGTGTTAATTAACAAAATTTCTGACTTTGCTTTCATTGCGCTACAGCATCCATGCGATTTCTCTTGAGATTGTCACATGATGGACAAAGCAGATGCACTCACGCATCATTTATGAAGAAAAATCTCGCTATTTCATCAACTATCTGCTTTTATTTGATATTATATAAAATACACATATACTTCTTCATTGAAAATACAATTAAAAAAAGAAGAGCTACTGTGGAAAATAAGACTGGGCAAAAATACTTCATTTTCATTATACTTCGTCACAGTAAAAACTCGCAGCAGATACATTACTGTTCTTCTCATTGATTTTCTCAATTTTTCTTTTCAATCCATCAATTTTATGGGCGAGGGTGGGAAAGCTACGGACACTGCAATGTGTGATGTTTCTCTATCACCAAAGAGAACCAAGTGCGGAAAGAGTGGCATTTAAATGAATTCCCAATAACATTTACACATAATTTCTCCAGACACAAAATAATATAAATTATGACAAAAAAAACTAAAAACAAATAAGAAAACAAAAAAAGAGTTACGGTGTACACTATGCAACACACTTGCAAGATTTCCGAACCAATCGGCACGCGTTGCGCAGTATTTTTGATCATCACAGCAATGAATGACGTTAGAAGAAAAAATTACTATCTCGGATTCTCCATTATAACTTGCTTAAAAACACCCGCCGGTAGCTGAGACTTGGCCTCATGGCTGTGACTGCCCAGCGAAGTGGATCCATCGCGAGCGATGAAGAGTTTCAAGCCAGAAGCTGTAAGAATTACCAACCATTAGCACATGTAGCACATTATTTCATAGATCAATCTACTTACTCTCTGCCGACTCTTCCAGTTGATCCAATTTGGTATTCTTGACAATCTCATCAACCATAAACACCGGATTGACTCGCGTTCCCTCCACTCTTCCTGACACCGCCGGGCCATGATCGTCAAGGGAGCACTTTTTCCTCCTCTCCGCCGCTGATTTGAGCCTATCTAGTGATCCTGTCTCACTGGACGTGAACGGAGCAGGATTAAGGTTTCTGCAAGAGACAATCGCCACATCAATACATCACATCACAATATATTCAGTGCAACCTTTTACCTAATATGCCAAAAACCAAGTGCCATGATAAGAAAGTGCAAACTTAAGTCACCTTTCTATACAATGTTTTCAGCGAAAGCAGATTTTATTAATTGCACTATTTTCCACATAGAGCAAAAACAAACATTTACACAACATTCAGGTGCAACCAAGCGAAAAATGTACCAACTGAAATTTCATACAGAGAGAAAATCCCCAGGGGAAAACCCACTGCCAGCAGTGATTTTAGGAGTGAGATTATGTATATGTACCTGTTATCTATTGAGATAGGAAGAGCATATCTGACAAGATCCATAAAATTATGGAAATGAACTGAATTTCTAGTCCTCAATACTCAGCCATTCATTTCAAGCAGAATTGTTAAGATAAAATGATTAACAAAGGAGAGAAAGGAATAGTTTCAATCAATTTATGTCCAAAACTGTTCCATTCTCTCCTTTTTTGTCTATCAACATAAATTTATTTTAATGCATGTTTTATAACTAATTTCAAATTCATTGAGGAACAAACTTAAAGAAGCAAAAGTGGCTTAAATGCAAAATATTCACTCCAATCACTAAGAGTGTGATAAAACATTTGTGCAAGAAGAAAGAAATATACATGATAAGGAAAGCAAAAGAAGTTGAAAAATGGAAGATTTGCGATGAAGAAGTAGCATCTCTGGCAGAACTCCAAACACAATCCTTGTCTCCAGCTCACGGTGACTCTACAACACACAGAAGCCCTCCTCTTTGCTCCTCTCGGCTCTGGGATTATTTACAAAATGGATTCGCATGGCCAGGAGTTGGGATTTACCTTCCAGAATCACAATCATCGTGCGCACTAATTGCATGAATTGACGCTCGTGCCCAAACAGACTGCTTCTGTGTCCTATTTTTCACATTTGTCCTGAACACACGCGAAAACTGCCCTTTCGTCGCAATCTTCTCCAGAGAGCGCAATTTCGTCATGAACACTCTCTTCTCTGTGTCTGGTAAATCTTCAGGCGTTGGTGGTTTCGGCGGCTTCTCTTCCACCACTAAATTTGTCATGGATCTATTTCGTGCCATACCGAATCTCTTGTGCTCAAACTCACGCTTCTTGCGCAACAAATCACTGGGTGGATCTGTGTCCAGGCGTTTCGTATGCAGCAAATCATCCATGGATTTCATCTTGAAGAGTCCCTCATTGTTGAATATCCTCTCCAGATCTGGCGTATTCAGCTCAACAGCATCCATGCGATATGTCTCCTCAGCATGAAATTTTCTTGCCATTGTCCAGTTGTCAGAGTCTGGACTCTGTGGAATTTCCATCACACTCACAGCTCCCGTATTTACAATTACATTTCGATAGAAACCATTTGAGAAAGAATGAGTTCGTGCAAATAGCAGCTGTAACCTTTGAAACACATAAAATTCAACGCTTTTTATACAATCCCAAATATTGCGGTTAATTCTGCATGCATCTCTTCATGCTCTTCATGTGTTGACTATCATTACTACCCCTCTCCCCGCCCAAGTGTGAAAAAACGGTGGATTAAATAAAGACGGGCGGAGAGATATTCTAGTTAGTACTGAGATAAAACATCCAGAACAAATTCATGAGAGATTCCCATTAAGAAAACTTACCTCGTCTGCCCGGAATCACAGTCTGAACTCTGTCGAGAGTGCTGACTTTGGGTGAAACTGCTATAGCCCGATCCCTTGGACATCTGCATAGACAAAGAAAGGTGGATTTACTTTCCAAGTTGCTCAGAACTTTGATAATCCTTACTTGACTAGTGTTGCTTGAATTACGTGAGTGACCTATTTCACCATACGATGGATTCTGCAGTGATACTGTATAGGAATTTGGCAAAATAGCTCCTGAATCTGTATTTCCTGCCATCTCCAAAAACTCAGAATTGCTATTGCTCGCTACAAGTCCAGACAACACCATATTTCCTTCACAGTCGCCCGGTATTTGCTCTGTAAGAAATGAAAATAAAATGTGATAAATGTGTTCAATTTTAGATTATTTAGATTAGTGACTCACCGAAATTCTTCTTCTTGGTCAGTGATCCAAATCCCGATGATCCTGACGCTATTGAGGAGTCATCTTTGGTGGCCCTGCTCGTCGACGGTGGCAGTCCCACCTTGCCCTTGACCCCAACGGCTGGGACGTCGTCCTGGATAGAAATCTGTTTGTTTTTAAGACTTGGTGAGGGACTGCAAAGAATGACAGATAGCCCGTGCTCATTAGAAATTGCTTGTGAAGCCCTTCCTCAGGCACTTACACTTTGAATAGAACATCCCCACTGAGCATGTACATCTTGATAGACACCTGAAGCATGGAATTGTCTTGGCGATGCTTAGCGTCGTAGCCCTCAAGTAAGTAGCGACTAGATGTAAGGCCAGACCCCGCGAATTCCGCCAGATTGAGATCGATGAAGCCCAGTTTCTGATAGCTACGGCCACCCTTGATCTCCTTCCGGACAGATATCCTGAGATTGCAGGGATCAAGCACACCATTGGACGCATTCGCGGACATTTTGCAGACAAAACTGAATTTTTGGCTCCACTTCACAGCGTGATTCTTCACCTCCTCCCTGTAAGAGATAAAGGCTCTATTGTGAATTCTGTTTTTCCGCATTGGTGCGCGATTGACAGCGGGGGCCTTTATCGATGTGCGAATTCCATGTACTGCGCGCCCTGATACCAGTCCAGATAGCGAGATAGATTGATAGGAGGGGAAAATTTCTAATTGCACTAATTACCGACTGCTGTACTCTTGGAATGAGCCCCCGTCCATCAGGCGGATCTTGGCGAAGAGGACGGCATTGAGAAAGGGCACCTCCACCAGTTCGTCCAGCTGCAGCTCCACGGAGAACTTGTAGTTCTTCTTCTTTCTCATGAATGCCATGCCTTGCTGTGCGCCCGTAGAGTCTGAGGTCATCCTGGAAGATGTGAAGACAGTGGATGAGAGAAATTGAAGGATATTCTCACCATCATGACGCGTGTGCCCCCCACGCAATTCACGGGCGAAAATCACTTACGAAGATTGGCCCAGTCACTTGTCAGCACGCACGTCACGCACCACAATACCTTAGCTGACTACCCAACAACTTTTCATCAATGCACTGGACTGAATTGTGGGCGAAAGATTAGGAAAACCGTAGAGAAAATTCTCTAAGCAATTTTTTCAGACCAAACGTCACGAGCTATTCCTGTGTTCACCACCCATGGCCATTCGGCGCTGATAGCGGGACGAAGACTGAATTTATTCAAACATCCGTGAAATGAAACGATTTTTTTACACAAAGTTTGTACATTTATTTCACGTCCAAGAAAAAAGAACTTCAGGTCCTTCGGGTTAGTCCTAGACATGTAGAAAAGCACATACCGCACACATACACAGTCAGCCTTGGGTTATATTCACTATACTTGTACTAGCCAGCGCACCTTCACACGTACTTCGTGATCTGCGAGTAGAAATCTTGTAGGCAGATGTCCAGTTGATCAAAAGTGGGTCTTTCTTGAGGCAACAGAGCCCAGCAGTACGCCATGATGGCGAAGAGTTCATCAGGACAATTCACCGGCTGTGAGAGTCTGTATCCATCCCTCAAGTAGTGTTCCATCTCGAAGCAATCTACTTCTGCGTATGGTTGCTTCGCCAGAGTGCACAATTCCCACATAAACACCCCAAAAGCCCAGGTGTCTGAAGCCTCGGAGAAAATCTTATCCTGCAAAGCCTCCAAAGCGAACCATTTAATAGGTCTGTTCTCTCCATCGCCGAGACAGTGATAGTCTCCCGGGAAGAGATCCCTTGACAGCGAGTTATCAGCTAGTTTTATCCTCAATTCGTCATTTATCACGCAATTTCTCGTGGCCACATCTTTGTGGATCACTCCGTGGCTGTGGAGATGCGCCAAGGCTAGAGCGATCTGTGAAGACATCCTCACAATCTGAATAGTGGTCAGAGTTCGCGCGAGTGGTGTTTGCAGGAATAGCTTTAGATTCCTTGTGTTGTCCGGAGCAGGATAGAGAAGGAAAGGAGCCGTGTGATCTTCAATAGACACTCCAAGAACTGACAGAATCCCAGCATGAGACGCGCCATACAAGCTCATTCCCTCCTGAAGCAGTAAAGAGACCTGAATTTGACTGGCGTGCTGCCCGACAGTCTTCACCAGCACCTCATCTGTGTCATTATAACTGCCTCTGTACACCTTGCCATACGTTCCCTCTTGCAGCAGACTCGACAGACGCACTCTGCATCGCTGAACAGTGAGCTCAGAGATTCGCCGGTGAAGTTCTTGAGGCTCTGATGCAGGTGGTGGTGGATTTCTTACGACAGGAACCACTTTTTGCGTCTTGGGCAGTTCCTGCAAAACCTCAATTTTGCTGAACTTTGACTTCTGATAAGACAAGGAGTTGCGGAAACATAAAGCCACACACATGAGAGTCGTGGCAATGACCAATGACACCACACATCCCACACAGATAGCCAAAATCCCATTCTCTGTTCTCTCTGGTGGAACTACACTGTCCAAGAAGAGCTCATCCTCACTCTCCACAATCGCGTAGCACATTTTCCTTCTCCGCAATGTGAATTCCGTGACATTATTAAGCGCTCTGTTAAGCGTTACTTGGATTGTGATGTTCACATCCGCCTCCACACTGATTCCCTCACGGCAGACCAATGCCAGTTGGAAGGCATCGAGTTCAGTGGGAATGTAGCCACTCTTCGTAATGTTGAGATTCACGGAAATAGCTGAGGGAAGAGAATTCGAGACGCTGATCCCGTAAGAAATTGGCCTGCCAATAAGACTTTGCCAATTGATCAGAATGCTGCTCACACGACTCGGGATGTTTATCACATAATCCAGAGCATTTGTGTTCACTACACCAGCTCTAATATAGAACAGTTCAGCAGGAAGACCTGGAAAAGAGCCCCAAAATGAGTGATAACCTTACTTTTCACCATATCAGTGTTTACCAAGCAATTTCTGCCCTTCCTGCACGTTCATGTACACATTCAGGTAGCACTGAGCATTGTGGACACCGACGAGAATCAGCAAAGTTGTAAGAACACCGGCAATATGCATTTTCCAGGGACAATTAGACGAAGAACTCCAAGCCAAACATAAACATTGCACTCAAAACTTCCAATATCCAGTGACGTACCACCTCGATATTTTCGATATCTCGAATATCGATCGCATTAGGGTTTGGAAATTTACTGAAACTTTTCAGAATTGAACATTTTACTAGCATGAAGTTTCTCCGAAGATGCACAGAAAAAAATATTTCGCTTAGATCGACACTGATCTATTCATAGATCGTTGCATCATTGCTCATCCTGCATATTATTAACCATCTAAACGAACTTGTCACAAATTGAACCATTTATTCTTTTATTTTGATTAGAAATCTATAAACTTCGAGATTAAAATATTGTTGTTATCCACAAAACCTGCAAGTCTGTAAATTAAACTAAATTTTCCACATTGTCACAATCGTAAAGCTTGTAGGATTTTAAAGGAAATTGTGGAAATTAGGTCACAAGAAATGCACAGGTTTCATAAATTTGGAATTTTTAACACAACAGATGTTTCACTATTTTACAGTGTACACGAAAGAAGAAAAGCGCTGTCACTTTCGGGAATCACTTCAATATGGTGAATCACACATAGTGAACGGAGGTAATTTGCAGTCCAAATGTGCTAAAATTGAGATGTTCAAGCCTATAAAGTCCCTCTTGATGTTTCTGCAAACATCAGGGGTCTTCGGGTGAGTGAGGAAGCAGTGGCTGTTGTCCAGGAGTGTGGATGTGCGCAGCAGCAGCCCTAATTATCCTTGTGCATTGAATTCTAGGACAACTGTGAATATGGACGATGAGACGCCCATAGACACTGAAAAAGTGATCTCACATGAGGACTTTGGCGAGGATCCCCTGTCCGATCCACTAGCGCTGGACGAGGATAGTCCGAATTGCAGTGGAGAGGCGACTAGGGACTGCGAGGTCGATGAGACGGCCGAGAGCCACGAAGAGGACAACATTCTGTTTGTGGATATTGATGTGATTCGGAATGGGGGCTGCGAGACGTTGGCGGAAGAGGAGCCAGTGCCGGAGGAGGAAACAGTGCCAGCAACTCTGGACATTGAGGACGGTGAGGTGAGAAGTGAGGGCTCAGATTCAGGCTTGGGTCTGGAGCCCAATGCCGTACTGAATGGTGTGCCAGTGCAGCCCCAGAAGACTGCCTTGAAGAGGAGATCCTCAACTGCCACCGATGGGGCCAAGCGCTGCCGCCGTAGCATACAGTTCGGGAAGGTGACGGAGTATCTCTTCCCGCGAACGCAGGGATTCATGTGTGTGCCGACGAAGGGCGGCTGCACACTGGGCATGGGATCTAGGCACACTCACGTGCGTTCCTTCTCGCTGAGTGAGGCCGCCGAGCAGCGCCGCATGCAGAGGCTGCAGCGCTTGCAACTGCTTAATCCGCGACAGTCCTCCAGTGATGACACAGACAGTGAGGATGAGCCGAGTGAGAACAGTGCATCGGACCCGGACATGGAGAGCTACGATTGTCTGCAGCCGATGACGTCGGCTAAACGACGGAAGCTGCTCAAGGAGGCGGGCGTGAAAATTGAGCCTAATGAGAAGAACGTGTGCGACGTGATACGTTTCTCCAGAAAGCTCTGCGGATGCGACTGCAAAGGTTACTGTGATCCTGACACGTGTTCCTGCAGCCAGGCAGAGATTAAGTGTCAAGTGGACAAGCCAGATTTCCCGTGCGGCTGCACTCACGACGGATGCGCAAATCGCATGGGTCGAGTGGAGTTCAACTCGGATCACGTGCGGACGCATTTCATCCACACGATGATGCGACTGGATCTAGAGCAGAGACAGCTGGTGGAGCAAGAGGATCGTTTGCCGGAGGTGATTGCGAAAATTCCTCAAACTCAATATCCAGATGATCTGCTGACAACCACAGTGGCCATCGATGAGCCCCGGATTCCGCAATACTATCGCGACGATATTGGGGACTATCCAGACAGCACCAGCTACCTGTCCCAGCCCGAGTATCCCGTGCTGATTCCGGAACAGCAAGTGAGTAGACTATTAACATTTTTAGAGATGCGTTTCATACACAAGAGTCATAATATTTTCAAGTTTAACCCCTAAATTTCGATGTTGGAAATATTTTAGATCTATTCTAGAACAAGTAATTTTACGTGTTTATTTTATTAAACTGTCTATTACGTAAACCATTTTGGTTTTTCAAACAAATTATCAAATTATTCAAATTTCCGGTGCAAATTTCGATTGCTGGCAAAATATTATTTTATGTAGATCTTCTCTTCACTATTATATGATATACTCATACTAAAAAGATACACTATTTGTATACCTTTGAAGAAATAACCCAAAAAATTTGTTTCAAAGTTTTCTTAAACTGTTGAAAATTTGGGCTCAAATTACAGAATCAACAAGTTTATATATAGTACCTAGTAATTCGTTCTTTATTTATACACATTATTTTGTTAGACACCAAGCGTCGTAACAGACAATATCAGAAAATTTTTCTCAAAGATTAAGAGATCAATCACTCAAAAGTTTACATGAAGAATCTAATAATATGTATTTAATTTTAGGAAAATGTGGTGCATCTTCAAACTCAGGAAGTGGGTCCAGTGGTTCCGTTTGCCGGTGACCAACAGTATCCGGAAGATATCCCAGCGACCACCATGGAACCTCCGCGAATAGCACATTACGATTACCGCATCGGACAGTATCCGGTGGAGGAGTCGCTGAACAATGCAAACTATCTGCCTCAGCATGAGTATCCACCGGTGAGCGTGGACTACGGAGAGCCTCAACTTCTCCACCTCACGCCCAACATGTACGAAGAAGAGCGCTTTCCGTGCTCTGGCGACTTCACCAATGCCTCTAGCCACCAAATCACGCATCCCTGCACGCTGCCACAGGCCAGCGCTGCTGATCACCTCTTCGTCAGTCTCCCTCAACCCGCCTTCTCAACCGCCAAGGAGTTGCTGGATGCTTCGCTGCCGTTTGATGTGTAGAAGAGGCCAAGATCTCGATGACCAACACATCAGTTCCCGTCATTCATTTATTATTAAATTTTTTTTTAGTTTCCAAACCAGATTTCAATTCTTAACTCGTGAGTTCAGCATAACAATTTCATCCTACGCGGAATTTATTAGTTTTTACAAAGTATAATTTTCATCAGTTTATTATTTATTTTCTCTATTACTGAATTTCTTTTGCTAACCTTTTGAAAACTAAGATTTGATGAAAAATATGTGAAATTTTTACAAGGCTTTTTAAAGAACTAAAGTCAAATCTTTTTTTGCAAAGTAAATTGTATTTCAATAAGAAATTTTTATGCTACACAGAATTGAGAATTGATATGTTTGTTTAGTGAATTTTCATAAAATTGTCCCTAATTTTTTCATTTTGTAATACTCATTTAAATACAAGAAAAAAATTTGCCATTTAATAACCAACTTACAAACATTAACACTTTATAAGAAGAACCAATGATTAGCTCACATAATGGTCATTGTTGAGAGAGAGAGGGAGAGAGAGGGGGGCGTGAGAGAAAAAAAAACATAAATTTTGTGTTAAAGTTGACTGTTTTATGTTTTACAAATTCATTCAAACACCCACAAAATGAGGAAAATAATGTACATTACTTTTGTCCTAAGTTAAGAGATTATTATAAATAGACAAGGAGTAAAATAACATCAAAACATTTGTGACATGATGTGTAAAATATTCATGCGCAAAAGTATGAGGAATAAAACATTTTGTAGGGAGAATAGCAATTAAAATTTCAAGTATTTTCTAAAATGTCTTTAATACGCAGCGTATTCCACCAAGTGACTAGAGAAGTTGAGGTGAAGAGAGAAGCTTAGTTCGGCTGCTCTGGAGGGTTTTGCAGCAGCTGTTGGAGCTTTGCAGCAGCCGGGAAGCTGGCCAGATCCAGCGGAGCAGCTCCTGTGGTACTCTGAATGTAGGCCAAGAGACGTCGCATCTCCTCTAAAGCATTTTGCTGCATGAGGATGTAATTCTTCGCCAGTAAAAGTGTGGCAATCTTGGAAAGTTTCCTAACTGAAGGCGAGTGAGCATAGGGAATGACACTCCTTAGCTCATCCAGAGCGTCATTCAAATCATGCATTCTCCGTCGCTCCCTGGAAAGGATTTAACATGGTCACAGCGGCCCTTGGAATGTACCTTAATCTATAATCTGTACTCACCTGGCATTTATGTTTAAACGGACGGTCTTTCCTTGGCGATTCTTCGGTTTTGTTCCCGGTGGCACTGGCTGGCCAGGACCACCACTGGCGCCTCTCTCTGACGTTCCACTAGGTCGATTCTCATCCACGCTTTGCTGGCCGTGCATTGAGGAGCCCGGATGTGAGCCATGAGCGTAGAATCCTCCCAGTCCAACGGCGCCGAGAGGTGTTCGCCGTCCTGGCACGCTTTGCTGTGGCGGACTGGAACTGGGCTCCGCCACCGAGTGACTCGCGGTTCCCAAGTGAAAATTGTAGGGCTGATGAGTGTCCATCTGGACAAAAAATCATAAGAATTTTGCAAAATTTCCTCGGAAAATGGTCCAAATACTCACTCTCTTTCGCTCTTGAGCGTCTCACGAAAATTGTTTTGCTACTCTCATTGATTGTGATTCACTAAAAGGGAGCTCGAGAGACGCACACAATGACACTGTGAGGAAGAATTCACTCAGACAGCCAGACGCCCTCGAGATTCACCCTAGTTCGCGTCTGTATGCTCTGTACATTATGTACCCTCTCGGCAAGGATCCCTTCGTCTGCCTCAAAAAACCCACTCAGTATTTGTCCCTCTCTCACCCAATTCCTCCTCCCGCCACCCTCTCGCCCAAGCTCAGGCTTCCTCTCTCTCTCTTTCTCTCTGGTACATCCTCAAAACTACACCGAGCAGAACCCACAGCAAAAAAGCATCCCCTCTAATCTTTGACCTGAAAGGTGAAGGAAATTCGATAAAACTCATCGCCGGACCTTAGGATAAAATCCCCGCAGGACAAATCAATGAAATTCCAAGCCGAGTGAGAAGGGCTGTTTTGATGGCAGCCAGCAGCAAAAAAAAAACGCCTGAGCCGAGGACAAAGGACTCATGAGGCGCGCGCGAACAGATGCGCTCCTGGATGGTGATTTCGGTGCGTTCCCATGGTTACCAAATGGATTTAATACACTGTAAATCATCGATGATTTTAATTATAGTGCCACAGCCCCGAGAGATGGAACGTGATTAGAGTTTAGAGGCCATTCTCCAACAAACTCCTGATCTCAATCTCCATTAATAATTCAATGGCGCTTGGGGACGCCATCCATTTCACTTTCCCACGGCCTACATCTTCCCCGTTTAGCCTGTATCACCATCCACCAAGTGTCCAAAGCGAGAGCGACAGATTATCTAGATAAGAACTTTAACCAGAAACAACCTTTAAGATCGCCTAAAAAATTAGTTTACGATTCATGCAATTTTCATTTCTCATCCGTAAAGTCTCGCTTTGTGTGTATCGTATCACTGTAATTCGACAGATATGAATGTAGAGTATGATTGAATAAAATAATGTTTATTAAACTCAATGAGTAAATTGAGTCAATTTTACATCTTACCTAGCTTAGAACATTTTGAAACCTTTACTTAAAATATCTTAAATAAAATAAAGTACAATGTGAGAGTTTATCTCCGCATTTAAAGAAACATTTTTAAACTCAATTCGAGTTATTTTTAACATAGATTTCTAAATTTTCACTACCTGTGAACTAATAATATATATTTTAGTTAGAAATTATAAATTGCACAATAGTTAATCTCAAAGGCTGACTTAACATTTCAATGAAACTTTCTAGGAATGGTAGCAATATAAAAATTTGCACAATAAAATAATATAGAGTTACCAATATTGATGCTTGCACAAACTTTACTTATGTTATTATTTCAAAATTAAAATAAGTAAAATACGAAGGAAAGACGAAAGAAATACAAGAATGGGCGGTGCATCTAAATGGGTGTGGCATCCTATTATTTTTCCTTCAATTTGAGTTTATTTCATTCAATCCCGATAACGTAACAAATATTACGTTTTTGCTGGACCATAATTTATTTCAATTCTTCAAGTTATTAGTGGGCATTGAAAATTGGTCCTTTTTCTGTACGAAAAAGTCGCGTGTATATTAAAGCTCTCTATATATGGTTTCAAAGTTTCCTTTGACAAGTAAAACCCATGAGAAAATCCCGGGTATTAAGTTCTATTGACGATATCTCCTGACCCAAACCCGTACCCCCGAAGGAGTTGAAAATTTTCGAGGGTGGTGGCTCGTTTCTCATCGGTTTTTTTCTTCTTGCTTATAGCTCTTCTTGTCTTGTGCACACGCCATGAGAAAGTCACCGTAGTGGTGTTCATGTGTGTATTGAAACACAGTGTGGAAAATCCAGGGAGATGAAAATCATTAGAAAGCCCAGCATCCCAACAGAAGAGTCATGCGCACAACTCCAGTTCAATATCTTCTCTTCACCGTGACTACCAATTCAACTTGAAACATTTCCATGTGCCGAAAGAGGGCGAGAAAATAGACAAAATTAGGTGCAAATGCATGAAAGGGGCATTTTCTCCATTCCAGAAAGATATGGAAAAAATGGAGCATAGTCAGTAACCTGATCAGCATGATCTTGTGGGGGTTGAACAATGTTTACTGTGCGCTCTTCGTGCGATGCTGAGCAGATGAAGATCGAGATTAATCCGAGAGCAGAGTGTCTGGGCGAGAAGATGTTCATATAGCAAATATTTGGATAGGACGAATGCTGTGGAAATGGAATCCATCTCGAGAGTTTGGTTCTTATTTATCAAAATTGATTTTCCTTCGCTTTTTTCCCTCCTCTCAGCCACCCTTCCGCGAATCTCTCCACACCCTCGAGGTGCTATGAGCATATACATATGTGACTCCGTGACCATTTCCTCAACTACACACCCCAATCCTCTCATCGCATCATCGCAAGGCTCTCGTGAGTTCGCCGTCTGTGACGTCACATTGAATCCCAGGACGTTACCAGGGTAACCGGCCGGGCACTTTTCTGAGCTGTATCTCTTTTTCGCATGCACGAGAGTGCTGGTTTCGCACATAGATTTGTCAATATGCCTCTTCCCTCCCTGCATACCCCAGGCAAGCAGGGCGAATTCACCCCAGCATCGTCCCCTCTCGCTCGCACAGGAGGGTGGGTTCGCACCATCCCGAAGACGACGGAGCACAAAAAAGAAGCTAGGGGAAGTGTGCTATATGATTTTATAACTAATTATACAGCACATTATTAACATTTATGTCTGTGTTTGCACATCTCTGGCTTCCAAATTGAACGGCATTGTTGGGAAGAAATTCAACAATTCCACCCCTCGCGATCCCGCGCCCGGAACCGCCCTCCCACCGTGAACAAGGAGCTTTTCGACAAGCTTCCTTTGTCTTCAATCCTCCTCCTTCTGGCTGATGAAAAAACACACCAAAGCACATAAATGGCGCTCTTTCTCGATTAATCTCATTTTGTCTGCTTTCACGGGATTAGTTGCTTTAAACCGAGAAAAAAGCCAAACCTATGATTAAACTAGCCGGGTAAAACTCAGCGATAACAACTTCTAATAAAGTTAATTCTCATAGTTTTAGTTGTTTAACGTACAATTGATGGTCTGACTTTTATTGCTAACAGGTTTGATAGGTTTGATACCCGTTGAATACTAAATGAACGATGAAATTTCAATTAATCAGTATATTATTCACCATCATCAAATATTATTATCTTTGACTTCAGTTCAAATAGAAGGTATACCATCACGATCAACTAAGAGAAGAATAAAACACTAAAAAATCCAAGAGGCAAAGCATGAGAGAACAATCAGAAGTTCAATCCCAAGAAAATAGACGTGAGAAAAAAATGAAGATCAAATAAATCAGTCCAACGAGTAATAGTGAAATAATACAATTTTAACACTAACATAAGGGTAGAATGTCATTAATCTAATTTTTCAAAAATATTGTTTTGCAAAATAAAAAATGTGCCATTATTAAATACCTATACAGAGATTAAAATTTGAAAGAAATAAGGCTCAATCTGAGGTTTCGTGAAGTTAAAATATATCAAGTAACGAAAAATTTCTCAATTTTTGTTTAATGAAAACTTCCACATGTTAAAAGATTAAATACTGATCTTCGGTAACCTTGATTATGTAATGTATCTCTTTATTAAAAGATTTAACCATGCAATTTACTAAATATTTAAAATTTCATGGTATTTTTGTCTTGGATTTCATGTTTTCGAGATAAATTTAAAGGTTATCTTATCCTTTTTCTCCTCTTTAGGAAAAAGCAACATCCCGTCATCTCGATGCAAGGCAATTTGTGGATTTTTTATTAAACATTTTGGAGACAGTAAAGCTCCAAAATGTCTCCTTTACGATTCGGTGGGCTCTGTGACCTTCCGCCAAGGTCGAATGCGCTGCTTAGGAGAGCTCCTAAGGCTCTCCACTCCATTTGTCAATCATCCCTATTAATTACAGCGAATATTTGGGCAATTGCAGAGATGCTGGGAAAAAAAGACGAAGCCATGGAGGCCAAATTAAACCTGTCGAGAACGCTGAGATGAGAAGTGGGTGTTTTCTACATAAAATTTTTATTATGTACACCCTAGTGCTACCAAATACGATTTATATCCCTTCACTCAGGCAAACTTCTTTGCGTCCCGCCGCCACCTCTCCCTCCGAGGGTCCTCTTATCATCTCCTGTGTGTCAAACATCCACATCGGCGGACACCCACACAGCAGTAGAGGCGCCCGGGGGTGGCGGTGGGCCAGTGGTCCGTGGAGTGGCGCAGCAGGGATGCTGCTCGTGCGCCTGACTGTCGATGGGATGCTGGATGGGTGGGAAAGGCAGACGAGATGGAAAATCATCTATGTAGATAGTTGGTACGGCTTTCCACTCTCACCCCTCTCGCTTCCACTTGCACATATCGCCCGAGAGCGAGAGCGGGACGGTGAACGCGACGCTTTGGGGCGTTTTGCACGGAGGACTGGGGCTCGCTGTACCAAAACTGTGTGGCGTAGTAGACGTTTAGGCGTCAACTGGAGAACTAGAAGCTTTTCCCGTGTGGAGTCTCAGGATCAATTTAGTGCTTTTTTGTACAACCTCTGAAAAAATCCGCACCCCAAATTTTAACTGCACGCCAACATCTCTCAGTTGAAAATCGCTAACATTTGTGATCAAAAAGCCATTGTCTGAGACGCTACCGGATTCGATTTTTTCTCTTTTCCACCCGCACAGACCCGGGAAAAAATGGCGAAGCCTCCGAGAAAAGTATCGGGAAAAAAACGTTGGTGAAAAAGTATAGTTATTTTATGTAGTGAATCTCTGTGGGTATGTTTCTTCGTATTTTTTATTCACACACAATGGACAATTTAGCTGAAAATTTCAACACGACACACCCACACTCAGAACAAATAATTCCCCATAATTGAGCTTTTGCCACCCCACCCCAAGCTACTCTTTCACCCACTCAGACTGCTCCTCAAAAAGACAAAAGGGAGGAAATTTTGAAACATTTTCACTGCAACACGAAACAACGCCCATATTGACAATACTTTCCACCCCATAGTCATTTTTATTTTTTGTTGTTGTGAAATGTTTTTGTAGTATAAGAACTATAAGTAATTATAAAAAATAAAAAATCTAATTCTATAAAAATCTGTTATTTTCCGTTTTATTTTAATATCTTGAAAAAGCTAGATGTCAAATTTAGTCTAGCCGGTCTGTCAATCTGTCACAATCTGTCAAAATCTGCTAAATAAACGGATACAATGCTGATTGATCAAATTTCGATGTTGCCCTTCTCCCATAATCCGTCATATTTGACAAATAACTGGTAAAATGTATCCCCTCCTCCAGCCCTGGTTAAAAAAAACCGAAAGTGCTCTGTCGACCGTGTGCTGAATGTTTGCCCTCCCTGGATTCACTACATAGGAGGAATTTGTATATAGAAAAAGACCAATGTACATATTGCACTGAGGGTTAGAAATTCGCCCTTCAATCAAATAGTACGCATTCAAATAATCAAAACGCGCTGGTGATGAAGTATTTATCCACTGTGTCACATCGTCGCACTTTTCTCCATCCGGGAAGAGCCTGTAATTTTCCTTAGTGAAAACGTGCAAACCTCCCACCCAGAAGTGTGTGATTCACGATATTGTACCACCATCTGTCGCGCAGACATTGTGTGCACTTCTCGCGAAAATTCGCGAATAATTGGTGAACATTAGAGACAGAAGTTCGAGGTCTCAGGAAAGTAGAATTTCAAGAAATGACAGCTGCACGTTTGCTTTTCTCTGGCTCCTTTTGTTCACTGTGTGCGTGTTAATCGAATTGAAGAGCGCGCCACTCCAGGTACAGTGTAAGCCTTCGGCAGAGGCGGCGGTCCAAAGCCAGCAAGACGCGGCCAAAAAGGTAAATCTCACATCTGAACTGAGCGTTTTTCTCCTGGTTTTCACTGTAGGCCTCTATGTTCATCTGATAAATCCATAAGGCACGCGGTGAATGCCAAGAGCGAACGACACTCTACTTATTTAATAATCCAATAATTTTCTGCTTGGTTTTGAGTTAATCCAGAACCTCATAATCTTCTAAAAATCCCACAAAAAATAGATTTAAAGTACTTCTAGCACCTTAAAGCATACTTTCAGTACTCTACATTCTTTTCATTACACAAGTCAAGCATAACAGTAAAGGGAAAAGATTAAAAAGGCGACCGTCCCTTGTGTTGAAGGCACAACACACACAAAAAACGACCTGCACAGTGTTATCCGAAAATGATTTGGAAAGATGAAAGCTCCTGGCTTTTATGGGCACAGATCAATATTTGTACGCCGAAAAAACATTACTTACACACCACATCTGTGTGGGTTTGGCAAAATGGGACGTATGTGTCTGTAAGGAGGCAAATACAGTGAGCCCAGTGCACAGAGGATGTGGTCCGGAGTTGGAAGTTGAGCGAAAGAGAGCAACTGTAGCCATGGTAACCTTGCAGAATAAAATTAGAATCAAGTACAAAGTGTTTCTCTACCATTTCAGCCATGAGATCCTCGAGATGTGCTTCTCAGCTTTCTGCAATTTCATCCTTTTGATCTCTCTCTCTCTCTCCCTCTCTCTCTCTTTTAACTCACACACACACACCCCAAAACATCCTATTTCGGTGCACATAATTTTTATAGGAAAATGTTGCAACAGCATCCAAGAATGGCACTCAAATAGGTGAAGAAAAGCACAGAGGACAAAGTGAATGTGTATAAAATAAAAAAAATCAATAATTTCTCTCGCTTTATTTGATCTCCTCTTTCAATCCGGCGAACTGCATTCTATACGGACTTTATATACTTGAGCGAACTGCGTTCATCATTGAATTCGTAGTCATCATTTTCTGCAATTAAAATTATTTTTCTGCGCTACATTTGTCTGTCCCATTTACATTTTAATTGGATTTTTTGCTCTGTCAAAAGTATTCTATTTCACCAATACTCACTGTTGGAATTGGAAGAGAACAGACTCCCCAGTACTTCAACGATAATTGGTATTAAATCGCAATTCTCCATTATATTCACTCTTGCACGCACGCAATGTGTACCAGATAATTGTTAATATATCAAAAGAGCACTCTCGAGAGTCAGTGACGATGAAATATGAGAGGCGAACGGGATATAATTTGACCATGCAAATGATACGTGAGACACTAACAAACTGAAGTATGTTTTTCATCCCAAAATTCAATAGTGGCGAAATTAAAGCCGAAACCGGATGGATTTACTCTAATCTCGTTGAGAATCTCAGATTCATTCTTGCATTAAATGACACGGCATAATTTCCCATTCATTCGTTGGAAATTAATTTTATACATGGCGCACAAATGAGACAGACACAACATTGAAGACGATACAAGGAAAATGCTTTTCATTCTTCACCCCAGACAACGCCACACACTTCATGAACTATTTTATCGACGGAAGACACAACTGGTTTTGCCCACTTCAGCCGCGACCCGAATCCAACCCTTTTACTCATATTTTACATGGGGGATGAAATCCGACTAGAGGCCAAATGTATTGTACATTATTTTTTTTTAGTTTTGAACAATCAGACAGACGAAATTAGATAATAAGTTAGTTACATCGCTTCTCCAACATATAATAACATCACATTTTTATTTTCCGGTCAATATTGTCAGATTCCCTTTTCGTTAGATTGCATTTTCAGCCGGTAGTCATTCGCAGAAACCACTGTTAAATCAATAAAAATTTTCACTGCTTCAAGTAGCGATTGAAATTTGTGACATGAGTAAGAAAGTGGAATTTTCAAGTGATACTGTGAGAGTTCATCATCTCAATCCACTCTGTAATCCACATTTGGTGTCCCGACTCAAGTGCTACAGCCTGAATGAGTCCTTCGCCAAAGAGTTCAACAAGAAGCAGAGAAATATTTTCTCTCTGCCTCAAAAGCAACTCACCCATTTAAAGTCCATCAAGAGCACGAGATCGAAATTGACAGTGAAGTATGAAAAAAGTAAGTACAGAATTTAGAATATAATCTTGGGATGATATTTATAGCATATTCTGAACAGAAAAATCCTACACCGCTTTGAAAATTCAACGCGAGAAATTCCGCGTGAGAATTCTCGAATTGATCACAAGAGGAAAACGTCCTGAGATAAAGACTGGATTTCCATCCACCAAAGATGAAGAATACTTCAGGTTTTATCACTACATTCAGCATGGTATCGATACTGCTCACATCGCTTCTCTAGATAAAATGGTTCTCTCGCGAATTCTCTGTCTCATTCCCAAACGTCTTGCCAAATACGTGCAAATTCTTGATGGAATCATTGAGGAGATGAAAAATGAGTACTTCATGGCCATGAAAAAATCCGTGATTGATTATGTGTTGCAAGATTCTTTGCCGGATTCTATCGGTGATGAGAAATCATGCAGGACAGCAAAATCCAATCGAGTTGCAACCAACTGTGACCATCACTTTGAAGAGAATCGCACAAAACTTATGAAATCCCTCTTCACCGTGAATCCATGCATGTCTCAAATGCTAGAACTGTGGCATACACACTTTCAAAAACTCTCCTTTGTGAATCTGGAGAAACTCACCGCACACGAGAAGCCTTACGATTTGCTAGAGTTCACTGTAAGTAAAAATGGGGAACAAACTTTCCTATAATAACAAACTCCATTTCTAGGCAACGGTTTTACGTCAAATTGACGAGACGAAGAACATCTTAAAGAATGATTGGTACAATCTTATAAAAATCATCATTTTAAGAGGCATAAAGAAAAATATAGTGCCCAAGTTTGAAAAAAAGCGCCTCACCAGAAAATTCTTTTGTGCCACAGCCACAATCATGGAACAGAATCTTCAGGATGTCTGTGTTAACAGCCTCAACATCTACAGTCACTACATTTGTGACCTCAACGCTTCGAATAAGCGGTTCAACTTGACAATCTTATTAGAGGAAGAAGACACTCTGGTCTTCAATCCCAGCTTCTTCAAGATTGAAGCTGAGATTTTACGGGTGATTGACTATATAATTAAGACCGTGAAGGCTTTTCCTCGAATAGAAAGTCTGTTCGATCTACCTGACTTCTCATCCAACTCATGTCTGCAGCCCATCATCTCAGACAGCGCAGTGGCGGATTGTCGGAACAAAATTCTTCGTGTTCTAGAAGATCAACGAATTGGTCCAGAATTGAGAATGCAGGACTTTGATGAGTACATCACATTAATGAATGGCGCAGCTTCTGAAGAAATTGAACAATTCATCAGTCGAAAGCCCAAGTTCGAAGAGTACTGCGAACAGATTTTACACTACAAGGAAATCGAGGGTTCTATAACGCGCCATATTTCAGGCGTAATCATCCTGGGATTGTATGAATTCCACCGAGAAGGCCTCATAGAAACACTAGAGAAGTTGGCACGATTTATGCAGAACGAACTCATCACGAATTTGACAGCTCAACAACAAACGGAAATCTCCGATTTTGCCAAGGAGTACGAGAGTATATCAGTGAGAGCCAGGAAGATTCCGAAAGACACACGCGAATTGATGGAATTAAAAATGTACGTACAGGAAATGGAGGAAAATAAAATCCCAGAAATGGAGCAGAAGCTGAGGCAGAATATGAAAGAACTCCTCTGGCTCTTCGACCATACAATCTTTACACCGTTGGAGATTAAGCAAAACAGTCTCACTTTTCAGTGGTATTTAAAGATGCCAAGTGTATTCAAGGAGCATAAGCAAATTATTGTAGAGAAGACGCTGGAGTATCAAGAAAGCCTCAGGCGACGAATCGAGACGTTCAGAAGAGATTTGGAGGTATACTGGGAACAGGTGCAGGACTATGAAAACTGGGGAGACATAAAGCATCTGGCCAAGTACAAAAGAAAAGCCACACTTTTGGATAATAAGTAATTTTGAGAAGAAAACTCATTTTTAGGATATTTCATTATTTTTTTCAATTCTAGACTTATGAGTGCACAAGAGAAGATCAATCAGATAAACGAAGAGGAGAGTTCATATATGTGGGAAGAGTCTCAGTTTCCCCTAAGAAATGCCACATATGAAAAACTAGTTCCACATAAAAATCTCTTCGATGCTGGTCAGGATTTTATGGACAAGTATGAGATATGGATGCACACTCAAGTGGGCACGTTTGAACCATCTGACATTGATAATGACGTGGCAGTGATCTACAAGACAATACTCACTCTTGAGAAGCTTTTTATGGACAGTCCAAATACACAGAAACTCACTCTTGATGTAAGAACTATTTCAAATCCTTCCGATTAAATCTAATTCAATCTAATCAGTATATTAGGAAATAAAAATACCATTTTAAAACAGATTTTACTAATACAAAAAAAATTCTCGTAGATCAAGGAAGTCGTGGATGAATTCAAGACCCACATGCCTATTGTAAGGACTTTAGGTAATTCAGGCATGAAAGAGCGTCATTGGGAGCAAGTATCTGAGATAATAGGTTTCCCTATTAAGATCTCGTCAGATCTAACCCTCGAGAGAATTATAGAATATGGCCTGGATGATTACATTTCCAAGTTCCAAATAATTTCCGAGAGTGCCACGAAAGAGAACAACTTGGAGAAGGCGATGACAAAGATGGTGGACGAGTGGACAGATATAGCATTCACCATCAATCCTTACAGGGACTCAGGAACATTCATCCTCTCTGCTATTGATGACATTCAAGTTCTCCTCGATGATCACATCATAAAAACACAGACCATGAAGAATTCACCCTACATTAAACCATTTGCCAAGGAGATTCTGGCATGGGAAACAACATTAGTTCTTTTGCAGGACATCCTGGACAGTTGGCTCAAGGTTCAGGGCAATTGGATGTATTTAGAGCCTATTTTCTCTAGCCCTGACATCCAGCAGCACATGCCAGAAGAGGGCAGACGATTCAGTGCTGTGGACAAGATATGGAAGGATCTCATGAAACAGGTGGCCATCGATACAAAAGTGATGGCAGTTGTGGAGATTGAGAAAATGGCCGATAGGCTTAAGAAAGCCTTCAATCTTCTCGAAGTCATTCAAAAAGGACTTAATGCCGTAAGAAATCATTTCACAAAGTCTCCAACTGTTCCTAACTGTTTTTCTTTATTTCTTTCAGTATCTTGAAAAGAAGAGACTCCACTTTTCACGATTCTTTTTCCTGTCAAATGAAGAATTGCTGGAAATCTTGTCTGAGACCAAAGATCCTAGAATGGTGCAGAATCATTTGAAGAAATGCTTCGAAGGCATCGCTTCTTTGACATTCACTGAAGAGCTGGATGTGACCAAAATGAATTCTCATCATGGGGAGGAAATTGAACTGCTTGAAGTCATTTCCACATCCAAATCTCGTGGCCAAGTTGAAAAGTGGCTCACCGAGTTGGAAGATGTAATGAAGAAAACTGTTTTAAAGTCCTTGCAAAATGCATTCAGTGATCACAAGCGCTCTAGCAGAGGATCTTGGCTTTTCAAGTGGCCAGAACAGGCAGTTTTGAATGTCTCAAAAATTTTCTGGACAGCAACAGTAGAGAAACACCTGGGAAAAGATTTTTCGAGTCTGATAGATAAGTGGCAAGAGAATATTGGAAATATTTCGCAGTGTATTGAAGAGACCACCACAGAGCGCCACAGACTAACTCTCACTTCTACAATTATCTCAGACATTCATTGCAGAGATGTGATTACTCATCTTCAACGTGAAAATGTAACAAGCTCCAAAAATTTTGCTTGGATTTCCCAATTGAGATACTACTGGAATCAAGATCTAAGTTTGAAAACACTGGACAGTTCTCTAAGTTATGCCCATGAATATCTAGGCAATACCACAAGACTTGTGATCACTCCTCAAACAGATAGATGCTGGAGATCAACCTTTGTGGCATTAGAGCACAACTTCGGGTGCAGTTACGAAGGCCCAACGTCGGTTGGGAAAACTGAAACAATGAAAGATCTCGCTAAAGTTGTCGGGAAACAGTGCATAGTCTTCTACTGTTCCCGGAGTCTTGATTTCGTCACCTTCGGAAAATTTTTTAAGGGACTTGCCTCATGTGGTGCCTGGTGTTGCTTTAAAGACTTCAACAACGTCACTCTCAAAATAATTTCCGTTGTATCACAGCAAATCCTCACACTGCAGCGAAGTATCGCTGGGAAGTGTTCTAAAGTAACATTTGATGGAACAAAACTCCACCTTGATCCTACCTGTGCTATCTTTGCCACTCTTGTTCGAAACCGTAAGAAAAATGACCTTCCTGACTCCATGAAGGTATTATTTCGCCCAATCTCTTTCACGGCTCCTCACAGCCAAATGGTTATCGAAGTTGAGTTGTTTGCTAGTGGCTTCCGTGAAGGAAAGTTCTTAGCTACGAAGATTATCAAATTATTTGAGTTATCGAAGGAGCTCTTGACCAAGGAATCTCACTATGATTTTGGTCCAAGAACCATTAAGAGTATTCTAAATATTGCTAAACTGAGGAAAAATGGCAGTGAGAGTGAATTGATCTTTAATTCCATAAAAACAGTCTGCCGCCCAAAGTTAAAAGATGAGGATTTGCGTATCTTTTTGGAAATACTGGGTGATCTCTTTCCTCAGCATGAATTGTCCCCCACTCTCTCAGAAGCTGATGTCAGAATGAAAGGTATCTTACAAAGAGTCTTTGAAAAGAACAATAAAGTCTTCACAAAGCATTCTCTGGATAAGTGTCTCCAGATGTTGGAAATGCTCGACGTGACACCTGGAATCGTTATCACAGGTGGTCCCTTTGGAGGGAAAACCACAAAGTATCGCATGCTTGCCGAAGCTTTGAAAACATCCGACGAAGGAGACATCTTCGAAGATAAATTGACTTATGTGGTGATTAATCCCAAAGCGATAACTCTGGAGAAGTTTTACGGAAGTTTTGATGTGCAAACTTTTGAGTGGTCAGACGGAATCTTTTCCCATTACTACAGAAAGTTTACAGGATCACGAAATGATAACAGGAAATGGATCATTTTCGACGGTCCAATTGATACTTCTTGGATAGATAACCTCAACACTGTTCTTGATGATAACAGGAAACTTTGCTTGATGTCTGGTGAGATCATCCATTTCAAACCCACTATGAGATTCATCTTCGAGACTGAGGACCTGAAAGCAGCGTCACCAGCTACAATTTCTCGATGTGGTATTGTTCACCTAGAACCTGATCAATTAGGATGGAAGCCGCTTATGGAGTCTTGGAAAAACACCCTCCCTCCAACTCTCACCCAGGTTCAAAAGAATGATATTCACGACCTCTTCATGAGATTCTGTCCTCCGCTCCTCTGGTACATTCGACAACCTGGAATCCAAGCGATGATTCACACTCAGGATGCTAATATTCTCGTCTCTATAACAAATCTTTTCGACTGCTTCCTCAAAGACTACGAAGACCAGAAACATGTGGCCAGTCTTTCTGAATTCGACATCCGTGCTCAACTAGAGGGAATCTTCTTCTTTTCCTGCGTTTGGGCGATAGGCGGACCTCTAGATGCAGCCAGTCGAGAGAAGTTCTCTATTCTCTTCCGTGGACTACTTGAGAAGAAATTTCCGGCAGATCTTTACGAAAAATATAATATCCCTGAGGATCTGAGAGTGACTGACTTGGCCAGAACGTACATCTTTCCCATACCTAAGGCTGAGAGTGTATTCGATTACAGGTACATCAAGGAAGGCAAGGGTAAATGGAAACTCTGGTCGGATGAAATTGCTTTAGCTCCTCCAATACCCAGAGACATGCCAGTAAATCAGATTATCATCAGTACAGCAGAAACTATAAGAATTTGGGCATTGTTGGACCTCCTGGCGAGCAATTCTAAACAGATACTTTTGGTTGGGCACACAGGAACTGGGAAGAGTGTCTATACATTAGAATTCCTTGCAAAGAAACTCAATGGGAATCTCTTTAAACATCAGTATTTATGCTTCTCAGACCTCACCACAGCCAGCCAGACTCAAGAGATCATCATGGCTAAGCTGGATAAACGAAGGAAAGGAGTTTTTGGACCACCATTGGGAAAGAAGTGTGTGATCTTTATCGACGATCTCTCAATGCCAATTAAAGAGAAATGTGGAGCACAACCTCCCATTGAACTTCTCCGCATGTGGATGGATCATCAGATGTGGTACGATCAAACAGAAAATGTCCCTATAAAGTTAATAGACATCCAACTTCTTTGCGCTATGGGATCTCAAGGAGTAGGTAATAGTATAACAACGAGATTCACCAGACACTTCAACACTATTGCTATTGACAATTTTGTGGACGAGACTTTGAAGTCCATTTTCAGTAAGATCGTCCTGTGGCATTTGGACACAAGAGGTTTTTCCAAGGAGTTTGATCCCTGCATTGACGAGATTGTTCTATCCACTTTGGATATTTACAATAAAGTGAAGGAACGTCTCTTGCCTACACCTAAACGACCACACTACATATTTAATCTCAGAGACTTTGCCAGAGTGGTTCAAGGAGTCCTGCTGTCCGTCCCAGAAGCCATTGAAGATCTCAGTGGAATGAGAAGATTGTGGTTTCACGAAGTCAATAGAATCTATGGAGATCGCCTTGTAGATCTTGAGGATAGGAAATGGTTGTTTGGCTGCCTCTGTGACATTGCAGTATCTTGCATGAAGACCACGGCTATGGAACTTCTTCAGAGATTTAGTGAATTCGGAGACACTGTAAGTATTAAATTGTATCATGTTTCTTGTCTAATAATATCTTTTACAGCTTCGCGAGGAGGACATGAGGAAGCTCATCTATTGTGATTTTACGAATCCTAAAGCAGACACTAAAAATTACATTGAGGTCCAGGATATTGATGAATTGACGAATGTTGTAGAGGCTTATCAAGTAGAGTTCAATAATATGTCCAAGAAACCAATGGATCTCATCCTTTTCCGATTTGCAATTGAACATTTATCCAGGATCTGCCGGATCTTGAAACAACCAAGAAGTCACGCTCTCCTAATTGGTATGGATGGGTCAGGAAGACAGAGTCTCTCTCGTCTAGCATCCCACATCATGGACTATGAGCTGTTTCAAGTAGAGATCACAAACAAGTACAACAAGGATGAGTGGCGAAATGACATTAAAAATATTTTAAAGAGGATCTCTACAAATGAACTACACGGAGTGTTTCTAGTCACAGATAAGCAAGTAAAGGAAGAATCATTTCTGGAAGAGATCAATAATCTTCTCATATGTGGTGAAATTCCCAACATATTCTCAACAGAGGACAAAGAGGAATTGATTGAGAGAATGCGTCAGATCGACAGTCAAAAAGAAAAGAGTTTGCAAACTGATGGAACTCCTGTAGCACTCTTCAACTACTTCGTCCGTGTAGTTAGAGAACAACTCCATATTGTACTCTGCATGTCTCCTGAAGGATCTACACTTCGCACTAGAATCCGCAAGTTTCCTTCTGTAGTAAACTGCTGTACTGTAAACTGGTTTCAAGAGTGGCCAGAAGATGCTTTGGTATCGGTGGCTTCCAGATACTTGACTTCAATCATACAAGACGTTACTACTCGAACAAACTATATGAACACTTTTATCTTCTTCCACAATACCTCCAAAACAATCTCTGAGGAGCTTTTTGTACGCGTCCAGCGAAGGAACTACATCACACCTATAATTTACATTGAGCTCATTCAAAATTTCAAAACAATGCTACAGAACAAGACAACTCAACTAACACAGAAGCGTGACAAATACTTAGCAGGAATTGATCAGCTTACAAATGCGGCGGCACAGATAAAGATCACGCAGGATCAATTGGAAATTCTCGAGCCTAAACTGAAGACAACATCAGAGATTGTTACAGAACAGGGTATAAAGGTACAGGCAGAATTCGAACGCCTCGTCATTCAGAAGGAGCATATCAAACGTGATGAAGCCATTACAGCAGAGAAAGCAGGAGCTGTGACAAAAATCAAGGAAGAGTGTAGCACGAAACTTGGAGAGGTGCAGCCAGACATCGAGACAGCCACAGATTCCCTGACCACACTCACTCCAGCCGATATTCTAATCGTGAAATCCATGAAAAATCCACCAGCAGCCGTGAAGATCGTCCTCGAGGGCATTTGCATTTTGCGTGACATCAAACCAGACAAAGTTCCTGGTCAAAATGATGATTATTGGTCTCCGTCGAAACGTCTTTTAGCCGATCCTTCCTTCCTTGAAAGCCTCATTCAATTTGATAAGAATAGCGTTACTCCGCGGATTATGGAAGTTTTTCAGCAGCGACCTGTTCTTGCATTCGACATGGAGAAGGTGAAATCCATCTCCATGACATGCGAGATTCTTTTCAAGTGGGTCTTAGCTGTGGCAAATTATGGGCGTGTTCTCGAAAGCTTAGAACCTCGTAAGCAAGCACTGATTGAAGCTGAGGCGATTTACAGCACTGCTATAGATTCATTGAATATTAAATTGGAGCAGCTAGCATCGGCGGAAGTCAGTTTGGCCGATTTACAATCCCATCACGATGCCAAACAAGAAGAGTTCCGTCTTCTGCAGAACGAATTTGAAGCCTCAACAAAGAAACTCCAGCGCGCTAATGAACTGATCAATACACTGGAGAGCGAAAAAGGCGGTTGGAAAGATGTTGCCGATAGTCTGGAAGCTTCTTTCGACAAAGTGGCCGGAGATGTGATAATCTCAGCTGGCATTGTGTCCTACATGGGGGCTTTTCCTGTTGAATTCCGACGAAAATTGCTGGACATGTGGTTGGAGAAGATCAACGGCTTTGAAATAAAGCACTCAGAACCCTTTAAAGTGGATGAAACTCTTGAGGATCCTGTGCAAATAAGGCAATGGACCATCAGTGGTCTACCCAATGAGAGCCATCCGATAGAGAATGCGATTATCATTAAGTGAGTTTTTCAGTTATCTTTTATTGCTTTTCACGAATAAAATATACTATTTACTGCCTTTTACTGAGGTTTGCGTAGCCTATATCAACACAATACATTTTTTGATTACACTAAAGTTTGCAGTAAAATATTTTTTGCTTAAACGCTTTTATAGAATATAAACTACAATTTTCTCATATTTTTCATAAATTTGACTGTATTTACAGATACTCCAAGAGATGGCCTCTTTTAATAGATCCTCAATTCCTCGCTAACAGTTGGATTAAGAATTTAGAGAAAGAGAATAGACTGTGTGTAATTCGCTTCAACCAGCCAGATTATAATCGAGTCCTTGAGAATTCCATACAATTTGGTCTTCCAGTACTCATTGAGAATGTAGGCGAGGAACTAGATCCAATGCTGGAACCTATCCTCAAGAAGCAATTCTTCAAACAAGGCGGAGTTTATTGCATCAAGATGGGTGAAAACATCATTGAGTTTAATGAATCCTTCCGCCTTTTTATCACCACAAAATTGTACAATCCTCGAATTGCGCCGGACGTAGCCGTGGATGTGAAGATCATCAATTTTGTTATAACCAGGGAAGGATTGAACAATCAAATAGTTTCCGCAACTATTGGTCGGGAGCGCCCAGATTTGGAGTCCGAGAGAAATCAGATTGTGATGCAGAGAGGCGACACAGAGAAGCAGCTAAGGGATATTGAGGAGAACATCTTGGAAATTCTATCCACAGAAAAGGAAATTCTAGAGAGTGACAAAGCCGTACAGACGCTCAGCTCTTCCAAAGTCCTCCTCAACGAAGTACAAGAGAAGTTCATAGTGGCCAAAAATACGGAGAAGCAGCTGGAAGATGGAAGAGTGGTTTACACTCAAATTGCTGATCACTGCTCTACACTCTTCTTCGCCATAGGTCAGTTACAGATAGTAAATTATTTAGAGAGTATCTAATCACTGTCGTTTTGCAGATCAACTCAGCAATATCAATCCCATGTACCAATTCAATTTGAAATGGTTTATCAACATCTACCTCACGGCCATTGATAACACCGAAAAGTTGGACGATATTAATGCCCGGCTTCAGGGACTTAAGAAGTACTTTACGCGCAGTTTTTTCATTAGCGTCTGCCAGAGTCTCTTCAGCAAGGATAAACTTGTACTTGCGCTTATCCTCTCTGCCAGTATCAATTCCTTCGATAAGCAAGAGTGGATGTTCTTGTTAACTGGAGTACGGCCAATGAGTGCGGATTTTCCAGAAGTTCCCGCAGAAACTTTTCGTGGAAGAATTTGGCATGAAATTTGCTCTTTGGCAACGTTCAAATCATTTGAGGGCATTATCAGCCACATAACTGATAATCTGGACAAATGGGAAAAAGTGCTAACGTCAGACACTCCCTGTGCGCAAATTCCTGAACCATGGAGTACAAATTTATCAGACTTCCACAAGCTTTTGCTTCTCAGGTGCTTAAGAAGGGATGTTCTTATTCACAGCATTATTGAATTTGTGAGCAAAAGCCTGGGTGGAGATTTCATAGACCCTCAACTTCCAAGCCTTGACGCCTGTTATGAAATCTCAAATTCTTGTATTCCAATTGTGGCTATCCTTGAGCCCGGCTATGATTTCACCGAATCCCTCTTGAAGTTCGCTGCCCAAAGAGGAATTTCCGATGACAAAATCGTTCTAGTGACTTTGGGAAAAGGACAAGGCGAAATTGCAGAGAAAACCATAGAAAAGGGCATGAAATCAGGCTGTTGGGTGGTTCTTCTAAACTGCCATCTAGCTAACAATTGGCTATTTACACTCGAGGGAGTCTGTGACACATTTACGTCGGAAACAACTCATTTGGATTTTCGCCTTTGGTTGACAACCTTGTCCACGAAGAACTTTCCTCCGTCTTTACTTGAGAACAGTGCGAAAATCACAAGAGAACTGAATGATGGCCTCAAAAGAAATCTCGTGCAAAAGTTCAAGCACTATTCTCAAAAAGACGATCCTGAAGACGTTCAGAAACTTCTGTACAGTCTCTGCTGTTTCCACAGTGTTATCCTGGAGAAGAGAAACTACCGTGAGAGTGGTTGGAATGTCCAGTATGATTTCAATGACTTGGATTTGTCGGTGAGCGTGAGAAATGTCAGAACCTACATAACAGATAGCCAGGAATCTTCCTTAGAAGCTCTATTGCACATAATCAGCTCTTGCAACTACGGGGAGAGAGTTTTTGATCCGTGGGATCAGCGATTATTGTGTGTCCTTTTCAAAATCTTCGTTATCAATCAAATATCTGGCGGAACAGAGCAGACAGCGTTTAGTATCCCTAATGATACATCACAGGAGACTTTTATGAACTTCATTGATCAACTTTCTTGGGGAAATACCCCAAATGCCCTGGGCCTGCACAGAAATGCCTGCAAAGTGAAAGAAGAGGAAGACACAGAAAATCTCTTGGCAACTATACTCCGGATGCAAGATCGACATGATTTGGTGGAGCTCCAAGAACAGAAATTAATGGAAAATGCAGAGGAAAATATCATCAAGACATCCCAAAACATTTTGTCGCGTATTCCAGAAACCTTTAATCTTCAAGACGTCGAGATCAAGTTCCCCAAATCCTACACGGAGTCCATGAATTTCCTGCTGCACCAGGAACTGATGCAGTACAACCAGTTGATCATCTTCATCTCAGAGCAACTCACGAACGTCATCAAGTGTATACAAGGTGATTTATTTGCGCTTATGCTTTCTCAGTTGCCGCTCTACATTCAATTCTATAGCTTTTCTTTTCTTGTCCATTTCACTAATTTCTGCGCACAAAAGTTCATCCAGCTTCTCATTTAACATTTCCCGGTTTCTTTGCTCGAATCCTGTCAGTTCTCGTCTCACGTAGTCCAGCCTTTGCTCCTGGCATACACTCATTTCGAACTCCTTGAGTGTCCATAGTTGAAGCTCCAGCGCATGTAGAAGATTCTGCACAGACGGCGGAAGATTATTTGGTCCATAAGTCGTCTCTAAAATTTCCATTAGCCTTATTCTATTGCGATTTGGCTCCTTTCTCGCACCACTTCCACTCTTGCTCCTCTCCCTGTACTTCCTGGGATTCCATCGCTTTGTCTGAGCCGATGACTCCCGGAACACTGTTTGGCACTCCTTATTCACGAGTTCCATCAACAGGCCGAGCGATTTACACACCACACATGGAGGACGCTATAGCTGCAATATCCTGTGGTCTAGTGCCCAATAAGTGGCTTAAATTCTCCTACGCAACACAGAAACCTCTGGCCAGTTTTATTGCAGATCTCTTGCACCGAATAACGTACTTTCAGGTGAGCAAAGGAATTTCACTGTAGCTTATATTGATCAAACTTACAATGAATTTCTAGAATTGGGTCGACAGCGGCATTCCATCGTCTATTTGGCTTCCGGGTTTCTATTCACCTCGAGCCTTCCTAGCAACAGTTCGTCTGAATTACACGCGACGTCATAAAATTCAAATAAACACTGTTGAATTGGACTTCACAGTGGGTGGGGAGTCCAATGAGGATTCAGTGAATATATTTGGACTATTTCTTAGCGGTGCGAGATTCGACAGGGAAAACTATTGTCTTGAGGAACTCACACCTCATCAGTTACATGACCAATTACCGGAAATACTGTGTGCGCCAAGAAAAACTGAGAAGAAGACTTCAGAAAAGACTTATCTCTGTCCAACGTACACTTTGCGCTGTGACAAAAAAGGCATGGAGGATTCGCAGGGAGGAAATGCTCATTTTATCATGGCAATTCCACTTGGGATCTCAGCTACTTCATCTTCTGATCACTGGGTTCTTCGAGGAGTCTCTGCACTCTTGCAACTCAATTAATAATATCATTTTTATTCCATTCTTCAACTATATCAACTCTTTCACCTTCGAAGGAGGACCTGTGAAAAATACCGTAGAATTAGAAATATATCTAGAATTTATGAGATTATTTTAACGCACCGATAAAGCTCAAAAGGACCGGCAGGAAGATTAATCCATGAGCTGCTCCGATCAGCACCATTCCTAAGTACATTCGGAAATAGAAGACCTGGAAAATCTGCGATTTGGCAAAGGCGAGGACTACAATTCCGGCAAATTTAGTAAGTGTGATGCCAGAGAGAACGCTACTGCCGGTGTTCACGAGAGCAGCTCTTGCTCTGTCCATGTGATCGCCAATAACTCTCGTGTAGGATCGCACGATGTGAGATACGAACTCCACGCCTATTCCCACACTCTGGAAAGCGAAAAAGCCGGAATATTCATTAAGCAAATAATTGCAATAAGCACAAATTTATATATATAATCACGATTGCATTCAAAAATATTTTGTAATCATAATAGGGAATACACATATGCACAAAATTGATCACGGTCTTATTAACCTCTATAATTAACCTTGGAAACCGTCCCAAAAGACCTACAATATCTTTTGCTATTCGGATAATACTCACCACTACAAGATTCACGAGGGAAACGGCATTGAGAGTGATACTCCAGGCCCACATCAATCCTAACATGTTGATCAGGATCATCAAAACGACTAACAGGACTGTCAGCGCTGAGACAATGTCGAGTCCTGTCACGAGGAAAGTCACACCGAAAACGCAGACTATCGACATGCCCAACGAGAAGAAGGAATCTTCCCAAATACTGAGGTATTGTTCGTAGAAAACATAGAAGACACTGTAGGGGAAGATAGATATTCCCAGTTCCTTCTCATCAAAGTCCTCCTGAATGTTATCTGTGATTATTCTCGCCTGTTTTAGGGCAGTGTAGAAATCCCTCGAAGTACTTAGAGTTGTGTGATAGGAACTAAAGTAGAAATCCTGGATGTAAGTGTCTCCATGCTGGTCATAAATGTAGTTTATCGCTGAAACATAGGCCGCTCTTCCAGCTTTTGCACACCCTTCATGAGGCAAATCTGAGAGGAAATTGCTGAAGTACCTCATGAAAATCTCTCTCGTCGGCCTCAAATCCACAATTTCCTTCTCACAGTCTTGACAAACACCTAGTGGCGTGGTACTTGGACAGAAAGTTCCATTCGGATACAATTTGCAGCACGTGTCCACACTTAGCCAGTCAATGTAATCATCAATCCACGATGAAGAGGGCCGAGCAATGTAGGTTCTGAGGAGAGAGATAACATATGTATGTATTTAGAGATCATTGCACACTTGTTAATGAACATTGTTGTTACTTACATGTCCGGATATTGAGATGCTATGTAGAGTTTCACGGAAACTGAGTCATTGTTGCACAGAGGGCCACCACAAATTAAATTTTGTGCGGTAGTGTAGCTATAGTCTAGACCAGATGTGACCACAAAATATACTGGGGGACCAATTGAGAGTAATTCTGCCATAAACTGTGGATATATAAAAGAATTATTATCTTTTCTATGATAAACAGATAAAAAACAATATACATACATTGAAATACTTCACTACATAGGAGTCTTTAGCCATTGATAGTTCTTGATCGAGTCCTGGTTCCAGATGTGGCGCTACCATGATTGACAAACAAGTAGTAAGGATGAAGAAAATAAAGACAAGCGGTCGGACACGTTTGGACAGCACGAAAGGAGCATAAAATCTATCAATGATCCTCTGCAGAAATCCCTGTGATGGCTTGTCTTCCTTCTGATACTTGCTCATCCGAAGGCAGCACATAAGATCAAACCTCTTCGCTTCGTAGCGTTGTTGATCGAGGCTCATGATTGCCACGAAGGCCGTCAGCTGCAAGATGAAGTCAATAAGAAGAGCAACAGCAGCGTACATGGCGAACGTATGCACTGCTGGCATGCTCGAGAGCGCTCCAATGCCGAAGCAGAAGATTTCAGCAGAAGCCGTGAGAAGGATAGAAGGGCCCACTTGTCCAATGGCCACTCCAATGCCTTCAGGTATATTGGCATACTCTCTCTTGTCCAATCGGTTGTATGTATGCACCATGATGAAGATATTGTCCACACCAATGGCAAGAACCAAGAAAGGTATCACCTCAATTGTTAGCATTGTGGTGGAAATTCCAGCGTATCCGAAAATTCCTAGACTGCACGCCACAGAAACCAGGACAATAACTATTCCTCCTACTGCCAAAGTTATCTTGGATTCCAGGAAGAAGGTGCGAACTCCGCTGATCTTCCCCAGTGCAATCATGATGTAGATAAACATAACGGCGTAACTGATGATCACCGTAGACATTTCCGCTTCGGAAAGTTCTTGAATCCCATCCTCAATCGATCTCTCAGCACTGAAGGCGACATCCATCAAGTCACTCTCGTAGTTTTTCATGAAGTCAATGAAGAGCTTTTCCCACTCCATAGCCAGTGCCAAGTGATCAGGATCTTGCTTGTTATTTATTAGAAAAGTGACCGTGACAGCTGTGGCGAGGTTGTACTCAGGCTGTTCATTCCCCTCAGGCTTTGGCATCCCACCCAGAGCTACTCCAGGCTCAACAGGGCCCCCAAATGGCGCAAAACATTCCGGAGAATAAGCATTCTGGGTGCAACTGATCATCGTATTGAGATAGTTTATCACAAATCCATTTATATCTGTGCGCGATGCATTAAACTTGGCGAAATCATGATCAAAGTATCCAAACACTGATTGAACTGTGCATTGATCAAGTGTTGGTGTTTCTCCTGGATAGATAACAGGTGCGAAGCATATCTTCTCCAGTCCCAGATTTTCATCTTGTCCTAATTGAGCCAGTTCCAACTGCAACTTGAACACTTCCAGGAGGAATTCCATATTGTAAGCCGGGCCAAATTCAACTACACCCGTGTCAGTTTCGTGGAAAATAGACGTTGTATTGTAGGGCTTCATAAAAATTTGTTCAGTTCTATAGAACGGTCCAAAACGACTGTCAAAAAAGTCCTTCTCAACCCTGGATCTGCTCTCTGGATTTGCCCAAAGTTCCACTGGGTCTGTTGTTATCTGCAAACGATTACTTCATTACGAAAAGTACTAATTACATCAATAAGAAGCCTTACTTCCAGATAGAATATCCCGTAAGCCAGGGCTGCAATTGCCCAGGAACAGAGAGCAAGAGTGAGAATCGGTTGAGAGGCACAAGCGTAACCTAGCCATCTGAAGAATGCTGTAATATACCGATTGATACCATTGAATCCTCCGCACCATTTTGGTAGCTCATCAAAGTCACTGTGTCTCGTGCGAATTGAAACAATAACTACGAACACAATTCCCAGGAGACCCAGAAACATTGCCGTGACAAATGTTATTCCATTCAGGTCTCCAACCATGAATACACTTTCCTCAACTTCGGGCTCCATTCCTTGTGGACAATTTGTCGGACAATCGATGCAAGAACACTCATAAGATCCCTGAAGATATTAAATTAACTAAGTTCTTTATCGAGTTCATTACGTAAATATTTATATAATACATACTGGAAAAGGATCGTCGCAAGTTCTGGGATTTCCATCAAATCTCTCTTCAGGATTTTCAGATGTAAAGTAGTTAATGGTAAATGGTGCCAGAGGATTTATACTACTGTCACCCATGAAGCCAAACCATCTCAATGGCGTGCATCTGGACGAACCGAAGGATCCACATGCCAAATCCATGGCTAGTTTACCAGTGGAAGGATGTACAATGTTGGCACAACTCTCATATGTCATATTCAAATAATCCGCATTGGCCACAAAGTCAATCTCCCGAACATAGGCTCCTCCTATATTTCCCTGTGGCTCCACATAAGTTCGCACGTACTTACTAGCTTCAGGAGAACATGAAAAGGCACAAATACTCTGTAGGAGATTTTTCAGGCACCCCTCGCAGCGTCCAAAAATCCCTTCAGCCATTGAGAATTGCGAATCCATCAGCCTGATACTTTGTGCATTACAACAAAGCGGCGTGTCATCTGATAAGAACCATCAATCATTGTGTGAAATATCGCTCAATAGAAGGATTACGAAGACATCTCACCGCTTGTGAATACATCTGGGCAGCGTCTCCGCAGGATTTCAGCTGCTTCTGGATCTGCTGCGATATCCAGCGGAAATCCTGGTCCATCATAGGCACAATTCTGGAATTGTCCATTAGTATCGTAATTGCACACATTATACCAAACACAATCAGCAGAACTTTCTCGACCGCATAGCAAGAGAAATGTGAGAATTGGAAAGACTTTGAAGATCACTGGAATGGCAAAAAAAAAGTCAATGGAATGTGAAATGCATTATCAATTGAAGGGGACTTACTGGACTTCTTCATTATACGTCTAGTCACAATGAGTAATTTTCACCAACTAAACTTCACACACCTGAATCTTAACTGCCAATTTAGCGCTCAATTGCCACCCAATTGAATGCTTTTATCTTGTCTTCCCGAACACCTGTTTTACACCTCATCTAATCTAATCATCTTGAGTGGCCCTCAAAATCCAGATACACTTTGACTCACTCTCATTTTCAATAGGTATTTTATTGCATTTCAAATAAAATTGGCTGAAATCTCTGAGAAGCATAAATTTTGCTAAAGAATAATAATTTAAATAAACAGATTACCTCCACCACAATAAATACATTTGATTTTAGACTCGATTTTACAGTTCAGTCTCCGCATTATTCGGCGTGGCCGTCAGACTGTTGGGCCAGTTTCATGATGTGACCCAGGAGGAATTCCTTGTCCCTCGCTTCCATGTAAAGCATCTCCTTCAGGAGTTTCACCATGCCGATCCGAGCACGTGATTTGGAGCGCAAATAGTAAACAATAACGCTAGAAAAGGAGTCAAAATTACATAATGCCGCTGTATCAGAGGGTGAAAAAGGTGAGATATTTATACTGACCACATTCCTAATAGAATGCCTCCAACAAATGCCGGACGAGTTATTGAGACAACAATCCTCCAGAAGAGATGTTCTTTAGTCAGCTTAGCGATATTTTGCGTAACGATCTCATACATAAAATTGAAATTACGGAAAGGTCCACACGTTTGACTCACTTTGACTCTGTGGAATAGATATATCTCAAGTTAGTATCATATATAATGTGCGAATTTCTAATCATTCTCACTGAGTCATGACATATCCATTAGCCACAAGCACGCCCAATAGAGAAAGAAAACTCATCACAAGATAAAGCGTGTGAGTCTGTGTGGATTTCCACAATTTCGCCGGTGGCTTGCAGTACTTGATGAGAATCGCCTTGAGAATGTAGAACATGAGGATCATCTTGACGATGACAATCACAGGAAGAATTGGCGAGTAAAGCAGTCCAATGAAGAAGAGGGTTTGGTTGAATACAAGACTAAGACTGGCTTGGGATATATCAAATTCTGGCGCCCCAATGGCCGGGAAAGATTTCGACAGGATAGATTTGACGATTTGATACAGTGTCACACCAGCAATTGATATGACAAAGTCCACAATAACAAGCCGATAAATCTCCTGACCAATTGCAGTTTCCCAACACTGAGTTTTTGCATGTGAAATCCAGTATCCCAGCAGAACACCAATGATTACAACTTCCAGTAGGAAATTCCTCATCAGTGTGATGTGAATTCTTGTTCTGGACGATTTGTATCCCTCCATCCTGCAAAGAAGTTAGAAAATTACATCAAAATCAAACAAAAAATCAACTATTCCTCACCTCGCAATGTACCCAAAGATCATCTGCATAGCCAACATGATAAAGTTAATACAAATGGGCAAGTAGAGGTATGAGAATGATCTCGTGACATCCTCAGCCGCATCAAAGTGCCTCAGCATCGTCCACATGCCCACACCAAGGCCGGCAAGCATGAAGAGAATCAAAAAGTGCGATGACACCTTAAGCGCCACACTCCAGAACTTCTGAATCAGTGTCTGCTCAATTTGCGGCATTTCCAACTCACTCAGCATCTCTCTAAGTTCATTGAACAACGACTTGTGTGCCAGGCGAGCCATCTTTTCATTGGATATGCCAAAATCCCAAGCGCAGAATATCTTGTCCGCATATGTGGACGTTATTCCGCTTGCTTCAATAAAGGTCCGACGATATGACCTCGCCATTGACACGGACATTATCACAAATGTTATCAAATACACACAAATCATAGTGAGAAAATACGCCATTGGCAAATTGTAGTCATTCTTTGGTATAATACTGATGGTTTCATTCGAATATCCCCCGTAAAAGAGGACGGTGGTGGTCAAGTAGCCCTGAAAATGAAACACGAATAATATTACATGTCGAAATTAATAAAACACCGAAAAGGAAAAATATCTACAGGGAAGAATAGAAGCTTAAAAAAATATTTGGTATTTTCGTGTAGCAAGATGGAAAGTAGTAGAAATATTACCCAAATTCCTGACAGACATGAAAATAACCAAGAATATGCAATAATAAGCTTGATATCTATTCTATATCTATTAATACAGGGCGTGATAATATATGTAGGAGATTGGCTCACCTCTCCAGTGAAAATGTCAAGAAACTTGAACATTGTGGTGGGTTTGAAGCCTCCACGATGCTTATTTAGCAGCAATTGTGGCAAGACAATAAATCTGAAAGAGAATGTGGCATAAAAATCCTGCTTCACGCGATCACAAGTGAACTTACCCAAAGCATAGAACCGCCACGATGCAGTAGGAGATGAAGAGCCACCTAAGGAATTTGAAGTAGGCACTCACGCCGCTCCCGAAGTGGCCCTCAATGTTCCTCATTGATCCATACCAGATCTCCAGGTTGGTGAGTGTGTCAGCAAGGAAAGCACCCAGGCGCGTTCGCAGAATTCTATAGCCGTACTTGAATCTCTGCCACTGGCTTATTGCTCTGGAATCCGTTCTGTTCCTAGCCGAAGTGGAGAGTTTTGTTCTGATCTCTCGCTTGATGTTGATTGTCTGTGGGAGGGATCTGATTGTCTCGCTGCAAGAAATTCACGAGGTTAAACGGAGCCAATTAACACAAAACGAGTGACTCACATTCTGAGGTGCCGCGATAGTGGATTATCAGCCATTAATTGATTGTTTTGCTCCATTTGCTGGGCCAAGTTGTCGACATCGTTTTGCCGACCGCCAGAAAGACGGAAATCTAGCGATAGTTGCCGCTTGAAGCGAGACGGCATAAAATTGATGGTCTTCTGGATCAGAGAGTGATCTCCGCGCTGGGATCCCCATAATTTCAGCTGCAATTAAAGGTTCTTATTCAGCAATTAATCAATAATGAAATATATATTGTTAAAGTCTCACCTCGTCGGCGAAGCAAGTGTTCTTCTCTGAAAAGTCCATACGCAACAGGTTGTCTTGCGAGTGAATTTCTCGCTCTGCGAATGATGTTGATGGACCACCACCACTATCATCATCTATGTGGAACACTGATGACAAGTTTGTGCGTCTCCTGTGCATTTTTCCTTGGGCTTTTACCACGAGAAATTCACTGGGAAGGCGTCCTCCCTTCTTGTTTTTCACCAGCTGACTTGCTGATTCTTGTGTTCGCCACTTGGTGCGCTGTTCGCAGTGAAGATATTAACCATTTATACTCACCTTCCCAAGCCGGCACTTTTTTTTACTGGTTTTTGCCAAGAATTTGCAGACAACGCAGTTTCCAAGTGTGAAATTCTTTGTGCACAACGCGAAAAAATATAATGGCAGAAGGACCAGCTCTTGTAAGGCCACGAACTCTCTTTGGACAACCACTTGATGGGGAAGTGCTGCCCAAAATTGCAGAGTATATTGTTCAACATCTAAACATTCGAGATGTATTCAAGTTTCGAACTTGTTCGTTTGTTTGCCGTGAATTTGGAAACCTGATGCTCGCCGCCATGCTTGAACTTGACTTTACATACTATAATAAAAATGCGCGTAATAACCGTATCCACGAGGCTCCTATACGCGCATGCATCAGGAATTGCAGAAAGCTTAAGAGGATTATCCTGATTAATCAAAAATGGCTCACAGATGACGTGCTATATGAGTTGTTGATTAACAACATCCATGTGAAGATTTTCGATATCCGCGGCAGTAAGAAGATCACCTATAACGGACTTCGGCCACTGACTGAGTTCTGCAAGGAGCTAATTTCCATCTCTATTGTGGACATGCCTATGAGCAATGAGTTCTTGAGAACCCTTCATTGGATAGAGCTGAAGAAAGCGGAGTTTTCCCATGCCACTGGCTTCAACGCAAAGTCTGTTGATCTCTTCATTCGGAAACATCCCAAGCTGGAGTGCATTGATCTTCAAGAGACCGGCGTGGATGTGAAGAGGATTCTCCGCACCATCGCGAAGACTTGCCCAAACTTGTTCTTCCTGGATGTTGATGGTTGCGAGAATGTTTCCGAGGGAGCTATTCGGTAAGTTTTCTTTATCTTTTCTTTACAATCAGTAAACTAATTTATTACATTATTATATTTTAGAAATGTCGCTCAAAAGTGTTCACAAATTAAGTACATCGTGGCGTGGGTGCATCATCAACCCACAGTGCTGTTGCTCAAAAATAGAGGCATTAAGATGGAACGAGATTGGATGGAAATGGGCGAGTATCCCTTCATGCTGGTGGAATATGTTACAGAAACAGATATTCTACGTTTCCCGGATACTTATAATGCTGGGCCTATTTATCCGGAAAGTGAGAAGCTGTGGGATGGCAAGCCAACTCTAGACATGGTTGGATATGATTTTGATATGTACTTGTACTACAATTACGTTAAGGATTTTGATTATTGAAAAAGAAGGGAGAAAAGTTTTGCCTTGGATTGCCGTTGATATTTGAGATTCTGAAGATCGATTGAAATTTCAATTACCAATATTATACTAATAATGCTAATAATATAATATAATATGAGATTTGGATTATGTAAAGACCATTGCCGTCTGCTATATAAACAGCAAGCAAACTGTTTTTTTTCTGGCAAGATCCTTTAAGGATGTAGAAATACTTATGACATTATAATGATTGAATTAAGGAAATTAAGTAATGAAATAAATGTATCCAAAGAGTCAAACGACCAAATCATTTGAACGAGAAATTTGAATCTGCGCTCACGCCGCCTGTCGTTTGGATAAGGAAGTACTCCATGAAAAAGGCGAACATTTGTGTTTACATCCCCGGTTTTTTGCGTTTTTGCACACAAAACAGGTAAATTCCTCATTTATATCTATGGCAAGAGTTTCCTTGAATTCCTCAGCACCGAATATGTAGTAATGTTAGAAATCTCACATTGCAGCGCTTACAAAGAGAGAGAAAGCTGCCACATAACCTCACCATGAGGGGGCCTCATGAAGCAGAGTGTCGGAAAATCTGCACTGAGAGATTTCTCCAGGCTTTGATATGCAGCACAGGGTTGCAATTCATTGTGCTATCTGCGTTCCTTCTCATCCTCAATTTCGACATCCTTCATCCAGTCGCCTGGGTGTACGGAAGCGTCGGAATGTTCTTTTCCATCTACACCTGGATCCGCATCATCCCAGTTATTGGCTCAGTGATCGTGTACGGAAAGATGCTAGCGCGTCACTTGGTCTCTCCACCCAAGATGTACCGTACGAGATTTTATCTGCACTTGCTGAGTGAGGAGATGATTTTCCTCACGATAGCTCATGGAGTTGTCGGCTTCTTCCTCATGTGGCTCAGCATTAGATTCCTCCCGGACGAATACAATTCAGCAGTGATGGATTGCGACGGATCGTGGTGTTACAATGACAAGTACTTCTTCTTTATGCTGACTGGAATCGTCACAGCAGTGATATTCAACAAGAAGGAAGTGCAAGTAACGGAAAATCTCGTGGAGTTTCCAGTGATTATGCAAGGAAAGTATCAAAGAATGAAGTCCAATTTTAGTGAAATCTTCTTCAAGAGTGTCACTAATGCCATTTTCTCGTCTGTGGCATACATCATATTCTACTGGCCACTGGTCGGTGGTCTCATCAAGTGGATTCTCGAACAAGTGTTTGTCATCAGATTCAGCCAAGAGTCAATTATGGATAGCGTGATAAACATCCTTCTCGATTGGCGAGTCCTGCTCTTCCACTTGATAATCACATCACTCATTCAGATCAATTTACATCTGATTAAGCGCTTCTTCGTCGTCTTCCTCAGTGAATATCATGCTTTTCCCATCGTTCGACTCTTGGGTGTTGCAGCTGAACAAGAGCTTACCCTTGCTGAGGCATTGGCGGCACATCAGATGCCTGTGATTCAGAATCTCGCATGTCAGGATCTTTTCATGATTGCCAATGGAAGCGATTCTTCACGGAGGAGAGATGTTTTCACTCTCTCTATTCCGGGAGGGCATCCTCACAACTGGAAGTCCATCATGACGCAATGCCTCTCGATGCTAAACAGCTTCACGCAAAATCTGACCAAATCCATGGAAGGTTTATCTAAGAAGCCCTTAATTGCCACTAAAAGAGTTTTCGTTAAACCCACCGCGACTGATGAGGCAGAAAGAATACTGCAGACGCAATATTGCGAGGGTCTTCGCATCAGAAGTGCCATTAGTGGGCAGGAAATGCCACAAACTGACAATCCTGTGAACAAGAATTTTTATACCATTCAAGATCTCAAAGATTTGCTGAAGAAATGGTTGGGAAACAGATGGAATGCTATGATAAAGCAACGACCGTTTAGTTTCTTCTTCGCCGAGGCGTCTTACCAAGATATATTCTTTCAAATGAGGCAAGCTCAAGGGATCGCTTACATTGTTCAGGCTCTCGCGGCGCTCACTGAGAAATCCATCGAGGAAGACAGATTTGGTGTGGTGCAGAACGACCTTGCAGACATAATCAAAGCGTTTCTACAGCTAAAGACGATACTGGACAAGATTGGAGGGAATTTGATGTTGGGCGAGAGAAGGATCGACAGAAATTACCTGACCCTCAAAGGAGCTGTTAAAAGGAGTCTCTACAGGATTTCCAATACCTTCTCGCCGTACCTTAGAGATCTTCGCCTTAGTGAAGGAGAGTTGAAACTCTTGAGTCACTTTATCACCTATAAAGAAGCGTAATAAGGTTGTTTTCTTTTTTCTGTATTTCGATTAATAAACATATAAGTTGGAAGTAAAACAAGTAACTGAGAAAGTGGAGAAAAACAGAAAATCATTGTCTGGGAATTGTTCCACTAATAAGGAAATGTCTGGAAGTGTTAATAATTACTTTTAAATCACATAAAATAACAACTGCCATTTGTTATTAATTCATATGGATTACGAATAAATTTGTTTGAAGTAAACTTTTGCATTCGATAAATTATGATGTACAGAAAAGAAGAAAAGCTCAAGGTTTAGTTTATACCGTTAACACATATAATAAAATAAAATCATAAAATGAGTAAAACCCTTTGGAGTATTTAAAGAGAATCGCAACGAAAATTACTTTAGTCTTGACTAGTCTTTTACAAAAATTACAATGACAGTTCTAAAAATGAGTTACATTCACAACGTTGGTAAGCATCCACTGGTGTACAGGACCATTGGCCAGGAGCTGGCCAGAGTGGCGGATGAGTGCGGTGATCGCGAGGCCATCGTGAGCGTTGACAAGCAAAAGAGACTCACTTTCGCACAGATAAGAAGCGAAGCTGATTGCCTGGCGGCGGGATTCCAGACACTCGGCTTGGCCAGGGGCGATCGAGTGGGAATCTGGGCACCCAACGTCATTTCCTGGCCGGTGGTGATGGCTGCACACAGGCGACCAGTTCGTCCTGCAGGCGGACGGATACGGGAGAATCGTGGGCAGACTCAAGGAGATGATCATCCGCGGCGGCGAGAACATCTTCCCCAAGGAGATCGAGAACTTCCTTGCCACGTGTCCGCAGATCGCCGAGGCACACATCGTCGGCGTCCCGGACGAGCGTCTGGGCGAGGAAATGTGCGCTTTTGTGCGTCTCCGCAGTGGCAGCGAAATTTTCACACCCGACGACATCAGAGCGTATTGCAAAGGCAAGATTTCTTTCTTCAAGATTCCGCGCTATATTGAAATCGTAACAGAATTTCCTAAAGGTCCCCTTGGAAAGATATTAAAGAAAAAGTTGCAGGAAAATGTCAGACAAAAATTTAGTAGCTATTAATTGAAATCTGTCGTCATAATATGTGTCCTCGTTCACGAAAAAACTAATAATCGACAAGATCGAAATTTGATTAGGTACATTACAGATATTCTAGCCAAACCATATGTTGGATAACAAAATATTGGTAATGGATACATGTATGCATATTGGAAGTATTATTTATATATTTTTCTCCCAAATAAAAAAAAAACTTGTTTGATTATTGAAAATACTCTATAAAATATTTTTCATTCCTAATATGAATATCTAAATCATTTCATAGATCAATGTGGTAGTGTTAATTATATTTTGATCGCTGCTTACTGGCTGTCGTATTGAAAAACAGTTATGCAAGGTCATTGTTACTTGGCCTTTTAATTCATCGACTGGAATTTACATAAATTCACTATCTAACAACGCATGATGATAATAGTGAATTACTAGAAGAAATAATATCAACCGGTATCATATCTTTTGATAATACTTTTATTGACCCTCTAAAACATACTCACTATACAAGAACAAAAAAATATAAATTTTGTTTCGCACACAAGGTGAATTACTGTGTATTGAATGCTGATACATAAGGTCTTTTGGAAAATACATAAATACATACCTTACACGTGTTGAAAATACAAATACATGAGACAATTGTAAGATTTCTGTAGCTCTCTCAAAGCACACAGAAAGATAATGATATGATAAATGAATAGCAGACATATGAGGTCTTTAAGTTGATATACGGCGATATTTAAAAGTAAAATAGTCTCTGTCTACCAATGAGCCAGAATGGAGGTCGTGATACGTTCTGTGAAAGTAATCTCAAGTGTCCAGAAGGTTTATCGTATTGGGCTTCGCAGGAGTCATACAAAGCCCAGTAATTTGAGTTACATTCACAATATCGGTAAGCATCCACTGGTGTACAGGACCATTGGCCAGGAGCTGGCCAGAGTGGCGGATGAGTGTGGTGATCGCGAGGCCATCGTGAGCGTTGACGAGCAAAAGAGACTCACTTTCGCACAGATAAGAAGCGAAGCTGATCGCCTGGCGGCGGGATTCCAGACACTCGGCTTGGCCAGGGGCGATCGAGTGGGAATCTGGGCACCCAACGTCATTTCCTGGCCGGTGGTGATGTTCGCGGCTGCGCGCGCCGGAATCATTCTCGTGGCTCTCAATCCGGCCTACGAAGCCGCTGAAATGCAATTTTGTCTGCAAAAGGTGGGCATCAAGACTTTAGTCACATCAGAGAGCTTCCGCTCGCAAAGCTACCACGAGAAGCTCTTAAAAATTGTACCCGAACTTGAAAAATCCTCCGGGAAGATTCACAGCTCAAAATTTCCCAGCCTATCCAGCATAATAATAGATTCTGAGAAGCACTTTCCGTGAGTCAAATCGTCGTTATCTTAGCTATTTGCCGTCTTATCGCGATCTCTCCTTTTTCGCAGAGGAACTCTCAGACTTTGCGATGTTACAGACATGGCAACGGCCACTCAAATCAGCGCGATCGAGGATCAGCAGAAACAGATCAGTCCAGATACTGGATGCAATATTCAATTCACTTCTGGCACCACTGGAATGCCGAAGGCGGCACTTATGAAGCACTTTGGTTTCGTCAACAATGGCATTCACATTGGCAACCGAAATGAATTGTACCAGAAAAGACTCTGCATGCAAGTGCCTTTCTTTCACGCCTTCGGAACTGTTATCACTGTAATGGCTTGCTTATCACACAAGGCAACGATTGTCATACCGGCGACTATGTACAACCCAGAAAAATCTCTCCGCGCTATTAGAGACGAGCAGTGTTCAGTGATCTACGGAACTCCCACGATGTACGTGGATTTGGTGAACAAGCAAAGGGAAATGAACTTGGAATTGAAGGCAGAAATAGCCGTTACCGGTGGTGCTCTGTGTTCACCGCAGCTCTTCAAGGATATGAAAAAGGAATTGGGACTGAAGAAAGTAAAGGTTGGTGCTATTCTAGAACAAAATTGTTTTTTTTGGATCTGGGAATGAGATTAGGACAAATTTAAGGTTTCTGGGTTAAGTTTTTTTGCATGATCTTCTAAATTCCGCTTTGTTGCGTGATCTTTCTTAGGTATATCCAAAAGTGATTTTATTATATATGATAATGTCGGACTTTATGTACTTGCGTGTATAGAGACATTCTTGCATATCTGCTTTTTCAGACCGTTTTTGGAATGACTGAAAACACCGCAGTGAGTTTCAACACACTATACGAGGACACAGACGAGCAGATCCTGGAAACGGTGGGACACGTTCAAGACCACATTGAAGTGAAGGTGATCGACGCTGAGGGAAACTTGGTTCCCTTCGGTACGCCCGGCGAGTTGTGTGTGCGCGGCTACTTCACAATGTTGCGCTACTGGGACGAGGAGCAGAAGACCAGCGAAGCGCTTGTCGATGGATGGCTGCACACAGGCGACCAGTTCGTCCTGCAGGCGGACGGATACGGGAGAATCGTGGGCAGACTCAAGGAGATGATCATCCGCGGCGGCGAGAACATCTTCCCCAAGGAGATCGAGAACTTCCTTGCCACGTGTCCGCAGATCGCCGAGGCACACATCGTCGGCGTCCCGGACGAGCGTCTGGGCGAGGAAATGTGCGCTTTTGTGCGTCTCCGCAGTGGCAGCGAAATTTTCACACCCGACGACATCAGAGCGTATTGCAAAGGCAAGATTTCTTTCTTCAAGATTCCGCGCTATATTGAAATCGTAACAGAATTTCCAAAGACTCTCTCAGGAAAGATTCAGAAATTCAAACTCCAAGAACAATTCAAGGTGAAGAGTAAAAATTAGTATAATCTTGGGCTTTAATTCGTAATTCAAATTCTGTCATTTCCCCACTTAATGTTTTAACTATACATTAATTAATTAATATGTTATAAAGATTTATATGTAAAATTTTGATGGAATTCAAAGTGTTATTAAGATTCTCACTCACCTCTCGACATACTTGGCAAATTCATTTATTCGATGGGAAGAGGTATGGTCTTGCAATTGTCAAAGTATTCATGCTCGATGATCTTCGCTGCTGAAATTCGATTTGTTGGATTGTAAATCAGCATCTTTTGGAGCAAATCCAGTCCGCTATCGCTGAGATTCTTTACCTGTAAAAATATATTGTTAAAATTTATCAAACTAGCGAGAAATATACAAAACTCACTTGATTGTGCAGCTGATTTTGCGTCCAGCATGGGAAGGTCGATTTGTAGTCAGGAAGGGATGTGACTCCAGGCCAGATTTCCTCAGTGGGTGTTTGAAGGACGCGAAACATTCGGAATAATTGATCAATCTCAGAATCGCCTTGGAAGAGAGGTTTCCTTGTGGCCATCTCAGCAAAGATGCATCCCACTGACCAGATGTCCACTGGGCAGGAGTATCTCTTGGAGCCGAGCAAAATCTCAGGAGCTCTGTACCACAAAGTCACAATCTCGTGCGTGTACAAGCGCACTGGCACGCCCACAGAACGTCCCAGGCCAAAATCAGCAATCTTAATTATTCCATTCTTATCTATCAGAAGATTCTGTGGCTTCAAATCGCGATGCAGAACGCGACGGCGGTGACAGAAGAGAATGGCACGTGTAATCTGGTACAGGTAACTCTTGACCAGCTCCTCGCCCAGCATTTTGTCATCCGGAAGACTATCCATGTACTTCTTCAGATCCATTGAGAGGAACTCAAAGATCAGGTAGAGTCGATTCTCCTCCATCAGTACATCTTCCAGCGTCACGATATTTGGGTGCTTTAGTTCCTTGAGGAGAGAAATCTCCCGGACGGCCGTGGAGGGAATACCCTCATCCTCAGACTCCAGTCGGATCTTCTTCATGGCCACAATCTGGCCAGTCAGCTTGTTCCGTCCTTTGTACACCACACCGTACGTGCCCTCGCCAATCTTCTCAATCCTCTGGAAGTCATCCATACCTGTCGTATGAAAATTGGGCATGAGTTCAAGAAAAATATTAACAAAAGCCCCACCAATAACTAAGGTTATCTGATTGATCGCAGGAATATCATAAGAAATACCCCAAAAATCCACTGAAATCTTATGCAGGATTACAATTTAATACATGGGGAAAATTCCTCACACATTTACTTACCAAAAGCGTTAGTGAGATATTAGTAATTTTAGTAAATACTCGACTAAAGCTGCGGATGTTCGCGCGTTTGAAAATTCCGTTTGGGCTTCGCTTCTGGAAAATGACAGCAGATTTTTTGTCTCTTTTCCTTCGCTCTCTTAGCCGATTTTATCGCCACCTAGCTACTCAATAAAGAAGCATTGATGTGCACCCATCGAAAGTCAGGCGCACTTTTTGAATCTGCTTTTGGGGGCTTCCAAGAACATATTAAGCAATGTAATTATTTACACTTAACAAGTGTAATTCGCATGCTGATAAACGATATTTTCTCTATTTATTTTTTATTTGAAAATACTCTCTAAAGGGTATACACATAAATTCTACAATGATTTTCATATAGTATGGTTTTAAAAGTTTTATAAAATGTTACTTTATGCCTTCTCTACTTGTTTATCAGTAATAATTTATAATTATTATGACAAATATGCAAAATGTTTTCCTCCCTTCAATATTGTCCTCGCATCGAATATGTACAAGAACCTATTCCGCCCCTAGAATGTCCTCTTCACGCGGCTCATCGAGATTCTCCGTGAGTTGCTCCAATTCAGCTGCCTTGTAGTTGGCAGACACATCGAGAAAGGCATCATCATCAAAATTACTGGTCAGAGTCTCCAGTTCAGGTGTCTCTGTAAAGTCATCCAGTGCAATTGAGGTGATATTCTCCCCTTCCGGAAGTTCTCTGATGAGCACCGGCTGGAGAATGGTGGACAATTTAGGTAGATTCAGTTCAGGACTGGATTTTCCTTCGTCCATATCATCATCTTCAAAGACATTCCCCGGTTCCTCTTCCGGATTAATGCCTGATGCCGTTTCCTCAGGCACAGGTCGACTAATCTTGAATTGCTTTCCATCAATGCGTGACAGAAAGAGCTTCAAATCCCCGTCAGATTTGCCAGCTGCTCTCATATGCCTCCTGCGACGCCTCGCCCTACGACTTCCGTACGTATGATGAATCTTGTGGACAGTCTTCTCGTGATACTTCAGATTACCACTGGAGCGATACTGTGCCGAACAACGACGACACTTGTATGGCCTGGCGCCACTGTGAGTGTACGAATGATACACATATCCGCCTTTTGTGGGGAAACTCTTCCCACACTCATGACATTTGTAGCCACCATCGATAAACTCCAGCTTCACCTCTGGCAAATCAAATTCTTCTTCGCCCTCTAGAGGATAAGGTGGTGTCTTGTCGTTCTGGAAGCGCATTCTGTGCGCTCTTCGCTGGTGTTGTCTCATGTATCCAACCGTTCTGAAGGTCTTCTTGCAAATGCCACACTCAGGAATGGTGTCCAGATCCACTACTTCCCCGTCTTGGCCACTTTGTTCCTCATTTATCTCCTCCTTCTTCACCTTGACGGCCGCCAAATATGTCTCTCTATCCACATGACCATCCCTCTCGTGATATCGCTGATGCAGATTAAGATTTGTCATGGAACGGAAGTGCTTTCCACAGATTTCGCACTTGTACGGCTTCTCACCCGTATGAATCATACAGTGGTACATCAGAGCTGGTCGACTTTTGAAGGGTTGATCGCATTTGCGACACTTGAGATTTATCATGTCCGCCAGTGTCTTCCATGCTACCAGCTGACTCTGATATGCATCTCCGACGAACTCACCTGTGCCATCGTAGCGCGATCGACGTCCTGCTCGCGGCTTAAACACCCCACATTGATGCCTCTTCAGATTCGCTTGTGAGCGGAAGCCATAGTTACACACATTGCAGCGAAAAGGCTTCTCTCCTGTGTGCACCATCATATGATACGTGCTGGCCTGGACACTGCGGAATATCCTTTGACACAGGACACACTGAAACTGCAGTGATCCATCCGGCAAGTCAGGGAGTTTCTTGATGAGTGCCTTTGGCTTTTCCGCCGACGAGGATTCTCCATTGTTCTCATCTTTCGACTCTCCCGTCATATCATCTATAGGCTCATTTTTGATCACGATTCCAATCTGCTTTCTCTCCTCAATATTGGGATCCTCTTCCTCAGTTTGCTTTTCCTTCTTCGGCTCCGCATGTGTCAGGAGATTGTGAAACTGAAACCTATTCAGATTTCTGAAGCTAAGATTGCACACGAGACACCGAAAAATCCTATTCTTCACATGTAACGCCATATGATACGGCAATCCTTGGCGACTCTTGAACTCCTTTCCGCACACGCGACATTCAAATAATCCACGATCATTAGGCGTAAAATCCAGATCCATGTCATTAACGTTCACCCCACACACCTTATCATTGACCCTCGGACGTCCTCGCCTCTTGAAGACATTCCTCTCGTGTTGGCTCTCATGCACCTTGTAATAGTTGTAGCTGCGGAACTCCTTGCCACAGTACTGACACTCGTAGGGCTTTTCACCGGTGTGAATCATCATGTGATACTCAAAGCCCGCTTTTGACTTTAGCGTCTTCTGGCAGACACGACAAGTCAGTGGATCATCAAGTTTCACTTCTTCAGGAACATTCATATCATACTCCTGCTTTATACTGAATTGTGATTCAAATTTCATCTCAACATCCTCTGGATGATTGTACTTCTTGTGAAGCACTAAACTGTGATTCGTCCTGAAGGATCTATCACACACCGTGCAATTAAACACTGCCGGCTCATCTGTTTCATCATCAGCTTCCATCAGTAGTTTACATTCTTGCTGTCCACCCGGTGGCGACCCGATTTTCGGAGCAGATGAACACGGCACCTGAGCTCCTGGATGCCGAGATTTGTAGTGCCTCTTGAGTCTCATGCGACTCGTGAAAGTCTTATCGCATTCTTCACACTTATTCACCCGCTCATGTGTGGCTGAGTGATAAGTCAGTGCTGCTCTGCTCTTGAATCTCTTCGGACAGAGATGACACACGAAGAATCTCACACCTTTGATGAATATCTCATCATTGGGCCTCTTTCGGCTCACATACGGACGTCTCGGTTGCAAAATAGGTTTTATGTCCTCCTCCTCTTCAATCAACACTTCAGGCTCCATCATCACCACCGCGCACAGATCACTAACTGAGGGTTGCATGTCCTCATCACTATCCAGAGATATATCAGGCACAATCTCCATCGATTCCACTCTCGGCTCTTCCACATATCCGTTGGCATGTCTTTTTTGATGCAGTCTCAAACTGGCCAACGATCGGAAGCCCCTGTCGCACACCTCACACACAAATGGCGTCTCTCCCGTGTGCACTAGCATATGATAGGGAATCGCCTGTTTTGATTTGAATCTCTTCTTGCACACGCGACAACTAAAGCGTCTCTCATCCGAACTGTCTTCGTCTTCTGTGAACAGATCAGATTCTTTAATCCCATCAAACTCTTTTTCCACAACGCCTGCTTGCTCAGCCAGACTGTCGTTTATATGCTTTTTCTTGTGAATTTTTATCCCGACCAATGAGCTAAAGCCCTTTCCACACACATTGCACTTGAATTCACCATCTCTACCATGCCACAGTTCGTGCTGCTTCAGCACCATCCTGTTCGGCTGTTCTTCATCGCACATGGCGCACTTTAAATTCTCCCTATCTTCGCCATTGGTATTCATCAGTCTCAGTGCCGGATCCTCCTCATCCAAACGTAACTGACGCTTTCCTTCCACCAGTAAATCCATTCCATTATTCAAGATCGGCTGCCTATTTTGGGGAATGACAGAGATACTATTTGGAATTTGCTGCATTATAATCGATAGATCATTATTCTGTCGATGTGTCTGCTCATGCTGATGAAGATTTTGCAAATTTCTGAAATACTTCCCACACTGGCAACTGTATGGTCTCTCACCACGATGCAGCTGAGTGTGATAATCAAATACACGCTTCTCCTGAAAGCGCTTCTTGCACAATAAACACTCAAATGGACGCATTTCCCCCATTTGTTGGGCATAATTCTCCATCTCTTCCAGCCTCATCAGCTCCATCTCACTCGAGTCACTCCTTTCCCTCTCCGGTAGCACTTTGTGCAGAGTCACGAAGGGTGTCAGTGCTCCAATCATCCCATTTGCATGTATCTTCTGATAATGAGTATCCCTGGCGATTGCCGTAGTGAACATCTCAGGGCAGTCTCGGCATTTATATGGCATATTTGTATAGTGGAGCAACATATGAGTATTGTATTCTTCAATCTTGTAGATTAGAGTGTCACAAACTGGACACTGCCATCCGCTAGTCTCATATTTCGCCTGATACGCTTCCATTTGTGACATTGTTGATGTGAAAACAGTATCATAGATTTGTGCTTTTGATTGTTGCGGCTTCAAGTGTCCCATCTCATGGTGCTTTAGATTCTCAGGTGATCGAAAGCGACGACCGCAGAGGGCACATGCAAAAGGCTTCTCGGCTGTGGAAGAAATGGAAAGAATTAGTAGTAATAATATGCATAACTCATTCTCCTAATCCTGTTGGCAAGCCTTGAGATTAGAGATAGGAATACAAGTAAAGTAAAAAAGTAAAAGGAATAATTTTAAAAACTAATTAGTGGTTTCAGAGAACTATTTGCAGGCAATATAATTTAAATCTGCAACAATCTCAGAATCAAATCCAAGCTTGCAAACGTTTATAAATTATGGAGAAATATTTCATTATAATATTTGAATAAATTCTTTGACTGAAAATCTACATACCTTTCAACACACTAGAGCTGGTCTCCTTGGGCGGTGGTGTTTCTTCAATGATCAGCACATCATCATCCGAATCTGCTGGCTCCTTGTTCAACTTCTTGTGGCTGGCTGAACTCACGTGTACTCGCCACTCCTGGCGATTTGTAAACGTCCTTCGGCACGGTTTGCAGTTGTACTTAATATTCAGACCTTTTGCTCCATCATGACGCTGCTGTTTGTGCGTCGCCAGATTTTCTTGCGTCCTGAACGCTCTATCACACAGCTCACACTTGTAAGGCTTCAGTAGTTCATCCAACTCTACAACGCCACCGACCACAGACTGCGGGATGATCTGGAGATTTGTACCATTATTGAAGTTCACCACATCCTGATCCTGGCGTACTTTCTGTGCCGTGTGATCCTCTTGATGCGTCGTTTGTGGGATGAGAGTCAAGTTAGGCAATGGTGGCGTGAAAGTTTGACGCATAGATCGATAATCCATTGCAGAATTCTCATCACCACAGTCACTTATGGTTACTTCAGGTGGCACTTTGGATAATATGCTCATACAGTTCTCCAGCGGCGTCACATTTTGGGCGCGACCTAGAAAGATAAGGTGGAAAAGAGCCAAATGAGCATTTTATATATATATATTTTGTATTCTTTTCGAGGGACATTAGCTGACGTGATGGGCACGCTTCTGTTCATTTAGAATGTATTTGAAATTTATACTTTTAGGCAGAAAAAGAAAAAAAACAACGAACATCAAAGAATATATTAATAATACATTGATGTGAAACAAATTAGTAAAAGGAGAAATCGTGTGGAGAATGTTACCGTAAGAATGAATTTATTGAAGAAATAGACAAAAAAAAACATGAAATTTTGCATATTAAATCCAACTTTGAAGCTTGAACCATCAAAAGTTATTGAACAAACTTTTAATGCCTCTCTGACGACTGAAAAATATTTCTCTCTTTTGCTTCTTTTATTCACTTCTTCTCTCTCTTTTTTCTTCATTTGCTTCTCAAGCTCCTTTGTTGTTTGAAGAATAATTACTATTAAATACAGTATGGAAAGAATGGTGGAGGAGCACAAAAGGCAAGATTATATTTAGAATTCTGCCTTCTCAAGCAACATTCTTGTTCCGTTGCGCGTCTCTTACAGCTTTTCTTACCAAATCTACAATATTACTTATAAAAAAAGTTTATGTGCTTCATAAAAACATTATATCTTCCTAATATTTGAAAAATAAAACCATATAAAACTGAAATGGGAATTACAGCGCTCTCCAGAATATCATCACTTTTTTTCTATAAATTTCTGTAGGGCGTTGCCTTTTCCGACTTAATGAAAATTTACTTAAAGGCCTTTGTTCCTCTTTATTTTACGTATATTTTCGCTTACATTCGTATATGAAGTGAGATTCCATTTACATTCTCTATTGCTCTGCAATTCATGTCTATACTTTGTATTTATAATTGAATTTACTGCGACTGCAATAGCGTTATTTTTCTTTTTATTTATTTCTCTTTTCTCCTCTACTTCGGATTTGTTATTGAAAGTTTTATACTCACTGCCGTCTATACATAATGACTTATGCAAACACAACGTGTCACACACACAAAAACAGTATAAATCTCAATGGAAGAAGCGAGAAAAAATAATGCTATATATTACAATGCTAAAAAAACACATTTTTTCATTATTCGGCTGTGAGAAGATTGAGTGTAAAATAATATTTTCCAAAAATTCTCTCTCAGACATCATTATTGATTTTTCGCCCTTTTCTTGAACTAACAGACGCAAGTACACTTTCTCTTGCTGTCCCTTTTGCTCTCTCAACATCACTAACTAAGAAAGAAAGATACTTGCGTCGCGATAAAGGGCATAAAACTGAACTCACAGTCTATCTTTATATAGAGATCCAGGGTGTCATAAGCAGTGACGTGGTGAAAAGAGAGAATATTATATTGTATAAGAGTTTTTTTTTCATTTTAAAAATCTAAGCGATATTCAAATATCTTTATACTCCTCTTTCTATGTAATAAAGCATGATTTTTCAAATGTACTTTTCATTTACAGTGTGTCTCTGTCTCTCTTTCACTTCGCCAGAGTTTAAATAAAGCGAATATACATGCATAATGTTAACTTATACAGTGAAAACTAAGAAGACTATTGAAATACATGTTGAAAAATAAAGCATTTTCATGTAATTTTATTTTTAGAACATTAAAACTCATGCCGTATTGCCTTTAAAGAAACAAAGGCCAAAACGGAGAATTTTTTTTAACAATCCCCGCCAAATAATACACTATTTATGCAGAATGAACAAAAAAGAGAGACATTTTTCCTTATACTACACAATTCTTTGTTCACAATTCTTTTACAAAAAAAGAAACAAACACATACACACTATCGTATCTTTTCTTCTCCCCTTCGTGCCCACAGATACAGTACGGAAAAAAGTTCATTAAATGCAGTTAATAGAACAAATAAGGATGTTTCTCACTCAACACATTCACCGTTTTAATGGAAATTATTAGTGTGATGACGCATGAGATCAATTTATATGAGGTCATGGACAATATAATCACGAGAAAAGCAAAAGAGCCTAAAAAATTAGCCACCAACCAAAAGAATTCCACTCGTTAAAAAACAACATTTTTCCCCCCATTTTATGTCTTATATTTTTTTAACCACTATTAAATTCTGTTATCTCTCTCCCAGCGAGAAGATTATTTTCCTTTTCTTTCATAGTCATCAAAAAAAGAAGCAAACTCGAAGAATTACAGCGTCACGACATAAATAATGGGCACATGGCGCAATATTCTCAGAAAATGGGAATTTGAACCCCTGCTCACATTTGAGTATTGAAAATATGACTAAGAAGCTGGAGTTCTGCCGTCACTGCCATCAGCTATTATTCTATCTGCCCTTTTCACGAAAAGGTTAAATTTCTACCCGTTCAGCTTTAAGACAAATATATCAAATGTTTTCTCGCTTTCCTGATGCATTAGTAATTCGTGTTCATCAACTTCCTCAAAAGTTTTACATTCGTTTTACAGCGTTATCAAACTATGAACTGATAATGGCCGAAATTGATTAAAAACACAATTTTTGTCATAAACACATTATCGTTAAATTTGTCCAAAAATTCCTACTTGAATTCTCTGGAAGAAATTCATCTGAAAGCCAAAATTTAAACATAAAAGAGAGGACATATAACATGAAAATTATCCAGAAAGCTTGTGATATTCAATAATATCACAGTAAATGTGATGGTAAGTTTTTAGTCAGTAAACGCATCTTCAATTAACCAATTTTTTCTGAAGATTTCATGTTTAATTAATTGATGTAGGTTCGGCAATATGTATGTAGTTTACGAGTAAAAAATCGTGAAAGGAAACAGTCTTTGTCATGAGAAGCGCTGCCCACGTCTTCAGGATTACTCTAACACTTCTAAACAGACGATATATCTGCATACACTATTTATTCCATGGATTTCATGTAAGCATGAAAGCATGGTTAATTGCCATGAGTTAATTCGATTGTGATAAATAGTGATCATATTATCACAGCGCTTTTAAAAATGCAAGATAGCATTATTTTTATTTTATGTGTATTATATTTAAGAATATTCAAAATAGATTGATAGATTTGACTTCTTCTATAGAAGTAGATTCACCAGGAGTTTTGAAAAATGAAAAGCGCCAAATTATACGATAGAAAAAACAATCTTTGGCCCTAATCATTCTTGATACAGCCATTCACTAATAGTTTGTCTGCTCAAGTCCACAATTTATCGTTATGCATTATAGAATAGTTGCTGAAACATCCAACGCAATGTCTTGTCAATGTAAAATGCCAGCAAATCGATATAAAGGGAGTGTCACTTGATTTTACATTAGGGTCGACCTCTCAAATTAACACTAAACCACATATTTTAGATTCGTATATGAGTCTAGAAAGAATAATATCATTTTCCGGTTGTCTTGTAGCTAACATTTAGTTTCAATGCTTCATCATTTCCCTCATAGATCTGTGTGTCTGAAGCTTCTCGTTAAAGTTTATAAAGTGAATTTGTATTGATTTTATCTAAAAACTTCTCATCCAATGTGGCTTTCCTTCCCGCGTCCAGCAGTAATAAATGTGTCTTTGACGGAGAAATGTTACTGCGCAGAACTGGAGAGTAAAAGGCACTCACCTTCTGTTTCCTTGGATGCTGTGGGGCTCATTGCATCTTCCTGGCCATCCACGAGTGAAAGCGACTGGATTTGCTTGATGTGTGGCACTTTAATCTCTACGGTGGCCTTTTGATCGTCGGAATGGTGATCCTGGACATTTGAAGATGTTCCCGCACTGCCCTTTGGGATTATTGTGAGGCTAGGCGTGCGGATGGCAATCCCCAGAAAGCTCTCATGTGTAGTTCGAGGCTCATAGACCATACCATCTCCTGGTGAGGCACTGGGCTGCCCCACAGCAGCCACAGCGTCTGGTTGGGCGCCCGGAGAGTCCTTCCGAATGTTCAGCGGCAGCATGTCCGGCACCGATCGCCTGCACTCTGCAATTGCATCAGAAAAAACATGTCATCCAGCTGAAAATCCATACTAAAGGAGCCAGACAACACTTACTTTCCATAGATATTACTACGTCCGCCTAGGGAACACACTACCGTTTACTTTAACTATGGAAGAAAATGGGTACTCCCAGTAGTCTTAGATCCACTCAATGTTTGTCTACTAATTTCCACGCCACCCCAACCACTGACTGCCCGGCAAGTACACCATAACGCATCGCACAGCTCCACTGCACATGTTTATTCACTTTTTATCCTGTCTTGTGTGCTTTTTCCACGAAAAATCCGGCAAAAATTGCGCGACTTTCCTTCATGTGACTTGACACCAAATTTTCCTGCTGCCATATTGCCCCTGTCGCGCTGCAGAGGTCAGTGCAAGCGCCCGTCAGCCCTGCCGTACCGACAGACTACCAGTGTCATCTTCGCATTGTTTTCCACTGTCTCCGTTTTCCACGAGAAACCCCCAGAAAATTACCCCAAAAATGCAAACAAAGTGCAACAGTGGCCATCCAAGCTCGGCATCTGTGATTTGAAACTGTTCTTCCGTGTGCTGAGTGCGAGGAAAGGAGGCAAAAAGTAAGGATTCTTTTGGGATGAATTCGATTGATTAGAAAAGTCTAACGCGAAAGCAAGAAGTGATTCGCGGGATGCTCAACATGCAAAAGTTTGCCAAGTTTATAGAGTTGATAAACAGCCACAGACGCTCTCAAGCAACTTTTGTTTTAATTTGTAGCCGGCATTGTGATCTTTCCACTCTTTGGTAGGTCTTGATCTAGTCAGAAATCTAAGAGTCCAGCACAAGATCCGGCATTATATTAACTCTTTACTAAGGAAATCCCAAGTGATATCCATTTGTGTAACTTGTAATTTGCTATTTAAAACCGTGTCATTTACTGTAACATCCATTCGTGGACAAGTAAACACAAAGTATTATTTTTAGAATGCGATATTCACCCTTTTGACATCAATACCACCAATTTAATACCAACCAATATGTATATGCATAACTTTTTGTTCTATTTTATATGATAAATTTTCGATCAATTGCAGAAATGCACCGTCTCTTGATAGCGAGAGTGGAGCAGTAAAATGTTGGCTGACCTTCAGAACATAAATAATACTTTTCACGACGAATCCCTTTATTCACCTAAAATATTTTGCGATTCTGTAGTTAAGGCAGTGTGTCACAATGCCTCTGTGTGCCCATAAGAAAACACCAACGAGTGTCTTTCGCGATATTTGCTACCAAAGCCAGCTCGGCGACAGGATTAAGAGGCGCCTGGCGACATCGACAAAGGGTAAAAAGAGTGTTTAGCCTTGAAATCTATTGATAAAGCGGGTAAAGGTATTTTTTTGTTTGTTTTCTTTCCAGATAGTATAAACTTCGTCCAGAGCCTGAGTCTGTATCGCGCTTTGAAGGTTCATCGGGGATGCGTGAATACTGTGACGTGGAATGAGAGGGGAAATCACATTTTGTCTGGATCGGATGACCAGACACTTGTTGTTACAAATCCCTTCACTGGCGATGTGGTGGTGAAGTGCAAGACCGGCCACCGGGCGAACATCTTCAGCGCTAAGTTTATGCCTCACACTGGCGATCGGGAAGTTGTGTCGTGCTCTGGAGACGGGAATGTGATCTACACTGAGCTGATGCAGTCGCCGGAAGTGTGCAATACGGCCAATATCAATGAATTCAATTGCCACAGCAATAGCACGACTTATGAGGTGGTGACCATTGCCCAGGAGCCAAGAAGCTTCATGAGTTGCGGCGAGGATGGAACGGTGCGCCTGTTTGATCTACGGAAAATCTCAAATTGCCACAAGATGTGTTGCAAGGAGAACATTGTTATCATGAGTCCGTCCTCCATCACAGCAATGGCAGTGTCACCTGTGCATCAGAACTACATTGCTGTAGGTAGTTCGGATAGCCACATCCGCATCTATGATCGTCGTTTCTTGTCCTACATAAATTTCACGGCCGGTGGGGAACAGATAACGCTGCCCGTGAAAGCTTTCATGATTCCCTCGCTGGAGAAGCGCCCGTTCAGAGTCACTTCGGTGTCTTACAGCTCTGATGGGTGTCAATTACTGGTCAGCTACTCATCGGATCATCTCTATTTGTTTGACATCTCGCGCCAGGGCGTCGAGGTGGTGCCGCTGAATGACAAGGTGAAGCGCAAGATGCAGCGCCAAGAAAATGCGGATCCACCACCAGTGAGGAGGTTGAGATTGCGCGGAGACTGGAGTGACACAGGCCCGGACGCGAGACCTGAGCGCGAAGCGATGGAGGCTTCAGCAACGTCCTCAGGCCAAGTGCGTCCTATTCTACATGCCACGATGATGAACAGAATGACGGAGGTGATTTCACGTATGCTGGCTGACCCAAGAACGAGGGCCAATCTGAACCTCCTGAGCCACTTAGGACAGCAAGCGAATCCCACTCTTGCCGAGGAGCAGAGACAGCAAGAAGCCGGGCCAAGTTCTGGGACTGGCACTGCTCCTCCGCCATATGGTAATGGCAGCAAGAATGCCCGGGATCACGATGCAGATGCATCAAATTATACCTCTGACGAGGATGAGGAGACTGAGACCAAGTCCGAACTGTCGGCGCTGCAGGAGGACGACATCGAACCGGAGACTAACTACGACTATCTCCTGATGAAGTTCACAGGCCACAGGAATGCCCGGACGATGATCAAGGAGGCCTCTTTCTGGGGCGATGAGTATATCATGTCCGGCTCCGATTGTGGGCATGTATTCACTTGGGAGCGTGCCACGGGAAAGCTGGTGATGTTGATGGAGGCTGACCATCATGTAGTGAACTGCGTGCAGCCACATCCGACTCTGCCCTACTTGGCCACATCCGGCATTGACTATGACGTGAAGATTTGGGCACCGTTTCAAGGGGATGACTTTGAAAATGCACCACGCTTCGATGAGGCAGAGGCACAGAGAGTAAGTGTTATTTCCGGCAGTTTCCACTGAGCTTTTCTCATTTTCTCTGTGCATTTTCAGCTCATGGAAAGAAACGCTGTGATGCTTGAAGAGACTAAAGACACAATTACCGTGCCAGCAGCTGTCATGATTAGGATGCTGGCGTGCATCCACTCGTTCAGGAATAGAAATAGAGGCAATATTGCTAGAATCGATGATGAGGACGAGTAAAGGTAGCTCACAATAGGAAACAATTGAAGAAATGTGGGAATAAATTATGAAAATCAATAGAATTTGGTGTTTAATGGCGCCGTCGGTAAGGCAGGGAAGTCTCCAAAAATTTCAAATGCACAGGATGACACGAAAAATCTTACAACATCGGGTCTAGGGTCTAACAAACATCAAAATATATTATAATTCACGATTTATCGCAGTGGTGTTAGGGTTTTTTTTTAGTATATATCTCTGTAAAGAATGGTCTCAAACATCTCAAAGGTTTCGAGTACTGGGCTGCTTACTGAGAATACGCCGACAGTTATGCAGAACGAAAATCTCCAAATCATGTATCCAAAACCGTTGAATGGTAGTCTTTGCATGAAATCAGTAAGAGCGTCTGATTGTGGAAAATTTTCGTTTTTGAGTTAGAAAAGCTAATATGACAGTGCAATTTTACTGAGAATTGATAAATAAAGTTGAAATCTAATGAAACAATTTGATATCAGCGATGATAATCAAAGAGGTAGTGAAATACATAAGCGTTACTATTTCTTTGATACGTTCTGTTTAATCAAGCTTTTTTATTTCTATGTAGATTGAGATTTATGGATTTCCTGACATTTCCGATGGCATAAAATACAAATTTGCCCGAAAAGTAAACATTCTTCACGGTCTTAATGAAGGAAAACTAAACAGAATCTTTCATGGTAAGTTTTGTAAGGTTATGGGATACTCGCTTGACTCCCTTCCTTAACTCCTTGTTTTTCTCAGCTATCAAATTCATCCTGGATCCTTCCTTTGCATTCTTATATCCTATAAGAAATATCTCGGAAATTCGTGATTTCTCCGAAGATGCTTTTGTGGAGCTTCACGTTGAGCTTTCGTCGGGAAGATCACTGGCGCTCAGGAGGAGTTTGAAGGACTCTTCTCTCTTCTATATCAATAGGGAATCTGCGGAAAAGGAGGAGTTCTTCATGAGCATTGCGAACGACTACAAAACTCCCCAAACTGTGGTCCTTGATGGCGGTAATGTTGTACTGATGAGGAAATTTACTGCTGAGCATTGGCTTTCTTGGGTGAAGAACAGTCTGGATCTCGTTGATAGTCTGGATAGAGCTTTTGGGCAGGTTCTGGATGTCAGTGAGCGGGAGAAGCGTCGAGCTGCTTCGTCTCTTGACCAAATAGCAGACAATCTCAAGCATATGGGGAAGTGCATAGAAATTGAAAAGCAAATGTTGACTCTGAAGGCTATCAAAGCAGAGAGGGAGTTTTCGGGACTCAAGGACTATCTGAAACATCAGAATTTTGAGCATCGTCAGTTGCTGCAGATTGGGAGACTGAATGAGAAGAAGATACAGCTGTTTCGCACTCATAAAATGATAATGATGAAGGATATTGGTTATGAGAATATCAGGAAATCCGTGGCAGAAGTGCGAAAAGTCATGAGTGAGCATTTCTCCTTGGAAGAGAGGAATGATGGTGACGAGATTGAAGAGCTAAAGAGCTGCCTAGAAGATATAAAGTCTTATGTAACGTCTGGCATTCAGGAATTTCTCGTAAATAGAATTATCCCAGACAAGGAGTCCAAGCATTGTAAAAGGAAGTTTCTCGAAATTTGTCTGCAATTCTCACGCATCAAGTCCCATTTGGAAGAAATTGATGGCCTCAACGACTATCAAGAGTTGGAAACATGTCTAACTAAGAGGATTACGGACTTAGAGCAAGATTTGAGCAGGTGCGAAACTAACATGGAACATATTTGGAGGTTTTTGCATAATGATATTCACGAATGCAAGAAAGATTTGAGGGTATTTGAGGAGCACCGAAAGAAAATCAAAGCTAAAGAGGCGACAATCAATAATAAATTGGACATTCACTATGGGTTGCACTTGACATTACTGATGAAAGACATGAAGGAAGACCTGCTATGGGATGAAATGATCTTCTTCGAGACACATATGGACATTGATAGAGAAATTCTGGACGGTGTTGCGTTCATTGACAGTCTTGTTGATCATCTTAAGGATAATGATGAGCTTCCTTTCGCAGCGGAGAATTACATTGGTCCACTGTACAAGTATTTCAAGTACACTTCAGATACCAATGAGGCGTTCCTTTTGAAGTTTTCCCATATCCTCAAGCCTCTGTACACCACAATTCTTGTAAAGACTGCTCATGATGCGAAGGAACTGCTAGATTTGGCCAAAGATAGACTGATGAGTGGACTCATAAGACTCGACATCTTGGCTTTGGAGATGCTGCAAGAGACCAATCCATTTGATATTCAAGACATGATTCCTGGGCATGTGAATTTGTATGATAATCTCGTGGAAAGCCCAGTCAAGGATGTATTGAAGAGAATCCTGATGACGAAGGTCTACAGCGAGACATCTGAAAGATATCCTGGAGTGACTGTGGTCAATCAGGAGGGCGATTTTGTAGATGAAAGAGGCGCAATTGGAGGAGGAAGCTATATCAATGGGGTGTCAAAGTTAGATGAGTACATAAAAAGGTACTTGAATGCTAGATATCTTATTCAGAATATCAGAGAGGAGAAGCAAAGCATTATGGAGAACATTGAAATATCTTCACGCGAATTGGACAGAGATCGATTGGAGCTAGAAGCGATTCTTCCCAGCGTAAAATGCACACGGGAAATTATCCAAGGCTTGTCCGCCCTGCATAACAATTGCAAAGATGTCCTGCACACAAAGAAAGTTCTCCAGAAGACCGTGGATGAATTAGTAGTCATCAAGCATGGCATGGTGCTGGTCAGGGTAAGATTTTTCATCTTTCCATTCCTCCAAACCTCAGTAGTGTGTCAAAAATGTTTTAATAACTCATGACTTTCCTTTCCTTCGTGAAAAAAAAATTGTCTATTTAAATGGACATTTATTTCACTTGATATCTGCTGTTTTTTTTATTGAATTTTCATAATGCTTTTATTCTAGGAGAAGAAACTCGACTCAAAGCAGTCCTACGAAAAGAAGCTCGACGAAATAATGGAAAAGGCACTTTGTCAGGAGGATTCTCTAGATAAAGATCATTTCACATTCATTGGAAAGTTGTACAGTGATATTGATCGTCTTGATGAGCTGATCAAGAAGATAGAGTTCAATTGCTACGATAGTGTCGGCACTACATTTCTGTGCAATCTCATGACGCCAATGGTAGACGATGATTTTCAGGCAGAGTGCAATACTGAAAAGTTGCATGAGTTGGAGGAGAATTTTGAAGCGCTCAATGTTGAAGTTTTGAAAGTGAGGGAAGATATCAGAGAAACTGAAAAACAGAAAAATTTCCAGAAGATGAACGTTTATAAAACAGCTGAATTGCTGAAGAAATGCGAGGTGATACAGCATAAGCAAATGCCAATTGAGAGCAGGGTCAAAGAGACATACGCTAATCGATCGCGCACGCAAATTGATGAGGAACTGTCGAGGGAGTGTCACAAGTTCACAGATTTGACTGGACATTCCCATGTTCACAGAGTTCATGAAAAAGTGAAGGCAGATATAAAGAATTGGAACAGTCGCTATAAGTGTCTCACCAGGAAGCTGATTAACTTGAGTGGCGCGACAAGTAATGAGACTTTGCTGATCTGTGATCATCAATTCTCACTGCAGCAGCTGAAAGAGCTTCTGACCATTCTCAGGAGCATCAAATTCACCCGAAATAGCATTTCATATTACTTCGCGTTTCTTCTTGAGAAGAGCAATGGACACTGGATTGATTGCTCTTCTGAGTCTACAAAGATCTATGCACTTCAGGGCATCACAGGACTCAAGTGGATTGTGCGGGCAGATGAGGATGTGACCGAGTTTGAAGAGGTCTCCTGGAAAGAGCAAGATTTATGCTCTCTGGCAATAAATTTTGCCATGTGCGCTATAAATGATACGTCAACATTTGTAATTGATCTCAATGACATCAGAAAATCATCACAGGTTTGTTTTTTTGGTCATTTTAACTATTGTTCTCCTTTCTAACTAACCATGATTTCTCACTCATTTGTTTTAGTGCACCGAAGAAGATCTCACAAGTCTACTTTACAGCATAATTAATCACCATCAGGCCATAATCATTTCCCAACAGCCAATAATCAATGATATGTTTCGCAATATCTCTGTGGAATAATCTCTTTATTACAAACTTGAAGGTATTACAAATAGTCAAAATAGTTTTGATTATCTACTTAATAACTTTATTTCACTAATAATCTGATATATTTTCTCAATTTCTCTTCTCTTTCTCAATTTATTGCAGACTCTGACTCTTCCATTCTCACTTCTTGCATATCCACAGTCGCAGATGAAATACAAAAAAAAACACAACAGGTTGATGAGAAAAGTGCGATTTTCCCCGTAAGTTACTCATTTATGAATTTGCGTAAGAATATTGATTGTTTTTCCTCTTGCCACTAGTTTTTATTTTCAACATAATACTCTAACATCACTGCAATATCAGTGTGTGTTTTTCCTTAAATGTAATACAAGTAGCGATTTCAATCACACTATACAGTACATACCGTTTGTTGTGCTATTAAATAAATATTTTAGTAAATATATTTTTCCTAATTGATAAGAGTATATGCAAGAATAAATTGGAAAAGACATATAATTATGGCGGTTAGCATAATTCAATTTAGGTATAATATTTTACACTTTTAAATAATTACAATAGGATCACATTTAAGTTTTTCTTCCTCACACTCAAGGGTCAAAAACACCCTCAATTCACACTCAAGGATATCCAGTTGCCGATTCATACCTGTCATAAGTCTTGCACAATCCTGTCTCATATAAAGGGAATTTTTTTTTTAATAATTTCATGACTGTAAAGGAATGTGTAAAGTCCTGAAGATTTACTATGATTTTTTACAGAGTCTGAAAAGGGACACGGAAGAAACCGAGATCTCATGTTGATTCTTATGCTCTTCAAACCATAATTGTGGCAAGAAAGCGTATCAAAAGGACTTGAGCATTGATTAATGCTAAACTTATGAAGCTAATGTCGCTAATGTCTAAAGGCAACTTGGATAGCATTTTCTTCATATCGGATGACTATCAAAAATCATGATGTAGAGACAAATGAACCCTAGTCTTTGTACTTGTTATCTTGCGGCGTGATAAAGTACACGTGCGATTGGTCGCCCAATTTATACTGGATCACAGGATTGCCGTAGTGTCGATTGTTGTAGTACTGATGTTGCTTGTTGTGTTGCTGCTGCTGCTGCTGCAGCTTGGGCGGAATGAACTCACTGTCGGGATTTGCAGCCGGCAGGGGGTACTTGTAATTGACCAGGGTGTCTTTATGCAACGATATAGGTGCCTGTGGTTCCTGAACTTGCCTATTCGGGTAGTAATTGTAGCGGTTTGGCGTGTTGATAATCTGTTGATATTGCGGAAGAGGTGGTGGGTTATGCTGCACCAAAAACTCACTGTCTTTATTCGGTTGTGGCTCGTAATACTTCACGTATGTGTCATTCAAATATCCTAAGTCATATTGCTGTGTTGACTCTCTTTGCTGTTGTTGCGGTTGATACTGCCGCAATTTCTGTCTCAAGAGAGCAATTTGCCTCATGTATGGATCGAGTGAGGGGTTGGCATAGTATGGGAATGGTCTGGCCTCAGGACGTTCATAGTGATAGCCATCGAAAGGCAAAGGAATTGGCCTAATATTTCTGGAGTAATAGTTGAGAGCCCGATGAGAATTTGGACGACGTGTTTGGTAATCCAGTTCCCTAAACACCTGCTTCTCTATTGATATCCAACGTGGTGTTGTGGTAGTAATAGCTGGTGTGGGTGTTGTAAATTCGATGCTTTCAGGACTCATGGGTTCAGTTGCATACTCTGGAGCTAAGGAGAGCTTCTGGCCGAAGATGTTGAAGTACTTCTTTGTGATGTCATCCAGCAGAGCGGTATCCTTTTTCGTATAATATGTTGGAAGAGGACTCTCAGTGCTGGCTTGAATGATGGGTAGTAATCTCTGAGGTGGTCGGTTAGATTGCTTCTTCCGGAAGTATGCTGGTGTAACTGGTGTTGTTGAGTAGTAAGAAGATGGGACACTTTGACCGAATGGCCGAAAACCATTAATATCTCCACCAAGCGGAGGACTGTATTGTACCATCGGCTTGAAAGGTGTTGTATCGATCTGAATGGGATTACTGAAGCTGATTGGGGGCTTAAGAGTGCTTCCCTCAACTGCATCAAAGGAGTATTCATACACCGCTTTAGCTTTCGGAGTACGAGGGAGTTGAGTACCTTCAGCCGGTGTAACTTGATTCTTGTAGTACTTAAGGGTCTGACGAATGGTTTCTATCTCTTGATTGAAAGATCCTGGAGGCTGGGGCGATAATTTACTAGACTTGATAGGCAAGGGATTGGCATAGTCCAGTCCCAGTGGCCCAAAGTTTGTATACCCATTCGGCTGGATCTCAGGTTGTGGCGTGATGTAAAGATACTTATCGTAGTCGAAACCGTTGACTTCTGGCAAGTAGATTGCAGGCGGTTCAGTTGTTGTCTGCTCTTTGTAGACGGGAATAGCTTTGATCTGGCTAGGTTTCTCTCTGCTGAGATTTCGGACAGGAGGTGCAGGCGTTGTCGTAGATTCCGTGGCTGGTGGAAGATACGTGTGAGGGGATTTTCTGGCATCGAAGTATTCAAAGTAAATGGGATTGCTTCCTCTAAACAGATCATCAGATGGATTCTTGATCTTTGGAATAAATTGAATAACATTGGGTGTAGAGTTGGGGACTTTTTTGAGTGTTGTTATGGACTTTACAGTTGTGCGCGTTGTTGGCGGAGGCGTTGTGCTGGTTGATGTGGGATGGAAGCTGACAACAACGTTCTCTCGATCCTTGTAACGAGGTATGTGAACTTTGTGCACCTCGGGTATTCTTGTGGTTGTAGTGAGCTTCGTCTTCCCGGGCTGTTTTGAGAGCTTGGTCGTTCGAGATGGATAGACAGGACTTTGACTTGTTGTCTCCAAGCGACTGAAGAAATTAGGCGGAGGTGGCAAAACGATTCCGGGTACCAGTGGTCCCGGAGGAACAGGATTGCTGTAGTTGCTCTTGTAGACGAAGCTGTAGGGTGGAGGATAGTACAGACTTGGGTCATCCTCATCAAACTCCGTCATGTTAATATTCTCTAGAGAGCCGTTGGTGAAGAACGGCGGCGCAGGAAATCCAGGGGCAAAGAAGGGCGGTGGATTGAGGAAAGGATTGGCAAATGTGGAGTTGCTGTTGAAGAACCACGGTGGAATGGGCGGCGGGTAGGGGAAGTTGTTCTGTGTAGAATTTCCTGGCGGTCGCGACCCGGCAAAAAAGTCCGCCGGATAGCCACCGATGGGCGGCGGCGTTGGCGTGGCGCCGGGCTGTAGGAAAAGCGACTCATTCGCAAATGGATTGAAGACCGGCACTTGACTATTTCCGATAAATTCAATCGGCCCGTTTTCTTCGAGCTGCACAGGAAATGGAGGTGGAATTTCTGGATTGGGTGGTATCTTGACTTGTCTCAAAGGCGCTTCGTATGAATCTATTGGTTTCCATTCATCCTTGCCCTTCTTATTGAGACTTCCACCTTTTAGGACTAGCAAGTGATCCTCAGCCAGCCAGATATCGTCCTCAGATAATCCCCCATAGGTCTTATTGTTATCACTTGGAGTTTCTGGGTTGGGCAAGTAGCTTATCACGCCCGGTCTCTTCGGTTTCTTTTGGAAAATCTCCTTTTGGATCAGACCATATTTCCCTTCAGCCACTTGGTCGGAAAGAGTCTTGGCCTTCTCTTCCTTTTTCTTCCCATCTGTTGCATTCTTAGACGCTTCTTTACCCGCCCCTGCGCTGGCTCTTAGCAGGCCACTGTCCCAGTTATCGATGCCATTGATGCCAATGGAGTCCACTTCAAGGAGAGCAGCATCATCTAGGGGATCATTGTAGGGCCTCCTGGTTCTCGGTGGTCTCCTGGTTGTGGCCAATTTGGTTTGGTTTCGCGGTTGATTGCGTGACGGACTGGTTTTTCGCCTAAAATAGATCTTGGAGAATTTGTCCGACCACGTGAGTGTGTCATTGCGCACTCTATCGCGTGTCCCTTGATGTTGCAAGTGACCTCCGACTAGCCTCTGAATTGTTCTTGTCCGATTCGTGACTGTTGATTTACTGCAATTGTTGAAAAAGAAGAAAATTTACAATGGATGAATTTGAGGGTTGGACGAAGTATTTAAAATAAAATGTCCAGTTTTTATTGCAGCAAGTTGATTTAGTCTTATTGAGTAGTGCGCTGAACGGAAAATTAATTACACAGGCCATTGATTGAGATTAAGGTTGCGCCAACTCTCTTGGCTTCGATAAAAAGATATTTAATTCGGAGGAAGGAATTACACTTGTACTGTGTAAATTAACATTATTACCGCGGTATTCTTTTTTCCTTCAGGTTGGCACAAAAAGAATCTATGCATTTATTCAACTCACGTTTTATTGGTTTTATTGGCGGCTGTTGAGATAAAATGAATCTCTGTTGTCGGCGCTTCCGATGTTGAGGATTCAGTGTTGATGATTTGTGATGGACTCGAGGCGAAGTCCGGCCATTCTGCCATGGAAATGGGCAGCGGAGTGACAGTGTGTACATAGACAGGTGACAGTGGTTCTGATTTGTTGTGATGCTGTGCTGAGATTGATTGAACTTCTATGACGAAGACAGCAATCAGGAGCGAAATGCACGAATTCATCTGCAAGTGATGGGAATATTCAATTAACCTTGATATTGCGCCTCTAAAAGTGAAAGTCTTGTGGGACAATCAAGATTCTTTTTTTCGTTTCGGGCTGGCAAATTAAGTGAAATCATATGAAAATGGATCAATTAACTACTCATTAGGCGGTGGAAACTGAAACTCTGGCTCAGTATCAAAATAATTTCTAGTTCATACCCAGGGAGAGAGAGAGAATGAATGAAAACGTGGTAAAAAGTTTAATCATGTTTCGGTGTCAGTCTCTGCGATTATCTGGTGAAAATTTTCTTGCGGCTTCTATGAAGAAATTCTCAGATTGTTATATAAGTCATATAATCTTGATATAATGCAGACAGCGCGAAAAGTCATGGATGGAAAATTCTCCTGAAAATTACCAACTTGTGCACACTAGTATAATATGATAATTGAGATCACAAAGTTTTGTAATTAAATGATTAGCAACTTGTGCTTGCAATTATGGAGAGATAAAATCCTTAGGGTAAATATTTATGATTAGTAATTGGCGTTGGCTAGACTTCCTTGTTAGACACCATTAAGAATCTTATATGCACATAATTCACTCAAAAAGAGTGGGAATATTTTGGTCAAGAAATGGACTTATTGGGAAGATGAAAGACGTGGAAGGGGTTAAAAAATCATACTCAGGTAAGTTATTATTAAATGCTGCAGAGAAACACCATATTGGCCATAAAGCTCGAATAGGAAGACTGAAGTTGCAGAAGAGGTTAATGTTGAAGTTACTCATGATAATAAGTTTGTCATGGGAAATGCAGAATTGAGAAAGACTTCCACAACATCAAAACATGTGATGAATTAAACATGAAGTCAGTGTATTCAACTAGATTACAATATCTGTGAATTTATGTTTTTGGAGTTCAAAATAGCTAAAATAATTAAAGAAGTTCCACATTTTTATGTGATAACACGAAATTTTTTAAAGAATACTATGAACAAGCTCAGGTGTTTTATTTCCCAACGAAGAACATCTTAGTTTTATCAAATTTCTCTTTTTTTGGTGGATGAATCTATTATTTATTGTCTTTTCACCAGAAAAAAGACAGCCTCTGCATTCAGTAGCTTCTGCTTCATAGCGTAAATGATGTTTTTTCCTTCCAAAAAGGCATTGCTTTGACAATACAATGACCCTGCTTTGTGTAGTGGAAAAAAAATGGCAGAATACAACTTTCACGTGGCCATTAAAAATTACACACTACGCACTCTCTGTCGCTAGATTTCCCAAAATGCAAATGGGTGGGCTAAAAAGATTTAGCTAAAAAAATTAAACTGTGAATACACCATGCAAAAAGTGTAATACAATACGCGGCAAATAGATGTTTTTGGTGTCCAACAGTGTGAAGAGATAATTCTGTGAGAGAGCGTGTCCGTGGCGGGGAGACCGGAAAAATTATATGGAATTAATAAGCAATATTAAATAAAATTGAGAAGTTCAATGTATTATTTGATGGGGCATCGATGCGTTTCGCAACACGGCATGGTGTATTGAGTCATATGAATATTGCGCGTTGTGGGAGAATGAAAATATACATAGTAGCCAATGTGTCAATGTCCACGGCGAATCACGGGAAATGTATTCCAATTTTAATCAAAACACTTGATTAACGAAAGCTCAAGCTAACGTAACGAGCAACCTTGATCCATTACGTGGTGCAGTACTATGACCCCCTGAAGAGATTCAATCTTCTGGCGTTGCCCAGTGACTCACGGTCTGGAGATAGAGCTTTGATCAAATAAGAATGTACGTAGATTGGAAAGTAAGTCAAATATTTATGGGTGGACTTAATGGGCTTCACACCTTTTGAAAAGCGTAAGAGAATGCCAAGTCAATAGACGGTCAAATGCTTTGAGAGACCCAAATGAAATTTCTAAATAGAATTGAATATTTTGCATACTATTCGTAACACTTTGTCAGCCGCCTTTAGGAGTGTTGTATATAAAGTGGGAGATTTGAAAGCGAAAGTATAATCGGGAGTGTGCGGCTGTAAAGTCTAAACCAGTTGCCACCCGCCGGATAATAGTCTTTTTATTTTACAGAAGTTACTCAATAGCATGTGCTGACAATAATTATAAAATAAACAATTTTTTGGTGGCAGAAGAAACTCGTGCCAAGTGTACGCGGAACTCTATATAAAATATACAGGTTTACTAGCATCTAAATCGAATTATTCAACTCTTTTTACATATTTTCCAATTGTCAATGTATTGACAAATGGTGTAGTTTGCATAGTCATTTTTCTTTCACCTCTCATTATACACACAAGCTTTCATAATTACGCGATATTGTTGTATTATTACACATGATCGCGGTGAATGAACCAATGATGTGTATTAAATGATACAAAATTGAATTGAGTATTGTGCTATGTCTGCAACTTATCAAATAAATCATCTTGAGTTATGGCTCCAATTGAAATAGCGCTCGTTTAAAGATCAAATTGAAATTGATTGTCATTCCGCTGCAAACCATCTAGACACACTCTCCAAAATTCCATCCATAATTTTCTCTAGGAGTGAAAAGCCATGCAGAAAAAAAACCTGCTACACTTTTTTATTTGAGCGGTTGACACAAAAATCGTGCTCACTTTTCCTTCATATCTGCGCGATATTGGGCATTGCATTCTTGATGGAATTACTTTGTTCCACATTTCTACATATTATCTGCACACATATCTCCCATATATGCAATTCCATACAATGCTCTCCACTGTATGGTTGCAAATGGAGAGAGATAGGGAGAGAGAGAGAGAGACAGAGTGAGAGAGACCATATAGTAATGCTTTATATTTTAACACGATGGATTTGGTGTATCTGTAAATGTAGGTAAATGTACTGAAATTTCTCGGCGTGGTTGCAGAAAAAGAAGGATGGGGAAACGAAAAGAAAAACAAGACAAGACCAACGCCCCACTCAGCTATGAGCACGACGCCCGACCAAATCGTGCCTGGTAAAAGGTGATTCTAAAGTTGAATTGAGAGCAAATTTTAGCAGTTTGCTTTTAAATACTCCGCAATGCGAATTGAATTTCTATTGAGAGAGAATTCCTTAATTCAGCCAGATAATTTTATAATAGGCTCTCCTACTCCAGATTGCAACTTGAGTGGCTTGCCATTTTGCCAGACAGACTCACTGATTTTTTCGCTAAACGGAAGTTTATATAACCCAGCGCAATGGACAATAAAGATTTACATGTTTAATATACTCTTTGTATATAAAACATGCGAGTAGCGCAGCTCGGGCCGCTATGGTAGTCCAACAAATATCATTTAAGACATTTTGTGCGAGATAGGAAAAGATTGGCATGCTAGAGGGTGTGGTGAATTCTTTTTATGGTAATTCTGTACATAGCAGACTATTTTTACTATAAATCAGATTGTGCAAGACTCAAATGGAGTTTGTAAGTTTATTTGGAAATTCGTTGAACTTAATAAAATCCCCAAAATAGTCTTTTGCATGATGGAATTACAATCCTTTCTGGATCTACTCACGAAAGAGTAAACATTGAAACTTAGCAACACTTTCAAAACACTCATTTCAATTGTACAGTGGTGGTAATGAAAATATGCGCGTAAATAATAATTATTATTCTTATAAGATATTTCTTTTTCTTCTCAAACATAATGAATAAACGTCAGAAGTTTATATGTGGGTCTGGAAGTAGAGTGTAAATATTGGCTTTTATCTTTTCTAACGAGACATTAGCGGATACGAACACAAAACAAATTTGAAGAAATTCCTGGATAATGTGACAATGAAATTTAGTACAAGAGGTAAGTGAGCGATAAATTGGATTTTTTTTAAATAATTGTTAAAAATCTGTAAATGCAACCAAAAGAATGTATACTTGTTAAATATTTATTACATTCTTTAATATAAACAATCCCATCTTTTTGACCAGTTTAACGGACAAATAAAGTCAGTAGAAAATTTGGAAGTTAATCAATTTAATTAAATATATACATTGCTATGCTGGTATTGAGTTTGAGACGGCTCAAAAATTAATTTTGTTGGATTAAATGCCTAATTGTAGCTATTTTCATGCTCACGACTGTATCGAAATCGTCAATGTTCAATGATTAATGTGAAGGTCACAGTTAAACTCTTTCTTATGAATATACGAGACAAGTTTTTATTTAATTTTAATTATCCTGCATCGATTCATATGCTTCCCGAAAGCATCGCATGATTTTTCGCAGTTGCAAGACATTCAGCAAGTGTGGTGGAAGTGCAGACAATGCGAAAGACTTCAATTGCATGAGAAACGAACCCGATTGAATACAGTTGGAAATGGAATGCAAAAAATTTGGATTACTCTACTATTATTAAATAATCTATAGAATCTACGCCATCCGACAGTCTGACGAATGGATCATTGTCAATGTGTGTGAGACATATGTATTGGGAATTCTGACATCACCTCCGGCGAGGATATGCCGAAATGGCAGGCGCACACTCCCCATCCATCCTACGCACACAATAAAATAAATAATAGTTTATAATTTTTATCCGCCATTGCGCAAAGGTTCGAAGAAAGAAATTAGAATGTTAACCGATTGGGACCAATTATGGTGTCAATCATGGGGCACTTGAAGTAACGATATAAATTAGCACAATATGTGTGGCTGCCTGCATACTAGGTATAATTTGACCACTAAAAAGAATGCGGGTGATCGCAATCTTTTGGCACTTTCAACACTCTTGTAGAGTAATTGTGGCACACGATCCATGCGCCGTGGCCAATCCTATGTGAAATATCCGCGCATGTATCCCACTGTACAATAAAGTTATTTCTGAAGTGAATGACATTGGCGTCCATAAAAAGAAAACAAGTGAAAATGCTCAGGTTAACAATTCACTCATGAGGAGACTGAATTTTAGCAACACCCTCCTTTCATACCTGACTCAACTAAAGCAATCAATAAAATTCTCGCTAACAATTGACAAACATAAATTGCCATTACCTTCAAATGCAAGATGTTTTGACGTCACGATAAATAAATTATCTGCAAAGAGAAGAGAGAAGGATTTGAAAAATTGTAGAAGAAACGATAGCAATTACAGTCTACATTGGGTGACCTTCGCGACCACTCAGAAGTCCAAAGCAGTACTTAACAATCTTTTTTTTTAAGAATTCACCACGGATTTTGTGCACTATTCGCACTAATTCGCATTTTGAACTAATTCTTCCGTGGAAACGTGTGGAAAAAAATATGTGAGACTACACAAGTCTTTATTGTTTCAATTTTTCACAAGAACTATTTTACCAACAATGGCCATTGTAATGATCTCATTTCCACAATTTTACAATTGTTCAAGGTCTGTGAAATATTTACATATGTTCCAGAGCCACTCGTCTACCATCTCATCATCGCGCCCTAATGAAATGCGACCATTTATCCACACATAAAAAGTGCACACTCACTGACTAGCCAAATTTCTGCACTCCAGACATTCAGATTAACTGTGGGAGTCTCTTAGCCATTTGCATGCCATCGCGGCTCCCTCGCCACGCGGTGAAAGCACTGCGGTGTGACATGTTTGCAATTGCGAATTAAAACTTGAATTGAAATGAAGATGGTAAACCTATTTTTTTTATACGTGTGTCTAAATGACTAATTGAATTTGTAAATCAATTAAAATTCCCCCTTATTTAGTAAGTTATACAAAGTGAAAATTGCTACTCATTACTGCACATTTTGGCAACGTTGCTGGCTATTACTTTATGTTGTGTGTAATTTTTAATTACGCAGTGATAGATAACCTTCATGGTCATTTGGTTAAAAAGTTCAGATGATGTAGCTTTCTTTTACCTATTACTCAATATTAAAGTATTTTTTCTGTGATTGCCGTGTGATTTTAATTTTAAATTAGGCGGTTTGTTTGTTAAAAGTTTGTACAGTTCACATATTTCAATTACTCAGCAATTACGCTTGTATTTAATCTATCTTTTAATTACTGAAAAGCTTATTTTTTCAATTACAAAATACGCTTGAGCCAATAATTAAGCAAATATCTTCATCGAATGCTTCTTTACGTTAAAATGCTTTATTTTAGTTTGTATAAAAACTCTGAAATTTTAAGATTTATTTTATTTCATGTCTTTACGTAAGATTTTCAAAGCAATTTAAGATGTTCTGAATGCGAATAAATTGTATTTGAACTTGAAATTACTTCTCAAAAGACAATAAATTTTTCATTTTATGTAAGATAATTTTAATATACTTAAAACAAATATTTATTCAAAACTGCTTCACTCTCTCTTATTTTAATGGCACTGCAATTTCTTGTCTTTATTTCGCGATTTCTGCAAAGTTGAATTAAAACATTAAGAAAAGTGCCCAACTTCGAGCAGCGAACCGAGCAAGAAATGACCGCAAGTGTACCTTTTTCTTACATAAGTACTTTATAATTTGCAGCGGATGACAGAAAAGTATGTTCATACGAATTTCTCTTGATATTAATTTCTACTTGTCTCACTGTTATTGTTGAAAAGAAGCCAAGAAAGACAATTTAGTGTAACGTAATTCTTTTTCACGGCCGAGAGCATTTGCACCACATTTGGCGCGGAAAAGTTAATTTTCCTGTAAGCTAAGCATTCTGGTGAAGATGGTTCAGAAGATATTCATATTCTGATAAGTGACTCTTTATTACTGTGGAATTTTGCATAAATTAAGATTCGCGTCGAGATTACATGAATGCCAATTTATTGAAATTGCAGAGATCTTAACGTGACCAAAAGGGAATAATTTGTATGATTTTAATTTCATTATTTATTTATTCTTTTGTGTCTACAATCGAGTCGCAGCGGAAAATTAATTAATTTGGTCTGTGGATTTAATAGTGGAAGTCAGATTAAGAAAATACCGTCTGAGCGGCATTTTTGCTCCAATGGTATAGAAATTGAAAAGGAATTTGGCGGATTTCCTCATCATAGTGCGAACTTATCAGACCAAAACGTATGAGCATGCTGAAATTTACTTTCTACTCTTAAAGTTTACTTACTAACATTTCATATGGGCTGTTTTGTTTTCTTGATTTATGTGCGCAGTGCACATAACTGTGGCGCGTTCTAAGAAGCGCGGCATGATTTATTAAATTTATGTTAATTCACGAACATGAGTAATCGGAAAGAGGAGTGTATAAACATCCCCTTGGCTGATGTTTTGAGGGAAATTCTATTGTTTTCAGCATTGAGTGGTGTTAATGATGTTAATTTAAAAACGGCGTCGCGCATTTCTCTTTCGCGTGATTTCATTTTCGTACGCGTTATTTATCATAAATGTGGGACAAAAGTGCGTTAAAGACGAGTTTTATGCCGCCGGACACTTTTTATATCACCCATCAACACTGTGGCCGGTGGATTTATATTAATGAAATGGAGCTGAGACACCGCCGAGAGATACACGGGTGGTCAGCAGACATTGACAGTGATGTAATCATCTGGTTGACCGCATTTACATCAGTAAACATACAAAATATATACGTGATATAGGTAATATTGTTTAAATTGTTACTTTGGGGTTTCCTGTTTGCTCATGCAGCCGCATAGAAGAGATCTAATAATAGGAAATAATAATTCTTATGGTGATCTGTCATTAGGTTTACAATGAAAAATCGTGCCCAACGTGGTACATTCACTTTTTGTCATTCGCTTCGTCACTTTATGTGGTTTTTTTTTTGCTTTTGATGCGATATTTCAAAAATTTCTATTAGCACCCAACATTGTTGCCTCGCTCAGCATATGGCACTACAGTTAATCTGCATTTAAATAAAATCCTCCAATCGTGATTTTTCATTGTCCATAGTTTTCAAATTATTTTTGCAATGTGCGCAGCAACATACACTGTGTGCACAATGCAAAAAATCTGCGCAAGGGATAGTCAAAAGTACTTGAAAACCGAATATTTTGAAAGTAAAAAAATTACGATAACAATAAGTATAAAGTCTTTATATATTTTAGCTCTTCACTTGAATTCCAGTGATGCTATTAAAGTTGGAGTGACTGTATGAGCGATGCAGTCAAGGATCTTAACTACTGGCGTGTGAAAGGCCCTTTATAGCTATGAGAAGAAAACAGACGTCATTCCAATAAAAATTACAAGTAACTTTCTATTTTATTCTTCGAATTATTTGCGGTATTTGTGGTCACAGCGTTATAATATTCTATGATTTTTACTCTTCAATGAATTTACGGGTTTTTGACTCAGTTGTTTATGACAATGCTTCTGATTTAAACACTCATCCGTTCTGCAGGGCAATTAGAAAAAAATGTAAGCATGATAACTGGTTCGTTGCATTTCTGGTCACATTTCTGACGCGTGAACTAGAGGGACGGAAAATAATTAACTATTGCCACAACACATACTTTCCTTGCAAGAGTTGAAAAATCTAAAAGTAGCAGCTATTAAATACTAATTTTGTAGCAATTTCCTTACATGAACTTCTTTATTTAATACACTTTTCTCATATACAACTCGCGTCTAACTCCCTAGATTGACTCTCCGCAGAAGTTGAGGAATATGAGATCAATCAAATTGCCAAACGTATCATTTGAACTGATTTCTCTCATATTCTCACATTCATTCATACAGCGGAGTCTTTGTATGTTTGTCATGTAATTAAAATGAGTTCGGTTCGAAATGGAAGAATTGTACCAACGAGTATACAAGTTGTTGAATTTCATATCTACTCTACGTCTCTTGTATCCATACTTTTTCACCTCCCAATGTTGAGGCGCAGAGATATTTTTTTTGAGCTTAAAAAATCATTATGGTTTGCTGTGCAGTCGGTGTAAAAAAAGAAAAATAAATCACTGCATGTGTGCATAATTTCCTGCCCATGATGGAGACATGAGATATGATAATACTGCCGATTTTTAGTATTTCTTACCATGCGAAATTTAATACCACATGGCTGGCGGATTGTGATTTTTGCAAGCTCTGAATGGTGGATGGAAAATCGTAACACCACTATCAATTATGTATTAATGTGCATGTGCATAAAATCTGTAGCAGGCAATATGAAGTAAATCAGCCCATAATACATGTGAAGATATTGTGGATACGAGTTTCCTTTATTGCGCAAGCGAAAGTCTATGAGGTCGTTTTGCTGCCAACACTTGGAGATATTGGCATAAGAATCAAGAGATTATTGGTGAACTTATTGGCTTGTGTGCGCGGGGAAAATACAATCATTTCCTTTTCGTTGGGTTTCCCATATTGCCATTATTATTACACTGAAATGACCGGAGATAATCATAATTTCTAAATTCAATGAACCCATGCAATTATTGGGCTCTTGTGTCTGCCCCGAAAAGTCACCGCGAGTGGCATTCGACTAATAATGCTAAGTATGCTGTGGTATTTCTCCTAATTTCGCTAAAATTATCGCACAAGTTCACAACACTGACCACACTAATTAAGCATTATTAAATTGGCGTCTCTGTCGAAAACATAAAAGTAAAAAAATGTAACAGTGCGCATTTTTTTAATATTGCTCTAGAATCTGGGCTATGCTGAACAATTGAAATTTTCTCCACATATTCAGAAAACGGTGAAATTCCTGCCTCTGTAGTTGATATGTTAAAAGTGAAATCTCCACTTTTTAAATTCATTTGTGTTTTCAACTCTCTTTTGTTTTTTTTTATTATACCGAAAGCGCAATTCAAAAGTTTTGCCAAGTGCAGAGTGAGTTGAAAAAAGCCACTCAGTATTTAGACACACCGAAACCGCCAATTAAATGGTAATGAATCATCATGTGGAGGATGATTTAGTGGGAAGAGTATTAATAGAACTTACACACGGATATTCTATCTTTGGGTATTTTGTGACTTGTTAATTCTTAGAATATGTCTTTTCTCATTTAATGGCGGTAAGTAAGCCATAGCGAGGCATTTGCGTATAAAGATGGGAAATTTGTAATCTCTCATCGCGATAAATTCACTGTCACAGATACGGTGTAGGAAAATGTTTAGACAATGGCTTTCCGAGTGAGACGCACATTAGCGCAATTTCATTGCAAGCTAAAGATGACCTGGAAGTGTCTTTGAAGTATACAGCGATGACAAAGTGCTGAAGAGTGTTAAAATATCAAAGTGCTCATAATCTTATAGTGGTACAACGAAAATATTTATCCACAATACAGCAAATGACGTTTATCGAATGCCATTCTAAAAGAGTTTCAACCCAATCTTCTTCGGCTGATTAAAAAAAATTAGTTGATATAAGTGGTCATAATTGTTACACTGCTATGAAACGTTCAAAATTTTGTCATTTTGTAAATACTTTTGGCACATGTTCAAAAAAAAACGTCTAGCATTAAAACTAAAAACTTGGCGGAGATTTAAAATTGCGTAAAACAGAATTATTTGAGCACTTTTTTTTGCATATTCTGAACAATCCATTCAATCGCTGTGCAAAAAAATAAATGTGCCACGGATATATCTTTTTCATTAACTTCAATATTCTCGATAAAATTGAGAATCACTTTATTAATCGATGCTTTTTAATATTATCCATGTGGGTTTTTTTCAGCTGAAACCCCTGAAATCTGACGCTGATTTATTTTTTCTGGTGAATTTCGAACGTATCGTAACACGCGTCAAATGTCACGGTTTTATATATTTTCTGATTTCATCAAGAGTGGTTAACTATTAAGCGACGAGATGGGTAAATTTGTCTTTTCGCAAGGTGATACAGATTAGGTGATTCCACAAGACAAAATAAGAGGTTACCTCAGTAGATCATCAAGCATATACGCAACGTCTTATACCAGTCTTCTGAGTATTTCTTTCCTCCATTCATTTAAGCACATCTAGTTTTTCACTGTGTTCACATAAAAAAACTGAATTATATTGTTTTGTTATCCATGAAAGCTACAAGATCTATTTTTATTGAGACAACACAGCACATAAAATGCAATTTTACGAAACTCAAGGGTTCAATTGTTAACAATACACGAAAAGACTTTTGACTTTGTTTCTTTTTTTTCTAAATTAATAAATAAAAGAGTCCACGAAAATTAGAGAAGCACAAATATATATATATATATATGATAAATCTAAGTACACTTGTGTTAAATTCGCACTTGGTGCCACTCAACTTTTTCGATCTCCTCAAACGAAGCCGCAGAAGTTTTTCGCGTGTTTCTGCTATGACCGTTGAATGTCAACTGAGCCAAGTAGCTGTTTTCAAAATGGTAAAACAGCCAGGTTGCCCCACACGGCGCTAATTTACATCACAATGAGAAAATATAGTGAGAAGGTGCGCGCGCCACTCGCTCCTACCTCTCTTTATAAGTGTTATTAAATACAAGAGAGCGCGAGAGAAGTGAGTGTGCTCATACTGGAGTGAAGAAAGAAAACTGGAAATTATTGAGAGGCCGAAAGAGAGCAGAAAATTTGCATTGTAGGAGAATTCCGCGATATATATCGTGATGGGGTCGCCTGGTGGTGATCAGAATTCCTGCGCAGCCCCACAATCAATATATCCACTATATTGTTTGACTGTATGGCATTTGGTGTGGCGTGTATTTATGCAATCAGCAGGCACATAAGCACTCCTTGTAGCCAATAATAAGCTCGAAATTGTACGTACTCCCAATTGCCTTGAAATATCTGCACAGATCAGCGCGAGGTTGGAGACTGATTTCAACCCAGAAGACAAGTGAGGGCGCAGATAATAAAAAGTGCAAGATGAGAAGCGGTACGACTTCACGCGGTTTTGATTCAATTGTGCGGGCAAAAAGTGTACAAGTATTCAAAAAACCATATATGTAGCGAGTGGCATAATGCTTGGCGTGTGTGCAAGAGTGTTGAGAGATGAAAGAGAGCACTAATATTTGCACCACCGGTTGCGATATATTCTGTTTGCCCATTAATGAAGTTGTTAAATTCTCACTAAGTGCAACAAATAAATCCATCAATCAGTGACCAAGATTAGATGGGCACATGTAACGGCTGGAGATCGCTCACGCTGAATTTGCCTTTTTTGCGCCCATCATAACTGCCTGACTTCACATCTTCTGTGATCAAATTAGCGGGCTACTGAAAAAGCCAGAGCAAGTGTAAATTGAGTTGAGGATCGCCTGTGTTTCGTATTTTGTGTGGGCACGCACGCTTGCTTTACCCTTCTTAAACAAAATTAATAAGAATTTAAGGTCAAATATAATTATTTCATTAGCCAATAAGGTGAGATGACATTTTTCCTATTGAATAATAAGAATGACTCTTCCGCGAGCATTAATGCGCTTATCACCGGATGTTCTTGCAGCAGAGGGAGAGACTCGCGTGGAAGAGGAAGCACTGCGATGTGTCATTAATTATTCAATCTCTAATGCTGTCGATGGGGAATTTTCACCTTAATGATATGGGAAATGCAGTGCCCATAATGTCTCTTTTTGTCCTTCCACAGTATTGAATTACAAAAAATGGACAAAAATGCACACTCTCGCCTGCAAATTTGCATAATAGAAGAGCGTGGCGCCGCAATTTATATGCTATTGTGTCACCTTCATAATGAAAAAAATATCGATGTGCAATTTATTAATTTGGGCGTGTAAAAAATACAGTGTGTGGTCTTTTTGAGTGTCCCAAGGTTAGCCTAAAGAAGCCTTTCCATTTCTACAATGGAAATATTTCACTTTTGTGGAAGAGACCCGCGGCGCATGTGGGCAACTTCTTGAGTAATTATTTTGGGAAACAGCTATCCGTGAGTCATTTTGTATGCTTCAACAATCACTTGGGCACTTGTAGCGTCCTCAAGAGCCATTCCTATGTCCAAAATACATGAATATATATATATAGAGAAAAATACAAATGTCGCCAAGTCAGAGAAGCAATTACCGAGGGACTGGAAGATGGTAATGCCAGCAGACGGAGTGGGTTTTTTCTGTCCCAGCACCTCTCCCACGAGTCCAACAATTTCCGCTTTCAGCTCTTTCAGCTCCGTTTTGGCCCCCTCCCAGTGGTCAGTGTAGACTTTGCTGGCGTCATAGACATTCTGATGCAGTTCAGCATGGTGAACTTCACCTGCGCCAATTGTGTTGATATGCACATCATCCTTTAGCTGGTGTCTCTGGATGAGTGGTTCATGCGAACTCGTGGCAATCACTATCACGTCACTGTCCGCCAAGCAGGTCGTCAGGGAAGCGTGAACGCTGATCGCAATGGAGGGCTTCCTGAATTGCTGAGCCAAACCCCGCAGCTCATCAGCCAACTGGGTGGCTTTTGACTCTGTACGATTCCACAATCTAACTTCAGAAAATGGGAAAGTAGTGCACATTCCGATTGAATGAATTCGACCCTGAACTCCACAGCCGACAATAGACAGAATCACATCTTGCTGTTTCCAGCGACTGTCGAAGTATAAGCATTGTGTGGCAACCAAGGAAGCGCATGCCGTTCTCCATGCCGTGATGAGTGTCGCCTCGAGAATCGCCTGCAGCTGACCACTTTCCGGGTTGAAGAGGAAGATGTTGCCCAGAATTTTAGGCAATGCTGGACTACGTGACGCATTAGCTGGGAAACTCGTCACCAGTTTGCAAGCCAGTGTTCGATAAAGCTTCTCTCTCGACAGCGAAGGCAGCTGATAATTGTCTAAATAGCATGGCATGGTCAGGAGGAGGCCTGAAACACAAAAAAAGAAACCCACGTGAATGCAGCTCAATCACTAGCTTTAGTAAATAAGACACACCTGACTCTGATGTCGTCGTGAAAGATCGCGCAGGTTGAGAAAAAGTCTCATTACTCGCAGAAAGCAGAGCCACTTTAGCCGCATCGTACATTTCTTCCCACTTTAAAAGTCTCTTAACATCATCTTCGCGAATGTAAAGCGGTTGCTGACTCATATTAACTTTTTCGGCACTAAAATTTCTCTACGGCTTCATTCACAACAGCAACGAATACGTAATATTCACTTGCTTTATGAAGTATTAACCCACTAAAGTTGCATCTCACTTAACCGACTCAAAGCGTTATACTCCAGAGATAAATCTCCAGTGTTATCAGCCTGTATCATGGTGTAAAGATCCATATGTAGAGATGTAGAAAAACTTATTTTGAAATGCGTGTAAAATTATAAATATTGATATGTGAATGTTTTTACATCGAAACGATCGAAACATTCGATTAATTTGATTATGTGTAAACATTTACAGATTGAACGCTTGAAATACCGTATGAAAATCTTCAGATTCGTCTTAGGAAGCAACAGACGATTCATGCGTTCATACATTGACTTTCAAGACGATCATTCTTATTTGCCACTCCCAAGTCACAATATTAGGAAATAAATGCCTCCAGAGAGGAAGAGAGAGAGAGAGAGCAAGAGATAATCGTATTAAAGAGTGAAAGAAAGATAAAAGTAAAGACAGGAGAGAATCGAGTTTCTCGCAGCAGAGACATAAAGCGTTTCATATTCCAGCAACGTATTGAGGAGAGTTAAACCAAACTGGATTTCTCAGATCTTGTCTCGAGTTCATATAATTTCAGGCGATTTACCGTCTTAGCCAAGGGTCATCGTTATTAAAATTGAATGACACAGACCGTCTCCGATTCAGTTAATCTGCGATCGCTGAGGATTTACCACCAAGAGTTGGCGCGAGACCCGCAGTGTCTTGAGAACAGGAGGTGAAGAACGTGCGTTGTTCTCTTTGAAATTTGTGGCAATTGTGGTGTGGATTTATAACAATTAGGAAAAGACCTGGTAACATAAAAACACATAGCTTATTAGCTACTCTTTGCTGTGGAGAGATAAGCGAATTTTAGCGGTTAAGTAAGTAAAAGACGCTACTCAGTCGGAATTTCAATTGATTTACCTCATTTAAGTGAAGGTAAGAAGTCGAGCCAATATCAATCTATGCGTCGCGTGCTTCAGGAATTCGTTGAAATCAATTGAGCCATTTTCATAGGAATTAATTGATATTTTGTTGAGTGTTTTTTTTGACAGTTTTGTTTTTGCCTCAAGCTGCAGTTCAGTACGGGAAAAGATTGTGACATGCTCTCAAAGAGGGGATAAATTTATGTAAATATGTTCCTGTTTCTACCAAAAACAGTCACTAGCGTCACAAGGCGTCTTTCTTGCTCACGGACAAAAATTAACAGTGATTGCGATGACTTTTGTCAGTAGATCACAAGATCAAGGTGATCAATGCAAGTGAAATTCCACTGGATCTTCCAGAGCAAAGGAGAGGCATATATTGTCTTAAGACCCTCCTACAATCAGAATTGTGTGATTATTACATGTTAATTTTATTCCAAAGAAATATTTTTTTCTTCCATGGCTCGTGTTTGAAATCGGAGACTAGTAGTTCTGGTTTCTTAATCTCATTGTCTCCAAGATTGGACGCCCTCAGCACGAGATCACTGATCTATTTTTTTTTCACTGTCTACATGCGACATGTGATGAAAGGCAAATATGTTAATTTTCTTCCTGAATTCTATGCGAATTGACTCTACGTATGAAACACGACTAAATACCAAGAAGACAATAAAATCTCGTTCGCGCGAGAGTCATCATTAGTGACGAAGGAAAGCCTAAAGAACGCAGAAAAAGAAGATTGTCCAGTGTTCAGGTGATTGTTGAACGCGAGTGAAGTAAAACGAGATCTTCAAAAATGTCATGTACTCATTAATCAGTGCATGTACAGAGAAGATAACAGCAATTGATTGGTCTCTTCTGTGCCGCTATGCGTGAAATTTCTTCGGGATTACAAAGGAGGTCTCTTGGTCAAGATATCATCAATTAGCAGAAGAGTGTAGAATGTAAATAATATATTACTGTTTTTGACAGTTTTCTCATTACAAAATAACACGCAATTTGCATAAAATTGTCACACAATTCTTTTTTGCAAAGTACCTCACAGTGCCCGTAAAATTCTACGAACCTTCACTTCTTGTTGCTTATGAGTATCGATACAGTGAGTCCTCGATTGAGTAACTCTGACTTTTTTCACAGAAATTGCAAGGAGAAACTGGTTTAAAGTTTTCACTGTCGTTTAGTTAATCCATCGAGATATTTCTGCCCTATAAACCGATGCCGATATTTCACTTTGTTTTAATTCTTCGGCTATTTAGAGTTCTCGCAGAATAAAAAAAAATGACTCAAAAGTCATATAAAAATTGAGACTTTGACAGTATACTAACCACAGGCCTTCGTTGTGTGCTGGAGTATTATTTTAGTTTAGCTCCTTTAAGCGTATTGCCACTGCGGCTTCACTGTATTTCTTAGCGCTCTCTGACCGTCACCTTTTCACGCTTAATCATATCGTTTTGTCAAACCGAATGTGACTAGACTCATTGTTAATCCTTTAATCTCATTCTTGTCACCTTCCTGAGTGACTTTTTTTTTGGCTTTTCGAAACTATGCCAGCACAAATTCTGACTCTCAATGATCGAGGAAAATGAATGGAAAGTGGAAAAAACCAGTGGCTCCAACCCCAAGAGTTGGCAATACAATGTCTGTGAGGCCTTGATCGCGTGCTTCTTTATATAATGTCACGTTGAGACGGTCTTAAAGTACCGATAAATCTGTGTCGTCTCAATGGAGTGAATAATCCTCCGCTATCCTTGTTTGTCTCTCCTTCCCATTGGCATCTCAATAAACAATGGGCGGAATTTGAGACAAGCCATATCGACGTGATAGCGTCAGTAGAGCTTTTAAAGTGCTTATGATCAGTGTTTATCCCTTTTAGAATTCGTGTTAGAAAGTATTGATGGCATCCTAAGCAACTTTTTGTGCAATCTCCTTTTGGGTTGTCATCTTTGATCTCAATTTATTATTTTTGTTCTTAATTTAGTCGTTTTGAAGGTCATTTAAATGGCTCTGGACGAACTGGAATACGCGTTTTTGCTCGAATATCACCTTTTCTCCTCCCAACCGTGCAACTTTACTACATATATTACACTTTAAGAGTTTAGTTGCAGAAGCTCTTTTTTGTGCACCGTGATCGTGATATACATATTTAAGTGATTTAACAGTTTACAGTCACCACTGCAGAAGTGGGGCGGAAGGCATGAGAATTCCCAGGGAAAATTACTCATATTGGAAGTATTGGTCATACTCGATCATTTTAATATCCTCATGCTAAGTGACAGTGTACAGATTGGATCTCTGTGTAGTACACAATGTAATAAATTGCCAATGTTTTTGCATTGGCTGAAGAAAACATCGTTATTGACGAACTGAGAAAAGAAATAATACTTTTAAAATAATAAATTGTTGATCGGTTAGTGAACCTGTGCGAAAAGGTAAAGAGAAAAAAGACCAGGTGATATCTTCAGCATGATACTTGAGGATCCCGTCACAATATCTACATATACAACAGAATATTTATAATACCTGGTTTTTTGTTCTTCGATTCATATATTATTACTCAGATGAAAATTTAAAACCAACGCCCGATGGACTTTAGCACACTTTGCCAGATCGTTTTTTTTGTATATTTTTCACGCTATTTGCATAAATTGATTCCTTTGAGAGGCCAATACTCATACGACACGAGCAAAGAACCCAACCCTGATGGAAATATCATCATCTTGTGCTACTCTCAACAGACTAATCAGCGGATTAGTTTGATTATTCTGCCAACTTTTCTAATTTATACAGTCCAGAACGCCATTGGCAAAAATTACCTGGAGGCACACCATTCTTACCACAAGAATTTCGTGAGTCAGTGCCTTTTTTGTGACACTGAGAATAAATAATAGAATGGAAAACGGTTTTAGGAACTATATCTTTGTTTGGTTCTTGTGTACCTAATGGTTTTTTCCTCCTAATCTATTGATGAGGCCTCGTGGATCTTGCGTAAATGTTCTGTGAAGAGAAGGTCAACGTTTTTGAATGAATTACGAAGAAAAGTTGAACAAACTTGAGTGCGAGACAATTGCAAAAGTTTCCGTGGGCAAGAAATGTGACAGTGAGGAACAAAATTTTCAAAATGTTTCTTTCATTCTGCAACTCGAATCAATAAAAATCTATATGAGCTTATATAATTCACTTATTTAATTTTATTTCACTCTTCCAGAAACTAAACACAACCTCTGTGTTTTCTGGTATTGAAAAGTATTGTAGCATTTTATATGCATTTCATGCAGTTGACGCAATTGAATTCGACTGTATTTCACATTTTATCAAATATTTTGTATTGAGTGTGTCTTCTCTCCGCCTTTCAGCATGCAGTTGAGGATGTGGCTCGCAAGTTGGATGCTAATGGTGCTGTACGGCACAGAAGTGGTCCAGGCGCACGGGCGACTGATGGATCCTCCAGCTAGGAATGCCATGTGGCGCTTCGGTTATCCCAATCCTGTCAATTACAATGACAACGAGCTGTTCTGTGGCGGTTATGCTGTGCAGTGGGAACAGAACAATGGTCGTTGCGGCCTCTGTGGCGATGCTTACCATCTGACCACGCCGCGACCGCACGAGGCGGGCGGTGAGTATGCAAAAGGAATTATCTCCAGATTCTACACAGTGGGGCAAGAGATTGATGTGGAGGTCGAGCTTACAGCCAATCATTATGGGCGCTTCGAAATGTTTCTCTGCCCCAATAATAACGCCAATCTGGAAGCCACTCAAGAGTGCTTCGACCGATACCCACTCTTTATCTCCGGCACACGCGAGCATCGCTACTTGATACCACAGGTGCTCATCTGATAATTCCTTGCATGAAGAAATCTGGCTAAAATTTACGGCGATATTGCAGGAGGCGAAGAAGAAGGGCGTCTTCCGCTATCGAGTGCGTCTACCACCGTACGTCACGTGCAACCAGTGCGTCCTGCAGTGGACGTATTATACTGCCAACATGTGGGGCACCTGCGCCAATGGAACCGAGGCCGTGGGATGTGGAAAAGCTGAGACGTTCAGGAACTGCGCAGACATTGCGATCACATCTAACACTGGGGCCCTGCCGCCTCACTTTGCCGACAACACGAATCCATTCTTGCTCTACTACAGGGATCTGCGTGCTCCAGCACCCAACAACATCTTCCCTCTTATTGTCAGGTATGTCTTAATAAGCTGACTTAAGAGCTTCTGTAGAAGCAAATGTGTATCAATAGGACGACGATCGATAGCAGGAAGAGCGCCATGAGAAATATCCAGTAATACAAAAAGTCAGAGTGCATTTTTCGCTCTTTCCTGCCAATCATGTCCAGATCTTTGCGGGTCCACCAGAATTTTCCGTTTCTTCCTGCATCATAAAGTTTTCTATTAGATTTTCTTGATTTCTTACTCATTTTCACACAGAATTTTCACCTAGAAACAATTCGTAAACTTTCTCGAATTGTTTGTGGTTTCTACGATTTTTAGAAGATATAATGAAGAATTTACGTGTTCGATACCTGAAAAATCATATTACGTTTCCTTAGACTAATCTGACTGATAAAAATCTCTGCGTTTGAATAATTTGTCAAAGTAATTAAACTGTTTTTAATTTAAATTGTCTCTTTGCAGAGATCAAGTGTGTGTGCCATCGCCACTGTACAGAAGCGTGCCTGGTATGGATGAATGGTGTCAAATAAACTGCCTCCGATACCCACCCAACTGCCCAGAGACCATCTGTCACTGCCCGTGAGTTTTTCTCATTTCAACATTTTCCCCAGCAATGCTATAATCTTTGAATCCTTCTAGCCAAACATGCGAAGCCATTGGCGATATCGAGGGCCAAGAAGGAGCTGATGTGTACTGTCTGGACGAGTGCATCAATTATCCCTCAAAGTGTCCAGCACATAGATGTCGATGCTTCTGATCGAATGAGGAAAAATCAAATGTATCCACTTAAAAGGGTATAATTGAGAATACAAAAATATTTCTACAGAATTACAGCAACGAGTAAAATAGAAAATTTTGCAACTGAATGCCATAAAACTATTCCGAAAATTGACGCTGAATTGGCCATCACAAAATTTTGCACGATCTTAATGAATGAATTTTTGTCCAATATGTCTGCAGCTCTCTCTGTGCATAAAATAAAGAGACTTCTCTAGATGATAATGAATTTTTTCTTCTTTTTCCTCACTATCGTGCCACTGGATTCTGTTTCATCGTCATCCTGTAGTGGGAAAAAAAAATACATCATTAGAGATTGTTGGGGACGATTTCATTGCAGATTCAAGAATGATACCTTGTCTATATCAATCTTTTTATTCTTCAGCTTCTTCGCCTCCTTCTGCTTCTTCTTCTCCTTCTTGGACAACTTTGTCGATACCTCCTCCCTGAAGCTCTCATCCCTCTTAGCTGTGTGCCGCTCAATCTCCTGCTTGATGCTCTGTAATTAGCAAAGAGATTAGCAATCTTTTAAAACCTGCGTGGTAATACACATTCTCACCAAATCTTCTTCTGCCTCTCTCAATCTGTCCATCTCTAGATTATCAACCACTTCATTCCGTAGCTGAACCACTTCCACCAGCCTCGATATCATCGCCTCTTCCTTTGCTTTATCCGAGTCTGTCTTATTCCTCTCCGGCTGTGCCATCAACACCCTTATCTCATACTCCAAATCGATCTGCTCTTGTTCCAATCGATGCTGTCGACGCAAATACATGAGTTCCGCCTGGCGTCGGAACAGCTCGTTCTTTTCATTAACAAGATCGAACAATTGCATTATGAGATCCTCCACTTCTTTGGTGTTTTGCGTTGGCAATTTCGCCAAAGAGTCACTGTTTAGAGATGTATCCACATTCTCCACACCCTCACATCTCTCTCTTATGATTTTCTCTAGAGTTATTCCTTGCTTCTCCAATCCCTGCTGTTGCACATCAATCACCTCCAGCTCGTGCAGAATCTCCTGAAGTGGCAGCATCTGAAGCACCCGCTTCGGTGGCACCGGCAAAGCTGGAGCCGGTCCTTTACGCTTCTTCCACTTTCCATGTGCAGACTTGTCACTGTACATTGTATCTAATTCATCTCCTTGATAGATATGAGATCGTCTGTTGCGATTCTTCGAGTCCTTATTATCCTTCAGCTTCTCCCATTGACGCTCATGGGATTCTTCCGTATCTGAGACTTCAATGGGGACAATCTTGCGCCTATATGACACTTCTGAGGCATCTAAAAGGCTTTGTTCACTCTCAACTCCACCGTCTGTCAGCAATTCATCATCCAGTGGGATCAACCTCCTTCTCGGCTCTGCAGATTTTTCAACAACCGGCGGAGGTGGCGCTGGACGTTTCTTTCTCGCCCTGGGACTCAATTTGGGTGAAGATTTCTCCTCTGACGAAGGCGGCAGAGGTGCTTTCCCCTTTTTATGCCTCACCAATCCGCCGCCAGTTGAAGTGGATGACAAAGAATTCATCGAACCATGTGACTCATTCCTGGAGTTTAGAGAAGCACTACTCCCATAAAAGTCTTTCGCGATGGCACCTGGTGTCACTAAAAGATACTGGTTGGGGTTTTTCGCCAGACTGCAAATAAACAACAAATCAATATCAAAAATCATTTGTGAAATAACTCAAGCTGAACTAACGTTTTCCTGGGCGTTGGAATTGGAGTTCTCCTTGGAGATGGCTTAACAATGGCTGCTTCATCCTCTGAGGCATCATCAAATGGATTACTAGATTTCTGCTCCTTCTGCATCTTCTCCTCCTCAATTTCATCATCATCACTATCGAAGGGATTCAAATTTTGTGCTTTTCCTATATCCTCACGCGCAGTTGCTCCCTCCTCCTCATCCGAATCGAAAGGATTCAACTTGTTGGGATAGGTTTCTACTTCCTTAATTTCTTGGACGTCACTGGATTTATCTGCTTCCATAGAGAGTCCCTCAATGGACTCTTCCACTGCACTACTAACTGACTTATCTACATGATAATCTACAATAGGCACTTGTATTGATGTGTTGCAAGCTGGCACATTTGGTGGAGTATCATCAATATCTTCATTATCATTCATTTGCTCCTCATCTTTGGTAAGGCATGGAATCTCTGACGATACTTCACGAGGCGCTTCCTTATCATCTAAAACTAATTTTCTAAGCTTATCCTTAACACTTGTCTCATTGTTTTCTTCAGCATTCGAGTCATTTGTTCGCAATGTTTCGCTTATCATGTCACTTTCAGTCTGTACAGATTCCCCACTGGCGAACTGTGTCTCTATGAAGCTCAACATGAACTTCTGATCCTTCCCCTTCAATCTATCGAGACTCTCACGTTTCGCCTCATCACTTAGTGACTTCTTCAGCAAACTATTTTGCCTCTCCATGTCCGTTGGCTCCTCCGCAGGCACCGGCAAGGCACTTTGTTCCTCTTCAGACCGACGATGCTTCACCTCTTCATCAGGACACACCTCACAGCAGAACTCTCCATCCACTTCTGTCTCATAAAAACTCCCCGGAGTGAGCTGATGATTACACCGAGCACACTTTAGGCATGTCCTGTGATACGCTCTGCCATCGATGGTCAATCGCTCAGCCAGAAATACTGGTAGTTCGCATTTGAAGCACGGCTCGCGCCTAAGAACTCCTCTCGAGAGCTGAAAATATACCAAAAACATCAAATGAGCATTCAAACATTTAAATTCAACACACTTCAACACCCCAAAGCGTGTAAAGCACACAAAAGATTCATTCTTTACCTGCTCCTTTGCACTCATTCTCAACAGCTTATCTTTCTAAGATGTTCGAACGTGAAGATTCTATAGAACTCCGCCTCCGTAAGCTCCTTGCGTAATACTTTTCTAACTAATTACTCGTAAGATGATTTTAATAGATGAAAATTTGATAACTTGTAAACCGCCTGGACCTCTTCCTCTCTAGCAGAATATTTCTGGCTTATACTGTCCCATTATATCCAAGCTTTTATCGTCCTATTTGATGTAAGAGTTGTATGATGTGCAGAAATGATATGGAAAAACAGAAAGAAAATAACAATGATTTTCTGAGGAGACAAAACATACGACAAATAAGACGAATGTGAGTTTTTTCCTACAAGATTAATAGTTAGTGACATGCCTATTGACCTACATTAGTTAATTGCACGCTATACTGTTGAATTAATTTAGCTAAACAAGTTAGAGAATTACGGGGTCACTTTGGAAAGGGTAGTTTTCAAAACACTTGTACTACACACATAATTGCATTATCCGAAATAGTGGAACACTATTATAATTTATTCTGTATCAACAAACGTTCCGCATAGCCCCACTTGACTATATGTTGAAAACTATTCCTATCGTAAAAATTTACTTTACAGAAATGGTCAACTTGTGCTACTGATATTGAATAACCGATAAGAGAAATGTTTGCCCAAGGGACAAAATAGAGTAATATTATTTGTTTTTGGTGTTATTTCGAAGACTATTTGCTCAACTGGAAGGCAATAATTGTCTCATACAATAATAGAAATATGTCAAGGTACCCATTAAAATACTTTATAAAGAGAATCACTCTCAAAATGTATATCGACCAATTTTCAAGGACACATTTCGCCTTGTCTTGTTTTTTTCCATGGCATTGCAATAATTTATCATCGATTCCCAGAAAAGGAAAGTCGCAAAAAGAACCCAATTCTATCGATAGTCGGTATTTGTTATCCACGTCATGACATTTTACATAAATTGCCAATTGGATATTGTATCACACTCTTATGGGAAACGCCATGGGAGTTTACGAAATTTCTTACTCAACACTGCTTTTATTAGTATCTCTTAATTGCTATGTTAACCCTCTATCGCCACACACCATTGAAACATACACTCGAGAATTGTCTTTAAATTCTCTATCTCAAGAAGGAGATTAAGACAATCTATTCACTAAATATAATGAATTTAATTAAAAGTACAGAAAAGAAAGCACAACTGTCTGAGCAAGTTTCCAGAAATGAACTGTTCCATAATGTATACGTCAAAAGTCCACTAATCCATGAGAAGCAAGACACACAGAGTTGAGCTCGTTCAGCACCGCAAGCGAGATAGACAGAAACGAACATGTTGATGGGAAAGTATTAATTGTCATTTTATATTCATCTCTTTCCATCACCCATTGTTTCTACGCCCCATTCATGTCTTTTTTATCACACACTGCAGGCGCGCACGATGTAGAAAAGTTTTATGAAAGTTTAGCTCCATTTGCGGCCAAGACGAGTTGAAAGCACCGCTTACAGTGTCTCAGCTTAGGAACAAGACACTCGCTTCTTCTCCACCTATCCAGCTTTAAAGCTATACAGCGAAGAAGCGCGAGGCAATGACTGGGTAATTGCATCACCGCGTGGTATTTGATTAAATACCAAAACACACATCATCATGCTAATTATTTAAAAGAAAAAGAAGACCTCCTCTCCTCTGTGCAGCTGGAAATATGGGAAAAAAGGTGCAGAGAGGAGTCACCATCGGTCGGAGGCATATGCAAGATGTACAATACATGAAAAAATTATACATTTTTACCCACAAAGGTCAGATAACTGTACATTTTCGCAACGGCCAGTAAACATAAACAAGAAAAATAATGTACTTTTCTTGCAGTATTTGTTAATTTCACATCGACACAATGCTTATTTGAATCTCAACTGCGAATGGCGGTCGTACCATACCATACGCACCCATCCTTACTCATACATATGTACACACTCTTCAATTTCTCACCTCAATGACAGTCGCAACAACATTGACGGCAAATGATACAAAATTTTTATACAAATTTGGGCCACTCTTCGCCACACAACATACAGATATAGACAATGGAAAAAAAATCTGCACTACAAATGCTCGATAATTCCTTATGTTTTCATGTTATGAAAATAAACGATGATGAGGGTGATTTAGAAGCGCGACCTCTTATCAATAGACCATTCCATTTTATCTAACACATGAATTGATTGATTCTCAAGTGCGAACAACAATACAAAAGAAGACTTCTGAATAGATGTTCAAGGTCTCACTCACCATTTTCGGCGAATCTGATGCTTTTGTATCGATGGCATTTGATCCTTCAGCTATTGATCTTCGGCTGCTTGACTGAGTTGAGGCGTCTGTAAGAGAGGAAAAGTCTCAATTATTCTTTTTCCACATGATTTCATGCCTCTCAGTTGGCGTAATTCTTCGGCAATTTACAGCTCTTGTAAACATGACAGAAACAATAGTCCTACGATTACTCTATACATTATCTTCTGTATACTAATTTACGGACTACAGAATCGATTGAGCGGGTCAAATAAATGGGCATGGAAGATTCAAAAATAGAACAAAAACACACAAAAAGAAATTTGTATATTTCCTAATTCAGATTGTTAATGGTTTTAAATCACAAAGATCAGAATAGATAAGTTTTTTCTTATCTCTTCATATGTTTATCGTGTTACTATGGGCGGAGCATTTGAGTGGGCATGGGCTGAATTTCAGAAGAAAATGCCCATGAAATTTTCGTACGCCATTGTATGAGTGCCATGAGCTCAAGTTAATCACACATTTTCCCAACCGTGCGGAAATGCGAGGTGTGCCACTGTCATTGATTGTTTTTTTTTTAACCCAGACAGGAAGTTTATAGTCTGCCCGAGAGATTGAAATAAACCCTCTCTTCTAAATTGTATTTGCATGAAATCAAATACAAAAAACTCAACATACGTGATATTAAAGTCTATAGCGAGAAAATGTGCAGTACCAATATAAACAGAATATGTGTGTCTTTTTTAATACACCTCAGCAACTTTCACTTATGTTTAAATTGAAATATCAGACGTCAGATATGAATTAGTGGCTTTTTTCCTCCTACTGTCAATTGATGCCAATTCATTGACCGTTTGAAAAGAGCGAAATTATATAAAAAAAAAAACGCGGCAGAAGTAAATGTGATTTAAGCGAGTAAAAATCCTTTCACTCATAGCTGGACATGTTTGAGTGTGTTAAATGGACAGTCATAATGAGGAAGTTGCACGGAAACAACCCATTTTACTAATTCATGTTATCACATAATACCGCGTCACAAAAAAATATTTATTCAAAAGCTGATTTTCCTGCATTTTATTAGCCGCAACAACACCACAGTGCCTCCAATGTGTGGTGTTCATGCAGAAATTGTATCTCCTAAATATGTCATAAAATGAGTTATGGTCATATCTTGGTAGGAAATCTACAAGTATCACAAAGTTTTCAATTGAAAATTGTATATGCAATGAGGTGGTGAAAGTTTCACCAATTAGGGTGTAGGTCTCTCCGCCGCATTTAAGGATTTCCAAGCGTAATTGGAAAATAATTGCCACCCAGTAGAAAGTCACATTATTAATCCAATTGATCGGATCGTCTAGAAATTTTTGCAATTTCTCCTCAATCGGAAGCGGAATGAACGTGTTGTTATGAAATCATCATCATATCGTGTTGTGTGGCCTACCTTGTGTACCAAATACTTGGTAATACTGCGAGAGATACGTTAAAATAGAGAGACGATCTGGCACTTCATGGGACTCCATGTCAGACGCATCCAACAAGGCAGGGATTCCGAGGTGAATTTCGGCTGTTCTGAATGCCAATTCATTGTTGTAATAAATGTCATTCTTGTCGAGTTTATCAAAATCACTGCAAAAACACAATCACAACGTTATTAATGAGCTCGATCGCCTTGCAGTCTTTCTGTCCATATTAGGACAATCGGCTTCTTAAGCCGGAAACAGTTCAACTTACATGAGATCTGGACGGAAATGATGAATAATTGCACAAAAAGCAAGTCCGTCACGCCAAGATGTTGTCATGTTCTCAATTTTGACCCCAGAATATCCAGTAGTCATTCGACGACACCATAATTCTAGCGCTTTTGTGCCACGACGTTCACCCATGATTGCAATAATTACACAAACACGGTAAATGTAATAGAATGATTATATAAAAAGATGATTCGTGTGTGCTTTAGAAATGCAACCTTCCTCCACTTAGTCTTGTTCAGTTTTGGTTGATCATCATTGCCTAGAAAAGAAAATTAGAATATGGAAAATGAATATAATGAATAGTCTGCGCATTTAACAGAAATAATGAATTCAAATCAAAACGGTTGTGAGTTACACACATCGCACTCAGGGTTGGGTATTTACATGGTTAAAGGGGATTTTTCATATTTTTTACATTATGTATATGCAAAAAAACACATTTTAGCTTATTCTGGAACATTAAGATAAATTTTCAATCCAAAATTCTGCACTTGCAAAAGCATTGTCTTAATTTTCCCAAAAAAATTATTTTCAGTCCAAAACAAAAAGATTTTATATTTTGCGTGTCTTTAGATGTGTCCTCAAAATAAAATTTGTGCAAAAAATTGAGAGGATGTCTCTATTTTATTATAAATTTATGGCATAAGTAATCTGAGTAGACAAGTAGGGATCTTTTCATGGCCCAAAAATCATATGTAGAGAATTCACTCAACCCTGACGGCAATTGGCTCTGAAAATGTGTCAATTAACATCTTGAATTAGAACATATACAAATTAAAGCGTATGCACGGTGTATACATATATAATTTTATAAATGCCTCTCTTAACTCTCCATCTGCGTCTGAACTTTCGTTTTGAGAGTGACTGACCCGTTTAGTGGTGTATATGCGCCTTCCACATTTAACAATAACCATACATATAGCGTCACAAGATGTAAGGAGCCAAAAAACAACAACCTGTTTTCTTTCAGGTTTTCTTACTTCTTTTATACATTTATACAGTGAGGCCCCCAAAAGTCGCGACACACTCAAATTTCTGGAAACACACATTTCTCGCCCAAGACGCGCGTGAGTTGAGTTAAAAAATGATGCTCCATCATCACGCTTCTTGTCTCACCTCTATATTCTTTCCCATCGTGCCACACACAACAGACCGTCAAATTTTTATACCTCTCATCTTCTCAACAGGACAATTTAAGGCATCAGACGAATTGTAACATACGCTGATTTGACACGCAATTTCTCTTGAGAGCAAACAAGCACTGAAGTCTTCAATCAAAAGGCTATTAATTCGCTTTGAAATACAGACATTATAGCTCGCAATGGTAGCAAAAAAAGCGCACTTTGTGCCACACCTCACGGAGTAAGATTTATCGAAGGAGGGAAAAGACAGTATGTTTCACTTTTAACGCAGAAAAAATTTATACACTTTATAATGTTTCCCAATACAAATCTCTCATATTGCTAACTTCCATGATTTGTAAATCAATTGTTGAGTGCTCTTTCTTTCTCTCTCTCTCTCTCTCTACCTCTCTCTTGCATTTAGTTGTTGAGTAATGCTGACAAAATCTATTGTATATTGTATGTGAAGTTAGAGAAAAAATACCAACTCTGTTTGTCTTTCTAATCCTCGAAGCTCACAAGATTTAATTTGCAGTATGTAAACCTATTGGGAGTCTTCCATTATATACATACATAATTCAATTAATCAGCCTCTGTGCGCACGTCTTGAGTGATGTTATTCAAATATTTTCCACTCGAAGGTGTGTACTTTTGAGGTTTAGACCTCTTACAATCATGAAAGCATTAAGAATCTCTAATGGGAAAATTTTACAAACGGTACTTGATTCTTATTTTGTATATTCCCTATTACAATTGCAGCACACAAATAGAACAGGTAAATAGCCAGAGACCGAAAAAAATCCACACGGGGCATTACATAGAGACAAAGCCATCAAAATATACGAAAAGCTGTCAGTGTAATAGGGTTTTCTATACACCTTATATTGAAAAACACACACGAGGTTAATATTTAAAAAAGAAGTCATTAAAAGCACTGGGTGAGGCCTTATACTCACATCAAACTCTGTCTTCTCCTCACTTGATTCTTCTCTGAAACCAACTTCACATATTGATTAGAGAACACAGACTCGGGAGCACACACGATAAGACGCGACTTTATAGAAAATGGATTGTTTTGCACAAACTGATCAATAACAATAGATGTGATTATATTGGCATAAAAAATCCCAGAGGGCACAAGTTAGCGCTGGTCCGTATTACTCGACAGTCTCCAACAGAATAAGCTACGCTCCACACAGCATAAGAGACATAACAGATCCCAGAGGCATACATACAAAACCTCTGACCATAATTATAAAAAGGAAAATACAAAACCATCCACTGGATGCAAACACATGGACGCAAAACTGCTTGAAATTATACGTTGTCGATACCCACACTTTCACAAAACAGCCATGGCAAAATGATATTCCATCTTCTCTGCTGAATTGTGGTATGGTTTTGGTAAATGGAAGAGATCATAAACTTGTGAATAAACTCTATGGATATTTAACAATAAAAATTCAACAAATTCATCACTATTACCCGTCTCAGAATGAATTACAACCTCACGATCATCACTTGAATGCCCTATGGCTTTCACAAGTTTTACCTCGCAAACCTGTAACCTTTTAATTTCTAAAAACAAGTACTCACAGCTGAGATGTGTGAAATTGGTGTCTCTTACCATTACGAAAAATTAGGTGTGCAATGGTATTGATCACCATCGTATCTCACCATGTACTTTCCAACTGATTTGCGTACATGATTGCTTCTCTGCGGCGTGTTGTTTTTCTCGGACAACCTTCAGTGGTCAAAAAGACGTTGTTCTTTAATCCAAAAAAGGCATGGTATATTTTGATTAGCCATGCTGAACCGGAAAATCTCACTCAAAGCACACAGAAAGAACATCGCGTAGTCATCTATGTAGGTCTACGCATGAAAGGGAAGTAAATCCGTGTGACTTTGAAATTTAAATATCTTGTTTCTCTTTATAACACTAAAATGCATCTTAACATAAGACATGTTTCTTATAAATAAAAAAAGAGAATTCAGCAGCCTTTATTCGTCTGATGTAAGAATGATATTCTGACAAGAACACTGCGATCATCTTCAAGTCTTTTTCCTCACGCTGAAGATCACTATTTCGCTTGAGTCAGTCCAGTAAAATTTATTCGACTTACAGAACTTCTCCTTCTCGATCGTTAGTCCATTGTTTTCTGGAAAATAAAGATTGCCAATTAGGCAGAAAAGGTATTGAATGTAATTTTCAATTTCATTTTTCTCTCTGAACTCACCTAAGATCTTAGTGAAATCCGCGTATGTTTTCTCATTCCTTATGCCACAAGAAATTATTATTGAAGAATTGTTACAGGTGATAAAACACTTTAGTACTCTGCACAGTGCTGGAAATAAGTCACTATCGTAAATCACGTCAGCTGCATAGACAACGTCCGGACAGCAAGTTTTACTCAATCTCTCGTAATCCGCCTCAGAATTCCAGTCGAGTTGACTAACAATTAAATTATTGCTGTTTGCCGGAGGATTTGCACAGACATTTTCCTCCAGAATGCCGAGGACTTTCTCGTGAAAGTCTGTCAAGTGTATATTGCAGTTTTCAACCATCTGACCAAGCATGATTCCCGCCATTCCAACACCAGCTCCGAGTTCAAGAAGGGTTTTTTGCGACAAATCAGTAAGATTGTGGACAAACCATTCGCACAGAGCGATGGAAGAGGCCCAAGTCCTCAGGCCAGTTGTCCCATCGCAGAAGAGCTTGGGACTCTCCCTGACTGAGATTAATTTGTCACTTTGAGGAACACGATAGTGCTTGTACACGTGAGTCTGTTCGAGAGACGCGAGCTGTTGCAGTCTCAAGTACTCTGTGTAGAAATCCTCGTGCACTTCGGGTGTATTCTTTTCGAGTGTCTCAATGGCCACTCGAAGAAAAGCAGCCTGATAAGACCACGAAATTGGCTTGGCAAGAAGCAAAGGGTGACCAAGAGTCTGCTGAAGAAACATCTTCTGTGATTCCCATGAAATGTCGTGGAATAGAAGCTGGAATTATTCAAAGGACAGCAATGAGAAGATGCTTTTCCAAACAGATATTGGATTTCACCTTCTTGTATATGTGCAATAACATTCTTTGGATTACAAATAAACCCCATTCCAGTCTTGGGAGATATTTTTCTCCAGTATAGTAATTAACCTCAATTTACCAATAGATGAAATGAACTCAAAACTTACAAAAATGGGCAACTTACATCAAAATTCATGTCTTTAACGGCGTGTCCACAAAGGAATTTCGTCTGAATTTGCTTTAAATCACTTAAATTCATGGTATTTACCGAGTTGAATGCACTTTTCCAGAAAAGCACAAGAAAACCAAACCGAGATCAAAACAAAAGTCCACCTGCACGAGGTAGTGAAACTTACAATGCTCGCCACCCGTGGCGCTGAAGAACGGTAGTCTTGAGTTTCGTTGAGTTTCAGGAGCCAGCTGAGTTGTATTTTCCTTTGGATTTTGCAAGATTTCCTAATTTTTTGCATAAAATATGCTGAGTCGCTGTTCCAGATCATTCTCTGCGGCCAACCAGGTACCAAAATCTAATATTCTAAATTTCTTATGTGCGAAAACACATGCGATTTCCAAGTCGATTTCGAGGTCAAAGAGCAGGGAATTATCATTTTAACTTACATAACATTGATCTTTTTTTTAGTTCCGGAGGCTCCAGAGTACTCTTGTAATAGCGGAGCACAACGACAAGGTGCTCACACCCATCACCGGAAATGCCGTGTCTGCTGCCCAGCAGGTGGGTGGCGACGTGACTGTTCTTGTCGCCGGAACGCAATGTGCTTCCGTTGCTGAATCTGTGGCCAAGTTGTCGGGAGTTTCTCGGGTTCTTCTGGCTGAGAATGAGGCATTTAAGGGCTTCGTGCCAGAGGCATTGACACCCCTTGTCCTGGCCGCTCAGAATCAGTTCAAGTTCAGCCACATCATAGCTGGTGCTTCAGCTTTTGGGAAAAGCCTGACGCCTCGAGTGGCTGCCAAACTGGACGTCTCGCCTATCTCTGAAGTTATAGCTATCAAGAATGCGGACACATTTGTCCGGACAATCTACGCCGGAAATGCTGTTCTCACGTTTAAGGCTAAGGATCCCGTGAAGGTAATCACAGTGAGATCAACGAACTTCCCTCCAGTCGCTGAAGGAGGCAGTGGAGCTGTAGAGAAGGCTCCTGAGGGCAACTATAAGACCGATCTGACGACTTTTGTGGGCCAGGAACTCACAAAATCCGATCGTCCCGAACTGACAAGTGCCAAAATCATCATTTCTGGTGGGCGAGGCCTCAAGTCTGGAGACAACTTCAAGCTCCTCTACGATCTTGCCGATAAATTTGGAGCCGCCGTTGGAGCCTCCAGAGCGGCTGTAGACGCTGGATACGTACCAAATGATCTGCAAATTGGGCAGACTGGAAAGATCGTAGCTCCGGTGAGTAGAAATTTACGTCTACGTCCAATTTTGGATTGAGTTCAATGTTCAAAATATCCTTTACTCTTAATCAGGAACTGTATATTGCTGTTGGCATATCGGGAGCCATCCAGCATTTGGCTGGCATGAAAGACAGCAAAACAATCGTGGCGATCAACAAAGATCCTGAAGCTCCCATTTTCCAAGTAGCTGATTACGGCCTTGTAGCTGATCTCTTCAAAGCCGTGCCAGAAATGACAACTAAATTGTGAGATAAGTAATATATCGTCATACTGAAGGGATTAAGCCTAATTTGATACGAATAGTTAATAAAACATTGGAAGAATTGCATTTATCTGAAAGACGGAGTATTCATAGGAACTGACAAAGAATTTTAATCCGCTTCGGAGGCCTTGGAGTAATCACAAACAAACAAGAACTAATTGGACACAGAGATGGAACAGTCGGTTAACATCAGTTTGTGATCATTAGCGCAATCAGCTTCCAATAGTCATGGTATGGATTCTGACACATCAGCTGAAAACTGAATAGATCAGGTAATAAAAGTAGGTATTTTATTTGTAGTAAAAATGCAAAATTATTTACAAATAGATAATATATATATTCTAAAGTAATATTTGGAATAATTTCACTCAGAAATGAAGTTATTAAAACGGCACGGCCAATTGTTTTTCTCACTCTATTATATTTACTCTCCTACGTTTCGGAGGTCAGTTTCCTCCTTCCTCAGGGCTGTAATTATGTTGTTTATTGTTAGTACTTGTACATTATTTGTGAAATGAAATTCTTTACATGAAAAATTTTTAGGGTGAGATCACTCAGAAAGATCGAAAGTGAACTGCAGAGCACGAATTTCTCTTACAATAACACAATTATAGATAAGCTGCTACACATACACCTCTAGTCTAGACTGCTTTTTTTGCTGCACCGAAATTAGATAATTAGGTACAAAATAAATGGGCATGTGAACTGAAATTAAAGCCAAAAACGCAATAAATCTTTGAATAATGCCCATGCTAATTCTAAAGTAATGAAATAATAATACTTTATTAAATACCTTACCTACATTTTGTCATGTTTGCTTCCGTCTAATCTCTACATTGTCACTAAATAGTGTTTATATATTTCTACAAACATATGTATGTACCTGCACTTTCAATCATTAGAAAATTAAATCTATGTAATACTTTGAATTGTATAGAATATTTCAAGATTTAATATCTGTTGAGGAATTTGTTCTCAAGTTGATCTCTAATGATAATTTTTGTCAATTGCTAATTTTTAGTATAATTCTCTTTGACTCTGCTTCCCGATCAAACATTTACAGCTCCCTTTATAAATCCTTTTCATACATTCTGTCTCTGAACATTTTATAAAGTATATATAAATCTTAAGTTACATATGTTCTTCCAAGTCTTATATCTATTCTTTATAAATAAGGTGAAAAATAGGAATTTTAATCATTCTATATAAAGAATATTTAAAACAAATCAACAGTGGACGTAATCATATAGTCTAGTTCTAGTCATTTAAAAAATGAAGATTTCCTATCGAGACTTTTCATTCACATTTTTTTGCACAAATTCCATCATTTGCTAAACTCACACTAGGGGTGAATATTAAAATTGTCCTACTCCTCAGAACCTTAGTATGAAGGTTCTAACTTCCATTGGTTCAATAGACATATCACTTAACTTCTCCACCCTCGACTTCTCATGCAACCCAGTGAGGCTGGATTGAGTGATATTCTGGATGAACACATCCCTGAACAGCTGCTTCTCAACGCCGCGAAACTTGGTACAACTGTTGTCGATCTGCGACAATTGGCAGTCATGTCCTTGTCTCTGGACGACCATCAGGGCGTTCTTAGATGGAAACAAAGGTAGATTTATTTCCGTCTGAGTCCTGAGCGTCAGTAAATGAAAATCACATGGGAAGGTGTGTCTCAAGAGCAGCACTGCTTTGTTTATCCTGAGCGGAACATCATCGCTGGGTTCCACGAAGTAGATGTTGGCTGGATAATTGAGAGCGTTGCTCATGTGATTCCCCATGAGACTCAGAACATTGTATTTTTCTGCCTGGTCATCTCTCTTCTCCTTTGCAGGCTCGGCGGGTGTTGCTTGTGAGCTGGACTTGGGCTCTAACAGCAGCCAGAAACGATGACGCGTGAGTCGGCTGTCTACAACGCCCTCACCCATTCCGCGATAATCATCGTAGAGAGTGCGTCTATCCAGCATGACTTCCAGTTGTCCGGGTTCCAGGCTTGCACTTCCCTGAGCGTGGTTTGTCAGCAAGGTGAGTCTCAAATTGTTGTCCTGAATGAAGGCGGCCGTGGTGATGGGGAAATAGTTAGCCTCTATCCCGATCTTGCTGACCTTTACGCGCTTCTGAAACTGAAAGCCATTGAGATCCGAGAAGAATTCAGGCGTTTCCCCATTCTCAATGTCAGTGATCAGTCGCATGAAAAGCTCAGTCTCTCGATTCTTCGGTGGTGGTTCAAAGTCCACATCATTCTCGATGTAGATCGCCTGATCTAGGTCAGTTTTCGTGTTGTAGATTCTCACAGTATGCGCCATAAAGGGCCCATAGATCACAGTCACATCGCTGGCGATGGGACCAGATGTGATAAGGATCTTTATATCCGTGTACTGTTCCAAGACGTCTTTCTCAGGATTCTGATGATCAGTATCCGTTTTAAAGAGATAAGCACCGGAGTGGAACTGGGCACTGCGATAGGCACCAAAATAAATTGCACACTGGATAGGTTTACCCATGTTCTTCATTGTAACGGTCTTCAGGAAGCCACTGTGCTCGTCAAACAGAAGCCTCATCTTCTGGTTCTCCAGCTGCACATCTCCAGGCAACTTGTTGCGCACCTCAAAGTCTTTGTGGTGATCGTTATGGCATTCATTGCAATAAATTGTAGCCATGCGACTATGGGAGTCACCTGTAAAAAACAAATAAGAAAAGTGATACTCTGATAATAAAAGCTTAAAGAAAAATCAAGAAGAGTTAGATTTAGACCAATATTTCAGTATTCATGGTAACTGACTTAATTTTGCTACTTAAGTAAATTCTGTGGGAGAAAGTTTGCTGATCTTACCGAGATATTCAACAGTGAATGTGGACAAGGAAAGGCCTGGCAACTTAGTCACGAACATTATTTCGTACTCGTGCTCTGAAATTGTAATCCTATTAGCGATGTTTCCACTTGCATACATATTGGTTAACGTATCGGACGCTTCTGTAATATTCCAGACTGGATTTATCTGAATCTCCATCTCCTCTCTTTCACTGTTGAATACTCTCACGTTGGGAGACAACGTGCGAAGGAGAACCACTTCTAATCGCTCTTGGAGCAGGGAATTGTAAACCACAAATTCCACTGATTTGTTCTGCGTCACGTGGATGGGTGTCTTCCTTGGGATCTTACTGAAACTATCTCTCTCCAGTTCACTTAGTATAAATCCATGCTCTAATGTGTGATCATTCTTCTGCAGTAGAGTCTCAATGGTTGATTCTTGGAGCTTCATTGTGTCTTGAATGCTGGTGAAGATCCTTGTTCCGTAGTCTCGCATTACGTTAGACTTGGAAGTTCCCGTGATGGCGTCATGATGCTGGAATAGTCCCAAATTCCTCCTGGCATGGATGATCTTCTCGTAATTCTTTTCAAATATCCTGAGAGTGTCATAATTCTTGCTCTGTCGCGCTCTATTGAATGCTATGGTGAAGAGGATTTCCAGAGATCTGAGATTATGTTCAAGATCACGACTTAGAATCTTGTAGGATGGTCTTGTGGTGTAGTAGCCACTCCAATAAGCTGGCCTACCCTCGGTAAAGATGTCTGAGTAAACGAAGAAGTCACCTTTGAGAGTGGGGAACTTATCCTGGCGCTTCTTGACCTCGCGGAAATAGTCTGCAGGTGTCCCAAAAGATATTTCAGTATTGTATCTATCCTTGTGGGCATTGATGTAATCCACAAGTTTCTTGTAGTTCACGTATTGCTGCTCAAATTCTCGCTCCTTGTTGTACCGGAAGTCATCTCCGATGGGAATTAGGGCAACATTATGCGGAAAGAGGGAGGCTGTTCTAGCGTACTGTTCAATAAGAAGGTCCGCCTTCGCGGCGATGTTCTCTCTGGTGATGAACTGGGCTTTGATTGAGTATTCTGTATACTCGCCGGGGATTTTGCGGAAATCAAAATTAAGACAGATGAAGGGATGAGGGCCGCAAGAATGCTTGATGGAATAGATGTCGAAGGGCATGTTGTGTGTGAGGAGATTTGTGGTTCGTGATTGTTCCTGCCAGTAGGGCTTCCACAAGAAATCTCCAGCTTGATGTTTAGCAAACCACTGCTTCCAGGCGTAGTGGATCCTCTGGATGATGGTGCCTTGGAAGTCGCTAGAGGAGAGCAGGAATGGCACGGTGCTGCCATGGCCGAAGGGATCAATAGACCAACCGATGCGAGGTGTGACGTTGAGGTGGTTCTTGACCCACTGATGACCCTCAATTAGCTGATCAACCATCGCATAGATGTGTACATTCGCCTCGTCCGTCATTACCCAGCCACCAGTGGTTATTTCAAGGCGCCCTGACTGAACCAGCTGCTTGAGAGCCTAAAATACAAGACACGGTGATTATTTATATCTACGTCTCGTGGGAAAACATGGGACAACATTAGCGATAAAATCATCGCTGAGGCATTACCCTTTGCTTCTGAGGATGAGCCTGATCCCACCATAGTTGCAGAATGCATATCTCAGACCAAATGAACGTCATGTCCTCATACTCTTGAAGTTTGGCCACGATTAGATTGAGTATTTGTCGAGAGTCCAGTTCGAAGTAGTTGATGTACGTTCGAAGCCATCCGGGATCATTGTGTGAATGTGGCACAATAATTACCTAAAAAGGCGAATGAAAGACGTTCAGTGATCTTCAGTAACTGTCAGAGAGTGCAAAATAAGAGGTAGAGAATTACTTTAAGTGGGGGGCGCTCTGGATTTTTGCGCAATTCCTCAAAACGTGCCTCAAAGCTTTTGTCCCAGTACTCTTTGCTCTTCATCCACTCGGGCTGTTGAGGAGAAAGGCAAAGTCATATAAATTTAAGAGAGATGTGCAGTAGGGGAGAGTGGCCCTGTTTTGGCAGAAATTGCATAATCTCTCTCATATTAGGAACACTTGCTCACTTAACTAAGTTCATTTGGTGTTTTTTTTTTTTTATACTTCTCAACCTTTGAATGGTGATACGTTTGACTTCATTAACGCTTTGCTGATAAACCACTGGTCTTTAATCAGCTAATAAATATGGTCTTTTATCAGACTAGAAGTCTTCAAACCCCCTAGCTATTTATGGTGATAATAAATTAATATTTTGAAAAGAGAATTACCAGAGTATTTCCCGGTGTTATTTTGCAAATATATTCTTATCTTAAAATGCAAATTAAACTTGTCCTCGGATAAAGAAATTCGTTCTTTTAGGGAAATATTGAAGACTTTTATTTCATTCTGTGAATGGAAACAAGGTCTATTGCGAATTATATAAATAAATTTCAATCCTAAAAATCCGTAAAACATGAATTTCAGTCACTTATCATGCAAAGGTCAAACTGTATTCTTTTCACATTGTTATAAAAGAAACTTGACTTAATCGTGTTTAATCTGACTGAGAATGATCTGAGAGTGTGATGAAATACTTTTATGAAAGGTTTGAATGTTGCAAGACAGAATTAAGTGACTGATGCTTGCACTGATATCATTTTTTTTCTACCTGGAAGTCAAATTTTGCAAATTCTTCCAATGTTGTGATGTCCGATTGGCTCTCATCCAGTTTTCTGCACTTTGTCCAGTCCTCATTGATGCTCAGCGCAGAGAACTTTCCGTCGTCAATAGAATTTGACGAATTCTTCGACTGTATCAGATTACCAATCATCTTCTTCCTCGACTCCTGCTTGCTGAGGTCCAGCCAGTTGTTCCATGACTCATTTGCCGCCTTAAGCTTTTCATTTGTATGGGATCTCTTGTCGGTGGCACCGCGCTCTCGTGCGGAGGATTGCGGCTGTCCCATTGAGATGTAGTATAGACAGAGGAGTATTGTAACCAAAGCCGACAGCAGTCCAATGCATCTTGCTGAGCCTCTTCGAAAGATCTTCACATTCATCTTTGTTGCTGAATTTTTGCTGCGTTTCACTGCTATTTGCTTGCCTCTTACTTTATTTTAGGTATTGTTTGGTTTTACCATTTCATGAATTTCTTACTTCACAAATTTGTGCTATTCCTATTTTGCAATATGAGGGCAGTATTTAGTGGAACAGCTAACAATAAATTTTACCATTGCACATCATTAGACAGCCTCTTTTGTCATTGTCATGGTTGTAATAATTCTGCGAAAGAACAAAAAACAGACGGAGAAGAAAGAGTTTAAAAAATGTCCAAATTTCTCCGTCTCAGGTTTCTGAGAAATTCTGTGAAACATTTAACATTCCTTCTGCAAACATCCACTTGAAACTATCCTAAAATGCTATGTGTGCTGTCTCAATACAGCGTGGATCCATCAAATTAAGAGGGAATTGAGACGAATGTCTCAAATTCCGCCGTGTCCACTGCGAATGCGACATGGAGTCACTGCAAAATGCTGTCATTGCAAAAGCACGATTACAATGTTCTGAGAAAAAAATTCCCCTTTGTGTGTCTAAAAAGCGAATTAAAATCGCGTCTGTGTGATGCCAATAAAAGAAGGGATTTGTTAGTTCATGTGAATTACATTTTAAATCAATTTTACGTGTGATAAGGAGAGAGACTTTGTGGATGTTGGGATTCTTGGAAATGCCATGGTTTTATTCTTCCTTTTCTAGTTAAAAAAAAAAACACAACTCAGTTTAATAATATAACGGAAAAATATTTTCGCGGAGTAACTAGTAAATAAAATTAGCGTGTAATACTTTTAACAGAACTGGAGAAACACCATTTTTTTTCCACTGATGTCACGTAACTTTGAAAAATATGTTTCAATGGTCAGTTACCCCCTACCCTTAAATTTGAGTAATTGATCTGTAAACAATCTCATAATTACTTACAACAAAATATCACAATCTATCTCGAAAAGTAAAGAATGATTTGATTGCAATATCTGTGGATGTATCAAGGGGAAACGATCAGTTCAAAAGCAGACGACGTCATAGATCGGCAAAAATACAAATTAATCACTTTCAAAGATACTATTATAGGGGAATTCACAGCTATTTGTATTAATAATTTATAGAGACAGTGTTTCCGCTTCGGAATCAAACTTAAAAAACTAGGTGAATGATTCTCCAAAAAAAATCCGCTAAAGAAATATGAATATAAAATTAAATGTTTGTCTTTACTGCTAATTACGGATGTGCTTTTTACATTAATTCTCCAAAATTACACAATGAAGTAGGTATAAACATGTAATTGAAGTGTTGTGTTCTTTTGTGTGTTTTGCACATCTTCTGTTTTACTACTAGGTACGGCGAGAAAATTAATGGAAAATAACCAAAAAGTGTATATTTTTGTGAAATAATCACAATTACTTTCCCATTGAAACCCATTGAAATATCCAAATCATACACAAGTTGTTGCGGAAAAGTTCTCATCGAACATTACTGCAATTGAATTTTTATATTCAATCGTAAGTGTGTTAATCTTCTTTTTTCGCAACTATAGAAAATTAGCACTGAGTTGCATTTTTCCACGGTCAGACTTGGCAAATTGTGTAGTTGGATGAGATTGTGAAGTAAAATGTATTGTTTTTTTTTTATGATTATCGCTATAAAAGAATTGAGTTTCCAGCTCAATCAATTGATTTTCTTCTCTCTACAGTAATTAAGCAGTGAAATTAACTGGGGGAAACTAATGTAATAATTAACAAAATTAGCGATTGTAGCAAAAATGCCTCATAGAAGATATTTGTTGGCTCTTCGAGAACCTAGAATAGATGCATATTAATAGACTGCACTGCAAATTGTTGTTGTCTAATTTGCAAAAGTGGAGAGTTTACAGTTATTAGATTCATGTAAACAATCGATTTTTCTCAACTATCAATCAAACTCTGCCAACTGTGATGGGTTGCTTTGGGGAAATTTGTAGCTTTCCTCCTTGCTCGCTTTCGGATTCTCAATGGACGGAAAAGGAATTTCACTCACCTTACAAAATACAATAGGCGCGTACTTTTGCAGTTTTTTTCCATAAGAAAGTCCCCAGAGCAAAAAACTTCCAAAAGTTTCTGTCACTGTTTCTCTGTTGCAAAACAAATGCCTTTTCCAGCCACACAATTAGCCTAAATATGCACACACACCGCAGAAAATGGGCTTAAGTGGAAAAACATTGAGGGATTTTCAGCGTCACAGGGGTAGAAACAATAATTCACTTAATTATAATAAAAGTAACACAGAGCAGAACATCTTCACACAAATAGGTTTGCAGCCATACTGATGTATATGCGAGCCGCGGTTTGACAGTGTGCCTCGAACGCGACAACAGTGTTGCCATATTCGGTTGGCGAAAATCGAGTTCAGTGGCCATCGAGGGATGGCGCTGTGCTGACTTTCAGTTCTTTTTAAGCATATGATCTCGTTCGTAGATAACATTTCATTCATAATGATCACAGATGATCTCTCGTGAAGTGAATCGCATGTGTCGTATCATGCAAAGAGTGTAATAATCGGCTTCTTCTATCATTTCAAAGTCCAATGGCGCCAAGTCATCTGACTGGAGAGATGTGGAGAAAAAATCGCGTTGCGCACAACATGAAATGCTAGAGAAAGTCTCATGAATACTGAAAATTTTTCCTTCTCGCTCATCGGTATTGATTTCTATTGCAAGTGAATTGTTCACATCTTCTGTGAGTTCTTTCGGAAAACTCCTCCAAACCCTATCAATTTCTCCGGCACCACGGTTAAACTGGCAAAATTCTTTACAAATTGACATCTACTACTAAATTTCGTTAGTTATTCACGGTAAAGTCGCACAGAAAGTGTGGAATCCCCAGTATCTGCATTAGCTCACAATAGTGTGATAATAGTTTTCATTAAAAAATCTACCCAGTGTGATATGAAAATTCGCGGAATTGGATCCACTTTGTAGAGTCCCAATGAAATCCACACCGAGCGTGTCAATCTAAGAAGCAACGCACATTGAAAATTTCAATACCGGTGAAGTGGAAACACTGCATTGTGAAAGTATTTCGTAATAAGCAGGGGAGGAGTTCAACAAGGCCTGAAAAAAATCAATTAATTCCTTTATAACAAAATTCAAAAATCAGATCATCGTAAAATACTGCAGCCCCTCTGGCAACACCGAATGGAGACCTATTAAAAATTATCCAGATTGCTATCCTTGCGATTTTACTGCGAATTAACGTCAACCGCGATTGCTGAAGAACATATTGGTCAAAGAGGCATTTACAATAACACTTTAAAAGGACACAACGAATAATCATTCATGATTGGCTCATTCTGGAATTTGTGCAGAGCGTGTCCATCAATGCCAATCGATAAGGTGAGTTGAGAAAAAGTCCTTTTCCCGGTTCCGAACAGCGCGCAGGGAATTGCGAGTCATTGAGAATGTCATATTGAAATAGTTTCGTGAAACTCCGAAAAAGTGTTGGGTTCACAAAATAGAAATATTTGAGCAATTTGTGGAATTTTCATGCGGAAAAATTATGCTTTGCCATTGCATTGGTTAGCGGAGAAATGGTGGACGAAATATGTGTAGAATTTCCACAATCACAACATATATTCGCATATGTCATGGCAGAATATATCTGCAGTGAAAAGGAGAGAGTAGCAAAATAGATATAAAATTGAGCTTACTTTATGGGGCAAAAGCCGTAACACAAAATAGCGAGAAAAAACAATAATCGCACATTTTCTGCAATCAATTTCCCTCCCACCAACATCGGCCCCTCTCTTTCAAACTCTTTAATTGCTAATTAATACTTTATGGTCAGTGTTCAAATTGCATGCGAACTGTTCAGAAGGATTTCGCTGAAATCCATTTACGAGAATCAATCATTTCCAATTTTGTGGATTAGTTATTGGCATTTCACGGTGAATCTAATAAGATATTAGTGGGTGTCAGAACCTATCAAATTGGTGGTAACTCTTATATATCATACAGGGTGGTTGTAAATTTAAAATCCGTAGCATTTGCTTTTGCAGATTCAGCTAAAAATCTGTTCTCTGTGGTTGATCAAATTATTCATTTTAATTTTAAATTGATGAAAATTTATGTACACAAGTTCAGTTTCGGTTCTTTAAATTACTTACTTATAGTGAATCTCACAGATCGAAATATAGTTGCATCATAATTGCGTAAATTTTCATTGAATTACAGTTTTAAAGCGTTGTTTATCAATACTTGGTTGGTCTATACAAATTTTCCATCTGTTTGCATTTCAGCTTCATTCTGAGTATCGCAGCACGTATCGATGGCATGAATATACTGGAGGATCTCGACCGGAAGTGGTCCGGAGACCACCTGCGCCCAATCAATTTGGTAATTAACATATTTACAACACTCTCGTGATCACTGTTTATTTTCTATCAGTTGCACCCATCGGTATAACAATGTTAGAAAAAATATGCAAAGTAAAAGTTATTTATCGAAAAAATAATACACATTTTGTATGTTATCGCAAACAGTCAGCTCTGCGGAACATTTTTACTCAAAATCAACCGAAGAGGATAAGCCTGCTGAAGGTGAAGAGCAACACTATTAAATTGCTTCTAGCGAACATCATAAACTTTTTGTGTCTTCTCTATGTATTCAAAATCGATGTAATTTGCGCTAATTAATGACGCATCTCATTTGAGAAAATTTATTTGTCTAATCTTCACTAAATAATGCTGCTCTGTGTTTATAGAATTATATTGAATCCTTTTTAACTTTATTAATATGAGCTTATGTATCTGTTTTCTATCAATTTCAGCAGCAATAAATGAGCCTCCACTGCCAAGACGGAAGAAATGCCCGGAATTAGCTTATAAAACCAATGAATTCATGTCTTGTGATGCATCTGATGGGAGAAACGAGAGTATAACTAGAGCTCGGGTAAGATTAGACTGTTCTTCTAAGGCAGGTCATGTCCTCAGCAATTACTCTCTTGACCAGAAAAAGATAGATGTTTCGGAACTAATGCTCTAGATTTTTCATCAAGATTCACATGCAAAGTGGTTGCCTTTTCCTTGCACGGAAACAATAGTGGGTTTATTTATAGCAGGAGATGGGGGACGAGAAATTTTAAATAATAGCGGACAAAAGGATAAAATTGGTCCTAAAATAATACCGTAAATTGTAGGAGGGCCGTATTTCCGACTTCTCTATAAATAAAGTTTATGTTAGCACTAGCAAAACATGACGACTGACGGTGCTTTATCATTTCAGGCTGGAGAACGTTGTCAGATTCCATCTAGACGTAGTAAATCTGAAGGTCCTCCGGAGAGTGTCGCGAAGGGACGCGCATCATCTACGATGCGTGAAATAGTGGACGGGAATCAATTGTCTGTGAAAAAGGTATTTTCCAAAGAGTGTGTATACATATATATACCGTGTATTTCCCCATCTCTTTTGGCATATGGCACACGGCTGAGTATCCGTGATGCCGTGCCATAGAGAGCCCAATAAATGTTTTATTCCCGAAAATCAAACATCCCAGCTGCAATGGCGAAATTAACCATCTCCCCTTACCTTTTGCAGACTGGTGAGTCAAGTGGACTATTCAAAAAGACAATATCAAAACTGAGCACAGAGTATCGTCTGCAATTTGTGTGGCCTAATGTACATAGGGTCATTCGAGGGCAAACAGATGATACTGTGGAGCCTCCTAGAAAATCAATATCAATGGGCGCTATCAAACAACAGGCGCAGTCAATTCCAATTACAACAGTACATAAAAAAAGAACAACAGAAAAGAGAGAAGGTGCGACTTCAACGTCGCTGATTTTCCTTTTTGCAACATTCTATTTCACTTTATATATTCTTCCTTTTTATATTTAAGTGATAGGATATAATGGATGTATTTGTTATAACAATTTAACTTGTTTTCTCTTTTCCGTTCATCTCGTTTTCCTTTCCATTTCCCCACAACTTTTTATTACTGCAAAGTGTATTTACCTAGCTAATTGCATTTTTTTCTTCCTGTAACTGTCCGAGTGCAATTCTTACCTGATTTCTTTTTCTTTTCTGGATAGTTGACACCTCGATTTAGAAATATATATTTAAGTGTATTTATGGCAATTTGGTTCGGATACAATTTTCATAAAGAGTGGAGAGCACAGAATTAGGAGTAAACGTTGTAACTTGATAGGCACTCAACAGGTGTTGTTATAGTGCAGGATGCAATGTTCGCAATGTTTCTCTAAAAGTGATACATTCTCAAAGGATTAACTGAAAATCGTATAACTTTATATAATCTCTCTCTGTTGTCCAAATTTACCCAATTAGTAAATAAAAAAGCGCCTGTCCCTTTATTTCAGCTGCTGCTTTCGAGTTAGAGCCCTTGGTGACCAAAATTGATGAGTCTCTTCACAATAAGTGGGTACTCCAAGTATTATATTTAATGATCCCACCAACTGAAATATCTCCTTCTTTGCAGCATTGACAAGACAATGTATAGAAAGAAGCAGTTTGATGCGACAGAGAACAATCAAAGATATTCTGAGAAGGAGAAATACGGGTTTTCAGCGGACAATGTTGATACTGCTACGAAGAATGACAATAATAAGTCATACAAGTATGGTATTCACGGAGATTCGTGGTACAAGGACGTGCTTGAGCTCAGAAAGAAAGCCGGAGAATACAAGGTGAGCACTCCAGCTGCGAAAATTCACCAAAAAGATTTTTTGTTTTCAATTCGCTTTCATGTAATATATTTTAGTGCCGAGGATGGGGTATTGAGATAGACCCGGAGCTATACAAGAAACAGGAGAAATTATGGGAGCAAGTTTCGCGCCGTAGCTCATTGTCTGCCCTATCGCTTGCATCGACAGTGCGTCCGTACACAAAGGAGGAGAAAGACAAGGAGAACACGAAGAAAAGTTCCCCAACTAAAGCACCCTCGCATAAAGCATCAGGACAAGTTTACCCAACTTTTGATAATGCTCTTCGACGTGATGCTGTGCGTCATCATCTCGAGAGGACCACTGGTCCAGGTAAGTGAAATCAATAGACCATAATGACAGTGTTGCTTTACGTTTGCTTGGAGATATCAAAAAAAAATTGGTCCACAAACACCAAACATGTGTTAGTTTAATAGGTCAAAGTGGCATGAGATTACGCCAAAAGTTATGGATATATTTAACTTTCAGTAAATTTTGTTTAATTTGAGTTTACCTTTATCGAAAGTATTTACAACTTTCCTCAATGTACTTAATATTTAACAAGTCCTCAGAAACCGTTTAAAATTACCCAAATTCCCTAATCCATGAAACCACTTGTGGCCTGATTATTCGACAAAAAGTTTAATATAAGATTTGAGTGATAGTATGGTCAAAAATTTATATAGATTCTTTTTTCTATACTTTGACAAATAGCATTTAACTTTTGACAAAATCTGTCTTAAACAAATCATAGATTTTTACTGCAAGCATCTTCTGTGATGAATTAATACTTCAATCGATCCTTAAAGTATTTATTGGGCATAATTGAATTCTTTTCTGAGCTTAAAGAGATAAGTAGTGGTGGAATAATAAATTATTTGAAAATTCCCAACAATAAATGTCAAATGTGTACAACTAGTGTTAATATTAACAAATCCGCAACACTTTGACGACATAGTAAATTTTATTCAGAAGTAAAGTGAATTTTGGAAATCATCGTCGAATGAACGCTCTTTTAGATGTGGAAGAGGGGACTCTCTTGCCATCACCCACTCGAGATAAGTTAATGCCAACGATTCCCAGAAATCGAGAAGATGATCACTTTCCGGGACAGCGCGGAAGTCCTAAAAAGAGCATCTCGTCACGCCATGAGAGCCCGCAGAAGTCTAGTCCGCAGAAAGGGAGCCCCAAGAAGATCCCGAAGAGTGGCCACAAGGGTCGCTCTCAGTCGGTGGGACCCACTGTGATTGACTCAGGAAGCTCGCCCAAGAGACAATCTCGCTCCACGAGCAGCTCCACGGCTCCAACTACTGCAGTGGCCGCCAAAACAATCAAGAAGGGTCCGGAGGAGCGCCGACCGAGGCCAAGTGAGTGCCATAAAATAGAACTTAGTCTGAAGTGATGAAAATTGACAATTCTAACAAACAATTGGATATCATAGAGCATTACAACTCCACATGAATTTCTAATAATTGTGCTCATTTGAATACTACATACTTTATAGCATGTACTCCAGTACTAGATTTACTCTTTCGAAGCATGCTCCTTTATTTTCCTTAGTATAATCCCACCATTGATGTACCCATGAAGGGGCTTTTCTTTATCGCAGAAGTTTAATGAACTTTTCGCGTCAACTCCTTGCCTCTTTGGAAAAGTTTGTGTGCCGGAATAGCCTCCTGATAATTGCAAATTATCCTCCATGGATGTTTCCTGCAAGGAGTAACGAGCCGTGTCGCAATTCAATTAAATTTCATGCCCACCCTTTTTATTGTGATGGGTGGAACTGCGCCCTCCTCCGTAGCTGTCCGTGTTGGGGAGAGAATGCCCACCAGTCCAATAGACAATAGACAATCTAATTAATTGATATTATTTCTCTGTTGTACTTATTTCTAGCCACCCTTTCCACTACCCCGAAATCTTTCCGTTCCAAGAGTAGTTCTCTGCATCCCAGCAGAGCACTCTCGGCTCCCACGTCCCACTTGCCCAATTCACTGCACGCCGATAGCAGTGATGTCCCGTCAAAGACCCTCGCTCCTCATTTGCGTAAATCAGTTAAAACAGCTAACAACCATCAGTTGAGACCAAAGTCGGCAGTGATAAATGGTGATCCGATGGCCGATTCCATGATCAGATTCAATCGGCGAAATAAGAAATCGGCGGAAAGTAAGTAGAAAACAAATCTTCAAAGCAAATTTTATTGAAAAAAAGATGAAAGACAAGATAAAAGAGCCTTTTCCAAATTTTTATTAAATCTTGTAATAAATGAGAAATACAAATGACTGCATAAATGCAAGTCTGAGGATATATCAGCCGAATTTAAATTACCGAATGATTTTCTCTTGATTTTACATTGTATTATCGTGAAGGAATTGTGCCTTTTACTTACTTTTCGTATAATCAACAATTTTTTGCAACAAAGTGAACTGTTTGTCTTTGATGAGTGTTAAAAGTTTGAACATTTCGGCTTCACCTTCTATCACTTAATGTCCAATATTGAATTGCACTTAATGTGTAGTAGTGTGTCCATCTTCATGTTTTTTACCTTTCAGTTCAATTTATGTTTTTATACAGAAAGACATTCTTTGAAAATTCTGTAATTTTACAAAAAACACAAGATAAGTATATTTACAGATTCATTCATTCAATATTATAAATCACCTCAACATGCCATAGAAGCTTTTCACAATCATGTTTTACAATCAAGAGAAGTTTTGGTTAATACTTGGAAAAAACCATAATAAATTCTTTGTCTGAAATTTGTACATAGATATAAACCAAGTGAATGCATGTGCGAAGCATTAAGAACTTAAGCCATCTTTAAGAAACATAAATAAAATCGTATCTTCTCAAGTGAGCTGAAAAGAGGTCACTTTTCATTTTAGCCGAGGATGATGCCGCAGACGAAGGTAGAGGCGTCAGTCCGACTCTCCCGGAAAGTGCTGAGTACATCGTCAAGTCACCGCCAGAACCAACCAGGGTCAAGTCACCCGAGCAGATCCTCATGCGCTCTCCTGATCCTGTAAACTGGACAGTGCCTCTTGATACTGGCAAGACATTCACGGTGACCCAGAATGTCAGGGATGGTAAGGATTGAAGTGTATTTCTGTCAAAGATCTGAGCTTAATCAATTGAAATTTTACAAGGTGAAGCTGTTATGAGACCCCAAAGTGACTTTAAGGCTTCTACACCAGTTGATAAACCACCACCAGCACCACTTTCAGCACCGCCAGAGTTAGCAGAGCAGCTGCGAATGGAAGGTAAGCATCCTTATAATCGTCTCATTAGTCACTGTCTTCATCTTGAATGGGACTCTAGGGAAATAAGAGGAAATATTAGATTTACTCTGTAAACGCACCACTGAGTTATTCCAAGATTACAATTGCATGTTCTCATCTCTATTTCCCTTGTTTCCTTTTCTATAATTTCAACAATTATGATCATAATGAAACGTAGTCATCGTGTAGTCATCTTATTTTGGCAAAATATATATAATTTAACTTCATAATCTAAAATATGAACAATCTGCAGATTAATTCATAAATATTTCACTATTTTAGCCACCAAGGAAGCTTCTGCTGGACAAACAATGCGACAGGCCCAGAAGAATCCCGATCCCATGACAATGTCGACTATTATGGCAGCTCCGGATCCAGGAGCAGAAGTGAGGTATGATAAGGCAGTACCGGGATCGACGTTGCGTCGTCTGGAGGATCCTGCCTTTGAGTCTGACAGCAAGGCTCGTCCGGGTGTGCCAAGCACAGAGCCACTTGAGAAGGCTCACGATCGCTTCGATCGCTTCTGGGGTGGCGAGAAGGCTTAAGAAGCTATGTGTAGATGGCGTAGAGTAGCGAATTCGCTGACAGGGTAGCAAAAGGGGCTCAGCTCCAGATTCCGACTCAGCCTTGAAAGAGATAAAATAGCAGCGTAAATTTCACATTATTGAGAACAACACATTTTGAGCGATGAAAAATGAGAAAGCATAAATTATATAAAGTATTAAGTTTTATATACCATGGGTAAAACATTACTTATATGCTGACAGAATAGGTGAAGTGGTATTGTATTTAATAAATCAGTTAGGTACAGTCAGATTTAATATTGAAATTATTATCTTGTTGATGCAGCCCTAACTTAGTGACTTGATTAGTCTAGATGTCGTTTTTACTAACAACATTTTTATCTATATTCACAGTGATAAATCATGTTGAAAAATCCACTGTGAAGCAATTGCTGATCAACCCTTACTCATTGATACCAAATGATTGAAAAGCGCCACAGTGAATGGGGAGACTTTGATACAATTATAAAAACAAACATTTTAAAAACATTCCTCACACTTACGAACAATTTTTCCTATTGTCACGGCCATTGTAATGCTACATTCTACCACTATATAAAGGTACATAGTTGATATACAGGAACGCATATAATGGAATACTCCGTCTATTACTCTTCTTACCAAACAAAAAAATTGTGGAAGCCAGAAAATAGCCGCAGAGGGAGGATAAATATAGCAAATATTTCAGGAACATAAACAAAAAAATACAATGTTAATTCATATGAAAATCTAGAGTGGTGTGAGATGATAATGAATGGCTGCTGATTTGCATGTTTTGTATCTGTGGGAGATATAAAAGGCTTAAGCTGTAAAGTTTTTCATTAGGAAGTGTCACAGTGAGTACCCTTAATATTTTTCTTACCCAGAACATTACCATGCGAATCAGCGGACGAGTAGGTGTATTTGCTAAGTGATTGCCCGTCCAATCCTCTTCATTTATATTTTCTCCGGAAGAAAGGTGAACAAAAAGTATACATAAGGCATGTATTTCGTACATACAAGCACACAAATACACAAATACACACGGAGAGAGAAAGAAGGAAAAATGCGCGGATGAGCAGAAATTTATGCCGTTTAATTGTTTATGAAAGATATATTTGTAGAATCACAGTCGAAATCGAATTTCTTCCCCACATTTTAACACTATTATCCAATTGTACACACTCACTTGAGATAAAATGTTCAAAATCTCATTTTTAGGTCACATCCTCACAGGAGGTGGAGAAAAGTATTAATTTTATCGCATCACATTATGAAGATAACTAAATATCCATACAAACTAGTGCGGTCACTTAACTATTTACTATATAGACGAGGAAGAAATCTGTACCTCAATAAGAGGAGAGGTATTGCGTGTAACCCTCTTTAGACATTCGCCACACACATTCCTTCGCTCAGGCTGAAAGGAGTATTAAACTTTCCCGCCCAGGGGAACTGTATGTACGAATATGTCAATATTTTCCATGGCCAAGATATTGTTTGAAAACTAAATTTGTGCTAAACATGTTTGCTACGAAGTTCTGTATCGAATTCTCTATCAAGAATTAGTAAGAAATTAAATAATGTATACGCTTTTCGTCTTGTTCGCCTCTGTTGTGTTTCCAAGCATAAAGGTGAAATTTGTAATGATATTTTGTGAACGCTTTCCAACAATTTTCTTGACAGTTCAGACAAAAACAGGACGTATTCATAAAGTGCGCTGCAAACAAAAACGCGTCTCATCCATTTGAGAAAAACACACATTATAAATTGATAACAAATTGATGAATTGGTATTGCAAAGAGAATCAGAAATTTAGCTGAAGATCCGTTGTAACTTCTCATGTAACAATGAAGAAATAAAGTGCACGAATTATTTCAAAACCTGACCCTCTTATTTCAACCTTCCCCAACTTCAGATGGACAACGAGTGCAGTAGCGTAGTGTGAATATTAGCTCTCTTCCACCAGTTGTTTCCGAGTTTAACCGAAATGAATTAAATTTAATATTATCCCAATTTAATACCATGATCATAATCTTAAATTCTTATCTTTGATTTAAAAAATATGTATCCCAAGTTTGTGTGCCCACGCTTGTACAGAAGGCTTTTTGCATAAATCACAAAAATGTACCGTCAAAAAGCTATGTTCGAAATGAAGACATAAGCTTATGTACTCATGTTGTTACGCCACTGAACGTGTGGGATTGTTTATCTTTGTGGGATGCCCACAAGCTCGTCGGATGTACGTGAATATGACCATTGACCCGAGGGTAGGAGGGCCCGAGATAAAATCTTCATAATTGAGTCAAGGAAATCCACGGCGAAATGAAATAAAAGGTATGTCGGAGACGATGAGCTTTGGGGTATTATGCCACTCTTGTGGCGTCAGATTTAATATTAAATTCCGTATGTACGTGGGATATAATGAGTTCTCACTTACACCCTCGTATATTAATATAATTTATTATCTGCTGCTTTCTATTATCTCACGAAACAAAATGTAACAGAGTGTTGGCGATAAGGACGCTTTGATAAAACACTCTATGGGCTACATTTTAGTCCCCATACGAGTGAATTAAAACATATTTGCATTATTTGTGAGCTTTAGTACCTATTTCTGCACTCAAGTTTATATTGCCTCACGCATTACAACCCCCAAAATGTTTGACTTGCCAAAGTTTAGTCGGTAAATTTGAATATGCAATTGAAATTAGATTGAAAATATTTGCATTATAATTTCTGCTCCCATTTCACGGGTTCGTGGCCCTAGAATCTTGCTATAATCGCTTATTAATTAGAGTATTCCAATTAGAGCCACACTCGCACACTCTCTTGCAGGCTGAGTCATGCCCATGTACAGAGACAGTGCGTGTTTGTTAGTAAACAGATCCACACTGAACAACCACCCCTATATTTGATTAATTTATGATCAATTTATCAAACCTCCATGTGGACACTTGCGGTGCCATCGCTGTCATGCCTTCACTTTCACCCTCTGTCCGCAAAAAAGCTCTCTACGCCATTCATAAAAATGGACCCAAATAGTGGTGAAGAGTTCATTAAGAATTTGCATAAAAGCCTTTTAGAGATTTCACTGATAATCTAACATGAAGATTATGACTTGGCAAAATTCTCATGAAGGGGAAAATTGAATTAAAATTAAATAAGACAGCGCACATAATGTATCGCAACGGAGGCCCATTAAGAATGATGACCTGTATATTTAATAGCCACTTCGTGAAAATAATCGTTAACGCCAGAAAGCGTCTAAATAGCCTGTTAGCAAAACAATTAGGAGCCAGTGAAACTTGAGAACTGTGCAATTTTTACTTCCAAATTACATCGTTTCCGAACAAACGCCGTCCGCTTTTCCTCATTGGCAGAGATTCAAGTCAACTCGTCATAATTTGCCTGATTGGTTTCTGCAATGAAAACAGTAATATCACTTCATAACTGACATTCAATATCATGAATTCGTAATTAGAGCGTACAAGAGGAAGTGGAGGTTGGAAACACACCGACCTTATATTGACTCAGATATGGAATCGAAGTGTCTCAATGGTATCATGAATAGAAATTCTACCTCTATAGTTCTAGCGTGAAGCGGATGCATGTCAGAGTGATTGGGATTCTCCAGTGAATTCACTAAAGCACAAAATTGTGAAATTGCCTGAAATGAGAGAAATTCATTAATAAACCTTAGAAATTAACAAGTTCAGACTACAGATTTGAGACTCAGGCTGAGCTTCAAAATATTTGAGCGGGATGATTTATGGTACGAAACTTTGAGTATTAATTTACATGTTCTGTTGTGTTTTAGGGGATAAACTGCCTTATATGTACTCAAACAAGGCATTATAAATTCGTCCAATTCAAATAATCATGGATACTGCACAAACGTGACACTTTATGGAATGAATATGAATACCTGGGCTTTCCTTTTTTGGTAGATGTTGGTAGTCTATATAGACTATGTGTGCCAAAACCTGAATATAAAACCAGACAAACTAAAATTTTCAAAGATTTTGATCTTTAGCCAGCTTTTGTTTTAAAAAAATTATTTTTTAGACTTTGAAGATGCTTGAACGTTCTTAGAAAACTACAATGATATAGAGGGTATTTGTGATTAAAGTTTTCACCTAACATATGAACTAAGGGTTAAACGATGAGAACGGTGTATTTGGCAAGCTGAAAGAAATTAATGAAGTTAAAATAGGTGGGCTGATGGGCTGTAATATTTCGCCCACGCCATTGGATTTCAAATACTTAATAAGTTCTGAGAAAAATGTGGGCAAAAGTGAACAAAGGATTTTGGGGAAAGTCTTTAACGATCCCATTGTATGCTTCTGTGAGTTTCCAAGAAGGGTGTAAATTTTTTATGCAATGTCCTCTTCATGAGTTATACATTTTCTCCCTTACAAGCCATATCACTTGCAATATCTGCGAAGCTTCCCATGATGTGTTGGAAAGGTGAAAAGGCTTGAGCAAGCGATATGTTTTATTCAAAAGAACCCAATTTTATTCCATGTTTATCAAATTTCATGGGGAAAAGATCCGGATTTTCATTTATTATTTCCCACTTAGATTCACCAATGCTCTTCACTTCGCCCTGGAACTGGTGCAAGCGTTTATTGCACAGAATGATGTTGCAATTAGTGTCACAGTGCACGATTGCAGAATCAATTTTCCTCCGTTCTTCATGAATTGCTGGGAGACTGAATTGTGAGGCATATTGGATTGAAAAGGGAATAAAAATACTATCGGATTCCCACTTCACAAATACGCTCATTGTTGAAGTTTCGCTTTTTTGTGCGATTTTGTATATATATTTTGAGGCTCGGGTGGTACATACATATGGGGGGGGCGCATACAAGCAGTAAATCGTGACCATGTAAAATAGGAATCCATCAGTCAGATGACAAAACAGGGAGAAGCTAAACAGAGAGATGTGGGTGAAAGTGGGAAAAGCTCTTTCTCTCCTGCCTTCTCGGTGCTTTTTTTGCACTCGCTGCGCCCGCGCAGATTGGCGCCTATTGAAGGTAAATCTCGACCTATACCAGTCTCAAATATGAACTGTATGTGACTACTTCAGTGCTATTCCCAAGGAATATCGAGCCAAATGTGCGAGTGAATTTTTCCGCCGAGTCTCACAGCGCGATGGTGTGTTTGGTATAAGACGAGAATGTGTGTGGATTTCCCTAAAAATCATTTTCGGACGCTCAGTACATTTTTTTATCTCTCACGCATAATAGTTGCTGCCCACCTTCCGAAGGTGTTGCATCGCGCCTTGTCTGTATTGGATGTTCATTAGTCACAATTGTGTTCCTTCTTTTCCCTAAAGTACTTATCTAGAGTACGGCGTGTGGAGAAGAGGAATTTAATAAAATTTCATCTCGTGGAGCGCGCGATAAAACAAATTGTTGCGGGGTGGAAGATAAATATTTTCGGTGATGAAAGTGAAGTTTAGAATTGTGGCAGAGTCTCGCAAAGCCACAAATATTCCAAATAGACACTCGGCAGATGTACATCTTGTTGTATATACTTGTGTTTCTCCCTCTGCATGGCATATATGAAAATTGAGTGCTCAATTTGTTGTAGCTATATATGGGGAATTTGTTGCAAAAATTAAATTTGCAATCCTCAATCTCTCTTGTTTACTCATCGCGGCATGTAAAAAATTGTGCCCTCAAAAGTTCCATGAATTTTTAAAATATCTTTCGTGCGATATGACAAAACCCCATGTTTTTTTTAAAAGACGTTTAGGACAGCAAAAAAAGACCAACAATACGCTTTGGCGAACACTCGAGTGAGCGCAAAGAACCGATATATTGTAATTAAATGATAATATTTATATACTGTGTGTGTTTGCATCAACCTGAATCATTACATAGTGTTGACAATCTAATGATGATAGTGAAAACATCGTCTAATTGAACACGATAAAGACCCTCCGCACACAACTGTAAAACAAAGAGTGTGTGACCAGACTTTAATATTAGAATTATGGTGGAAAGATATTCAAAACAGAAATGCGCTTCCATCTCCTTATGTGCATGCATGTTTATAATTCTATATGTATATAATTATATATAGAAAGCCATGTACATATACCTCATACATACTTCCGTATGTGGCCCATCTGTGTAATTCATGTAATCAATTGGTAAATGAGAAATGTAATCTACATCGCCAACACACTTTACCATTTTCACAAAGAACTATACGATAACATTTTCCATACATATGTATGTATGTAGTAAGTGAAAAAAATGGACAAAAATAGAAGTATCATTAGCTATACATAACTTTTCTCTCATATAAATTTCATAAAGTGCCTCTTGAGCATTCAAATTAGGCTCAATATTCCACAATAAATTGCTCTTCAATTTGCAATTAGCTGTGCGGGGTCGAATGGCGGGAGACTCTGCAAATTGCTGGGAAATGAGACAGTGACACATCTTCCTCCGTGAAGCCTGAGAAAGGTCTTGATTGGCAAGACATTGATATGAATTGATAATAAATGATTTCTAATGAATATTATTACATGGAGGGATGTTTTCTGATTCCTCAAAGGCTCTCTTTGAGAGCCCAATGTAATTACGGTTTCCTATATCTAATTTTCATAAAATTACCTACACCGGAGCGGTATGAAAAAAGCCACTTTAAATTTAAAGGGTTGTTGAAATGTAATTTAAAGCTCTTTGAGAAGGATAGCCATCAGCAAGAAGATTATATTGAATATGGGTAGAAATGTCTCATTTTATCACCTTTCCATCAATTTCCTACTTATTACATTTTCAAGGGTTCGTAAGCTCTTGATTTTCCATGACGAAAAGTGCAATTTACGCCATTTCTTCTTACTCTATTATTTTCAATAGAACGCAAACAAAGGAATACAGTTTTGGGACAAATCACTTGAACATGTTTGCATGGAGTTAACTTTTGCCATTCTTTCAATCACTTTCAAAATCAAATTTATCCCTTAAGCAAAAACTTCTGAGAAAAAATCGTCATTAGCATAAGGATTTATTATTCCATTTCAAAATGTTTTTGTCTTAGACGTCTTTCAAGAACTTTTTATTATCTTTCCTATTTCTGTCCTGTATATTTAAATATACACTGAAAACCTTTCTGCCTCAATTATTATATGTTTTCATTGTAATTGATTATACTTGGTGAAGAAACTAAATAAGCCTTACTGATGGATTATGAAGTACATATTTTTCACAATACATGCTCTCTTTAATCCAATTCTCAAATTTTACTCAATGGACTTTTATTGTCATTTGCAATAAAGAGCGATGCTGTTAAATTTCTGCTTGTAATTTCTTTTACATGGCTCTATGAAAGGAAAATATGGTTTTCCGATGAATAACTTCAAGTACATCTTATCTGAAATGTCACTTACATTTCTTAGATATCCCTCCGTTTCCGACCCCAATATCCGTCTCATGACATTTATTAATATCTCACACTGCAGTCATATCATACATTATGTATTTGCTCATTCGGAGATCCAATTTTCCGGGAAGCACTTTAGTTTGCACTGTGGTGAGTTTTTTTGCCAATGATTTTGCTAAAATGACTAAAATTCATAAAGAGGAAGTTTGTTAAAAAACCATTTGTGCTCCCTTTGTTCCCTCGAGTGACTCAGTTCGCGCCAAAGCTCCATTGGTGGTAACAATATACAGTGCGATGTGCATATAAAGCACTCGTTCACACATCCTTGTGTTGCCTCCCTTTGGAATTGTCTGCTGAAGTTGTGATGATTTCTATAAATAGTAATATAAAATTACATTCCTCAGTGTATTTACCTGGGCGTAGGTGTTGCCGTGAAAAACATTTTCCATTTACCCAGTCATGCCAAAAACGCGTATGGTACAGACAATACGAGCGCGCAGAGTGACAATTGCGAATTTGCTGAAACCAGAAATAAATCGGAAGTATGTGGCTATTGAGAATTAATTGAAAATCGCTGTTAATGTCAATGAGATGATTGTTTGACGAGGGGTGAAATTGTTCGTCTGGACATTACATACAGCATAAATAAAATCAATACGACAATACATATTTGTTTTAATACAAATTAAAAGAGGACATAAGAGTGATGATAAATACTGAACAGGATGAATCCATTGGACGTGGTGAATAAACTCGTGATGACGACAAGCATGGACATGGCGTTCAAAGTGTCTACGACCACAATTAAAAATAATGTGAACGACGGTGTAACATTGCTGGAGGATTTGTCGAAACTACGCGCCAGCGCCAGCACAAGTGCCACTATTGATATCATTTATGAGACGACATACGCCACAAAGCCCAACAGGACGTCGGACGGGACAATAGGGAATCGTATAAGCGCGCTGTACTGGACAGATATCGCTCTTGTGACCCTCTTTGTCGTTCTCATTGTGATAACAGTGATTGGGAATACCCTTGTGATATTATCCGTGATTACCACGAGGCGCTTGAGAACTGTGACCAATTGCTTCGTGATGAGCCTTGCCGTCGCTGACTGGCTAGTCGGCCTCTTTGTCATGCCACCTGCAGTTGCTGTTCACTTAATGGGTGAGCTGAGCATAAACAGCATAGATTTCACTGATAAAAGTCTGCGGTGTAGCCAAATTTAGCCACTCACTGTTTGTCTTATGGTTTTTAGCACTCTGTTTGATCTCTGCTACTTTTTTGGCTTTCGCTTTCAGGTACATGGGAGCTTGGCTGGATTCTGTGTGATATTTGGATATCAATGGATGTTCTCCTCTGCACGGCGTCCATACTGAGCCTATGCGCCATTAGCATAGACAGGTGAGACTTGGTTGAGTTCAGCGAGCTATGCAAATATGTTGATGTACTCAAATGCCGAAACCTCACACACGATTTAATTCATGTTCTCAAGGCGTGTACTCTCTAAAATTGGTGTACTTATTGGAATCCCATAAAGTTTTGCTTAGTTAGACGACATTCAAACAATTAGTGAATTCTGACTTCAAAAAATTGTTAGTAGAATACCTATTGCCAATATTTTTAAACTATTTTATTATAGATAGAAAAAATCAGTTCATAAGGCAGAAGTTGCTCATCTACATATGTAATAAGGCACATCAAACACAGATTATGGCAATATATAGACTTGTAAATACACCTTAAAAGAAGAGAATTTCTCTATATAATATCGTAACTTCTCTTCGGTATTACTGCATAAACTTGTTCATAAATTTTAGCAGAAAATTTTTATCTCATATTTCCGCTCTGAAAACGTTGAAAGATAGAGTGTTTTGTACAATGATTCTCCATTTGACGATTCTGCAAGTGCTTGCAGATGCTATGCATAATTCAAGTGCTTCTACATATTTACCTGATTTGTGAGGAGAGACAAATTAATTATATCTGCATAGAGACAGCTCCTTGTCGAGCATACAAAGCGGAAGAATAGGGGAGTATCTTAAAATCCTCTGGTATTTCACAGATATTTAGCTGTAACTCAGCCACTGAACTATTCGCGGCGGAGAAGATCAAAGAGATTGGCTCTCTTCATGATACTTGTAGTGTGGATTTTGGCCTTGGCAATAACCTGCCCGCCAATTCTTGGATGGTTTGTGACGGAAAACGTAATATGCACCTTTCTGTAAATTCACCGTTGACTGTATTTTAGGTATGAGCCTGGAAGGCGTGACTTAAAGACGTGCCGCTACAATCAGAATCTGGGATACGTCATCTTCTCTGCGATGGGATCCTTCTTCATTCCAATGACGGTTATGATTTATGTTTACGTGCGGATATCATGTGTTGTAGCATCGCGCCATGATCACATGGCTGAGATTGAGGTGCACAAGGTAAGCTTATAGCAAGGGCTCATTTGTCTTCTCATGAAGCATGACGGTAAATTATTGTTTTCAGAAATGCCAGCGCAACAATGCCGAGGCCGAAGTGTACTTCGATCACGACACTTCGGAACAGGAGCCACCTAGTCCCAAGAGGTCGCAGTCATTTGGCCAATTAACCAAACGCGACTACTTTGTCAAGACAAACTCCGCTGAGGATATTGATAGGAATGCCAAACAGTCTCGAAATGGACTTTATGAGCTCGTTGATTGCTCATCAAGAACACCTTCGCTGAAGCGCTACACGGCCATTAACTCGAAGCAGCCGGACGGAAACTGGTCCAATCAGTTTAGTGGCACCACCAAGGAAGTTCCCGCGTCGGGATTCGCAATCTCCAAGCAAATTCGTGTTCACCAGAAGTCCATGTCCAACCGCATCCTGTCACTAAAGAGAGAGAACAAGACCACACAGACACTCAGCATCGTCGTTGGTGGTTTCATCGCCTGCTGGTTGCCCTTCTTCGTCTGCTACCTCATCACACCATTCATCCCTGAGCACTACATCAATCCCATTCTTGTGGGCTTCCTCACGTGGCTCGGCTGGTTCAATAGTGCAGTTAATCCATTCATCTATGCCTTCTACAGTGTCGACTTCAGAACCGCCTTTTGGCGACTGACCTTCCGGAAGTTTTGCAAGAACAAAAATTCGCACAAAGTACCATTTGCCAGTAACACCATGTCTATTAAGCGGTAAATTTGTATAACAAACGGCTTCAATTAATTACTTAAGTTACATAGATTGATTGTTTTTCTAAGTCACTAGATTTTATAAGTCACTTCAATGTTGTACACATATGGAGTACGTTTTCAAGAGACATTTCCTAAGTTTGGACAATTTTATCAGTTTCTCATCTTTTAAGTAAGTGGCGTAGTATTGCAGATCAAAAATCATTTAGAAACAATTTCAATACAAGATTCTCTAGAATCAATGTCTTATTTATGACTTATAATGATCATTTAATGAGGATTTGTCGCTCATTTTGTACCGAGTGTTTAAAAAATTTTTATGATTAGAACATCATTTTGACCAGAAATTATTTGAAAATATTTCCAGTGTAGGCCGATTTTATTGATATAAAATAGGAAATTAAAGGTAATATATCTATAAAGAAGCACTTCAGTTATCTCTTATATGATATTTACAATATCTATGTGAATATTACGGAAGTCTAATTTATATTAAGTTTTCTCATAGTTTCCGCTACAGGTGTAAAATCTTCGTATGTATGCTTCTTCAGAATTGTATTCTCGCAATGATTCTTTATAGTTCTTATTCACACATTTTACCGCATTATTTTCCGCTGGGGTGTTGATTTGGTCTTGTTGAGATATTAAGGACTTGAGAGGCTTGAGAAGAACTTGGTATAACGATGAGTCACTAATGAGGGTATATTCACAGGAGGAATCATGACTTTTTCATAGAAACTTACGGCACAACGATTTGGTAATCTGTTCTTATTTTATATCAGTACACTCTGATTTTCTCATTTTATCTGACACTGTGACCTTCTAGGCTAATCTAGTGTTAACACTTTGGTAAAAGTAGAAAAAGCCACGAGAAGTTCTCATTGTGACTTGCGTTTTTCTCTATAATTGGTAAACAGTTGCCTGTTAAATCTGGAAAGAAGGGAAAAAATGACTTACAACTTTTCTCTTTGAAAAAATTTTCAAGAATGAAACATAAGAAAACCTTCAAAATTGGCCCCATTAGACTCTCTTACGCTACGCCACTGTATGATCAACTCAACTATTTTAGGATTAAATAAGTACTGTAATTACTACGTATGGCCATATTATGAGAATCTACTAGAAATCTAGTCAATATCCAAATCTCAAATATACTAATTAATAAAGTCAACATATTTACCGTGAAAATAAGAATATAAGTATAAGTATAAAATCAAAAGTAGTGCATATGATTTTTCATAGACACATACGCATGTATACAACTATAAGCAACGTTTACAACTTTGATTTAATATTTGTTAAAGTGAAGTTCTATTCACTCATACTTCATTCAATGTTACTAATATTCTATTTACATGCATAATATTGAGCGTCTGAGCATAGAGTAACTATGATGTACAGTTTAATGTTAACAAAATCGAACAAACACTCAATCTTTTTAATATGCCGTGTCTGGAATTCAGGTTCTAGAATACGTCAACTTTCGCAGAATCTAATTCACGCATGACAAAACCCCGTAAAAGCAGTATTTGCAACAGAAACTTAATAACTCTTAACTTTCGACCTTTGCAGCTTCTTGGAACAGGGGATGGTCTCTAAATCCGAAAACCCGGATCAATAAAGACGTAGGCGAAGTAAGCAAGATGTAATATAAAGTATTAATGAAAATCACGTTACATGGTTTTAAATGTGAGAATAGTACTGTATGTTGACAGTAGAAACAATCATAGAACAAACTATGATTATAAGTTCCAAATTACACTAGTCAATTTTCGAAACTCGCAGTTGAACAATCATTATATTGGCGACATTCTACTTCAAAATATTCTATAATGTCATCATTCCATTTTGTGAGAATATTTTTAAGAAGAAATTGTACCTAGAATTGATATAATTGTGTTGTTAAATGAGTATTTTTATATTCTTCCTATCACTATCTCTGAATTGAGTATTACACGTAAGAAAGAATAGAAAGTTATTATGGATATTTTGTACTAATATAGAATTGTTATGCATTATGTAACATCTTCACATATTCTAACAATAAATAATATGTATCTAATGAATGGTAAAATTCTCAAATAATTAATCCGTTCCAGGTATAAAATTGAATATCCGCACCAGGCTTCAATACCTAGTGTTTTTCCATACTTAATATACAATCACACGCTTATTAATACTGTTTCATCCTTTATTGCACTACTAAAATTACATTATTCTTACATATTAGATTATAAGTTGAGTGAGAGATATTAATTGTTACGTATACAAAGTGGGACACGAAGTAAATGTTGTTCTTTCGGCATGCAATATACATACATCAAAGAGATCGCGCATATTTAATGGTAAGTATCACAATGAGAAGCGAAATTATACCACTCAAGGAAATCATCAAACGAAAATCTCTGATGCGATGCCGCGACTGCTTTTACGAGACTGCGCCTCTGGCAGGGAATTCCTGGCAATCAGGGGGAATGTATTTTGCGTGGCGACTGAGTAAGTGAGCTTGTACTCCATAGCGCGTCTTTTGCAGAAGCCGCATCTGGATAGAAGGATATACAAGTCGCGGCGATATTGACTAGTCAGGATGGCGTACAGATAGGGATTGGCGCAGGAGTTGAGTGGGTAGAAGAAGACGAGGATTATCTTGGACTTGGCCACGTCAATCAGGGGATAACCGGCCAACGCTGTGAGCCCGAAGAATGCAATGGGACTCCAGCAGGCAAAGTTAGTGAATATCAGCAATGCCATCTTCTTCGTGATAGTCATCTCTCCGCTAGAGGCATTCCTGGCCGCTTGGCGTGTCTCCTTCCCCAAGGAGTAGTAAATCTGAGCGTAGCATATGACAATTATCACAAAGGCCAGCCCATTGATGGCCAACACGGTGATCAAGTAGGACACGTCGTACGAGTCCCGAGCCTCCATGGGCAGGCAGATGCTGAAAGGAAGTGGGCGTCAGTGATTACAGGCTGAGATTGTAGTAATATTCACCTTGTTGAAGAGTAATTGCTGATGCCGAGCAATGGCAGGCCGGCCATCACAGTGGAGAATACCCAACCACCAATCATTATGTTGGCGGCAGCCCTCAACTTGATGCGCTTATTCAAATAAATGGCATAGGTGATGGCAAACCATCGCTCAATGGTTATTATGGTCAACGTGAAGACGGACAAGTGACTGGCAAAAACCGTGAGGAATCCAGCAGCCTTGCAGCCGGAGCCTGCAAATTAAATTACACACACTTATTGGAGTGTCAATGAACAAAGTAAAAATTAAACACTCGAAAATTCACTTTCAACCCATGTTAAACTTTTGCTGGGGTATATTTTAAAATCTATGAGAAAGATTCATGGTATTTTCGCCATGAATTGCATAGTTTTGTTTTCTTAAAAAGCATTTCGTGGAATTTTCTTAGTTTTTCAGAAAGAATTTGACTACAAAAGTTTATCCCTTCGACATATAATTGGTGTTGAATATTTTCTGCCTATTGAAATTGCATTTCAGATACCTCTTGTGATTCCCCAAAACGAAATCATTTAATAATCTTTAATTTGTTTTCAGATATTGATTTGTTACTGATAACAATTGATCTATATTTTTATACATAAGGCAATTTTTTTTAAATAGTCTTACTATTTTGATACATATAAAGTATTCTCGGATAAGTAATCATATAGATAAAAAATGCTTTAATAATTTTATTCATCAAATGATTTCTTCTGAGAGTTGTAATATTGATTTAAAATGTTCAAGCACTTACCATATTGCCAATCATAGGCAAAGTTGAAGTACTCTCCCATTGAGTGAGCATCAATGGCTGCTATCAGTAGCAGATAGAAGCCCATGCAGAGATCAGCAAATGCCAGGTTACTCATAAGGAATTTGGGAACTGTGACGTCCGACCTGCAAGATAAACAAAATACACAACATAAACATATTATCTAATAACCGTTGTAAAGTCTAAAATTAGATAAGCCATTTCCCCATGCCTGTTGGAGAAGAGCACAATCAAAACTGCAGTGTTGCCGAAGACAGCCAGCAGCACGACAATCCACACCGAGCCCCTCAGCCAGTGACTCCCCATCACGTCCTACCAATTGAGTTGTGAAATTAAATTACGGCTAAATGCCTTTACAAGTCACAATACAAGATTGATACAGCAATACAATATACCTCGCAGGGGTTGAGGGCATCGGGAATCGGAAAGCATTTGATATCAATTTTCTCTTGTGTTAAATTGCCACAGGTTGCCTGGAGGTGAGGCGACACGTCGGCTGAATCGTCGTGAAACACCCCAAACTCCCCCTCGTTCTGCTCATAAGAATTGCTATTGCTACCCTCTTCACTCGACAGGAGCCTATCGTAGCTCCTGCCTGTTGAATTGTCAGCTAATTCTCTCCGCCATCGCCCGCGAGGGTGACCTAGAGCTCTCTTCCTCTTCGCATGCCACTCTTCGCTGCTAGACTCGTGATGAGTCAGACCCTGGCATTTCTTTTGCAGCAGCGAAAGATGTTTCTGCATCTTGGCGTGGTTTTGGGGATCGTGGCGGGATGGGAACTTGAATGCACAGCAATGGAAGTGATGTGTGAGCCAGGCCTCCCGCAGGCTCTTGAACTTGTAGACAGATGGGATCACCTTTAGGGAGTGAGTATTCTGAATTCGAAGGATTTCCAAACCGCCGAGGCCGTCCGTGGGTATGACTTCCAAGGAAGTGCTAGACAGATCCCTAAAGTGAGCCAAAAGACAGAAAGAGATAAATGTAAGAAAGTTCAATCATTGGGGATTCAAAGTATTCCATACTTACAATTCCTGAATGCTGACAATACCCTGGAAGGCCAAGTCGTGCATCTTCACCAATTCCCTGTTACCTTTGAGGCTGAGCGTAGCAATTTCAGATCCCTCAAATGCAGAGTCCTCCACAAATCTCAAATCATTATTGTCAAGAATCCTATGTGGGATTATAAGAAAAGGAAACCATGTCAGTTTATATTGAAAATGATTGAGAATGAAAAAGGTCCTTACAATTGTTCAGTCTTCACTCTCACAGACTTTTCCTCTATCTTCGATATACGATTGCCTTCCAAGTCACTGGATTTTCCCATGGTTGAGCAGAGAAAGAAATGGAAAAGCGGAATTAAAAGAAATAAATATTGACGCATTATTCAATTAAATGCCCATACAATGCTGCCCGATATGGGTTGCTGTACAAATAATTGAAACATCTTACGTTTACTCACACCATCTGTAAAATCACATCCGAATACAAGTAACTCAAGTCAGGTATTTTCTCCAGCCCGCAGTTGAGAATTCTTCTGTTGGAGAGAAAGGATGTACAGTCAGCAGAATTTGTGCACAATCACTTCACATTCAATTCAATAACGTTGTAAGAAAGACGAAAACACCATTTTTACAACAGAAAGAATACTCAAAAGTATCTCGAAATTGACATTTCAATTTATATTTTAGAACATTGTAATGTTTTGTTTAATATTTTTGCCAATTCTCGCGAAAATTATGTTTAACTGTATATGTATGTCGAAACAAAAAATTAACTTTTTTCATAAACTACTTAAATTTAATCAAATCTTTTGATTACAAATTGATTCATTTTACTTGTATATGTAGTGATTTTGAACAAAAAAATGATAGAAGTCTTCTTAGGCATTTTCGCATTTTTTATGAAATTGCTTTTACTCTAATAGTTTATAAAGAGTAACCGATTTGTTTACTCATACTCGATTGAGTTTACAAACTCCCTCAAATTGTCATCTCTAATAAGAACATTAGATTTATTAAACTAGAATTACGAGCGGTTTTATCAGATTAACTCATGTAATTTAAGTCTTGAGACAGTTTCAATAAACTTGTTTAATTTTTAATAAAACTTAGCTGAAAGCCTGAGTTGTTTGAGAATAAGTGCTATTATAAATAACTAAAATTCCGAACTTTACACACTCTTAAATGGCAACTACAAGTGACACAATTCAAATCGTCATCACTGTATTACTACATATACTTTGGACAATATCAGGATAAATTTACATAATAAACTTACAATATCTTCAGGGATTTGGATATTCCTTCAAAGACATCGGCTGATAGAGACTGCAAATTGGGTGCTTGAGAGATGTATCTAAGGGCCAAGGGATTAGAAAAATAAATTTTCTTTCTTGAAATGGAAATTAGAATTCGAAATTGTCTATCTAAACTTTGCAATGTGTGTATACTTGAAATGTTAAAGTACACACACAATGTTGTTATATAACATAGTGATATGTATATTTACATTGTGCGGAGTTGATTCATATTCTCAAAAGCCCTTGGCTCAATCCCTCTAAAGTTGGGCAGATCGGTGAGTGTTCTGCAAAACATTTGAGGGTGAAAAAAATCTCTGAATTCTTTTCTGTGAGAAGGACTTGTTTACTCACAAATCTTTCAGGTTCTGTGAATAGAGCCGCAATCCGGCCACCCTCAACGTCTGAATGCCAGCTGAGACGATTGTGAGGGATTGGACGGTAACTGGGAGAATTTGGGGAATTCTTACCAGCGAACTTCCGCTGCATCGACACTCAAGTTCGGCCTGAATGTTAAATGTATTTAAAGGTGGCGAGGAATAACAATAGAATAGATAATACTTACCTCCATGTTGTGGACAGAATTCCAGCACTGCAGCTCGTAGCCTCCATTGAGCTTCGACTCGAAGCTTTCGATTCCACTTGAAACTGTTGTCTTATAGAAGTCTGTAGTGTTTGAGACACTTACAGCAGGTGATAATAAGTTAAACATAGCAAAATCTAATACAGTCAATTTCACAATAAACAAAACACTCAATACTATCAAGTGGAATATTTTCTGTATCACGCAAATTCCTCTAAACATTTTTCCGTGCGGTTCTTGTTTTCAGAACATTCTTAAATATCTATCACTGCACGTTATATCCATTGCGAGTATTTGAACCTTTTCATCTTCATCATCTTTTCGCCCATCACATATTGGTCGATTTGTGAAGGTTTGGTCGCTCCGTGACGCTATATGAAGATCGTCGACCTAGGTTAAATATATGGAATTGTCTCCAAAGGCGATAAAACCGCCGGCAATAAATGAATAAATTGCGATACAATGCGACAAGGAATGTATTGCAAACAGAGTATAAAATGCTGTGACATGAGATATGAGCGACTGGCGTGAAGAATATGATTGAAATTGTATAAAAATTTCGCCAAGACGATAATTAGTTTACATGTGTGGTTAAAATTAACACAGAAAATAGCTCTGAAGGTTACAGTTAATGGAAAAAACCAACATAGTAGTCGCAAATATAGTTCAGAAGAACTCGACAGGCGATATGACGGAAAATTATTGCAGTATTATGTACATTCGCCTCGCATTTTCCGTATTCATGGGCATGAATTAATTTTGTCGCGGAGCCTGTTGTAGAAGACATTTGCCAGCCCGGCAAATTGTCTGGCACATTTTCAAAATTATCCTATCAATTAAGTTAATTTCTATATTATACTGATGACGCTACAATTCTTTTTATTTTACAAAAATGAATCTGTACCTTCGTAGTAGTTTATGGTAGGCTTTTGTACAGAAAAGCTTCACGCACAAGTAATTAAAAGTGAACTGGATATATATTGTCAAATATCTTTGCTAATTAAGAGCATAATGCATACATATCGCCACTCGATGTCTTATCAAGAGGCGCAACGCTGATAATGGAAATTAGAGTGTTATTTGTGCACAAAGATGTTTTTATTATTCCTCACTGTAAATAAGCAGCATAATAGAAGGTTGTTTGAGAACCACATATGGTAAAGAAAGAGGAAAAGACTTCTCAATTGCGCAGTATTTCTCACTCATTCGTCAGTAGGACTCTTGAAAAAGTACATCTAACAATTTCTTTTTATATAACACACTTTGAGGAAGTCGAGATTTCTCGGGAGAAGAAGAAAAAACACAAAAGAGAGAGGCTCAAAGTTCGCGGAAACTTCCTATAAACATTAAAGTATCGTCTGTTTGGCTACCAGATCCAATGTCTTATATTCCATACAATCTCAATTTTCCATATGCACATGGCCACGAGATTAGAAGTTCTGTAATTGGGATCCTCTCCACTTAATAAATGGCACTTCAGTAAATATTTAACAATTCGTTCGAGCACTTGATATTAGTCAATCATAATCACTGAAATCTCGGTTCTAACGTTGAGCATTATTGACCAGAAGAGGGCACATTTTAACACCACCGCGGTGGAAACGCAACTGACACACGTTTCTCTAGTATCTTGATAAGATTTTCATATACACGAAGAGCACGACTGCTCATCTCATTTCGCACTGACCCACCGAGTATCCAAATTACATAAGAAGACTGTGTCCAAAAATGCCATAAAGCCAAATTACGGCTAAAGAGTATTATAGCAGCTTAATCCATAATAACCACACTAATTGAAGCAAATATTGAGTGAAAACATTGGGGAAAGTCGTTAAATGTCATCAGACAGACATATTTTGCCCTTTTGCAACTTTACGAGTGAAGCGAATGCGTGCAGAAATATAGGTGTGAATTGCTCCATAAGAATCACTGCTAAAAATAACTGTCACCTACATCACTTCAAAACGCATGCTCACGATATTAATTGATACATCAATATGTAATAGGAAACTTCCATTCAAATGCTAATTTTATAAATGTGTTAAGGTAAAATGAATGCATTCCAGAACAGAAATCAATTGGAGAGGATATCATTTTGACATAATTTAATCGACACTTACCTTTGTTATATTATACTACTGAATTAAAGTTATTATCCTTTGAAGCGTATTTAATCATTTTGGTACGTCAACTTATTGCATTTCATGCAATTGTTGAATAAATTGTTATTGATTTAACCATTTGTAAGCTTGTTTATAAGGTAAGAGGTGAAATTTAAAACCAGAACAGACTCTAGACATCTTATGCAATTTAACAGATTCTTTATCCAAAGCATGTTTCAAAAAGAGGTCAAAGTAGCAAAAGAAATTGTTCCACATAAGTTTAAAAAAAATTAAATATTTAGCAATCGTTTTGATTTTCAACAACTAATTGCAAAATAATTGTGTGATCCTATTTAAGTTTATTACAATTGCTATTCAAATACTATTCAACTTAGACTGCAAGTTGAGAACTCAGTTTTCAAAATTTGTAAGATCACATCTTTATCTATTATCGATTTTTGATTAGATTTTCACTAAAATATTTCTCAGAACACTTTAGTGAGTTTCATTTAGCGTTTTTGTTTGTATATAATTTGCGAATTTACAAATTCGAATATACTATTGGACTAATAACCATTGCCTTTTGCTCTAAAATACGATACAACTCCTAGATTGAAGAAATAAAACCAGAATTCGGTAAAAACAAATATTTCTGTAAGTTAATTACCCTAAACGACAATTTTGATTAAGAAATGTCTTTGTTACTTTGACATCGTATTTAAAAAGTATGGCCTTAACCTTCTTAAAAATCAAGATAGTTCATAATTTTACAATATTTTCCCATAAAAAGCTATGCTCCCTCTTGTTTTAATATAATTAAATGAGCAGAGTATGGCTCAACTCTCATAATCTGAGTCATTGCAATCAAAAACTGTACAGAAAAAAATCAATATAGCAATTAGAACAAATTAATATTCTGAACATCATTGAAACACAAGAGAGTAAAAACATAGAGATAAAAATCACCAGAAAAAATGATCAATTTGGCTTTATATTCTTCATTGTGTCTGTACATTTTTTTTCTATTTGCTCACTTGCAGTTTCCTAAGAAATCTCGTCTATTCTTATTACTAGCGACATTACATTGTTACAGAGTTTTTGCCCCTCCCTATCTTTGACTTTATCAATATCAGAAAGAGAATATTCGCAATAAAACCTCCTTGCATTCCCATTTCACATGTGTAAATTTTTAATGAGCAACAGAATATGAGAATTGTAACAAAATAATTTTTACATGTGGTCATCTCTCAAACAATGCAGATGGAAGTATTTTACAGCATTTCTGTGGGAAAATCACTTTCATCGTCCGCACATAATCGTGAAGAAGACTAAGACGAACACGTAGAGTGGATCTTTTATCCTCAATTGATCCCCGTGTTGCATTGCTGCGGGATGTTCACCTGGCGAAAGAAAAAGACAGAGGCTCTAGTTAATTCCTAATGAAGATGGCACATGTTTTAAACAGACCGTTCAGAACGTGGACAGTCACGGAGACTGGATTGGCGTTTGATGGTGAACAGGTATACTTTCCGGAGTCTGGATCCTTGGCTCGCTGTATTAATAAGTACGACGTGGTTATCTCGCCTTTCTCTGTGATCACTGACACTCCTCCTCGTGGCGAATCGTAGCTGATTTCCTATTAAATATTGGATAATGCGCTTAGAATATGCAATAATAATGGCAAGTGCAAGTCAAACAGACACTAACCAAATTATCATGTGTCCAGTAGATGCCCGGCGGAGGCTCTGGTGAGTGCCTAATAATACACGTCAGGTTAATAGTTGATCCTGTGTTGATGAACAATTCTGGGCCACCCAGAATCGCTGTAATTGGCTCTGCAAATAAACCAAATGTGGATGTCACAATTCATGTATCACCTCCCAATCTGTAGCAATTCTATAATGCTCATTCGTCCATTAGAAAGTGTAACATATCTTTACCGACGATTGAGAGCTGCATGCAGTGCGATATTGGCGGTGTGGTTGAAACTTGACACTCGTAAATGCCCGAATCCCTCTTCTGTGGGTATCTCACCTGCAAATATGCACAATGAGTTTTGCATATGAGTTCTGATATGCAGTAAATGAAAGTAAATTTGAAAAGCTTTACACATTGGATTTACATGTTCGTCTATAACAAGAATCTTTACCATATGAGAAATATGTATCATTTTATTTATATACAAAATATTGAAAAAGAATAAATTTTTTAGGGAAAAGTTTCTAACATAGAAATCACTTTTCATGAAGGAGACTATGAAACAGCTCAACAGTTATATGATTTGCACTGAGCTACATTAAATAAATTGTATTTGTATTGAAATATTTCTCTGCTAAAACATTCAAACCTGTGCTTACAAAATGATTTCAAAACTAATAATTTTCAAATACTGACATAATTGCTCCTAATTAAGAGCTCTAAAATGGCTTTAGCTGATATTCATCATGTAACCGAAACTCATGATTATATGCGAATTTCAGGCCCCGTCGTCCATCAATAAAGTTTCATCAGAAGAAATAATCTGCATATTTTCATATCCAAAGCACTGTTCGAATCCAGATAATTTTGGGTATTGAAAACTATTTGCGTGTTTGTTAAATTATAATGTCATACATCATACAGACTGTACCAATGAATAGAGTTAATAGTATTCCCGAAAGGAATAGAAGTGATCAAAAAATACATTAGTTTGAATGAAATTTTATTTAATTAGCTTTCATATCAATTAAAAAAAAACATGTTAATACTTTTTACGAAAAATAATGAATTATTGAATACTTTTTGCATAGTGAAGTCGGAAATTTGTTTATCAATCAGGTTTCGTATTTGCTGAATTCATCTTTTAGTCTTGCGATTTAATATTCCAGACTATTCGGTTTAATACTGCACTGATTAGTTCTTTATGTTGCACTTATGTGTACTTTGTGCTACAATATGTGTATTTTAATACAGAAATATAAAAGATTTCGTGTAAGCGCAAGTAATCGTAATATAAAGGGTTAAAGAATATCTCACGGCAACTGATAAAAGAACACATTTCCATACCTGTAGTGACCAATCTTCTGTCTGTGGATTGTGAACACTCTGAAATCGTAGATCAGAAGTGTAAGTGAATCTGCCGACTGTGAGCAGATGAAGATCCCTGTGACGAATCCAGGACACCTGAAATATTCTCCACTTCAATCGACTCCCAAGAAAACCCACTAAGAGCACTCCTACCGTCCTGTTCCCCAAATTGTGAACCCTGCAGTTTAAGTATGCCGTCTTCCCCACTAGTGCCGTGACGTTCTTCGAGGCAGACGTGTCGAAGTAGGGCCCTCTATTGATTGTGGGAGTGCCTAGCAGATTTGGTGGCTCCTGATGCACCTGGTGATCAATATCCACGAGCTCATACTCACTGTCCAGGTCGAGGTTCTGGATGTGAGTATCTTTCATTTGGGTCCCCTTGGTGGAAATGGCAGCTGATTTGCCTGCAGCAAATTTTCACCGAAAAAATTTTACTTCATAGTCGCAATATTGGCAACTCAATTAAACTAACCACTCTGTGCACATAAGAGCAGAAATCCCAAAGAAAAATACGTCGTTGGTGTCCAATTTTTCCTTATCTCCATACTGCAATTCAGGTGGGAAAATGCATGTTATACTATATTGTTGTTTCTCAACTATTATTTAGAACTTTAGTATTTATGCACTTGGTGTAGTATCAAATTATCATTAGTGAACGTGAATGGTCGTATTTGGCGATGGAATTTGGTGAAACAGTCCTGAATTTGTATTTTTTTTTCAAATTTCGAAACGTCTCAAAAACTTATTGAGCAATCTCATATTCTGCGTTAATTTGACTATTGACAAATTACTATGTGTACGTTCATATATGTATAATAAATGTATGAACTTTATCAAATTTCTATATTTTAATTTGGAATGTGGTGTAAGAGACGTTCATACAGTGTTTGGAGAAATTATTCATAAAGTCATGTAATTATGATTAACAAGCTAATTGTACGCTTTATGTAAGATATCTTGATGAGGTAAATTCTCCACGAAATTCCATTCACCAATTAAATATTCCTTTTGAACTGATATTTCTAATCCCTCAACACGATAATCCGAATTTGGATAGGATCATCTCCAAATATTCATATCCATTAAATGGCACATTACAGATGAAGAAGTGGATTTGCACTCACTTTTCCTATCTTTTGTCCTCACATATATTATACGGCATTATTGCAAGCATTTCGAACACTTTACTTAAGCTTTTCCACTCTTGTTCTCTAAATTTTCCCTAATATTAACTTCACATTCAACTCCAGTCAACCGAAAGGTGACTCTCCATACAAGATTACACCGCGATATACGACACTTTTCGTTGTTACACCACTCCGGCAACTCTATAACTTTTTATACTCTATTTAAACTCAATGACACAATAGTTAATTGTCCACTTTTTATGTGAAGATTCACCACTCTGGCTCATGTTTGTGAAGCTACTACGGGGTGGAATGTAAAACGGAGAACCCTTGGCTGAAAATGCGAATCTGATGGGTGGGAAGGGGCGAAATTTACTCTGAGTCTGCGCGCATGGAATCGGTTCAGCTCCCCTTTCACTAGCACTGGAAGATTCCCCTGAACTCTCACATAGTGGCCGATATGGAAAACTCAGCGAAAATCGGACAGTATTCTAGCTGAGATTGACCACAATTTAGGTCCAACATCTTATTTAACATTCAAAACAAACAGGAAAGTATAACTACAATTTTATTCTAAATTTACATGTAATCGTTAATTATTCTTATTGAATATTAAAAATGAAGTTTCATTTCTGGATGGTTCCTTTGCGAATCTCAGATTCTCTCTATACTTACCTTCCTTATTCTCTCTTAGTCAAGACACTATCGTAGAACATGTCGAACAAGAAGGCAGAAAACAAGCTTCAATACGCATTTCAGTGTTTGCTACCATTTGAATTAAGTCCTCTCAATGAAAATAACTCCTTCCAGCCATAATTTTTATTATCATTAAATCAAATAGAAGGAGCAATGTCAAATCAATGGCTCAGAGACGTACACAACACACACACACTCATTGCAAAAGGATGGGCAGGAAATTGTCGCGGCGCTTTTCTATTTAGATGTCCATCTCGGCGTCGGCATCGAATCTCTTACCCCATCCTGAGGACAAGCGGTTCCAGTTGTTGGTGGACCTCTTTCCCCAGAGTCCTTTCAGGTTGTTCCAGCCCGGCTCTCGCTTGCCCCAGGCGCTCCGGAACTTGTTCCAATCCCCGCCGGGCGAGCCTCCTGTCACTCTCTTGCCCCAGGCACCATTGATTGCCTTCCAGGTGCGCTTCTGGCTGGACAGCGGTTCCGCGATGGCCTCCAAACGGGTGTCATCAATGTCATCGAGTTCATCTGGCCAGCGCTTACCCCAAGAGGCTTGCAAGTTGTTCCACGACCGCTTCGCGTCACCCGAATCCTCCTCAGCGAGCTCTAGGCTGTTCGCGGCCATCCAGAGTCCCCACAGGAGCACCAAAGTCAATCTCACGCCACGATTCATCAGAAATACTGCAACAAAGGTTCAAGTTTTAGTATATGGCGTCCGAAGAAACAAATAAAAGTGGATTTAGATGAAACAGTTCTGAGGCTCCTATGATTTTTCTCTGCTTTTGCACCACATTTTTGTAATATAACTCTTGTTTGATTTATTTGGAGCTTGATGCATTATGATTGCATCCTGCAATCCTTTCGCGAAGAATTTTTGTGGTGCTATAAATAAGGTGGCAACATTTCTGAAATTTAAGACATTTCAACAATTTATATTTTGTGTGTGACAAATTAAATTTAAATTTTTTACAAAATAATATGGTAATTCAAATTCTGTTAAATTTTGCATTAATACCAAGTTTTTTTGTAATGGATTGTTGATTGAAGATATTTCGTAATTTCAACAAAAAATGGAGACAATCTATTATTCAATTACTATTCCAAGAATCCAAAATTATGACAGTAACATAAGATTCAAACTTTGCTGAACTTCACATCGCGGTCATTATATATCGTAGATCAGAAACTAATGTAAATAAAGTGCAATAAGTAAATAATGGGGCGAAAAGCCATATTAAAATTGTCGGGGCAAATATTTACATTTTCCTTTAATGCAATTGTGTAGATAAAATGTTAATATAGAATTGTATTGTGGAAATATCCTATTAATGATAACACCGTCCAAAGACTTCTTTAAGTTATTTGTGCGCCAACACGAGTTGGATGAATAGTGCTCGTGTTTGTCACAAAGTTGTCAGTCTTCGTTGAGAGAAAATGAATTTTTCCATCATTTTCCGCCGCACAGTTCGCACAATTCTGCCCCGGCGAAGCCATATCTGGAGGATGGTGCATGCTGAGACGACACAAGTTTTCCTTTTGCACTGACCCCCATCAATGTCCGATACTGTGCGCTCTACACCATCGCCATCTCACACCTTTTGGCGCCAATTTCCGCCACATCACGGATCGCAGCGTGATGGCGGGGGGTGGTGGGTGGTGCGTAAAGTTAAATTAAATACATTATTTATGTGCTCCCAGCTAATTTGCACCCGTGGTGTCTTCAATGATTAAGGCTGAAGGGACAGCCTGGGAGATTACTGCAAATTAGGTGGACTTTCCTCTTCCGAGATGATGCGCGGGGGTGGTTTTCCGCCCTTTTGATGCATTTCTGCGGTCTACGTAATAAGCGGAATCACACTCAAAAGCCCACAACTCCATCGGCAAGCACTCTCTTGATGGATTGTGCCTGGACATATTTTATACTTCTCAATCATTCAACCTCCACAATATGCTAAGGCACAAATGTGCAAATCTCGCCTTTTTATGCATCGCCACACATTGGAAAACTCCCAGGGATCTGTACTCAAGTGGTTGGAAAAATTCAACAATCCCCACACCCACATCCTCTGCCCCACCCTAGATCGCGCGACGGAAGCCCACGGTGAGATAATTTGCACACTTACACTCTCTCTCTGGTCAAATTGTCTGTTGCAGTTCGTTTGTGGTCCACTGGGTACTTTCTCGGGCACTTTCAGTCTCTCCTCAGCAACTATTCTCCCTAATCACACTTGCTGGCCATTCACGACTTGGATATTCTTCGGCCACTCCGCAGAAGCTTGAGTGTGTTCGCGAACAGAAATCGGTTAGTGAGTGTTGAATTTATGAACTGATATCGGCTCTTTTATATCAGTGCCAATGGCCAGAGGGGCGCATGTTCGCCACAGATCAAATAGGCAGCATTGTGGCAAGCATCATCCCATGTAGAGCGTTACTTAGGTGGTCCCGGGATTTTCTCCTTTAAGGACTCAGCATTTGCCACGTGGATTAATTTGCGAAAGGACCTATGCCGGGCCACACGCGGATTAAGCCTGAAAAAGGGTTAATTTGGTGTCTGGAAATGTGAAATTCGGGACACGTCATGATTGAAAAATGAACATTTGGCTGCTGTAAAACCGCAGATTACGTGTGGGTGGAATTTTTTACAAGAACTAGCGCCAGCACCACTGTTTCGCGGTTGACATCATACAAAGCAGCGATTTACAGCCGCAATATAACATTGTTGCGTTGCCTCAGATGCACTGCTTGGAGATAAGCTGATAAATCGGTTTGATTAATCCATGAATGAAATCCGTTCATGAGTACAATATCTCGGTATGTTTGTATTTTGAAGGAGAAAATATTGCAAGTTCATTTAGAATATAATCTTAGGCGTTGGGATACTTCCAAACGTATGCGAATAATTTAATATGTAAATAATCTCAAAATATGCCAAATATTAAGCTATGAAATATATTTAATATTTGAATTGAATCTCTAATCTATGTCTATGCAAAAGAAACATTATTTGTCGCAAATTTAATTTGAAAATCAATCAAATATTTTCAATTTGATAGTAGCATTGGTAGACATGATTTTACGATTATCTTAATATTAACTGTAGGGAAAGTATGAAATTAAAATATATGTACAAAATAAGGAATGACGAGTCTCTCAATAAATCAACAGAAATTTTCTCACAATTCGATGGATTCCTAACAAAAAGACACTGCAAAATTAAATCTGTTAGAAGTATATTTCTTGGACCTATTTATATTATTAATTTCTCTATATGTCAGTTAGTGATTAGCTACTCTACGGTAAGATAGATAATAGAGAAAGTTGCCGTTGTGTATCTTGAATTTTTGTGCTTACCAGTTATATTTTGTATTTCGAAATTTTTCTGGATAACACCGCCATCTAGTGGATAGATAATATACAGCCGGAAAAGTGGAGATTGAACAGCGAATATTTTAAACATTTTTTCTGGCAATAAATAAACAAAATCAATTCATTTAAATATTATTTATTAACTGACATTCTTATAATTCATTTATTGAGAAAATTATAATTAGTACATTTTTATCATATAACGATATGAAATTTAAATATATTCCTTTTTATTTAAAATTAAATTTCTACATTTAGTCTTATATTTTTTTTTACAGAATGCAAAAAAGGTTTGTCAGGAAAGAACATTGGATAAATACTTGTATTTTTTCTCTTCTAAAACATTGTGCCTCTATATTTATTTAGAACTCTTCTCACACGGTGTGTCTCATAATTCAAAGAATTTTTAACAATTAAGCGTTCTCCACACTTGATTTTATTCAACGAGAAAACAAACCAAATTCTCACACTTTTTGCTATTAGGAGATCGAAGAAAAAGGGTTGAATACGGAATGTTTGCTTATATTTCCTTTCAATACATTATATCATTTTCTGCTTAATTCCTCACATCATTGCTCATTCTTTTTCTCTGTTCTCATTTCCATAAAAACGAATATGAAAATAATTTGCAATACTCTTTTTGTAGCCTCTTTGAAAAAATATCGCAGAATACTCACTGCAGTGCCTCTGGAATTTACCATCTCTTGTACACTGGCGAGAGGTCTAAAGTCAAATTCTTCAGCACAATATTCCGGGCTGTGGAGCGTGTCTGTCGCGATGATCTGATAATCTCCAGTACGAGACCGCGACAATCGTTGCATACGGCCATCAATTCACCGCGAAGACCTTCCTTCTGCTCTGCCGTTAGTGTAGTAAATCTATTCCTGGATGAGTAAAAGATGGTTAAGGAATGTTTAAGACAAAGAGTTTGATGGGGAAACCTTCTGTCCAGCGTACTGCTGTTAGAGTGCGGACGAGCCGGACTCTGAGGAGGAAGACTTCGTGGTCCTTCCATACTTCGTGACATGATAGATGAGATTCTCGTTGCCGAAATTGGGTCTTTCAGGCCAGATGAAACTGCTGCTTCCACCACAATGCTCGATCCAGGAGTACTTGATGTGGATCTTTGATGCTTAGGAGAAGAAGGCGCGCTTCCCACGGTGTTTCGAGTCTGAAATAGCATGGAAAAATTCAAATCTTCGGCAAATGAGCAATAAAGAAAGATTATAAAGACCTTCCTATCAGACTCAGGCCGCAAGAGTCTCTCCATCAGTGATCGTGGAAATGACTCCATGTCCACACCTGTTCCGTGGTTGTTGTGGCTTGGCGATGGAGCTCCAGAAGTAGTTGGACTACTCACCAGTGATGGCGAGAGCAGCATTACGGGAACATTACGAAAGTGTTCGGTTGGAATTCTCATCTGTAGTCAAAGGAAAATCAGTTAACCAATTGTCCAGGGACGTAAAGTTGATCCTTCTTACTTTTGAGTAGCATTTGGAACACACAGTTTTTTGACACAGCTTACAGAGAACACCCCAAGGGCCAAAAATGCTAAAGCGCGTCTTTAAACACAGGAAGCATACCTTCAGGCAACAGAAAAATAGAGAGATATTTAGCAGACGCTCCAGGACTGAAAGCCAATCAGCAATCTCTATTATACCTTTCTCTTCTCCACATCCTCCTTAATCTTCACCTCTACGGGCAGAAGTTCGAGGTCTGCCTTCGTGATGACTGATCTGATATGCATGATCTCCTTGAGAGTGAGCGACAGCCGGTCACTGATATTTGCCTCTTTCCACTCCTTTTCGTCCAGACTATTTTTCGACCATGTCTCCATTGAGCTGAGATTTTCTGTTGCCGACACATTCACCGGGTGCTCCGACTGGCGAGACTCCGGCCTAGATGGTGGCATGGATTGACATTCCGGCACGCCCTGATGGCATCCGACGATGGTGTGACGTCTCATTGAGGCTCTCCTCGACTCGCATTGCGTGGCCAAGTCATACGCTGCAAAATACGACAAGACATTAAAGCATGATCTGCACATCATATTCGCATCCACAGAGTGACTAACTAAGGCAAATAATAACTCGAGAAGCAGTTCATAAGTCTAATAATTTGTCTCTATATTGCAGAAAATAGAATTGGAAGCATGAGAAGAAGACACTATTTGATAAGGGATAACATGTCTTATTTACATTCTAAAGCCGTGTCACAGAATCTATGATATTCATCGTGAGTGATTGTGTTTCCTGAAACAATGATTGCATTGATAATTTCGAAAGTTAATCATCTCATGTCTTCTTGAAGAACTCTATAAAAATGTCTAGAGAGAAAAATTTGGATTTACTGGTCCTCCGAAGAACTGTATTGACACTGTTGGGATTGTTCTCATTGTTGGACTCCTCTCGCCGTTCACCGCTACTCACGGATGATCCGTCATTCCTCAGCACCACTTCATCGTAAGTCTGGCCCGGCTCATAGCAAAGCTCCTCATCCTGCAAAGCAAACCAATGCAAACATACCATTAGCCATTATGGTAAAATTTCGAGAGCGATTTTTCGCCAGTCACGATTGTAATGGCCATGCAATTTTGCAACGCGCGCCACACACACACACAACCATTATTAATCTCGAGATGAAAGGGAGACATTTGCACAATTGTAGAGTGCTCTTATTCAGACAACACTCACAATTGAACCACGAGATATGCCAATGAAGGTAGACAAATTGTACAACACCAAAATTCTCATGAGGTATTTCAAAATTCAGAGCACAACTGTGAACTAAAGATTGTTGCTTATGGATATAGCTTTTGGAATTAAAAGAAGAATTCCGTATTTTCAAATGTGCTTTCACATATGTATATAAGGAAAACGATTCTGCAAACGATGGCAAACGAGGAAAACGATGACCGCATATCCTACAGATGCTGCTACGTAAGCATCTGGAATGCAGAACTACGATTTTCTCTACGCTAATAAGAATTCTTTATTTTTTACAGGTATTTGTAAAAAATTTCACGAACCCTGTAAATTCTCTTTAGACAGTGTTGACGTAATAATAACTAATGTCAGTTTCTGCATATAAAGTTGTGTATAGTGTCCCGTAATTCTGTCATTTTTAACACATTCTGCGAATTCATTGGAGCGTTGAACTTCATGTGAAAATTACTTTTACAACTGACCTGGAATAGTAAGGGATCAACAGGAATTAATCTCTGTCGACTTGTTCTCGGTGATGACGTTGGCTGCGAATCACACGGAGTTTCTCCACGCTTAACATTGTCCATCTGGCAAGAATTTAAAACTGCAAAGAGAGACAATATCTAATGAGCATATTACACAAGTGCTGGAACATCTTTTCACACATCATATAAATTCTGGTACAGGCGATATTATTTCCTAAAGAAAACATTTGCTTAATCACTTGAGTAATTAAGTGAAAAGTAATACTTTTGTTATCTCACAGGCGCACATTTCTTTGCTTTTCTGACTCACTCAGCACACCTAAGATGTGGCTCAATGGGACACGTTTTTCCCTCAGAAAATACACTTAGCAAGGAATTGATAACCATTTGATCACGATAAAATTTTTGCGGTCTAATAAGAGCACCAATTGAGTGAAATGGTTAATGTTTAATAAATCTAAATTCATGTGGTATTGCACAGTAGCACGCGAATTAAATAAGATTATTGTAATCATGCATGGTCTCATCTAGCAAATTAACATTGATACATTAATAAAAAGAAACACCCAACTTGTCGAGAGAGTAGAATTCATTAAGGCCCTGATAATTTTTGAAAGTTCATCACCATTTTCCGGCCTTACGTAAGACCTTAGGAAAACTGTAATTTTATTCCAATTTGCTGAGGGTTCCTGAAATTCTATTTATATCGATTTTCCGTCCACCCTAATTGGGGCACACTGGAGAATTGCAACAGTTATGTATATCAAGGGAAAATGTCTCCATATTGTACCTGAACGTGGCTTTGGTGTAGGTGGATGACCGCGCGGGGCCGCTCTTGGGGGCTCTTGAGGACAATACAGCGAGTCCCTGGCCGCGTCCACACCACATGGCGGAGCATCTGGGGAGTTCTTGCCCACTAGCATAACACTAAACACACAATGGGAAGTTTTTTATTAGAATTTGGGGCGCCGACCCAAGGAAATCGACCCAATGCGTCACACTCCTTTGGATGAAAAACTCCAATATCAATCACTGGACTGGAGGCACTGAGAAGAAGCACATAGAGATATCGATCTGATGAGAAGGAGACTGTTTGTTCTTCTATCTGAGAAGAATTTTCACCACTAAGGCCACTTGGAATCCGACATTTTCACATGAGAAGGCAATTCTATCGATCCGATGCGCCGTAGACCCGAAACAGCTGATTTATAGCATATCTCCGCTATTGTACAATCTATAGAGAACACCACATGATGGGATCGTCTCCTGGGCTGTGATACAATCTGCACTTTCTTGTCTGCGAACTTCGAACCCGTAAATGAGGTGCAAGAAATGGAGCAGCGCGTCTAACGGATGGCGATTTGTAACGCCAATTAAGGTAAAAATGTTTCCCAGAGACAATAGCCAGCACTTCAATACGACGGACCACCTCAAGATGCCAAGAGGAACTGAACGCGGTAGCGACGCTGGAACTCTCTCTTTTTTACTCTCCATCGCTATACACGCTCTTCTTATGCCCATTCAATTCCAGCAACATTTCGCGTCGGCGCGGAACCAACGCGCGCCCACGACCAAAATACTTGTGAGATTTTGCCTGTGAATATGTATCAGGAAATTCGACTGTGTGATAAATGGCGGAATTTTTGGCATGGATGACCACTTAAAAACACAAGTACCAGCATCACAGTACATCTCTTTCACAGATCTGTAAGTAGAACATGATGAAACCACCACATTTCATAAGGCGCGTCTAACACACAAATCACTGTAGCGAAATAAAAGCGTGTAAGATGAAGATTTGCTAGAGACATTTAAACAATCTCAGGCGATGCCTTACAAACAGTCATAAATACGATATGAAGATTCTATCATTATAAAGGGATTTTTTATGCCAAGATGCGCGCAACATCATTATCGCGGAAGCGAAATTTCATCATGAAGTACTGGGTAATGTTGCTCACACACAAAAACCTATCAATTTAAATAACCATACACAGCATCTTCGAGACACACTTTCTCTGACATTAAAAATCATCTTGAAGAAGAAGTTGTTTCCGCTCTTCTGTGCGGTTGGAGAATAGATTGAAAATAATAGCCAAAGAATAAAAGCGACAATAACCTTTCATGATCACTTAAGCACACTCTCTTCTTCAATAGACCACCAACGTAAGAATTATACAAGATCACTTGAAACTGACAGCACCGCTGACCATACCACTCTGATGGCTGAAGAAAGATCAACCACAGCAGACACCTTTTTGTCACACTTCTCAGGAAATGCCACTACTTAGCGACCGTCAACCAGTTTCATTCCCATAACATTCCATTCACAAAACACACCTAAAGACCAACCACTGACCATGAGAGATTTTCATTCTACATCTACAAGAATACTTAAAAACCTCTCAATTTCGGAGGTAATTAAAATCCCCACCGCACTCGCAAAGATCAATCATCCCAGAGCTTCACGTGTGAAACCGAGTATGGGGCAGATGAAAGAGAATGTTTGGTGAGGTATTGAGGTCACTCACACCTGGGATGAGGAAACACACCGACTAATCTGTCTGCAAACACCTAGATATCTTTTGTATGCCTGGCGATCTAATTTTGATTGAATGCTGTTGGAGGAAAGTGAAACACAATCATAAACTCTGATATTCAATAGGATTGGGAGTGATATTGTTTGGGGACTCAGAATTGCCACATTACCACTTACATGCAGTGCAGAAATCATCAGCATGGCTCAAAAGAAACCCACAAAAACATGCAGAATTGCCTATACAATGGCGTTATGCTGTTCAGATTTTAAAATAAGATCTCTTACATCCGACCATAATCAAACACATACGCGTGACTGCAGAGTAGTGAACTTTAATGTTTGATCATGCAAAACCTTGTTGTAATTTTATTTCTTTTGCTGACAAAAGATTTATTATAAAAATAAAGAGATGTTGCATCAAATTTCATGTTAATGATACTAGAAATTCTTTTTAATAAATTTCATCTATCAAAGTAAAATAAGAAACTAAAGACGAGTTTTTTAAATGAAGCTGTCATTAAAACCTCCAAATTTCCGCTATTGTATTAATGAAAAAATAATTCCGATGTACAAAAATTCCTTTGCGTGCTTCATCAATTCCATCACGACACGGTGGATTACTCCTTATTGACATACACACATTTAATCATTTGAGAACAGAGAAACAGACCAAAATGCAAACACAAAGAATAACACTGCAGCCAACAACCTGTTTCTGCTGCCCCACAAAATTGATACACCAAATGGTGCAGAAAGACCCCAATACCTTGACTTCTTCCACGTACCAAATTGACTTTCAATTGCATGTCTTTGGGGAAAGGTGAATCTCTCTCTCTCTCAGTATGAGGTGCGGTATCGCTCGATTGATAGAAGAAGCTTGAGATGATTGACAGGCAACAAAGCCAATCACTTCTCTTGAGTCAGTGAGCCAAATCTTGAGAGATTTATTCTTTGCATAGTGAAGAAGTCCACCCCCAATTGAAATGCATTAGAGACTTTCAGGTGAAACTCACGTCTTGTCTTGTGTCGTGGAATTGGCTTCAGAACTCGACCTTTACGTATTGAGTCCAAGAGTTGATCTCGCGGAGTTGGCTTCGTCTTGAGCGGCGGCAATTTCCTCTCTGAGGCCTGAAAAGACATTCGAAGGTGAGAGTAAGCAAAATTAGGGCATATTTTTTGAGCATTCTTCCTATGGTGATTTCATATCCCAAAATATGAGCACACATTTCCTCACACCCTCTTCATCTGGAGTGTCGAAAGTGTGACGCAAATAGACTGTCTTTCTTTACAGCTCTAATGATAGATTATTACTCAAATATGAACCTATGCAATCGACCTTGTGAAGGTTTCTACTATCTATTCCCATTAGACCTCATTAAGTGATTTCACACCTTTGTCTTTGATAAGCGAAAATAAACATGATTCTTCTATTTTTTTTCTCATGCGATATGAAGTTGTAGAATTTTGAAGTCACCTTTTTCAGTGGCGGCCTCGATCGTATAAACTCAAGGATCACCGCGTGAGCATCCTTTTTCACCCTCTGCGGAATGTCACCGTTCACCATTACTTTCCTCAAGTTGTACTTCCTGGACCGAATATCCTCCATCAGGATTTCATATGGAGTCAATTCGTATTCAACGGGTGTTCGGGAAAAAGAACACTTTTTAAGTCTTACACCTCTTCTCAGCTCATCCACGACTTGCATCCAGAATCGAGCCTTTGATGAGAAAGAAGAAAAAAGGCAAGTATTAGTTGTAATAAAGTATACTTGATGGAATTAATCAAAACATGTATATGTAATAGCGATGATGTCTCCCAACATACTTGCAATGCTCTCCATATTCTAACTTCAGACTATTTCGCAAAGCATTGAAAGAGATATTGAAGAATCAGACAAGTGCAATAACCTCGATCTCCCGGAAGAAAATACTTCAACAGGTAAAAACTCACCCAATCATTGAAACCTAGCTTATCTAATTCCTGCTGCGATGTCTCCGCATCAGCTTGTATTCGAAGTGATTCCGACTCTGCAAGAAACAATAAATTAGAAGAGGAAACTTCTTGATAGAACACAAAAGGGCAAATTACCTCCTTGCAGTACTTTTTGCAGAAATATTCGCAATTCTATACTCTCGGTGGCGAGTGCACGACACACAGCTTTGTAGTGATCATTTGGAAATGACAGTGAAACACGTTTTGAGCAGAGCTGTTGGGAAAGAAAGTACAAACGATATGTCAAGACTAAGTAAAAAATATCATTCAATTAAAAGAAAATCTATGTGCTTTTGTAAATATTCAACGTGAGGATATTTCTAATGTTGACAACTGAGCAAAATTGTATTGGAAAGTGCAAATGACACAACAAATTATTTTCTATGCGCGCCCGCTTGTGTGCATCGTATAGAAGAAATGGACATTAAGAAACCCCCCGAATAAATTACACTCTTGTAGCATTTTGCAATTCAACATCGAACCAACGTGAAGATTTTTATCACGGAAGGAAAAAGTCTTTTTCGAATCTTTCTCTCAGTCTCTCCTCTCAATAAAGAGAGAATTTGCACTGCTCAGTTGTGGCCTCTCTACATGACAGAATAAGATTTATTCAGAAAGGCACACTCAGCATTTCACAGTCTGTGCATTGTGGATACGAAAAATGGTCTCCTAAATAGTCTAGCTTGGCGTATATGTATAAAGTGAGTGAAAAGGCAAATATAAATTGGGCTTGTCCGCAATGTGGGATGGTTCTAATGCATAAAGAGCGATTATTATGCAATAACGACTATTCACATGTTTGTCTTACTCATAGAATACTCGGCAGATATTCCACCAGGCTTACCCGAAAAGACTCTCTTTCAACGCCTCTGTAGTGCGCAAATCAATCTGAGAGATTGACACAGATAAATGCATATCGCACGCCTCAATTCCCCAGATTCAATTCATGCCCACTATTCGGCGCCATTGCTTTATACTAATTAATTACTCAATTGATTGTGTGCAATTATTATGAATAGACAAAATATTCGGCATATGATTTTCCTTTTCGTCGAAACACTTCCTCATAGTTTGTCAGTCAAACAAGTTACATTTCGCATTGTTGAAGGTGTGGAAAACGGTCTATTACTTCAAGGTCCATTATGGATTCATAACAATTTGCCCATGCATTCCTTCCACTCTTTTTCTTTCGCTAATCACATGTCGATTTTATACATCATATTTATTGTAAGATTTTCAATTAAGCAATCTTATACATGTGCAACAGGGAGAAATATGCGTCTTCAGCCGCATTTACCCAACTTCCTTTCCAATTTTATATACTAAAAACTTTCGCTCGCAAACAGAATTAATAATAAAATGATTGAGTGAGAGAAATTCCGCACAATCAAAACATTCACTCGTACTACGCCAGAACAATTAATGTCCACATGCAAATCAACTTACTTCCAGCACATGATCCATTTCTTTGGTTTCCACGAACTTCTCTCCCTCCACAGCGTCCTCCGAGTCCCTCTCGATGCCCTCGTCATCTACATCTGAAAATAAACGATACTTAAATCCTTCCTTCATCATCATCATTCACCTGTAAAGAGCGTTACAGTGTCAGACAATCTAAGATAATAACATTTTTATCTCGCTCTCCCACACATTACATTTTTATTGTAACATCATTCTCAATCTCACACTGTGTACATATTTCGTTCAGAACAAACATCCATGGTTGTTTGCCTATGACTGAGAAGAGACGATCTTGCTTCATTTTCTCAGCATTTAGAGAAACCATAAGAGAAAGAATAAATAAGCTGAATCACCTTATAATGCTGTGATTTCAACGGTTGTCAATTCAAATGCCCAGTAAATTCTTACTTAGATTTATATTAACGCAGAAAAACATGTGATAATCTAGATACGGAATTGTTTCAAAATGACAAACTTCTTTCATAACTACATATAATTAACAGTTGTAAAAATGAAAAGTAATAATCATAATTGAATAAATTTCAAATTATTTTATTATATTACCTAAGTCCTTAAAATATTTGACTTTATATGTTTAAGAAATACGATATTTTTGCCAAAAATATACACAAAATCTAAATTTTTGAAGCCCAAATTATAATATTTCAACCCACAACACAATTTCGTGAATTTGAACGTCTTGCACAATGACGAGGAATTTTTTTCGAAGGAGGATTATTTAAATTATATAATCTCAATTTGAATCATCATCACTGTCTATATTTTGAATTTTAAATTCACACCTAAGCAAGCAAGTCTTTCATCGACAACAGAAGCTGCGAAATTTGAATTATATGAAGAATCCCAGCTAATTAGAGTTGATGCAAGTGCCACGCACAATGGAATGCTTACCTTCGTAAGTCATCACATTTATCAGTTGATCAAGTTCTTGAGATACGACGCACTCCTCATCATGCGAGAAACTGTAGTCGAGAGCTTTGTAGACAATTACCCCAATCCTCTGGAGGACCTGCAGCCAAAAGGGAAACACATGAAATTGTTGGAATAAGCACGAAAAATCAACACTTTTTAACCACACATTCAATCTTTTCTAGTGATATTTATTTATTTTATTCCGCTACAAGAGAGAACAATTTTGAGCCTCTTGAAATTTTCTTCCGTTTGATTGTCATTTTAATTCTAGTATATTTGAGTCCTATTCATGCTCTCTGAACAAATGCTTAATGTGCAAAAAAAAGAAAGAAACATTCACCAATTCTAGCTTTCTGCGCGATCTGTAGCCCTGTGAATAATCTTCAATTTCAGTTTAATGGTACAATTGTGCGTTTAATCAAACGTAAAGTCGGACAATGAGGGAATTTGTTGGATTTTATGCCCAAATAATCACATTATGCTCTTGTTGCAGAGCCAATTAATCGGCAGTTTCACCATCCAGGTGCTATTCTGACTGCATTTGCAATGGAAATATCTCACACGCTCGAAATACTTAAATTATTAGCCAGAGTGCGTTGGGACGAGCGGGAAGAATAGCCCATTGTCAGGTGCGATCTCTCGAGACAGTGCCACAAAGTGAGTCGTGTCACTTAATATTATTCATTTTTATTATATGAAATTATGTCTGCGAACAATTTTAATTCGATTTATCAAAACACCTTCTTCCATTTCACGAGACGCGCTGTGTGAGAAGTTTTCTCTCCGCACAGTGTAGCTGTTTAGATGGCAAGACAAATCTCTTCAATAAGCATTTGAGTGAGAGACAACATTGTCTTTCTATGTAGAAGAATAATTTTTCATATGAATCTCTCCATGCTATTTGGGTCATCGCACCAACAGCAGTTATGATAGTTATCTCTTTACAATTTCTCCTTCCTCTTCATTCTTGTAAGCGCGCCTATCATCTGCCAATACTCCCTCTCACCATACCAATGGATCCAGAGTCTCACAACATGAAAATGCCGAGGAATATTTAATGGCAAATTAATGCAATGGAGTCGAAGAAATTGCGCGATTTATTTCACGAATCCCTGCCATCCAGTGACTCTCTTTCTCTCGCTGTTATGCAAAAGTTCCTTCAACCGCCAAATTCACCACTAAAAAATTTCAACACCACCGCTTCTGGCCACTCTAAATCCATGACAAAAGTCATTGCGAGATCATAAAGGCGAGCAAATGGATATAGTGGAATTTTCGCTTATGGCAAATCATGTACGGCATACATATTGACACAGATCCCGCGGGTCAAAGGGATCATTTTATTTTCGGTCAATTTTCGCCCAATGCAACTATTTTTCAATCCTCACTAGAGAATACCATAAAAGACATGACAATTTCACAATAATTAGCCAGTCTGAGCATGAATAAACCGCCAGTTATCATGAATTAAAATCGTCTCTCCGCGATGGCGATTGTGTCTCAACCACGTAACTGATTCCAATCACATCTCTTTACGTATTTCATTCCTTCCCGATAATCACGACAATTTTATTATCACTTTCACGTGATTACAAAAAATCACATGGCTTTTCTCTCAAGACTAGCTTTTCGCACCTTCCTTTTTTACCATACCAAAAATGCTCATCATGCCAACTATAATGGAAAAAAACTTCCACGATAGTGGCACAATTCTATGCCTAAAAACAAACTGAAGTGTGATAAGATAGCACCAAAATGTACTGCTGAAAGATTGATTAGATTGTGACTATTCTTTGTTACACTGAGAGTACGGAAAGAGTAAAAGACGAATGTGTTGCCTTTTAATTAATGTGTATCGAAGTTTTATGCGCGTCTCTTTTTTGTTTTTTTGTCTGTTTGTCCCCCAAATAATGTGGTAATACACTGCCAATTAGTACCGTAACCCCAATCTTGACTCAAAAGTGTATTTCACTGCTTTACTACCTTGTTAACATAGGATAGATACTTAATATGTCTCTTAAGATGATTTTGCCAAAAACATAATTTGTATTAAGCGAAAAAATATAACGTCTCAAGTTTCACTGCGATAGCCAAGGAGATAGCAATACGACATAATTATTAACATTAATGTAATGTGGTATCATTTATCATCACCTTTACAACATCCCAGAACATCAAGTCACACAAGTTCTTGCCAGCTCCGTGATATGAATATTTTCTTCGACAGCTCCTCTTTCTTTCTCTGTTTCCAAACACTTGTTTCAATAATCTCAAGACTCCCGCTGCTAAGCAATTTATTCTATTTTCTTCTTCTTTTTAATTACCCCGTTTCAATTTTCATGCATATTTAAATCTGTTTAATGAGAGAGACGTTTTTCTACTCAACTCGCCACAGTATTGAATGAGAAATTGATTCTCTGGTGAATAAAATCGTGCGAAGGCTTACTAACAAGCGTTACTGCTCAGTAACCACTAAAACTGCGCTCAAAATCTCGCTCAGATCAGACATAAACTCTCGCCTGAAACTAGATCTCAACTTTAGATTTTTTAGACAATTTCCAACCGAAAAATATGCCTTAAAAGACAATTTGAAAAGATAACTCTCGAGAATTCCAATTGAAATTCAAGAAATATTAAAGAACATTTTGTATTCAATACAAAAAAAATTACGATATTTTTTATGCAAAATATAATAATTTGCCTCAAATCAGACTCAGACTCAACATCGTTAATATACTTTTACCGAAACTAATAAACTCACCTTTTTCTGGGACGTCACGACGCACTTCCGCGCATCTGAAAGGGAAATAATACAAATTCATTAATTAATGTATCAAAATATTCTGTGCTTGTGTGATGTTAAAATAATGATACTAATTTGTATGCCACTGACTTCTCATGCTTAGTGCCTTTCTAGAGTTTCAAATATATAAAAATGCTAATTAGTTTCACTCTTTGGACGGCACATGAAAATCTGACAATCTGATCAAACTCCCCCAGTTAGCGAGAATAATAAAAGAATTCACCAATTGCGTCGTGCGAAGAGAGAGAGGACCTTGAACTAGGATATTCATTTCGATGACCTTAATGGCCAGTTTAGCAGCAAAATACAAGAGTTTTGCATTTCACCTGCTTAGTTTTGATACTTATAAACACATCTGCTGTGTGTCTTTCAGTTTCCAACACGAAATGGAGATTTGTAAGTTGAAAAAATGACATCCGCACATTCTGATCAGTTTTAACCAGAGCAAAGCGCCATGCCTTCAGAAGTGAAAAAAAACCACCAATGTCAAGTTCACTGTAGAAACAATACATCAAATGATTTTAATTGAGAAAACTCCCGTGAAGATAAATCCAGCGCCGTGGATAAGCACGATGGACAAAAAGGCGCAAAAAAGAAGGTCAACATGAAATACCTTCTCGTAAGACACGCCACTTTTTTCGGCTTGAGGGGGGTCTTAATCGCGCCCAAGAAAGCCATATGGGAGAGACTGTCTTGCAGCTCTAATCATTCGCGCTTGATTTACACCGGATCCAAATCGATTTGTTTCAAACGGTTGTCTTTTCTTTTTCCAGTCCATTCTTTTCTCTATATTAGATTATTTTCATTAGCAGCAAAAATTGTTAACATTCAGACACAGTTCAATGCGTAACTTATTCACAATAACTCTCCTGATGCCAAGCAAAAAGCACACGGCGCATTTCTCAATTGTCCATCGTACAAGTTCAACATGTATACTCGCGGCCCAGGCAATGTCTTCCCATTGACTGCACAGACTTGAAGCTTTTCACAAGACAAAAAATCCTGTCAGACTTCATGTGCAAGTTCACTGCACAAAACCCGTCCAGCACGGCAAAACGATATAATATGTATTTCCTGTGTGATCGAAATGAAACAAAAACGCCACACTCACAAACATTTTCAGAATAAATATTGCCGAGTGCTCAACAGATTATGCATCGAATGTATTATATAGACATATAACATAAGTTAAATTAACCTAATCTTTTCGGCTGGGCCGAAGAGATATGTTTTTAAGAGAAACCCACAAAGGTGCAAAGTGTCAAGCAACACACACGATTCTTACTTTAATTGGCCACTCCAGTCTATTCATTCATCTTCAAGAGGCTGTATCGCCATTAGGTAAGAAGGAAAAGAAAGCAAACCTCGTGATGTCCCACATGACCGTGACTTTGGAATTCGCTCTTTCTCTCGTTCCATCATGAGAATTTGCACTCTTGAGCTCAATGGACAATTGTGCTCCCAAAATTAATACATTCATTTGAGGCTCACGAAAACATATAGTGGATTTAATGAGAACATTTTCACCAAAATGGGTCACAAAAATCATCTGAAATTCCCTCGATGAGAAATACACGATTTAGCGGGAGTTCTTGCAATAGACAAACTTGCGGATTTTGTGAATATGTTACTTTAAAAGGTACAAAAATTAGTTGGTTGCGAAAGACAACTCTAAACTCACCATTAATATTTCAAAAGGAATTTCAAGATAATATTCGGAATGACTCTAGCATAAAATAGAAATTGTGCACAAGTCATTTCCAATGCTTTTGTCACATTTTAAAATAAAATTTTGAAATCTTTTTCTAAACCTTTCTTGTCTACCATAATCACTTCAAGTCGTAAAAGTGAATAAGTCTCTCCTAAAGAATGACGAAAACTACGCATTTTATTGACTTTTGTGACATACACTTATCAAGAGCAACTCAAGAAGGTATGACTCAAAACTCAACAGGTAAGATTGATAAAAATAAACGACAACAGTTAGTCAAATCTTTGGCGATAACTGAATAAATACGGACGTGATGTAATGGTAGCCCAAATCCACATTCCCTCGTCAGAAACATTTTCCAAAGTTCACTCCCACGGCCGGAAGTTCAGTTCTGTGACCACGAAGAGGGGTCTGATGATACCCATGACAGAAAAAATGCGCATACATTGCGGTGAGGGGGAGAGAAATCAATTTAGATACATAAGTCTAGGCATTGTTTATTAAATTAGTTTTATTGTTTTCTTGTATTTTTTCAACGTGAAATGAATCTGAGCGCCTCTTTTCCCCAATATCTTCACTTCTCTAGCTTATTTTTGCATCTCTACGCATTGTTCTCACAGCCATCGAGGCGTCTTCACCATCTTTTTCTTCCTACATAAGCAATTGTCTGTGTCATAATTGCGTATGTGGAGAGAGAAGATTCAGCAAATATTTCTTATTATGGAATTGACACAATATCTAATATACTCTGTGTATAAACCATAGGATAGTTTCGTTCTTTTTTACATCTTCTTTCAAAAAATTAGCTATTCACACCGTTTCTCACGATACCAATTTAATGGGTAATGAACTATACAATATGAGATAGTAGGAAAAAGCATATATTTTTATATTGAACTATCAATGAGGCATAAAAGTGCCTTTCAAAACATATTTTGCTCATGTGCACGAACTTCAAAAATGGAATTCTCGATAAGAAATCACAAATTAATCCCTTTGTAGAATGTGACGATTGATTGGACTTGAAGATTAACGAGGAATTTTTTAATTTTCTGCATAGCTTTCAAGTCAAACAATCGCTCTAAAGAAAAAAGGCGCCAAAATAGGGAGAAAACAGAAGCGAACCAATAAAATTCAATGCACGACAAAAACGATCCCATTGATGGCATTTTCAGCAGAGGAGAAAATTTCCAATTGCAAAATGGAAAAGACTTTCCCCATTTGGCAATGCAGCACAACAGAAAAAAATATATAGATAGATAAATTTTTGTGGGACTTCTTCGCCAGGCCAGTTTGGATGATTTTATAAGCCCTCTGTCGCAATTGATCTTATCATGTGCTCGTCGATAGATAAAAAAAGACTAATCTGCTATATTTTATATTTTTCTCTTCTTTCTCCCCACATATAACCATTCAGCAGCTACACAAGTGAATAAACATTTCGGCCTTCGCATATTCATTCTACGCGACTCTTCAGCCCACACACGCATCCACCAAAAACCATAAGCATCAATTTCCCTTTTTCCCATTTCATCTACTATGCATATGTCTTTCTCTCGCTTCAAACTATGGCTTTTGTGGGGCCATCATTAATGATAGAATGAGTCAACAAATTGTCGCATCGCATTGGTGAAGAATTATTGTCCAACACCAAAAATCTCTATCTCAATTGTCCCAAAAACCTACAAATACATACGCTCAACTGTGACAGAGGCCAAATATTTATGAAAAATGCCACGGAAGAGAAAATTCAACATCTTCATTCTCGGCAGATGCTTTGGCTTGCAACGCAGATGCACTTAATTGAATAATTACAATGGGACTGCAAATTATGCTGCCGGTGAGAAATATCAAGAATCACTCTATTAAGAGCACAAAAAGGCCCTCGATGGCGCTTTCTTTGCAGCATATCAAGCATTACAAAAGACAATAAGAGAAAAGAAGACGTAACAGATACGCAAGAATTGTAAGGAAATGTGGTTTAAAAAACAAAAGTTACACTCCCTGTGGCAAAGCACATCATCTTCATGAAATCCCCTCTCCAAGAGTTTCTCATTCCCTCCATATGTATAATTTTTTCACGATGGGGGAGCATTAAATCAGTCGTGTTTCTCTGCACAGAGCGCAATTTTTCCCACCCAGAGGAATTCCTCCGCAGCCAAAGAAAAAGAATTTTAATTCAAGCACTTGCGAATGCAATGCACTGCTATTGTTACAAATACCATCATTATAATCAATGCGATTTAGCGGGTAGAATTCTTGTCACGAAATATTCAATGCCCAGCAAGAGAGGCCTTCAAGCTGGGCGACGAGAAAAATGCGCGAAAACACACATTTTTTCACTCACTTACGGTGATGCTTCGTAATGCGGAAAGTTGGGCATGTTGAAGCTCCTTGAGCAATTAGTCTAGCGCAACGTATAAAAGAGTGAATCTTGTGGTTTCACTTCCATCTTCATCAATGAATTATTTAATAGGTAAAATATATATCGAAGCAACTCTCCGTTCGGCAAATGCATAGGTTTACCGGCTTTCGAATGTATATATAACGCTGGCTTTTCATTGTGGTTTGCTCTTTCACAACGCAAAGTTCTTAACCCATGATTCCCATCGAATGCAAATGAGATCTTCATTGCTGGCATTAGCCGTATTTTCTAAAACAAAATTCTTTAATTATTCTTGCGAACATATAATCAACCGGCGTTTGAGCAAAAACGTTTAGGGTTTGCTATCTAATTTTTACTGAATTTACTCAAACGGATCTTAACTCAATCTCAGCCAAATGTATTCGCTGGGAAAGGCAGGATTTCTGCATCATGCTTTTATGCAGATCCTAAAGCAGTTATTGCAAGTATATCCTTAGCAATTCTCAAACTGTCACATTACCAGTTTACTGGGTTCTATCTAATCCATGACTTTGGACCAAATTAAGCGAGGTTAAACTCAGTTTTGTACCACATTTTAAAGGAATCTAGCAATTCTGCCCATTGCATTCGCCACTTGAGCCGAGAAACCGCATTGGCAGTTACCAGGGTGGCTTTCTGAATATTTCACCCTCCGAGGGTGCAAATCGATAAAGCTGCAAGACTCTGCGTGCCATGCATGAATTATCCAAAGCATTTTAAACATACCTTCGCCGCTGAATTGCACATGAACCGTGCCGTCGCGGTGCAGTTTGTAGTTCCTGGACAGCGTGGGCACCCTTAAGTCGTGCCTCTGTCCTTGAGGAGCGCTCAGGATCTCCTTGTATGCGCTTACGAGACGGTTCACAATCGCCCATGCCTGTTCCTCAGAAATTGGGGCGTTGAAGCTCTTCAGAATGTCCTGGAGACTCACGCAGCCCTCAGGATCGGAGCAAGAGTACAGGGGATCCTCCTTCTCCACCGTACTCCGGGCTGCTTTCGAACTGTGGCTAGGGCCGGGAATTGGTGCATCGTCACTAGCTGATGCCGTTTCACCATTCTTCATTGCCAATTTGCTCATCCTCCCGCTTGTCTCTCTTTCCTCTAGGCGAGATAGAAAGCTCTATTGTCAGACACTTATCACAGTACAGTTGTCAACAGAATGCACACACACTGGCCAAAACAACTTGCCACTGAAGTCACATGGCTCCAGAGCCAATAAGCACGCAATCACACGACAAATTCGCCCCAAGGCGTCTGGGAAGAGTGACCAGGAAGTTTCCGGAAGCAAAAATGCCTTGTATTCACAAATTACACCTCCTGACACTTGATGCACTTGCGCATTTTCATCACAGGTGCCAACACTCGGACGCACAATTCAACCCATCGGCTCACTGAGATGCCATCCACCATTCAATGCACTCGGCACGCGGTAAAGTAAATTATAAAAAGGGAAAGGAGAACACAGAAGCAGAGCAGGAAAAAATAAACACACGTACGAACAGAACTTCGCTCCGCTAGCGTTCAACATCAACTGCTGAACATGCGACTCGGCGACTGAATGCGAACCACACGCAGACCTTCCATGTTGAGCCACTGGCGCTGAAAGCGCGACGAAGAAAGTATGAGATATTGAAAGAAACGATTTTTCCTTGGACATTTCTTCACTCATCGCTTCAAAGTACAATAATTTAATTTTCACACACCAAAGGGGCACTCCAGGTCAATGAAGGGCATCTTTCAGGTGCTCCTCCCACAAGCGCCTCGTACGAAATAGTCGCTTTGCCGTGTGTCTTACTTTTCGCCACACATTCTGGGGCTGCAAAAAGCGCGATAATCTTCATGAGAATATATAATATATTTAAAAAGCTAAATAATTCCACTCACGTCATTGAGCTGAGGATCACTGCTGTATCTTATCAGCTTTGACGGAAGTGATAAGTTGTCCTGCGCGTTGGGAAGATAAATCGATGGACCGCTGTAATACAGAGAAACTCATTCAGGGAATTGTGAATTGTCGAAATGATTACATACTTTAACATTTCCTTCAATTTCTCTTCGTATTTCTGCCTTTCGCAACTCAACACAACCATATCCTGATGCATAGTATTGATCTTCGTAATAAGCATCTTCCTGTCGTCCAATAGAGTGCTGAAATATGAAAAACCATCAAAGAATACCCATGTTTCCCTAAGCAACAAAATAACTTACTTGATATGCTCAGTTTGCTTAGAAATCTTCTTCTGAATGATCTTCTCGCGCTCCTCATGCTCGCTTTCCCACATCTTCATGTTCTCCAGGATAATCTCTGTCTGCGCCTTGATCTCCAACAACAGTCTAACAATTAGCAACAACACACAGTTAGTGAGTTATTACTCTTCTTCTAAATGAACTAACTAACTTATATTCATTCTGAAGCTCCTCGTAATCCTTCTGCAGTATTTGATAGCGCTTCAACAAATCCTGATTATGCTTCTCAAAAATCGCCTTATCCTCTCTAATGCCCACAATCTCAGTGTCGAGTGAGATGAGGCGATTCACTTCCTGCTTCAAGAGATCCATTTCCCCCTGATTTGCTTTCAACAGATCCGACAAAGCACGACTGCGACCCTCCAGAGATGCCACTTCATCCTTGAGATCGACCATTTCGCTCTTTAGTACCGAATTCTCCTTCTGAAGTGATATGTTGTGCTTTTCCAGCTCTTGAGAGCCTCCACGAAGACTGGTATTGGCAGCATTCAACTCCTGGATGATGACACTCTCTCGTCTCATGCGATTAGACCGGACAGCTTGGAGCTCATGGTTGAGGTCTTCAATGGCATCGCGGTATCTGGAGACAAAATCATAGAATTTCAGTGATTTCGATTATTTGACCCTTTTTGTAATGTGATATAAAAACTCACTTGGATTCTCCTTTCTCGAAGAAAGTCAATTGATCTGTTTTCACCGCCAATTCAGCCATGAGTTCTGCCTCCTTTTGAGATGTAATGTGTAGCTTTTGATTGGCTCTATCTAAATCCTTCTCGCGCTTTTCCACCACAGCCTCTAGGGATGATATCTTCTGCTTCATCTCGCCCACCTGCAAAGCAACTCCCATTAAAACTGCTCATAAAAATATGTACTATCTCAAGGCACAAACAGTGCTGATCAAATCCTTCGTCTGCTCTGTCAACTTTTTTTTATCGTCAGCAGCAATTTGTTGCAGTCTACCCCACTCTAGACTCTTCCATCGCAGCGCAACTGTGGCTCTCGAGGCCTCGGTTGATTTCTGGTTCAATAACTTCTGCAGCTCCTGAATGCACTGCGTGTCTTTGTCCTTGATATAGCGTCAAAAACACGAGAACGAGAGAGGGAGTTATTTTAGTCTTCAACACTGCATTGATTTAGCGTCAACTGTGCTTTCAACAATACTCTGCATTTACCGAATCACTGCCACGCTTCCCATTGCCATTGTCAATGACCATCGCGGTTCTGCACGTGCAGAATCGTCGTTGAATGTCCAACTGCGACTGAAGAGTTTTGTTCTCTTTCAGCAACTCCTCAATTTTACCATCCTTCTGTTCTTGCTCGAGGCCTGTATTTTTCAGTTCACTCTCGAGAGTGGATTTCTAGAGGATAAAGTGTCGATAAATAGAAAAATGTTGGCCGATGCTAAGCACTCACCTCAAATTCCAATTGCTTGATCTTCGTCTCTGCACTGCTAAGTTGCTCAATGTAACTCTCAATCGTGTGCTGTAGATTATCATTTTGAAGTTCTAGATCATCCAGTAACGTCTTCAGCTGCATAGAATCCTCGATAAGGTCCTTCTGCTGTTGCGGCTGCTGCAGCAACTGCTCAGTAAGCGACTGCAGCTCATTAGACAGATCATCAATGATCTGCGTGTACTTGTTCGATTCCATCCTCAACGCAGAAACATTCTCTTCAGATATCCTCTCGGAAGTAATGCTTAGAACTCCACTTGCTTTAGATGACTGCAAGAGAAATGGGATTTTACATTAAAGAGCGATTTATTGCTCAAGGATTATCGTGTGGATTCAGGCAATTTATGTATATAGCAGAAAAGTTCTTAATGTCTGCAGAGGAATTTCCACGACACAACACATTAAATTGTCTCCATTTTTCACTCAATTTATTCGATTTCCAGATTTCCAAGTCATTTTTCATGTCTTTTCATCATTCTTCCGTTTCACCAGCAATTTAAGCCCCGCAATTCTTTCGCCAAGAAATCCACTGTCTGAGGATATTAAGGAAAATTATACTTAATTGATCACGAATGGGACATTTTCCCGTGAAAAACTTTTCACATTCAATCCCAATAAGTTCACACAAATTATCATTTTATCTATTACCACCCAACATGTAAACCTGGAGACAGAGAGCGTGTGAGAAACCACAAATTTCACACTTTGGCCCAACACTCAGTGACTCGTCAACACCTTCAAGGCTCGAAGGAAAGGTCTTTTGCCCCCAAACACTCCGTATATGTGACCAAATGGGTGGCAATCGTCTGCTCAACTGAAATAGAAATCGAAGGATTCGACACATGCACCTGAAATTTGAGATTGAAATGTGTTACCATTTGCAAATAATAAGTCTGTATTTGTGTATGATTCGCCCTCACGACATGTTGAGTGGGAGCTGTTTTTCACCAAGAGAAAGTGAAAAGGATCATCAGGATAGAATTTTTGGGTCATGCCTTTCCAGGTGTTGTCAGAATACGTTGACCCAGAAAGTTTTGGGAGAGACCAAATAAGCGTGTTTCATATTAATAAAACGTACATAAGGGAACAATTTTCACACATTTGCGTTTTGGAGCGTCTCCGTTTTTCACCCTATCCACCATGGCTGGAAAGACATATTGATTTTGCAATAAATCCACCATTTAGGAATATGTTATGCTCCCTCAATTTCTCTCTCTCTACAATATCTACTCTACTTTTCAAAGGCGTAGTGAAGTTCTAAGGGATTTAAAAGATCATCAAAAATTTGCTAAAAAAAGGGAATAATCTCAATGCTCTTGGATGACAGTGGAAGATAGTGAAAAAATCAACATAACGTTCATGTCTACAACGAATTGAAACTATGCATTATTTATGGAAGTTGTGAAAAGTTCAATTTGCCAAGCAGAAAACAGATGACTAATCCAATAATAACCCTGATTGAAGATCAAAAGTGAAGCAAAGGTAGACAGGATAGCCTGGAATTATTGTTAACAAATACTTTACGTTTACATAAAAGACACTTCAGCTGTACGCCACTGTGAAAGTTTTTTTTTTATAGTTCGCCACAGAGAATAAGTACTGTCACGTGTCGCTTACGGGACAGTTTTATAGACTAAAATTATTCACGCAACGCGGTCTCAGCATCGTGACAATTCTTGATCTCATTAGATGCTTAAAAGAAACACCCAACAGATGAAACCCCCTGGCAATCTGTCGTGAAAACCCCTCGTCAAGTGAATAGGATCAGAAGGCAAAAGGATACAATAATCTTGCATATTCACTTGAATAACATAATAAATAGTATTGAGCTCGGGCACGAAGAATAAGATTTATTGCTATGTTTATCGCATCATTCAGCACGCCATCGATACACACTCATGCAAAGGTGCAGTGATCATCACTTTTCGGCGCGCGCGAAATTTTTCCCTCCACGCGACGAAACGCGCAAAAAATGTTTCCCCCCAAAATATACAGCCTTTTGTCTTCCCTCCCCTCCTTCGCATATCACAAATTGTACCCACGAGTTTTCTTCACATGTCTTCGATTTGCCAATCGAACTCCAGCTGTGACTTTAGGATTGGAAACTTTCACCAAATTGACGCGATGATGTCGAAATTGCCACGCGATTGTGAGGAAAATTGACAAAGCCACGACATTTTGATACATACATACTTCATACAATTGCATGAAGATATTAAAGAGCCCTTCAGGGAAAATATTTATTACCAAATTTTAGTTGATTCAATAAACTAAACAAATGAGTATTTTAGAACTCATTCTTGATGTAATTGTGGCGTGTTGTTCTAAGAAGATACATACATTTGAGAGTAATCCATTCTGTAGACACGCACACAAAGAGCGCTCCGTAACGCATGACGTAAAATCAAGGAGTCAATAAGGCGAGTTCGAGAGAAAGGGAATCACAGCCCCAGTTCCAGAATGAGATTCTAGAATCTAGTAGAATTTCCTAGATTCATGGAAAAATTTCTGCACTTGTGTCCACATATCGTGAAAAAGAAGCACCTCAGGCTTTAGTGAATCAACATGCCATGCCTTAATAGTCGAAGGGTGAATCAATATATAGAGCGATTTGGCATTGTGAGAATTTGTGATTGCATTTCCACCATTTAGTATGTCCGTCACTCAAAAATAGATTCTTCTCACCCTCGAGGAAGGTCAAACTGTGTGTAAAAGCTCTCTTGCGCTCTCTGTCCCCATGCAAGCCATCCTCAAATGACGACACAGCCGGTGAATATCATTGACAAAACCCCTCACTCAAACTCACCCCACGACGACTTTTCTCCTCAGCTAACTCCAGGAGCGCATCGTGCACGTTAGCTCGATATCTTAGGTTTTCATCTTGTAGGAGAGTCACGTGGCGATCCAGTCTCATATTTTCGTCAAAGACATCCCTGAGGAGCTCTTGAATCAGTGTTTCACCAATTTCTGCATTTTTCTGACAAGGAATCAAATCAAAACAACAATCGTTGATAAATCGAATGAGTTATTTAATAAACACCATAAACACTCACCTGAATGATTTCATTTCTTTTCTTTTCTTACTAAGACAAATATTTACACACAAAAATGACTTTGTAGAAAAATATTTATTTCCCAAAAAAAAAAAACAATAAACAGATATAGAAAAATAATAATGTAAACATTGCCCCCTTTTCGCATGGCAAAAAACAATTACAACATGAAAGAATTAACAACGCATTACAGGCAACTTTTTATAAGCGTATTTCGATAAATCATTTTCTCCTTAATCAAGTTTAGTAAGGAAGCTCTTCATGGCATTAAGTTTCTTATTTAAACAATAAGGTTAGAATTATTTGTGAAAATAAATAGTCAACTATCCCATGTGTTAATAAATGTGAAAAGGAAATTGTGTTGGGTAGAGTGCCAGAGGACGGTAATCTGACGGGATTGGCCGACCCGTAGTGTTTCCAAAGTGGAATGTCTCAAAATAGGCACTGTTTTTGAGCATGACAGAAGAAAAAACAAGAAAAGCGTGTCTCTAAACATCATGCACTGAGCGCCACCAGCTCCACAAGGAGCCGCTCTGCTGGCCTCCCGGACTCACAGGTTTCCCGTCTTTTTTCATATTCTCCACGGCTGACTTCAAATTGGAAATTGTTGTCATTTGATGATGACACTTCAGCACCACAAAAAATGTCCAAATTCAGCAAAAATATTCAGTCATTCGATGATATACAATGCTTTAACTCACCTCAACTTCCAATCGATTTTTGTCAGCGAGGAGTTTGGCGAAAATTTCATTCGGTTGATGGTTTTCCATCTCTTTCAGGCGACATAAAAGGTCTTCATTGGCACTTTTTTGTTCATTCGCAACGCTTACGTGCTCGTCGATGGCACTCTTCAACTCATTAATCTGCAATAAAACTGATTTTGAATGCAATTTCTTAGCATTTCACCGCAGAAAATCTCACCACTTCCTTATTCTTCATAGCTTCCGCCTTGAGAGAATTCTGAATTGTACTCAAATTCTCAATTTCGAGTCTTTGCTTTTGTATATTCTCTTCTTTCATGGCATTTTCACGTTTTAACTCCTCAAGAATGGCACTAAAGCTCGTCAAGAGATCACTGTTACTGCCAGCTTCCTCCTGATTGCCGCCAAACTGAAAAATTCCCATTGTTAAAAACACTGGATGAAGTCACTATAATAATTTCTGTGCGCGGAAGAGAACAGAACTGTTCCAAATCACGAACTTTACTAATTTTATCCAACTTAATTTCCTTTGCCACACCTTCAGAGAGACGACCGACTGGTGGAGTTTGCTTCTCCAATCTGAGATTATTATTAGAAAGTACCAGCCAAGAAGCAGCAGAAAAGGAGCAAAAACGCATTTGACCTCTATATTTTGGATCTTCCTTCAAACTTCTATCACTAGAGAGCATATTAATTTAACAACTTCCATTCTATTTCTATATTTGAATTCCTGGTGAAATTCATCAAAACAGCCTCTCCAAAAATATCTCAGGAATATTGTCTGATTCACATGTGAAAAGCGCAGATGATATCTTTTTTTATGGAAGCTTCAAAGTAGGACAGCGAAAGGCACTTTAGAGAAGAATCACTGCGACATATGGTCAATTAATGTGACGCATGCACTGAACTATTCTTGTCTTCATACTCACACTCTTGCAGACATTTCTTATTTTGGTTATAACTTGTTGCATCTCATCTAATTGTTTCCCTTGTTTGCTCAAACGATCATTCTGAGAGGAAAAATCTACAAAGAAGAGAAGTGGAATGTGAATACATTCCTCGCTTACAACAATTTAGATGATAAAAAAAAAAAGATGTTATAAGAATAAGACACTGAAAAAGACAGGCCATTCCAAGGGCAGAACCCTCTTAAAAGCAATGAAATTAATGAGATTCAAATGAGAAAAGGAAATAAAAAAACAAACACTCGTTTTCCTCGTGATATTCACTTAATTTTCCTAAGAAGTTTCAGAATTTTTGAAACACTTATAAATGGAAGATGAAAAATATTTTCTCTTACTTTTCAGTTGTTCTCTAATTTGTGCCATTTCTCCGTGCATTTCGGCATTCTCTACACGAAGAAGTGAATTGGTTTTCCTCAAATTGAAGAACTCATGTTTAATTGCACTCAACATTTCGGTTTCTGGCACTACAACATCATCACTGTCTGGAATAGTCAATCCCAATTCCACATTTAACTGATTCAGTTCGTTACAGATGTCTTGGAGATTCTTCCTGCTGCTCTGAAATTACAATCACTCGATCAATTAAAGAAAAAGTGGATCGTTACATAACCTTACCATCTCCTTGAGATCTGTCTGCTTTGATGGCCCGTCATTAGATAAATCAACAGCTAAAGAGTCTGTAGAATCGCTTTCATGAGTGTTTATCTGAAAAGAGAAATTTTGCTGCGTTTTTTCCAAATCTGTAGTATTCACAAAATTGATTATTATGACTTCTTCCTCTCGAAAATCTTTACAAATTCCTTCGGCCTTATACACAATTTTTCAATTACAGGGTTAATAACCAACGGGGAAAAATACACAGAATCCCCATCACCACTACTTGAGCTGTTATCATCTGCAGAAGCAATATTGGGATACTGGAAAATCATAACACAAGTCAAAAAGGGGGTGGAAAGTGTGGCTGTCGCGTGTACCTTCTTAAGAGCCGTGATTTCACGTCTAAGTTCCCTGATGACATCGTCCTTAAAGTGAATTTGCATTCCCGCCTGACGCATTTGCTCTTCCAAAAGTCCATAATCTGATCGCATTTTCTGTATCATGTCATGCTTCATGGCAATTTCCTCAACAAGAACTTGGGTATCACTGGCGGCCTATTAAGGGTGGTTTTGCACATCATTTTTTTTTTAGTTTTACTCTAAAATTCTAATACTCCTCGAGTGAGAAGATTCACCTTGGATTTACGTGACAATCGTGGTAATCAAGGAGTAATTTTTTTTTATGAAAAATGAATAGTTTTTTTGGCCGAATTGTGCTTCTTGCCGCTTTTGCTAGAAGTACTAACCTTTTCCAACTCTCTGTTTTTCATCTGTAGCAAGTTTAGCTCTCTCTGCGTGCTCTCCAGTTTCTCCCTGAGGATTGCCTGTAAAATGTATTAGTCACTAGAAGGATATCCTCATACAATACTGTGATGACTCACATTTTCTTCGAATGATTTGTAGCCATCGTTGAAGGTGTGAATGGATGTAGAGCCACGAAAATCATCCCGGATGTTTGTCATCCCCTTGGATATGTCCTCGAGGCCTCCAGTAATGATTCTGCTGGTTTCTGGTGTCATTTCCACCGTGACTCTCGCCACATCCGGTTCCTCGCCATGCCGCAATTCCGTCAAGCTCTTCTCTAGGTCAGTATCGTGGAACTTCAGTCCTTCTGTGCTGTAATTACTGTCTCTAACAATACGTCGTAGGAAGATCAATAGGTTCTGAATATCGTGCTCCAGCTGAAACACTCTCCGGTCATGCAGTTTGTACTCCTTTTTCAGGCGCTCTTCCAGGAGGTTCAGCCGATCCGACACCACGGTTTCCACCTCCTCCACTGCTTTGACCAGTTCTCTGTTCTGCACAGTGAGATCCTCCACCCATTGCTTGTAGACGGGTAGTTTTACCTGAAAAAGAGCGAGAAAATGTATCTTTTCATCCTGTCTATGAGGCCATGGCAAAACTGCCTGTGGCCGTACAACTTTTATCCTTTCCAAGGGTGCATCAACCATAACCTCACTCTCGCTTTCTCACCTTCAGAGATTCCTGGTTATCATTCCCAATCTTCTTGTCAATGTACTTTATCTTGTCCTGGTACAGTGACGTGAATATATCAATTACACCCAGAGCACTGACATCAGGGACGTCTGCGCAAGGATCCTCCTGTACTTCTGACTGATCTTCTTTCTCCTCCTGATTCATGGCGTTTTGCGCAACTTGTTTTCACGCTATCAGCAATTTTCACTCCTTCACCCACGGAAAATCACACAAGAGCGGCAAAAATTGTACGATTTAAGTAGAAAAATAGATTTTCGTGATCTTCTTGCGCATCAAACAAGATCACAATTTTATTTCTCAGACCCACTTTGATCTCTTCCCAACTCCGACGCCATCTATGATCATCGCCTCCCAACTTCCAGCCTCTCATTGTTTTCACCGTGAGGTTTCCACATTAAAATAGTATTTTCTTAATTGAAAATCATTTATTGACCTTTCCAGTGAATTAATCTTTGAACCAGAAATCTCAATTCGACAGGGTTGAATTTAGCAATGACAAAATCATTTCTGCTCTCGTCATTAATGAAACAGAAATCGTAAGTAGAGTTCCTCTTATCGCTCTGTCGTAACTTCTCTACACTCTCTCTTACAAATCCACGGAAAATTTCAATTATACAAGACAAAAATTTCATCCTTTTCTCTCTTTCACTCACTTCCTATCCTTCTGGCGCCTCTCCTGTAACGCCTCACTTCAACACCAAATCCTAAAGACCAAAAACGATGTGTGTGTCTTTTATGCCAAGTACACGTAGGTTTTTCTATCTTCGGGCGTGCGGGCCAAATATTCACGCTCAATCAGACCCTCTATTCGCTTCTTTATGACTACAGGTGACGGCAAGAAACGCGCCTTCAGTTGACTCGTCACATCGGACACCAACATATTGTGCTTTAAAGGAAAAAAAACCGTATTAGCAAAGCATTATAATACAGAATCATTCTTAGTATTAAGAAAAATGTTCTAATACATCAAAAATACATTTTGAGAAAATTGTTTGAATCAACTCAGTGCTTCAATCATCTTAACTAAATCAAAGAGAACCTCATTAAACTAGTATAACAAGAGGAAACAGGATCTGTTAGCAATATAAATTAAAATAAGCATCAACTCACAGACATAGTTTTCCTCAGCTTCATAATCCTCACAATCGCGGCCTCGATTTCATGCTTCCTATCTTCGTCCACTTTGCTGCGTGTTTCCTTCCTCTCCGGCTCTGACTCGCCCTTGGCGGCCACTGTTTGGATCTTCACACGATGGAACTTGGACACGAACGCATCGTTCACCAGAAATTCATTCGTCGGCTCGATGTCCTTTGTCTTGGGCGTTCGCACGAGTAGTCGCTGACCCGCCTTGCCCATTGAGAGACTCTGCAGTGCTCTGATCAGATCCTTCTCCGGAATATCCGTCTCCTGCTGAATTTCCTCATAAGTCAGCCGATCGCGATTGTTGAACAGCATGAGCACGCACATCTGCAAGGAGAGCAACATTAGGATCTGTACCTGTATATACATTCATCAATTGAGGCTTCACCTGATAGGTCGATACTTGCAGAATGTGCTTTCGCGTTGTTGTCGGCCCACCGGTGATGCTTCCCGAACTCGAGCTGGCGCCGTCCTTGTTCTCAGCATCCACCTTGGCGCACCCGTAGAAGACAGAATTGATGTACGCCGTGCCCATTTGCGGCTGCAGCGTCAACTGACGCCCAGAGTGCTTGGCCAGGTAGAATCTCTTGAAAGTTTCAAAAGCCTGACGTGGCGCACTGGGAATATTGCAATTTGGTGTTGCGGACTGCGTGGGCCAGAAGCCTGTCGTCAGTATCCTCACAGTGAGGTCCACGCCAAACAGTGAGATGCCCTCGTTCATCACGTGTGTCTTGAACTCCTCCATTATCGTGTTTGATACTGACATGTCCTTAAACATGCCTTCCAGCTTCGATGTGAACTGGCAGCCGCACTCAGTCTGTAAAGGCAAAACACAAAAGTCAATCTTCAACTAAACGCCAGCAGAAATAGGCTCACCTTTAGCTTTGAAATCATGTTCTTCTCAGAATCGTCGCTCACAGACTTGTTAAGTAGGAGTCGCTTGGCCAAGTGATTCTTGTAGTAGCGCTCAAACACATCCTTCTCCAACAAATAACGGAAGAGAACCATCGTCTTATCCAAAATTGTCTCAATCTCCTGCTCCGTCATCTGATAAACAAAACAAAAGACTCTTATATTGATAAATCCGATAAATCATATAATTGAGTTATAAAGATAACTAACAAGAAAATAATTAAGTGATTTTCTAATTACTTGAATATAATTTATAGAATAAAAATTCGTCAAATATTCACTGAAATAGGCTTGAAACAATAGGTCCTAGTGTAAAGGTCTTCAAATTAACATCATATAATATAAATGTTTTTCTAAAGTCTAGATGGAGTATAAAGAATAAAAACAATACAACTTATTCGCCCTTTAGTTTTGCCAAGAAATTTTGAATTCACGAAATTCACCGCAAGACTATTAACATTCTTCTAAATTAAACCAATAATTTCCCGAAATAACGTTTAGAAACTCGACAAAAGACAACCAAAAGAGTAATAATTTTTTACCCAAGATAAACTTGAATTACTCAAGGACTGTTCTTCAATCGTTCCTTCATGCCAATTGGAAAATCTGGAGGACTTAATAGTCAAGGCATTCATATTTAAATCAAGTAGAAATGGATTAAATCAACACTTACGCCCTTTCCACCCTTCTTGAGCTTGTCGTCGATGAAGAGCGAGAGATACTCTGGTGACTTGCTGTTGAGATTAAGAAAGTGCTCAAAGTCTGACGATATCATGTGCTTGAAGATTTTGTCATTGTTGAAGGACTGATTGAGGAAGTGATCGAAGCGATCCTTGAGATCGAGCAAGTTCTGCACATACGTGATGGGATTTGTGCCAGTCTCCTCCTCCTTCACCAGCATCCTGCCCTGCTCCCTCAAGTATCCTGACACGCAATCCACAATCGTTTTCAGGCCGTCATCTACTCGCGAGAACAGTGTGTACATGCACGCCAAATCCTCCACCTTCCTGTTCTTCAACATGTACACCACTCCGGAGTTTTCCATCTCCACTATCGAGCGCATGTGCTTCTTGATTAGTTCATCCTCCACCACTGTGATGATGCGCGACTCCGTCTGCTTGTCTAGATACAGCTTCGCCCGTTCCGCCTCCTCCGTGATGCGCGTCTCCACCCGCTTGATGTACACACTGGCACTGTTCTCGGAAATGAACTTCTGAGATTCCATCTTGTAGAAGGCCGCTGATTGGGCCAGAAAGGGTCTCTCGAAGTGCTCCTCGTACACCCAGTGGCTGTTGATACCCAGCACCACTAGCATCTGACACGCGTTCTTGATGGCAATGTGGTCCACCACCTCGCCTTTGCGCTCCCGCATCACCATGCTCAGCAGCGTCTCACGCAGGTGCTCCCGGATGGGCGGATAGCGCACCACCTGATCCCTGAAGATGTTGAGACCCAAGTTGTAAACATTCTCCACATCGTGCTGCTGCACATAGACGCGGTCCATGTACATGAGAATATCCCTCGTCATCACCATCGACGTCTGATGATCATTCCACGCCTGATTCAACGTCTGCAAGAAGTTATTGTTCAGGCTCTGCTCCACCTCCACGCGCACCTTCGTGTCCAGATGATGCGTGACCACTTCCTTCAGACCAGCGTACAGCCGCTCACCGTGCTTGTGCAGCACCATCGTGTACGCATTCCTGTACAATTCCTCAAACGACAATCCCGAATTGTTCTTCTTCTGAATCTCCTGAATGGCATTCTTCAGCAATGCCCAAATCGATTCCACGTACTTCTCGTCCATAGTCATCTGCAAGGTTACAAGAAAACACGCCATTCAGCTCATCTCTGGTCACACCCAAGACCCTGTGTCCTTCTCATTAACCACCAAGTATAGATGATTTTCATCCAGTTCCTTTGAGACTTCCCTCAATATATACACTCCTCCTTTCATCTCTTCACACCCGCGCTTCATCTTTCAGCGCCATTCACACACACTTCGAATTTATGCTTTTGTTTCTTGACTAAATCCCAGGCCTGTGTGTTTAACTTCCTCAAGGATGTGCTAAATTACAATCCTCATATTCCTCGCCAATTGCTAATTTTACCAAACCTTATCTGGGCTTCTCCGGGACAAACTAATTAATTGCTGTTAAAGTAGCATTTCATTAAAATTGGATAAACTAATAGAGATTATTAATTGCTTGTAAACAAATATTCTTCTATTTGCTAAGAAAAATATTATGGGATCTACCAAATTTATCAAATTAAGATTTGATATAAAGAGTCGAAAGAGTATATAGCAAATTATTCACTTTTGCAAAAATTTCATATTCAGCGTTTCGTGTAATACAACTTTTTTATCTGTGAATAATGCTATGTAGCTTTATAGTAAAACAAGTATGTATTTATTTTGTCATCATCGATTTGGAGGTTTACTCAGATCTTCCTTGTGATTCCCATTCCGTTGCCTTTAAAGATTCTTTGTCACTGGACAATGATTTGTCCTAAGATTCTATCGCAACAGCTCTCAAACATCGTGAATAAAGTACAAAGATTGAGAGACGAAACTTTCACTTCAAGTAGCACAAAGTGTGTCAATCCAAATGTCTGCACTTCTTTCAAATTTTAGAGATATCATATTTAATTTTAATAATCTATCAATTAACTCGGTTTTTACTTTTACTTATAAACCTCTTATGTTTACACCGTTTACGCTTGTTCCAAGGATTGTTTCCAATTCTGAGCACTTTGTTAATACAGATAATTCATATGAAAATGACGTAGTTTTTAATAGTGCATCTCCTTAGAAAATCTGCATGAGTAAACCGAGGACTAACTTAGAAGCAAGGAAGTCTCTTGCTAAACGAACAGACACCTAGACTACGTCAATCTGTGTCACTGCCTCGGTAATGACATTTCGAATTGATGTCTGACAAAAGAATCCCAATTTCTGCACTATCCATTCCCATCGGGTCTGCTACGGCGACCCAGGAGATGCGAAAATGAAGCGGAAGACTCACCGGAAATGCCCTGATTCGCATTTTGCTCTCCTTCTTCGGTGCGTTCGGTCGGATCATCTTGATGTCCGGGAGTCGCTGTCCGAAAGGTGAGCGTGAGAGCGCAAGTGCTCGTCCGTAAGTGGCTGGTGTGGCTCAGAGTCTCGCCCGTGGGGCCTCTCGGGGTTGTGCGACGGCAAAAAAGGGCAGCTGAGCGCGAGGGCGACGGGGGTGCGCGAAATGAATGGGGGGCGACGAGGTCAACGAAAATCTACTCTAATCGACAGTGCGAGTTCCCAAATTGCAAAATTCCACATCACTGATGTATAAGAACACTTGAGATGCACTTTTCTCCAGGTGGACCAAGAAATGCACGGCTTTTCTGTTGGCAAATTTCACTTTTGTACCATCTATTTTGATGATGTTTTTCCTCCTTTCTGACGTGAAAAGAATGGATGGCACGATGGAAGCGCCACTAACGGGGATTGGGGAATCGCAACAAGTTGGATGATAGATGTCGCTGATCACTGACCTGTGAGTTCCCTGAACTTTCGCAGAGAAATGCTTGAACGTCCGTAACAATTTATTAAATTAAACCAGAAATTAGATGACTTAAATACTCGATATGCCGTTCTTCTCCACCTGCTCCAGCAGTGCCTGAAGATTTGTATCGAACAGCTCGCATCTGATGGGCATTTCCAATGAGTAGAAGGGATTCTTGAGGACGTAATCAGCGTACAATTCATAGATCTTCTTCAAAAGTATCTCCATTCCCGCTTGCAGAGGTTCACTTATCAGGATGAACTTCACTCCCGTGAGTGTCTGGAAGCAGTTGAGCTTAAATGTTTCTGTCTCGAGCATCTCAATTCCCGAACTCTTGGGTTCAGGACTCAATTGGCTCGCAATAGCGAATAAAGGGTAGAAGGTGCTGGCAAGGACGATCTTCTCATTCGTTGTCATTTTCGGCCGGTGGAACTTCAAGTTTAGTGGGTAGTTGTCTCGATTCTCAATCACTTCCTTAGCATCTCGGCCGTCCTCAAGTGTCACACCGCTCACAGATACACCATTTATCGCTGAAAGAACATGACCCACTAACCAAGAAATCAGGGATTCAGGATAATTAGCTATTATTCTCGCAATCGCCGAAGATATCAGATTCAATTACCTGTAATTCCGTCTCTTTGGCCAAAAACAACAGTAACTTTCTTGGAGTCAAAGTCGAGCTTCAAATCCAAAGGGAAACTAAAGGTTTTCTCATTTTCCACCTTCGGAACGTTGTGATCGAGGTTGAAAATTAGTCCGCCGGACTTACTAACTATATAAACTCCGTAAATCACCATAATTCTGGGCTTCCTTTTCCTCCCAAGAAAAACCAAAACATGGATTGTCAAACTCTTGAGATCGTTGTGAAGTTGGCAGATTTAGAATCGAATTTGTTCCACCCCTGCTCTTCATAGCCGAGCCTCAAACCGAAATTTGGTTGCATTCAGCTCGTGTGGCGCGTATTTGTCGTAGGAATTTTGTGCTTTGGTCATTTTTCTGATAATTGTGATAAAAAAATACATTTGAAGAAGAAAGCGTAAAAAATTCCCATGCCGGGAATCGAACCCGGGCCTTCTGGGTGAAAGCCAGATATCCTAGCCACTAGACCACATGGGATTTAAAAGGTTTCGAGCTAAGAAGTTTAGAAACACATCGTCTTCAATAAAAATTGGATATAAGCTGCAAAATCTAACAAACTATGTGATTCTTAAGTTAACCAACTTGGTATGTGATTACAGAAGTTGATTCACGTGATGAGCTCTGAATAAATAATTATTAATAAGAAGGTCCTATCGACTTCTCATATTAAGAAGAACATGTCATTCTTAAACGTAGTTTGTTTAGACAAATTGGTGAATTGTCAATTAATTTTCTGTGATATAATTGAATGGATTGGATTACAATATCAGCAATCGCTCTCGAACCGCCATCTCATGGTATTGACCTCAATTTCCTCGCATCAAAAGAAAATCCTCAAAATCCACATGGAATGTCTCTACCGTCTTTACAATGAAATTTTATTCGACAGTTTTGGATTCATCTCTGATCGGCCTAATTTGAAATACACAATTTTAATGAACTTCCTGTTCTACAATTCGGGTTTTTCCGAGGGTTTTTTCACTTTTTCGCGCATACATTGTTACACGTATCAAACTTATTGGTAAAATTGTAAAATAAGTCCTAGATGCGAATTCCCTTAAATGAAAGGCGCTAGTTCTAGGCTTGCACATCTTCTGGGGGTATCCAGAAGGCCATGTTTGTGCACGCCGATGCCAACATCATGAACTTTGGGTTGAACTGCACGCACTGCACTGGCCCAGGATGGTCGCCGCTCAGTACGCACACCTTGTGGCCACTGTCGCTGTTCCAGACGTGCACGCGGCCGTCAGTGCTGCCGCTGAAGATGAATTGCGAGTCGGGACTGAAGCTGGCCTCGATCGGGATGCCCTTGTTGTTCAGGTAGCCCGTGAACGTCTGCAGCGGCGTGCCGTGGAACGAGTCCACCAGGCGAATAGTGCTGCCATTGGTGCTGATGAGGATCGTTTTGCCGTCGCGGCTGAACTTCAGGCCTGTCCAGTCGCACTCCTTCTCCTGATTTAGCTTGAACGTGATGAACGGGCCGCGGTCGAAATAGCGCAAATCGTACAACTTGATGCTCTCCGAGTTAACGCCGGCGGCGAAGATAAGCCCCTCCGGATCGTACGCAGCCACGGGTCTGCCTGATAAGTGCATCACGCCCTGGCAATTGGGTGAGCGTAGATCCCATAGGCGCAGCGTCTTGTCCAGCGCGCCCGACAGGAAGGTGTCCTCCACCGGAGAAATGCACAGCGAGATGACCTTTTTTGTATGTCCAGGAAAGTAGCGAAGGTACTTGTTGTCGTGCAGACTTAAGTATCGGATGGTGTCGTCCACTTTCGTGGAGCTGTGAATTGCCGTGTTGTTGCCGTGCGTAAAGTGAATCAAATCAACGCCGTACTTTTTCGAGTTCACCGTCCGCGTCTGTTGTCCTTTCTCGCAGTCATAGATCATGATCTGGTCGTCCTCGCCGCAGGAGATCAGGTGCTCTCCATTGGGCGAGAAGTCGATGGCATTGATCTTGTCCGTGTTCTCCCGGAACACCTTCGCCACCCGGAAAGATCTCACCACTGAGTCTATCAGCTTCATCTTCGACGGCGTGTTCTGCTCAATCTTGCCGCCCTTTTTTGCACTGTCGCGTGAATAAATGGAAAAACGCCTTTTCGGCCTCTACTCGGACTTTTCACAGGAAAACAAATGCGCTTTCCCGATGTCAAACACACTTTGTCAACAAATCCTCGCCGTTTGCAGCACCACACGTGGCGAACATTCTCTACCCGGATGGAAAGTTCACACAGTATACTTGTATTTTATCAAATATTAGTACCATTGTACGAGTTATTTTTTCCCTGATTTCATCCATAATTACTTTGTGATTATGTAAAAACACAATTAAATAATTAAAACAAGAATTTTGAAAATATCTGCGAAAGATCAGGTTTCTATACAGATAATAAGCGAAAATCCACATCGTGCGATGAGAAATATACTGCTACTTTTCGTGTATTGATACTAATATGGTAAGGAGTAAAAACTAAATTATAAGCTCACACACCGGGTTATATTCATTCCCGGACTTTTCCATATGGAACAGCAATTCGTCAAGTTATAAAGCAATTTTTGTGAATTGTCCCTGATTAGAGAAGTCGCGATGTCCAATATCAAGTTAAATTTGTGTGTGGCAGCCTGTGAGAATCTCGGCATCGGTCTGAACGGCAATCTTCCGTGGCATTTGAAGCAAGAATTGAAGCATTTTAACCGTGTTACCACCAAGGTCTCTGATCCAGATAAGAAGAATGCCGCTATTATGGGCAGGAAGACTTACTTTGGCATACCGGAGAAGAAGAGACCCCTTCCAGGACGTCTGAATATAGTCCTGTCGCGTCAGGAAGGCCTCCAGCTGCCGTCCGACGTAATAATTTGCAGCAGTTTGCCGGAGGCCCTGAAACTCCTAGGCAAGGAACAATATCGCCAGGAAATTGAGAATGTCTGGATTGTTGGAGGTTACTCAGTCTACAAGGAGGCCATGGAGTCTGAAAACTGCCACAGGATTTATTTTACAGACGTGAAGAAGAAGTTTGAGTGCGACGCTTTCTTCCCAGTCATTCCGGAAGGCTTTAAAATCGTGCCAAATGACGAGGATATTCCATCGGAAGTGCAGGAGGAGAATGGCATCCAATATCAATATCTATTGTACGAAAAAACCCAGAAGTAATCTGAAGTTAAAGGCTTGCTTTCATTAAAAAGAAATATATTTTAGGTTAGGTTTTTTTGCTTGAGCGCCATAAATATCATATGATTTTGTGTCTTGACTGAAGTGGATACACAAAATTGCGTTGAAACATTTTCAAAAAATCAGTTGAGATGGTGGCGAGAAATTATTCGTCAACACTTAGTTAACACAGCAAAATGAGAAAATATGGTCAGCAACCAGGAGGTGGAGAGATTTAATACAATGAACAGGAGGACGGTGTCCTCCAAGTGGTTTTGGACTCTCTTGGTCAACAGAGCATGGCAACAAACTCTGTTACCGCATCATGTTTAGAAAGGAGCTAAAATGCCGCCGAAAATGAACAATCTATTCAACAAACAAGCTGAGGGGAGAACATTCCGCCTCACTCCGGTGACGAAGCCAGAGACTCGCCGAGGCCATGGGAAGTGTTTATGACTTGATGGCTTTATTAATTCAGCATGTCACCGAATGATAAACCTGGGAAATGATACCGAAAACTAAACATCCCATAGAAAAAAAATTCTCACAGCAACTCAGCCCCAAATCTTGGGTGGGGGAAGCTTCAAAAGCAGACTCACTGGTTACATTTCAGCATTGCGCTGCAATTATTTTAAGATAAATACATATGATGGGCACATTGAAAACTAAGTGATAAATGAAATAAAAACAGCAAGTTTATAGTAAATGTATTTAAGAATTACATATCATAGTTATATCAATATTTCAATGTCGTAATTTTATTACGCAAGACTGAAGATTCGCAGGATGAAAATAAATTTTATCATCAAATGTAGAAATTATTCATTATACTAATAGCACTTTCGCGTTTTATTAAAAAAAAAGAAACAGGCTTGCAACAACGATGAGTTGATTTACTTAAAAGAAAAAAAAACAAAATTTTATAATAAATAAAAAATGTTAATTCAAAAATACGATTAAAGAGACTTAAATTCCAGATATTGTATAATTAAATTTTTTCATTCTTCAAAATTCGTGATATCTTTTATACCGTAATCCCTCCAGTCTATATATCCTGGATAGATATTTTTGTTATGCGACCATATCGAAATCACGAATTTTTACAAAAAGTTAAAAACATACAATTTGTGCATACAATATTGAATATTTTCAATTTTGTCAATATCAAATTTATATGAAAATCGTTTGGCCCCTTGATGAAAAAACTAAATTTTTAATTACTTCTACTTATTGTCTTCCTATTTGAATTTATATTAATGTAAAAGTTTCCATTAATTATAAATATTACAAATGTAGAATTTCTTTTAATTCGTCAATTATTCAAATATTCTGGTTTTCACGACGAGAAAATACTACAGACATAAGCGTCGCGTTGGTCGGAGAAAAGTTTATGTCCTGAGAACATTTCCCGGAGGAAAGCAAGGAACTCTCTTCGAGAGAGAGAAGCTCTTACTTCCCCTCCGTGAGAGAATTTCTCGTACACAAACACACACATAACCTCAAAGCACGGCGAGAGGGGGGTGCATTTATGTAAGTTGAAAATGTTTGGCGAAAACATTTGTGTGTGGCGATTTCAATTGAAATGCGAAAGAGTCGGATACTAAATGCACTGACACCTTTCCGGGGGGCGGCACTGCGTTCAGCCACTGCCTCTGAGCGAGCCAATCAGGGTGCCCAGCTAGCCGGGCGGCCAATAGTTAAGCGCCCCTCGAGAGCGCACGCTTCGGCGCACGTGCCGTCTCTGTTGCACTCGTGCACTTGACAAGACTGGCTCTCGTTCTGACTCGCGTGAGAGGAAGCGGGATGGCGTTAGTTGGCGCGAACTGGCAGAGAAGAAACGTAATAATATCAATAAAATATAATGCAGAGTGGAAATGGAATTGTGAACCCACCTATTTTATTTGTCCGCTACAATTCTGTGGTGTGTTGGTGTCTCTCTTTCTTCGACTGGCATCTCGCTCGTGCGCGCGGTGGCGCCCATGTGGCCTCTCATTCCGACTCTGAAGTCAAATGTATATTCCTCGTATTGTCTCTATTTCTGTACCTCTTCTCGTGTTGCTTTTTTCAGCCTCTCCGCCTGCCAATGTCTCTCTTCAGCAACTGTGCTTTTCTTATTTACACACGCCGTCAGTGTGACTGCAGACGCGAAGGTTGCCATCCAAGAGAGAATTTCACCTGGAGAACTGGGAAAATCACGATCGCGAAGGGGGAGCCTTTGCTGTTACTCCACTCTGTGACACATTGCCGTCGTGTTGAAGACTTTTCACGCGTGCGATCGCAAAGCCGCGTGGACAATCTAACTCAGTGGCGCTGCAGTCAGTGACGATATCAACATCCGCGTGGGTGACAGTGCAACAAAATCCGTGGAAAGTTCACGTGGCCGCGAGAGGGTGAGACTTTGGAGGCTCTTTCTCTCTCTCTCTCTTCCTCTCTGGGAGAGGATTTTCGCGTGAGAGTGTGTGCAGGGAGTCGTGCTGTCCCTTTCGGAAAAGGCAGCAGTCCTCTGGCTTCTTTAGACCAATACCAATTGGAAGTAGTAAAAGCGCGCAATAGCAATCATAAAAGGATATTTCTGTGACTCCAAAATTGACGCCCCATTCGAAATCACGGGAAATATCCGTTAGTTTTCACCCGAAATTCCGTGTGTGCACGTGTGTGTGTAGCCTGCCCCAGCAAGATCTACAATTGCGGTGCTGCGATTGCATTCTCAGAGTTATTTGATCAGTGTGTACTGAGGACTTGACAGCCTGGTCGAAGGTGGGCAGTGTTAGTGACAGATCCAGCGAAAATTGTTGAGAAACGGGATCAGGTGTCGACAGGGGGACAGAGTGGCTCTGATCTGTCCAGTCAGATGAGCATGGACTCAGTGATGGACTCGTTGTCGACACACAGTGAACACAGTATGTCCTCCACGGCTGAATCGCATCCCGCGTCGTCCGCCAAGACTCCCCAGAGCCCCAGCAATCCGACGAGTACACCCCAGATGCATCGCCGCACACCGACACCGCACAGTCCGGGCCGGCAGCTGGGGAGCCCCATCGGGGAGCGCCCTTTGCTGGGCCTGCCGCATCCGCTCAGCCCTCCACAGGTCTCCACGCCCAACAGCATGGGCTCCATGGCGCCCCGCATTGCACAGAACCTGCCGCACTTGCCACCGCACGGTCTGGGCCTCCTCAACTCCCTGCAGATGATGCACCACAATCCGCTGGAGCTCATGGCCGCGGCTCACCACCACGTCCCGCCGCGGAGCTACAACAGCCCCCCACCAATCTCCACCTCTGATCCCACAGCCAACGAATGCAAGCTGGTGGACTACCGCGGCCAGAAAGTCGCCGCTTTCATCATAGCCGGCGACACGATGCTCTGCTTGCCGCAGGCTTTCGAGCTCTTCCTGAAGCACCTCGTCGGGGGATTGCACACCGTCTACACCAAACTCAAGCGCCTGGACATCGTGCCACTGGTATGCAATGTGGAGCAAGTCCGCATCCTGCGCGGTCTGGGTGCCATCCAGCCCGGCGTCAATCGCTGCAAGCTGCTCTCCTGCAAGGACTTCGACATACTCTATCGCGACTGCACCACGGCGAGGTACGTGTCTCTTGCACTCCCATTTATTTTATTGGTGTTTCGATATGCATTTTTCATATATAACTACAACTCGCGGGGTGTTGACATCAAAAGCGCTCCCGCCAAAATATGCTCGACGCAATTTTAATTGATTTTGTATCTTGCGAGAGTGCGTTTTAATTGAAAATCACAGCCTCTCACACCCCCAAATTTCTCTCATTCAACCTCTCTCTCTCGCGCGTGCTGAGGGCTGGAAAATCTGCGCAACCCTTGTGCAAAAATTTCTAATTAAACCCAGAGAAAAGTCCATTTGAGTATTTTAGCTTTCCTTCGCACGCATGAATCGCGCGATCTGCCGGCGCTAAACTCGCTTTCCGTCTCGTGTGAGCTTCACAGGTGCTTCTTTCAGTTCTCACGTCGCTAAATATACAATAGCTTAAATTTATTACGTATTGCAGCCAATTGATAAGATCCACATTCGTTTTCCCTGTTAATTCTCTGGGTATGTATGACACTAGGGTAATATGGGTAATATGACATTGTGAAACTACAACTGGTGGGATCAAAAAGTATCAAAAGATCAGAAAAATTGAGAAATGTACGAATATTTGGGACTTTTTACAATAATGAAATAACTCATATTGATCTCAAAATATAAAAAATAAGCCATAATAAACAATATCTTCTAAGAGCCCAAAATTTAATTATCTATGAAGTTGTCTGGTTATGGAAAAATCAGAAGAAAACTGTAGAAACATGAATAACATTTTTGAGGTTAAATGAACAACTTAGAGGATATTTTTTTCATTGAATTCTATGTCATTTGTCAAAGAATAATTGCAGACAGTAAAATTTAGCTATATTAATGTTGATAATATGCAATAATTACTCATAAGGATCTACTAGAAATTCACAAGAATCTGTGTGAATTAATATGGAAAACATATTTTTTGAATGCAGTAGTACTTTTCCGATGTTCTATTTCTCTTCCTGTCCAAAATAGCCTGTGAAATACCTGCAATTCCAGTATCGAAGCCTATTTCATCCCTCTGTCGAGGGTGGATGTGAAAGCTTTTGTCACAAAGGGGCTTTTAGTGCGCTTTTCCATCATCACACATTCATTCAATAATTTTCACTCGGTCTTTTTCTCCGAGTGTCGCATGCAATGTTGGAAAATGATCACATCAGCGGACAAAGGAAATGGAAAATAGAATAAACAGAAAAAATCATTTGTTGGGGGGAAGTTGGAAATTGTGAAAGCATAAAGTGAAAAGATTTTAAATAGCAAAAAAGGGGTGACAAATAATATTTACACCTTTTTCCCAGTGTCTTTTTACTGAGTTGACACGCTCTATAAGAGCCGAAGGATGAATTGTGATGGCAAATGAAGTATAAAAGTCCATGTCAAAGGGTTTGCTTTTGCTTAATTTTCCACATAGAGAGTCCCACTTTTTTGCAACAATCGAAAGGAAGAACTCATCTGCATACATATTAATACACCACGGGAGCTCCATTTCTTTTCCTCTCACCCTCAGCATCATCACTCATTCACATTAACAATTTGGTGTGCGGGTGTCAAAAGGGATTCCCTGTGGCTGGAAACTCACTCTTTTCATCCTGAGTTTACCTGCACTTTCCCATCTCACTCTCAAGCCCATCCGCATATAGAATATTTTATATTGTGTTTGCACAGACTTCTGTTTACTCCAATGCTTGTTTATTCTGCTGACCATTGCAAAGCTTTTCCGACAATTAACTGGAAAACACATTTCCCCCTTTTGCCCGTTCAAACCGAAAGGACGCCGAGGAGGCGTCACGCTTGCCACTATGCAACTCTCGTGGGTGTGGATATTCTTTATTGTGCTCGTAAGATCGAGAGTCACTTTTGAGGGGTGTTTTAAATTCAGAAAACCATCAGTAGTTATATCGAAAATTTGTAAGTATCAGTCAATAAAAAAAAATCTTCTCATTTCTGTCTTCACTGAGTTTGTCTGAAGGCAATTCAAATGGAAAAAAAAATTCATTAGGACGGATTCGTTTCTTAAATAATGAAGCACACAAGAAAATTTGTGAGTTAATCAGTATATAATATTTTCAAGTCGACACATTAGAATAAAGTTTTAAGGATAGTAATAATATCAATTTGATTGTTTTCTGCTGGATAGTTCTGGGTTAAGTTGGTCCGGTGCGTTAACTCTAGCCGAAAGCAAGGATATAATAGTTCTTATTGGAAAATCTGAGTGTCCATAGAACTTCAGTTGATCATCACGATTCCCTAAATATACTTTATATGAAAGTTTAAAATGATATCCATTTTCTGTTGAAATCTTTGAACATTGTGCATCATTATTTATGGGACTGATCTGTGCGCTGTTTCTTCCGAATCATTCCGACTGTATCGATGGAATCTTGAGAAACAGAAGCGCGGGTGAAAGGCAATAAATTATATCTGAAAATCGTGTGGCTGCCAAGAGAATCACTTTCTGAGATTGATATTTTTGGTTGGTTATCGTTTTCTATTCCATAAATGATCACACCAATGTTTTCTCTGCGGTGCCGACGTTAATTTGGCTTGGGTGAGTTCTCATGTATGTATGTATATTATATATAGTATTCCAATCTTTGGGGTGCATTTGGACCTTTTTGCCTCCGTACCTTTGTTAGTTGCGATGGTGAGAATATTTTGCATAGTCATTGGAATGTTCGGCGATCTTTCACGCGCTGCTTGCTGATAATTTCGGAATCGGATTGTTGTAGAATTGCTTTAATAAAAGTCACATATATGAAAAATATGCAGACTGCAGTTTGCAGAAGGGAATTTCTCGCACCTCCATCTGAACAGATAAACACTTTTAATGGTTCTCCATCCAATATCTCTCTATGTTTTGCCTCTTTGGACTCCTTTTTATTATTTACTTTTCAACGCCATAAAATAAAATTTACGAGTTGAGAATTACTTTGATGATTTGTCTGTTATTAACAACATTTCAGCTGATGGAGTTACAGTTCGATCTTCTCGTCAAACACTTTTTTTTACAATCTATAATATTATTTATTCATGTCCGAAAAGGGAAAGTATTTAGGATGGAGGATCACTTGGATTTTTGTTTAATCGCGATGATCACAGGCGCAAGAAGAATTGGAAAAAAAATTGAGTTTTTCCATAGAAAATATAAATTGTTTTGTGAAAAACATTCAATTGATCCACTTCACTTCGTATACTAAACATTTCATTACCGTGGAGCTTCTCTCTTTCACTCTTATCTGGTGTGCCTTTGGTTGAGGCAATTTTTAACACTTTATATATCTCCTCACTCAATCGCATTGAGGAGTGAATCAAAGAGAAATTGTGTTCAATTCAACAGGCTGGAGATTTATTGCTTATAGTCTTCCCTCACAGGAGCTTCTTTGCCTTTCCTTTGGGGGAATCCGATAAAATTCACACAGGATTTATCATTGTGGTGTCTTTCCCTCGCAAACGACCGTGGCGATAGAATAGAAGAAGAATGGGATTTGTTACTTATTTATGTGCCAATGCAGATTGTATGTATGTCCCCCAGTTGCTAGTGCGTGTTTCTATCTGTTTTTCGTATTATGTGGGTGTATTGTGCCGACGAAACTATTAAAGGTGGACGACAAAAACGTCCAATAATCTCGATCTTGTGAAGTCAGCAATGATGAAAATGTTCTTATTCTCATGATGCGCGTTGTTATGATATTGACCGAATATTATGCCAAGTCAAACATGAATGCAATTCGGTTATGTAAACGGTCTGTTGGGTGTGCAATGGGTGAAAAAAGAACACGTCGGCGCCGCTTATCGTGGATTCTTCTTAGTGGCCATAAATGCGAGTGGCTGAGCGAAGAGGGGCACTTGAAGAAGTATGGCAAAAGTATACGAGAGTCCGAAGACAAATTAGTGTTGTTGCAAAAAGTCCAATGTCGTCTTTTGTCTGGGGTGTTTTTGAGGAACCTTTACAATTACCTTGTCACCGAATGAGAACAATAGGGCGAATGGGGGAATTAATTGAAAAAAAGAGAAATATAAAGAGAAGAATAAAAAATACATATCTAGGCAGATAATAAAAGCAATGTTAATGTTGTAATGGGAAATTAGCAGTAACCACGCGATAATTGCTGTTCTGACTTAATAATTAATGCGTCGCCCTTAAGATTGAAGAGTGTTGGGATGTTTGGACCTAGACTCCCCTAATTGGTGCTAATTGCCATTGAGGAAAAGTCCATTTTCATCCGGGTGTGCATATAAAATTTGCCACCCCTGGCCATTCTTCGGTCAAATGACCGCCAAAATGCACTTGATAGACGCGTATGCAATTTGCAAATATGCATCCACGGAATATGTTATTGCAGTTGTGCCATGTCGCATCAGCAAGTGAATCTCCGCGCAATGTTTGTCCATTGAATTGCATATGAATTGCAACGTGCGCGGGGATGCATTTTAATGTATTAATTGGTAAACGTGTAATGGCATCATCAGTGCCTCGAAAATTGTCCATATATTGGAATTCATGCAACCCTATCGCGAGGGCTATGGCGCCTTGAGGGAGTGGGTTGAAAATTTACTATATGGAGCATTTGCGGGTATATTTTGCGGAGGGGCGACACCGGAACGAACACACAATTATTTAATTTTAATATTCTCCATCTGCCCAAAATGGTCTCTGTTATTTTGTCAATTGTTTAAGGGTGGCCCATCAGCAGTGAGAGGGTGGTGTGGTGGAATTGGAATCTAACAGACTTACGCGTCTATATGCATTAACACTAGACGAACTGAAAAATGTTGGTAATCTATTTTCGTCCAATAATATTTGGAATTTGTTAAAGAAATAATTTATTTTACCATTGTTAAGCTAAGATTGTTGATTTGCATTAAAATTATTGCTATTCAAGTGTTAAAAAATTCAGAACTCAAGAGGAACTGATTTATCGTAATTACAAAAAATAATGTGTTCACCAGTTGTTAATCCGAAAACAAAGAATTTAATTTAAATCAGTACTTC